AGGTAACGTTTACTTAATAAAAATAAGGCAATTCTTTTCCTCAATTTTATTGAGTTATTTCGACTATTATTTTTTTACAGTGCAAACAACAACAACGGCCAAAAACGTTTCATTAAATCATTACAGAAAGAAAACGATTCGTTGTACTGTTCTCGACTCTTAATCCTTGTCTGAATTCAGCCCCCCCCCCCCTCCCATGCGAAGTGCGGAAGCTTTGACGTTTCATTAAATTATTAGAGAACGAAGACGATTCGTTGTACCGACATTCGTTGTCCGATAAAAAGTCACTGTCACAGTAAGTAGGGAAAACAAATTTGCCGGCCGACCGACATAATACATCTCACCGACTTCATACTTCTGCATTAATATTACACGAGGATAGAGCAGGAATACCGACACAGTGGACCCGACCACTGGCGTACCTATGGGGGGGCAGGGGGGGGCAGAGTGCCCCCCCCCCCCTGACGGGCTCCAGGGGAAAAAAAGAAAAAGGGGAAAGAAAAGAAAAGAAAGGGAAAGGAAAGAAAAAGAAAAAAGGAAAAGGAAAGAAAAAAGGAAAGAAAGAGAAAAAAGGAAAGAAAAAAGGAAGAAGAAGAGAAAAGGAAGAAAAAGGGAAAAGAAAAGGAAAGGAATAAAATGGGGAAAAAATAAAGAACATGGCCGTAAGCACCAGGGGGGGGGGGGGGCAGTTGACCCCAGATATTTTGAAATCGTACAGTTTTTTTTCCTGAAAATGTAGTGTAGGCCAATACCAAATCCTTCAATTCTACTTTTGAAAATGCAAAAGTACCCTCATGACCAGTTCGGTCGCTCGAACTCCCTTCACTCCTTTTGCTTTTGAGATTCTTCGAAAACTTTTAACGCATCTTTCCCCCTTCCCCCATCAGAAAAATATTCCGCATACGGCCCTGAAAAATTAAAACAAATGAAAATAGGAAAATATAAGTGATATAACAAATTTGAAACTCTTCGCTGGCGCGAACTGCTTGCTAGCCTATTTTGTATTAAATGTTTTCACTTCCTCGTCCCCTGAAAAAAGAAAAGGATTATTATTGCCTAGAATACAATTGTGCCTGCCCCGACGGGCCCCGACCTGCAACCATGGCAACAATAACACACAATATATGTACCAAATGTTACTAAAAGAGACTAATTCATTTTTCTCGCTCGCTACACTCGCTCGCGAATTAAAATGAATAGACATTGCTTTGGAAACAATTGTGCCCACCCTTGACCTGCAACAATATCATTAAAAATGGAAGAGTTTTTTTCGCCCTCTCGCCAAAAAGGAATTGAATCGCGTTAAACGCGATTGCGTCCATCCTGACCTGCACCAATAAAAACAAGTTTATTTATTAATTTCTATTAAAAGAGAATTTATTTTTTTTGCTTGCTCGCTATGCTCGCTCGCCAAAATGGAATTGACACCGCTAACGTGCCCGCCCCAACCTGCAACAACCAGTTAATAATTATGTACGAAACGTTATTCAAAGAAGTTTTGGTGTGCTCGTGCTCGCCAAAACGGAATTAACATCACCTTAGACATGATTGTGTAAGCCCTGCCCTGCAACAAAAAAATCTGAAATTTATGAACCAATTATCATTACAAAAATTTTGCTCGCTCGCTACGCTCGCTCGCCAAAATAGAAATAACACCGCTTTTAATAATCACGTCCCTGACATGGAACAATTAAACCAAGTTTATATACCATATTTTCCCTATAAAGAGAAGTGATTTTTTTTGCTCGCTCGCCAAAATAGAATCAACACCGCTTTTAATAATCACGTTCCTGACATGGAACAATGGACCCGTTTTATGTACCATATTTTCCCTATAAAAGAAAAGTGATTTTTTTTTTCGCTCGCTACGCTCGCTAGCTCGTGGAATTATGTGCCCACCACTAATCTGCTACAATATCATTAAAAAGATAAATGTAGGGGGTTGCCTGCCCGCCAAAATGGGATTGACATTGCCTTAAACACGATTGTGCCCGCCCCCTACCTGCAACAATGAAACAAATTTTATATAGCAATTCATTGAGAGAAAGATGTATTTTCGCTCGCTAGCTAAAATGGGTATAAAATCACCCTAAACACAATATTGTTCCCGCGCCCTGCTTGGGACAATTGAACCAAGTTTAAGTGGCAATTATTAAAAAAGAAGTGATTTTTTTCTTGCTCGCTACACTCGTTTGCAAAAAAATGAAATTAACGTCGCTAACAAGACATAGTGAATGTTCCCACCCCCAACTTGCAACAATACCAGTTTATATACCAAACGTTACTTAAAGATTTTTTTTTTGCTCGCTCGCTCGCTCGCCAGAAGTGAACATTAGCATCGCCTTTTTTGTTTGTTTCGGTCGCTTGCCCCCCCTGACGGAGTACCCCAGGTACGCCACTGGACCCGACACAGCAACATAACTATCTATGCGTATCTTTCCTGCCCCCTCGACGTGGTGACTCCATCCATCTACCCCTCTCTCTTTTACTCCCACCCCTCTTCTCACAGGCTCTTACCTCCCCTCTCCCTCTCCTCTCTTTCAACCCAAGTTTCTTTTGTTTCATTTTTCTCTTTTTTCTTCTTTAATTCCTTTTCCTCTCCTTCCTCTTTTTCTTTCTTCTCTTCTCTTTCCTTTCTTAATTTCCTTTTCTTTTTCCTTTTCTTTCCCTTTCACTCACATTTTCCTTTCTCCCTTTTCTCATTTTTCCCAACAGCAGCGCAATTTTAGCGACAACATCCTGACAGGTGGGGTGTCGCCAGTGGCGGATCCAGCCGTCGGCAAGAGGGGGGGGGGGGGGGGGCAATCCGTGAGAAAATATTAGTTGCAACTCAGCCAGCCGGTGAATTAAGATGGGGGGGGGGTAACCCTATCTAGGCCGGGGAAATTTTACGACTTTTTTTTCGAGTCTTGCGCATCTTTTGAAATAATTTTTTTGGAAAATCGGACCTACCATTAAAAAGTCACTTGATCTTTTGTCTTTGCATGCCAACCCGAAAATTGTTCATTTTCGTGATTTGTGTACAAAACATATGGAAATCTCATTTTTCCTAAAAAAGAAATATTTTATAGTTTGGATGTCTATTTTGGGGTTTAAAATAGTGGAAATATAGTTACAATAAGATACAAAAAACATGGAAATCATGAGAAATTATCAAACCAATAAAATACATAAGGAATAACCTGGCTCTTCCAATTTTTTCGGTATTATTATCAAAAATGGTCTAAAGTACATATGTAGTGAAAACTAATGTTTAAATATGAAAAATATATGATTTATGGGTAAAAATGTGAATTTTATGACCTTATTTGCATAAATTACCGTACATATACAAATGAGTGAATTTTCCAAAAAAATTAAATCAATACACTTCACTTGACACGCATGAAGAAAATAAATATTTGGTTCAATTTTTCAGGAAATAATTTGCGCTGACTCAGACAACTGGTGAATAAGCGGGGGGGGGGGGGGGGGGGAAGGGCGTAAGAGTCACTTTTGGTTTGGGTTCATTTTTTTCAGGAAATAATTTGCGCCGACTCACCCAGCCGGTGAATAAGCGGGAAGCGGGGGGGGGGGGGGTACTAGAGCACTTTTTGTCCAATTTTTTAGGAAATATTTAGCTGCGACTTAGCAAGCTGGTAACTAAGCGGGATATGGGGGGGGGGGGGTAAGAGCAAACTTTTCTGTTGGGGGGCCTGATTCGGGAGAACTTTATTTTTGTTTTAAATTTATTCATTCAATTATTTTTTGACCAGGGAGGAGGGGGGTCATGGAATCGAGCACTTTTTTGTCCAATTTGTTATAGAAATATTTAGCTGCGACTTAGCAAGCTGGTGACCAAGCGGGGCATGGGGGGGGGGGGTAAGAGCAAATTTTTCTGTTGGGGGGCCTGATTCGGGAGAATTTATTTATTTTTTAATTTTTTTATTTATTCATTCAATTATTTTTTGACCAGGGATGAGGGGGGGGGGGGTCATGGAACCGAGCACTTTTTTGTCCAATTTGTTATAGGAAATATTTAGCTGCGACTTAGCAAGCTGGTGACCAAGCGGGGCATGGGGGGGGGGGGGGTAAGAGCAAATTTTTCTGTTGGGGGGCCTGATTCGGGAGAATTTATTTAATTTTTATTTTTTTATTTATTCATTCAATTATTTTTTGACCAGGGAGAGGGGGGGGGGGGGTCATGGAACCGCGCCTGGGTGTCGCACCCCACACCCCTTTAGCGACACCCTGGTTGTTATCCCATTATTCTTTTAAAGAAATGCAATTCCTCATGCTCTCGCACTTCTATATACAAAAATTCTCTCTTTCCCCTTGTTTTCCATCTATTTTTTGTTTGTTCTTCTTGTCCGTTTTTTTTTTTTTTTTTTTTTTTTGGGGGGGGGGGGGGGGGGAGGCTACATATTATGCACACTGCATAATCGCGTGCCCCGCCCCCCCCCCGTCCCTTTCCGGTAAAAAAAAACACCTTCTTAATATATTATCCCCTTTCTTTCTTTACACCTCTCATTATTCTCCTCCGTCTTTCTCTCTTTCTTCCTTTTCCACCTTTTCTCTCCTCTCTCTCTTCCCCTTTCTTCCTTTTTCGCCTTTTCTCTACTCTCTCTTGCCCTTTCTTCCTTTCCCCCTCTTTTTTCTCCTCTCCCTTTCTCTCCTCCCTCTTTTCTTCTTCTTTCTCTTTTTTACCTTTTCTTTCTTTTCCCCCTCCTTTTTCTTTCCCCCTCCTTTCTCCTCCTTTTTCTCCTTTTCTCCCTGTTTCATTTTCCCCCTTCCGCCTCCCCTTTTTTTTACCGGGGGGGCGTGCCCCTTGTACCCACCTGAATCCGCCACTGATCATCTTCTTCTAGCTAGCTAATTAGCTTCGATCTTCTATTCTTCTTCCCGATCCTATAGCTCCGTCGGAGTCTGAAATATTATATCATCATTTTCACTTTGTTTGGTTGGCGTTCCATATAATCACGCATGCAAAGTACTAGCGTGCGCGTCGCGTGCATATGCAGCTGATTTTATTCCACTGCACTGCACTGACCTCTATTTTGCTCTGCAATGACACTCAGTCTAGTGCATGGTGCTACAACAAGTCAATAGACAGATCAGTGAGAAACAGAGCTAAGTTGATTATCCTGATTATACAGCCAAACGTGCAGGTGAGTGTCACTTATTCAGTTTACGAACTAAGAGTAGACAGGCCTACTACTAGGCCTAGACCCTGTCCATAGATTACAATTTTTTAAAATCTAAAGTTATGTTTGTCTGTGTGTTTATTATTTTTTTTAGGTGAACCTGGTGAAACTGAAAGTCAGACAGAAAGGTGAAGTGAACCTGGCCTGGCCTGGCTTGAATTTAATCTTGAGACTGAGTGAAGACTTGAAAAAGTGAAATTAGAGTTTTTGAAGGCAATCCTATACTTTTGTGTGTTTTATTATTTTGGGTTTCTAACTTCAGTTAACAGCTCTACGTGCATATCGTAGGGTTAGGGTTAGGATTAGGGTTAGGGTATGGGTAGGGTAGGTTAGGGTTAGGGTTAGGGTTAGGTTTAGGGTTAGGGTTAGGGTTAAACTGAAGTTAGAAACCCAAAATAATAAAACACACTAAGGCCATGTAAAATTGATTACATGTTGATCGTCCGGATTTTTTGAAAAAGAGGAGGAGGGTGTACCATGTTATTTGATATTTGATATTTCAAAATGGCCGCTCAAAATGGCCGCTCGGTACATTTTCCCCGACAGTCGAGGCTATTTTTTTTCAAGATGGCCGCCGACAATTTTTTTTTTTTTAAATCAGAAATAGAGCCATTTTAGCAGTGTTTTTCATGTTTTTTTTCTTTCAAAAAAAAAAAAAAAAAAAAAAAAAAATAGGAGGCGGGCCCCCAAAAAGGAAGCGGGCGGGGACGATCAACATGAAATCAATTTTACATGGCCTAAAGTATAGGATAACCTTTTGAAGAAAAGGGAAAAAACGGTCGCATTATAAACCCTTTTCAAGCTTAATGCATAAAAAACACAACGGCGTTATGTTGGCTTGTTACTTAATTAGAAGGTTGAGTTTAGGAGAACAATTACTAGATCTATCATTTAGTTCTACTAGTAAAGATCGTATTCTCATAATTCTGAACCATGTTTGATCGCAAGTTTCGCGAGAATAGAACCTTTTTGTTTTTCACGTCCACACATGGATGACGTCAAAGATGTGACATCGTTTCAGCGATTTGCGGATTTGTGGGTCTTCTCATGTCGTCAGGCAAAATTTGAGAACACGTTCACCAACGATTTGAGGTTTTTCAGAAAACTAGTAGACCTCTACCCCGTCGTCAAAATGACATCATCTTTGTATATCGCAGCGTAAATCAACATGTATGGACTTGCGTATAATTCGCTTGACCCTAGTGGATCGGAGGTAATTTTCTGTCTTTCCTTATGTTAGTCTTTGTTATTGAAGAATAGCCTAAGGAAAGATATAAGAGAAGGTGATAGAAATAATAGAATGATTAAAAAAGAATAAAAAGAAGGTGATAGAAGGAAGAACAAAGAATAACAGTCACAAGGAAAGACAGAAAAAGTAGATGATAGAAGGAAGAAATGAAGGATAGCGTAAGGAAAGATAGGAAGAGGAAATAAAGGAATAATAAAAACAAAGAAAATCATAATTAGAGAAGGTGATAGAAGGAAGAGACAAAGAATAACATAAGGAATGGTAGGAAGAAAGTGATAGACCGATAAAAACAAAGAATTACATAAGAAAAGGTGATAGAAGGAAGAAACGAAGAATAACATGAGGGAAGATAGAAAGACAAAGTATGATAACAACAAACAATAACATAAGACTAAGAGATGATAAAAGAAGAAAAAAAGAATAATAAGGTGTCAAAGACAGAAAGAGAAAATGATAAAGAATAGATAATGGAAAGATAAAAGAGAAGATGAAAGATGGAAAACTAAGAATAACATAAGGAATGGTAGGAAGAAAATGATAAAACGATGAAAACAAAGAATTACATCAGAAAAGGTGATAGAAGGAAGAACCAAGAATAGCAACCTCTACGCAACCTACTAAAGTGATAAACTGAACGCTGTTGTATTTTTCATGCACCAAGTTTGAAGAGGGTTTATATTTATTATTCATTATTGTTTGGTATTCCCCTTTAAAGTAACATCTTTGAACATAGGAGAACGATTTAGTGAAGCCAAATAATAGAATGAAACATTATACTTTATAGTCTCAGCAGTCTGCAGAAGACAGAAGTTCAAAACATATCCTGAATAGATTTTTCGGTCTATCCCTGAAATTGAAACAGCTTTCCCAAGCTAAACTGGGATAACTAGTTAAACTAAAAGTTCATTAATTATCAGAAAATCTAAAAGTAATTTTGATGATGATCACCCATCGTTTATTCAGACATAGACTGGGATTCATTAAAAAAATCATATAAATACTCTACTGGTATGTATGCAAATTTTTGACCAAAAATCAATCTATTTCAGTCAGGTATAGTTTTTTTCGGCTGAGATAATATCTGGCTTTGTTACAGAATCCCTCTTTTACGACAAAGTGTGAAAATTCCTCAAATACAGATAGATTTGTAGGATCTACATACAATAAGTGAGATATATATATTTTACATCTTCCAACTATTTTTTTGCAGAGGATCTAACAAGATGCCACGATATGCTCAGATTGTGATGGGACCAGCTGGCAGTGGAAAAGTAAGTGTTTTATAAATAATTTTTTTTAATGCCTTTAAAATGCTGACTATGAGTCTATTTTAAAGAAGTGTTGTTATGCCTCCATCACCAATGGGGATGCCTGAGGTATTAAACATTTAATAAGTTATTAACTTTAATAAAACAATTTTATAGAGGACAAAAAGCAGCAAGAAGATTACCAAATTTATTTGCACACTTGACTGTCGTCATTTGACACTGCCAATTTGAAGAGTTTAATGCACATTGTATTCAAAGGAATAAAGAATCACATTCTGTAATACTTTAATCAAAACAAACCCTTCCATGACTTTATTTGTATAGCAAGCTCTAAATCCAAAAAAAAATTGAAGTTGAGGAGCTACCATGACACAAAGTAATGAAGTTATTTCAGTTTTGCAGACATAGTTGATGATAATGCTGATCTTTCTTTTCAGTCGACTTACTGCAGTAATCTGCAGAAACACTGTGAGACAACAGGGAGATCAGTTCATGTGGTCAACTTAGATCCTGCAGCAGAATTCTTTGATTATCAAGCCGTAGCAGGTGAGTTTGAGACAGAGTTCCAACAGTGCTTTAAAGGGATCCGGTAACTTTGTCTCAGATTCTGAAACAAAATTCTGGATTTAGCTCATGGTGCAATGATAATTATAAACCTTTAGGTCAGTCAGGAACCCCATGACTTTTACAAGCCGATCGCCTGTCTGATTATCAAGATATTTATGATTGGAATTACAAATTTTGAAAACCGTTCGCCTGACGGTTTTCATAACACTACAGTCTATTGGGGAAAACGAGTATGGTAAAAACCGGTCACTCAAAGGTTTTTACTTTTTTGAGGCACTTCTTGATCATTTTGAAGCGCAATTTTTTTAGGGCTTCAATTTTACACCATATCACAGACACTGATAACACGTAGGGCCATGTATCTCAGATTTAACATTGTTAAACGATCCCTTTAATAGTACCAACAGTACAATTGCTTGAGTGCAGGGGAAAAAATACACAGGGGCTCGGGGCGAATTAGCCCCCGAAATGCCCAAAAGAGCCCCCAAAATTTGCATAGAGTTCAATGCAAAACAAATTAAAGAGTGTTATTTTCATGCAAGCAAGCTTGAAAAGTGGCCCCTGAAATTTTTTAATTAATTTTTTCCTGCTTGAGTGTGAGTCCCCATTCTGGGTCACCAGTCATTTTGATGGTCAATTCTGTCTTCAATGTCCATTTAAACAGGTGGAAGTAATTCTTTCCAAAAGGGGAAACAAAAGTTATTCATGAAGCATCTTCATGGTTTTGGGAGCAATTTTTCTAAAATGTCTGCAGTGGCACCTCTCCATGTTTTGAAGATTTGGGATCATTTGAACCATTTGATAATGACAATTAAATGGTCTATAAAAAGATGGTGTAATCCCCCCCCCCCCCCCCCCCCCCCCCCCGCCATAGAATCATTGTCTTGGATTGAAATTGTGAGTATATTTTGTTCTTTTTATAACCAAGATATCCGTGAGCTGATTGAAGTTGGTGATGTGATGGAGGATGATTCCCTGCACTTGGGACCAAACGGTGGACTCATCTACTGCATGGAGTAAGTAGGCTTCCTTTAACATTTTAAAGGGACGTCCGTACCCATATTGGCCCATATATTTTCCATGCTCACTGTCTTCCATTTGTTCATGGTTATCTACATGTCTTGTTTTGAATTTCCAGACTAGTATTGTTCATGTAAAATATGGCATAAGGAGGGATGGCTAGAGTGCCAATGTCTGTGCATATGCGTAACTGCTCGATTCTAGTATAACAAAACACATAACAAACAGGAAATCTCCAATAAAATTTAGTGATATATATATTAGTGCAAAAAACAAGTACCAGTACATGTAAAAACTAATGAAAAAAGTCTTGCAGGCCTTTAAATTCCATCTTTCACCTAAAAAAAAAAACCCAGCACCGCATGTAAAGTAAATCATTGCGCAGATATGGGAACCTTTGTTTTTGCAATGTCAAATTGACACCACTGCCTTTCCTTGTGAAATTATATTGTTCTTTAATACTTGAATTTCCATGAGATTGTTGACACATTTACTCTCTAAAATATAAGGATTAAGATGAGATCAGACATTGAGGGGATAATTCTATTTCAAGAGAAATGTTAGGTGCCCCCCCCCCCCCAATCATACTCTGCTTAAGGATCTAGGATGTAGTTCTTATTCAACTACTATTTAACCAGTCCACTGGTCAATCACTATGCATTATTCTTCCTTTCAAGTCAAAGTAGACAAGACCCCCACTTAAAGAGACAACTGTTTGTACCTTACTAAAATCTCCTTTATATTTTACTATTATTTTCCAGATATTTTGCTCAGAATTTTGACTGGTTACATGAACAGTTAGGAGACATCGATGGAGATTACATCATATTTGATTGTCCAGGTAAGCCAATTTTCTTTTCTGCTCATTTTGTTCTGTTAGCAGCGGTAGAAATAAGAGGAGGGGGACATGGGGATAGAGGGGTATGAGCCTTGCCTCACCTTCCCCCAGCAACACACAATATGACATACCCTAACTACACATTTAGTACCCAACTAAAATGTACCCTCTAATTGTGTCCTCTAATTGTGTCATTGTTTGAGCAACCTTCTAACTGACAAATGCTTCAGTCACCTTAGATTTAAATTTTTTTTTTTTTTAAAGGATATCGGTATTCAAATCAGTGGTTACATATTCATCCATATCACACACTCCTTACTTTCCTCTTCCTATTCTGTCACTCTATCTGTCTCTTTTACTGTTGATCTGTCTGCATCTTTCTCTCTATCTTTTGCTACCCCTCTCTCTATCTCTCATGCTCTCTTACTTTTGTTGTGTCGGCATCTCTCTTTCTCTCTCTCTCTCTCTCTCTCTCTCTCTATATATATATATATCTCACACTCTCTCTCTATTGCTACCCCTCTCTCTATACTTCCATACCCACACCATGTCTTTCTCTTTCCCTCTCTCTCTCTCTTCAATCGCTTCAATCGCCCCACCATAGGTCAGATAGAGCTGTATACCCACATCCCTGTCATGAGGCAGCTGGTTGAAGTGCTCAAGAGCTGGGATTTCAGGATCTGTGGAGTCTTCCTCATCGATGCCCAGTTCATGGTCGAAACAGCAAAATTCTTCTCAGGTTAGCTTTAAAGGCATTGTTTAACAATGTTACATCTGAGATGCACGGCCCTACGTGTCATCAGTGCCTATGATATGGTGTAATATTGAAGCCCTAAAAAAATTGCGCTTCAAAATGATCATGAAGTGCCTCAAAAAAGTAAAAATCTTTGAGTGACCGGTTTTACCATACTCATTTTCCTCAATAGCCTGTAGTGTTATGAAAACCATAAGGAAAACGCAAAAGGAAATTTTGATTTTCAATCATAAATATCTTGCTAATCAGACAGGCTTGTAAATGTCAAGGGGTTGTCCTGAGGAGCTCATTTTCTGGGGTATGATTGTCCAGGATGATTGTTTTAGCTGTTATCTTTGTTTATGGAAGAAAAAATAATGCAAGAGAATGCAAAGTATGCCTCATGAGGGGCAGCATTTTATCATGTATGTACTGCTATTTATCTAAGAAGTTTCATATTATCGCTAAAGGTATTGAGAAATACAGTAACTAAAAGCAGCATGAACTCCCTGTAGTTGTCAACAAAATCACATTTTAGAGAGAATATATATATATATATATATATATATATATATATATATATATATATTAACTCTTTGTCTTTGTGGTTATCTTGCAACCAATAAACTATGTTGATATTCCAGTATTTGAAGAGTTTAATTCCAAAAGGAGCTAAATCCACTTTTGATGAAAATTGAGTTATTGATATCAGAACTATGTTCACTTAAGTAGGCCCTCCCCGTCTTTCAACAAAAGTATTTACCTACATTTTGGGAGTCATTATGAAAAAATGCACCTTCTAATATCACTTTTGCATAGATGCCTGTACAAAATCTGGTAAACAAATTCTTTTTCTCTGAAGCTACAAAAATTGATTTAGCTCCTTTCGGAATTAAACTCTTCATTTGTTAAATGTTGTATTCCATCTCTACTTGTCTCTCTGCAGGCATGCTGTCAGCATTGTCTACCATGGTTAACCTAGAGATTCCTCATATCAACATCATGAGCAAGATGGACCTGCTCAATGCAGCTACCAAGAAGACCGTAGAGAAGTAAGTAATGAGTAATGAATTGCTTCATTATAAAAAAATGAATAGAAAATAATAATTAAAAAGAAAGAAAAATTTAGAAATTACCATTAATTGCAACCTTGTAGCACCAAGTCTTTTCAGAGTCTGAGCTTTGGAGGGAATTTGCTTTGTAGAAGAACTACAATTAAGTTTTGTTGCAATTGATCTGTGGGCTGTTTTATTTTTGTGTGTGTGCATGTGTGTGTGTGTGTGAATATGCTGTCATTTTTTATTTCTTGTAGGTATCTTTTCACATGTCTTTCAGATGATATTGAATACCTCGACATTTGGTTCAAGTCATATTTTTTTAAAGATATAAGGGTAAAGTAAGGATAGTAAATGGTTTTAGTGATTGGAATCCAATCATTGGATATAGCATTTATTCCAGGGTCAGTCTTAGGAATGTGGTTATTGTTGGAAATTGACCATAGAGTGATTGTCACTAGAGTATATAATGTAGCCGTTAAAACCGATTATCGATATCGTTAGATTATTGATTGATGTACATCTATGTTATTTTAATATCTAGATTTCTAGATCCTGATCCCAAGGAGTTAGCGGCTGAAGATGAGCACATGTCAAAGAAATTCCAAAAGCTCAACCAGGCTATAGCAACTCTGGTAAGTAATTTACTCGCCTAGACACAATGGAGAGCACAATGTACCTTGTGTGATGGATGGAATAACATTTAGTAGTTTATCCAAATCTTTGAAATGACTCAGATCCAAACCTGTAATAGGATCTGTGGTTATAAGGAAAATTCAATTTCACTCGAACACTAAAAACATGTGTTTAATTCAAGCAATATCTCGAGTACTATGTCTTTAATTTTGATAGATTCATATACATACAGTATATCATAGGTCTATATTTTTTCTACTTTGTATATAATTAATCTGACATGTTTGTTTTCCTTAATGAAAGACTTTGCAAATCATCCACCAATCCATGAATGATTTTTTTTAAATCAATAAATCACTTTAAATACATAAATATATGTGACTTTAATTGAGAGTTATTATGACAGGAGTCTAATACATTGTATTGAGCATGGTGACCTGTGATTGGTTTATGGAATTGCAATCACAAGGTAAAGTCTGTCCATCTCCTTGCTTTCTTTTTGGGTCAGATTGATGACTACAGTCTGGTGAGATTCCTTCCCTGGATCCATCGGAAGAAGATTCGATGAGTGATCTCCTCTTCAGCATCGACACCAATCTCCAGTACGACGAGGACCAAGATGTCAAGATACCCAGAGATCGGGAAGAGGACAACGACGGGGGCGGTGGTGATGGGGCAGGAGGGGGGTTCAATTTTTGACCTCCTCTTTGATCTCGTCTTCAGAATCGACACCAATCTCCATGAAGAGGATAAGGATGTCAAATTACCCAAAAGATCCAGAAGATGGTGATGGGGGTGATGGGGCAGGAGGTGGGTTTAAGTTTTGACCTCCTCTTCGATCTCCTCTTCAGCAAAGTGGGTTTAATATTTGACCTGCAATGTGAATCGGAATGCGAGCATGCCCACGGATCGATGGGAAGGGATGGTCCTAAAGGAGGGTTCAATTTTCTCCTATTCAGCAATTGACAACAACGTCCAGTATGACAAGGACCAAGATACGAAAATGCTAAATGACCCAGAAGATGATGATGGCAGAGCAGAGCGAAAGGGCAGGAGGGCGATTCAACCGTCGACCGGTGTGCAGCACCAGGATGTGACGATTTTCATAGACCGGAGGAAGATGATCCTGGTACAGGGGGGGGGGGGGGAGGGGTCTAATATTACCCCTCCGGAAGATGATGGTCTCACGAAGACATTCAAGAGAATTGAGAATCAGGATTTTATCGTATACCAGGGCCCCGTCTTACAAAGAGTTGCGATTGATCAAGATTGATCACAAGTCTTCCAATCAATTGCAAGTTTGCAGTCTCTTATGTACATAGCATGATAGTTGCGATTGATATCAATCGCAAATAATTTATATAAATTGCAAATAAGTTGCGATTGATATCAACTCTTTGTTTGACGGGCCCAGATATTGAATGGTAACCTTGGTTGAGGCTTCGTGGCAAGAAGGTTATAATATACCGACTAGAGATGCTGGTATCACAAGGACATGCCCTTGGAAAATTATGTATAGGACACATTTTTTGTACAAAAGTTGTGCAATGAAAATTGAGATGATGGAGGCTTTGGAGCAGGAAAGCCCTGCTTGCAGCACAAGGATGAAGAAGTAAGGGTCAAGAGAATTAGGATATGCCAATTGAAGTAATCTGGGAGAGATGTTTATAGAAGAACATGGAAATATTTAGCAAATGTAGCGTACAAAGTCAAAGTGAATCACTGGAAAAATCAAATTTTTGAATTATTTTATTTCCATGATACACGTGAATATAGCTATTTACATATTACTCCATGTTATTGGGACAAAAATTCCAGACAATAATAGCATCGTTCATGGCAAGGACACTCAATAATTTCAAAAGTATATTTTTACTCATTACTGGAAATAGAAATTGTAGTTTTCATATGCTCAAATCTTAACGATTCAATTTCAACATTTTTCCCATAGGGCTTCAATTGGCATTACCCCGAAGATTACTGAATTGAAGTTTTGTGATTTAACTATAGGTGAATGGCCTTATAGATTCACCCTCACAATAAGAGGGTTTTGTACACGTTTGATATACATGTCAAAAAATTCAAGTATAGTTTTTAATATTGAAATAAATAGTAAATCTAGTACTTGATTCAAATTTGTTTTTCAAGTGTCCACTTTTTTGTGACCCGTCATTGTACGTCACTCCCACTCTCCCCCAAATAATTTGTTTATTGTTCTCACCGATAAATACATGAAAATGAAGAATAAAGAGGTCAGGTTGATTATGGGGGGGGGGGGGGGGGGGCTTCACAGGTGGGAAGTGGTCCCCAGTGAAATGAAAGAGAAGATCACTGGAAGATTTTAGGATAATCTGATGTAAGAATAAGAAAGTTATATTAAAGCTTTTATTTAAAATGTGTTTATGAGCGTCAAGTTACTTATATATATTCTTCTTGACTTGCCTGATAATTTAACAGTTATTCCTCTCCCATCCAATACTCACTACAAGAAAAAGAATCAATAGTAACAAGTGGTCCCCAGTGAAATGGAAGAGGAGATCACTGGAAGATTATCGGATAATCTAATCCAAGAATAAGGAAGTTTTATTAAAGCTTTTTATTTAAAGCCTATTTGCACTAGTTTGGCCAGGAGGGATTAGACAGGTGGTTTTTTCATCGAATCAGCTCTGAATTAAATAAGAAAAAGAGGACCATGGGGGACAAAAGGTCACCGATTAGGCATTGTTTGCTATATAGAGGGCGCAAGTAGTGCAGTGGGGCTTTAATATGTGTTTATCAGCTTGGACGTGCTCTATATTCTTCTTGACTTTCCTGACAATTTAAGCATCACATGATCACAATTCCCCTCCCATCCATTACTCACTCCAAGAAAAACAACAGTAACAACACCAAACCATAAACAAGTATTTGGGTGACGAGTCATTTTTATTTTACATACCTACAATACAATACATGTCAGCAGAGAAAAATGCACATGCTTCTCCATGTATAATTATCAGTCACACAGCCGTATATCAATCATACAGCCACCTTACGTCTCAAACTTATCTTGCGGATGGATTTCCCCCACAAAAATTGAATATTTATTTTACAAATTCAAAGGAAAAAAAAATAATAAACATGCTTGCTACATTACATGTCTATACAACTAATATTAAGCAAAGTACCTTTTATCTATATACATTGTACATTTCATATCAGGCACCACGCAAAATTGCCTCCTTTTTTTGGTAGGTTTTTTTTTGTTTTATATATTTTTCTCTTTGTTTTTTCAATAATTGTTAAATATAAAAAGCACTTATATGAACATACAATTTAAGTGCCCTCAACATTAATCCGAACCCCGCATGTGTCTGCATGCAGGCAAAAATATCAACACTCGTCAACAGTAGATATTAGTTGTCTTCAATAATTGATCTAGCCTAATTAATTACACAATGTGTGTCTGGTGGAGGTGCAACAACAGTTACAATGTTTACACAATTCAACGTTTAGTTACAACTGTAATCAAAGTCGGTGGCAACAAAATGCATTGTTGCCGACAAATTGAGCAGCAATCCGTCCACTTTCCCAATGACAAAATGAAATGAAGACACAGATTTCCTTTTATCAATCGCTTTGCGTGTCCAATTTTCCACAGACATTCATACAGTGGTATCTTTATTTTGTTACAACAAACTCCTTTGGACCATGAAAATATACTTCTCATTTTGAATCTTGCATATCAGAGCTAAAACACAATAGAATACAAACTGAAGGACATGTGAAACTACAATAAGACCTGTCTTGGTGGTTACCTCTCTACAAAGGCCACCTGTCTATAGTGGTTACCTCTCTATAAAGACCACCTGTCTATAGTGGCCATGCATTTCCTTCTATATTTTGTTACAGCTCTCTCAACAATACATAAACACAAAAAAGGTAAAAATATACTAAAGATACAGCAAAGGGCATTGGTATCAGTTGATGGCCTTGTATTCTCAAGCTGGAGTTCTAAGGTTGCGGTTTAGCCGTCACCCAAAAAGGGTAGCTGTAATACACAATGGTGAGACATTATCTACTCTTGTCAATTACTACCGGGTACATGGATAGGTTTACAGTATTGGTTGCCTTTGAGTCAAAACAGATTCTATAACAATGTATGATACCTTGAGTGCATATATTTTTCAGGAAAACATTAAGGAAGGAAGAAAAATATATGTGTGAATCAAATTATTGATCTCAAAAAACCATACAAAAGAAAAGCAAGAGATGAAATAACTTTGAGATACAGCTATGCAAATTGCCAAAGCAAAATTGTCATATAAACATTGACAAATGGATGTGTCAATGCTACTGTCCAATAACTTCTAAAAAGGCTTTTCCATAACAAGGAAAAAGAAATGGCAGCTAAATTCATTATACACATACACAATGCATTCAATTTCGCATCATTCAAGTGCTTTGTATAAAAAAATGCAGTAAGAACAGCGAGCAATGGAAAAAAGGAATATGTGGTCCGAGATACATTCCACAGAATCGCCCGTTGGTAGCTTTGAACATTCAGTGAGTCGCGTTTAATTCTGTGATAATTTATTTGTTGTCATTACCAGAACTCTTGATTACTGTTAACGTGATACATGAAAAGCAAAACCCCAGTTGTTGGATTTTCAGATTTGTCTTTTTTTTATAAGCTTTGTTCACTCATGAAACTGTACAATACCTCAAAATGGCCAAGGTAGCAACTAAAATGACACAGGTGCCATGCGCTTCACGTTTCTGGATCTTACAACACAGAAATAAATGACAATGCTTGTGGGGGTTTGCATGCAGCTATTTTTCTGTTTTCAAACCCCAACTTGCAGTTCATTTCATGAGCGCCAGCAGGGTAAAATCTGACTGACATGAGCGCTATACAAGAACCAACTATTATTATTATTATGTGTAAATTGGAATTGGCAGCTGTAGGTTTTAATGCTGTTTATTTGGCTTCTATTGGTAAATCAATAATGATAAATCACAATCGAATTTAGCAACTGTCCACCAAAAAAAGTATATTCTAATGAAGCATATTTTGAATGAAGCATTTCAAAATCCATGGCATCATGAAAGAGAGAACATTGGTTTCGCATTCACTTGAATTATGTACAGCAAGAGATATTCTGACACACACAAAAATGGTCGGAAATTATGTTCACACGACTGTCTTAATCATTTCCAAAAGGAGTATATGGCTACATGAAATAAAACGAGAATATGAATCATAATGACAACTTAGATACTAGCGTCAAAGCTACGCAAGGCTTCTCATTTGACTGTACAGCTAGATAACATCACACGCAAGAAAACAGAGAAATTTAAAATAATTATAATAATTTTTAATAGCATACAAAAAAATTGACAATTTCTCTGCGGTTGGGATGACAATGGGATGTCCTATTTGAATAGGAAAAAGAAATAAGAAAATGCATTCATAATCAAAGATTGAAAGTGACGAGTTGATTCTCCTTTTTTGGCAACTTAACTCTGGGCCCTAAAGAGCTCAGCAGGTAAATACATGTACAGTTAGATCTTAGTATTGAGAAATAGAGAAAGCCAAGCTGCAGGGCTATTTGTTGTTTATACATCGAAGGAAATATTTATTTCCTGCAACATTTTCACATTATGTAAGTTCTTTCCTCTTATTTTTAATTTGTCAAACTTCTAAACACACTCCAGTACATTAGACATGGAATGCTCCGTTTCATTTATTAAACATGCACATTCCACAAAATATCTACTGCACATTCATGCACAGTACATCAAAATTCCATCAAAATTCCACCTAAATACTGATTGGATATCTTTCTAGTTGAGACAAAGAATTGTGTTAATATCCAGCAATTTCCATTTCATTTGGAAAACACTGTACAATGCCCAAATTAGTTCACAAATATTAGATGATGCATTATGGTGTATATATATATATATATATATATATATATATATATATATATATTTTAATTAACTTCCTTCAGATGTTCATGCAACATTTCAAAAGATTGTATGTGAATAAATGAATTGTGAATGTTAAAGTTCCAGCAATCACATCCATAGGCTTTATTTCTGTTTATAGAAAATAAACAACATACACCATAACCTGTACTATTTCGTATGGGAGACTTGAACTGTCAAGCATCATCTCAATAACATTTTTAATCAAGCTTTGAGAAACAATGTCAAAAATCAAAATCAAATCAATCACTTTATTTATTTTGCAATTTCAATAAAAATCACAAACAAATTTGTATTAGAATCAAAATAAATATAACAGTATACTGCATTTGGTTTTAGATGGTAAAAATTAGAGTGCTATTCTGAATACTTGCACACTAACTCTTCATAATGTTGAGCTCACTACAGAAGACATCATCTTACGATTTGGAAAATTTGATGTGAAATGGAGAAATCATACGAAATACAAATTTACAGAAAATGGTCTTAACAGAGAGAGAGAGAGAGAGTGAGAGAGATAAATGGCTCTGTATGGGCCGTTGAATGCACAATGCAGAAACTAAGTATGTACACAAATCTACCGATATCCACATCCATGTTGGGAAGGACTTGTGGAGCGGGTCGCACAAGCCTAGCAGAAGTGGGTCCTAGAAATCATTACTAACCTGGAGAAGAACTGGAGAGGAAAAATACCCTCTAGGCTACTCTTACATCACGCCAGAGACAGCCCAAAGAATCTAATGCAGAACAGGTTTTCATTTGATAATTACATGTACATGTACATCCGCGGTTATTCGTGTTTGTGCGGCTATGAGGATGCTTCATCCGGCTTCTTATCAGAGCCCCCCTTTTCCTCTCGTGGCTTCCCGGTGCCGAAGATGTCCGACCTTCTGCTAGGTGGGCCCCCGACGGGTTCTTTGACAGTGCGCGGTGCCAGTTTGAGCTTGGGCCTGGCCGCTGATTCTTCTGCAAATCCACAAAACAATTAAGAGAGATGTGAAAGAGAGAGAGAGACAGAAATAGGGAGAGAGAGAAAAAGGGAGAGAGAGACAGAAATAGGGAGAGAGAGAAAAAGAGAGAGAGAGAGAGAATGAGAAAGAGAGAGGGAGAGGGTATGTTAATGAGAACAATGAATTAAAATAGTAAGGGCGATAGGAAAAATTTGTGACCTTTCTCATTTTAGTCATCTCTATATGAAAGAGTATCGTAGAAGCAATGTTGCATGAAAAAAATTGCTCTTGAAATGCATTCATATTCAACAAAAATCCGATTATAGTGTAAAATGCGCACCAAAGGCACCTATAACAACCATGTTCAAATATGACACGCCAAATTGGCGGCATTTTTTGTTGTTGTGATGACGTAAAGTCCAAAACACTTCCCATTACTTATAGCTTCTGTTGTACCCTATATGTGCACAGATATTTTATTTATGCTCACGGCACTTGTGTTGGTTACATGTATTGTGCCAGTGGTTTTTCTGAGGCAGTTATCCACATCGTGTCTGAAGAATGAGGATTACTACATACCTGCTGTGGGTTCTCTAAACTCCTGGGTTGGCCTACTACTGCTATAATCGTCTCTGCCGGTGCCTCTTCCCCTTCCTCCACCGCCACCGCCTCTGTAACCCCCGTCTCTGTTGTCATACCCATCGCGACCTCCACCGTAGCCCCCATCACGGCCGCCACCGTACCCTCCTGAGCCGCCGCCGCCGCCGCCACGGTACCCTTCGTCCCGTCCTCCTCCTCCTCCTCTCCTGTCATCCCCCCAGCTTCCACCTCCTCTTGAGTTATCATAGCCGCCTCCACCTCCTCCACGACTGTATCCACCTAGGAAGAAAAAAAGGAATAGAAAGTTTGAAATTAAAAAAAATCATTTCATCACTGGTATGAATTTTGAAAATAAAGAATTTTACAAATAGCAGGGATGCCAGTAAGAATTGATCAAAGGGCCGGAAAATCATCTAAAATGAGCTATTTTGTACACAAAAAAAGCCCTAACTATGGCCAGAAGATAAATCGCCCGGGCCTGAATTCAGGCTTTTGCCTGAAAACTGGCATCCCTGGAATAGAAATAATCATAAGCAGTTACAATATTTGGTAAACTCAAATTCAACTTATGTGCTCATGCAGGCACATAGGTTGTCTACTAATGTCTAGGCTACTCATAAGTTGTTTTTTTTCTTCTCTTAATTAGAGTGTATTTAAACTTGCAATATGCAAAGCTGATATCTTAGCTGTAGTATACCAACATGGGAGTAATACCTGTACCTTGTGATAGAAACATCTGATCCCGTCATAACATGAGCTATCATATATACATGAAACTGCAATGTGAATAAAACATGAATTATTCTAGATAGATTCATTTTAAATCATTTTAATTCATTTAAAAAAAAAAAAATCCACAATTTATGACAAACTAGAACATTATATATTTGATCTTTACCATCCCTTCCTCCTCTGTCGTAGCCACCTCTACCTCCACCTCTACCACCAGAATAACCTGAAAGAAAAAGGAGCACACCTAGTTATTCAGAGAAATAGAAATAATGATAAATTCCATATTCCACTTTTTCGTTTCACGTTAGGACTTAAAGCTAAAGTAGAGTACTGGTAAGGGAAAAGTAGTGATGACCCGACCGTTGCAGAAATTGATGTTAATTTGGTTTTTTCTCTGCAATTACAGAATTTCTTTCAAATTACTTTGGCAAGAGTAATTTATTTGTACTGCTTAACAATTGGTGTGAATTTGAATAGAAACTATTTCATTGTTTTTTTCACCATTACCAGAACTCAATCTCATATTTAATCACCACCACACCACCACCACCATCACCATCATCATTCTTATTGTGTTGTGACCTACCTCCTCTCTGTCCTTTATTCCTTCCCTGTGCAATGTCTACTTTGAGTTGACGGTCATCATAAATCTGTTCAAAGGAGTAGAAATGGTTAGAGATTTGTGACAGAGTTTGTGAGTTTTAGCAGAAGAGTTTAGCTTTCATTTACCTACATTCAAAACTTATAAACTAGGATGAAAGTTCCTTTACTTTCCAACAGGAGAACTCTAATTTAAAGTTTAATCCAAACTTTGTAATGAATTTTTCTCTGCATGAAAGAAGACAACTAAATAAAGAGAAACAGAATGGCAAAAGTTTGAAAGGAATCTGGCCAAATATAAGAGTCATGAATGATTGAAATATGAGATTATCAAATCTATGCGAATCTCAAATTAGCAGTTTGGTTGGTGGATTGTGACGTAGTCATGGACAAATTTCCCATTTGTTGTGTACCAAGATATCTTACGAACAAATTAGCCCTTTAAAGCTCATCTGTACTAGGTACAGGAGGGATTAGAGCACCCTGCAAGGTCACTGGACATGTGGTTATCTCATCAAATCAGCTCTCAATTAACATAAGAAAAAGAGGATCATGGGGGACTGATGGTCACAGATTAGACATTGTTTGTTATATAGAGGGCGTAAGTAGCTATAAGTAGCTATAAGTAGTGCAGTGGGCCTTTAAAAATCATGTCCCTACAGAAATATATTCTCTTACACAGTATATAAACAGAACGATTACATAAAAAACAAGGGTACAGAACATTACGAGTACATATGTACTTACAGCTCCATTCAATTTCAGGGCATCTTTCAACGACTGCGTATCCTCAAACTCTACGTAGCTGAATCCTGTAACGGACAAACATGATGCCACATCCATTTCAAACATCTAAGATCAAGTACAATTAGTCCTTTCAAGTTCCAAGACAAGAATTTTACATTCTGTAGTTTGGCTCAATAACTCTTTATTCAGAGCCCTAAATAATATACCAGATGCATACAAAGAAAGGGGCAAAAACTTCTGCACATATTGTGTCCACATTTGTTGGAGGACTAAATTGCATTTGGTACCAAGAATTTTTAAAAGGGAAATAAGATTTGAAATCCTTAAATTGGCCACATGCTGAGTGGCTCAAATCAGTTTTTTGAACAAAATTGGCAATTTTTAAACTTTTCAACAAAGCTCATAATGATGCATATTGTTTTCAGAGACAGGACGTTATGAGTTATTAGAACAATGCAGTAATGAAAGAAAAATACAATTGTTGACAATTTAAAGAAGAAAAGACTATTAATTTAACCCTTACAAAATTCCTGTTATAAAAGGATTTGTACATCATGAATGCTACATACATTTAAAGGGTGTATAATACATCAAGAGCCTATAGTAAAATGTTCCATGCCTGTTCCATGAGTTGAAAGTATGTGGCCATTTGAATAGTCTTTGTCTACAGATGGCACATTAGTGGAAACAGTGCAGTGTCTAATCAAGCCTTGTTAAAAAATAACTTGTTGCTTATAAATTTGTCATTAAAAGTCTAAGAATACTCATTATAAATGAAAACAAAACAAAAACTTAAAACAAATAGTCAATTTACAAATTGGATGATGAAGTTACATGTGCATTTCAACTCCAAATAATATTCTGGATTTTTGTAACTTTTCACAGCAGGATCGAGTAACGGTACCACATCAAAATTTACAATATGAATGAATAACTGTTACCTTTAAATTTGCCAGTTTCTTTGTCATGTACAAGGCGTGTGCTTTGAATCTGCAAGATCACAATCAAGAAAGACATTTCTTATTTTCTTTTAGTTAATTGAAGAATGAAACTATTTCAGACTATTTCGCATCCATGAGGAACAGAAAAATGTACATCCACTAGACAAATACTAATTTTAACACACAGGAACTGATTTATTAAAAAAGGATTAGGTTGGCATTCTGGAAGGTTTTTTACGGTAAACTTAGCTTTAAAAATTCAGTCCACTAATTTATGTAGAACCAAGAACCAGTATCAAACTGACCATTCCATATATATCAAGACTACAACAAAATCAGTAATTAAAAAAATGTATTATAAAATGCTATACAAATGTGACAATTATCATTTTGTTTTATTTCCATTTAAATTCTTAACTTATCACAATTTATGTATGGCCTAAACTTAGGCCCCTTTCAGGAATAATAGTTTGATGTTTCTATATGACAGTTTGACATCTTCTTAAGATAGCATTACAACCTACTTCACCTTAAATTAATATAATTCATATTTTACATTATAGAGACGTGATGTATAAAAAGAACTAAAAAATAATTACAGCAGACAAACTATATGTGGCAAAAAACAAGGCTATGCACAAAGATGGCCCTTACGCTTACTGGCTTAGAGTGTGTTGTGGGCACTTGTTGCCTTAAAGGTACTATGTCCCTTTTGCAGCCAACCTCAAATTCTGTAGAACTTTGCAGGAATTATGAATATGTCATCTGTGAAATTTAAACGTTAGCAGTGTCCTCATATTCAAATTATGCAAGGAAACCCGTTTACTTGCTAGACTTCACTGTCAGACACTATTGAGTGACTGACTGGTTATTTTTCTTCTTTGGAATAACATATATATGAAAAGAGTTGTAAAGGGTACATGAGCATTTGTCTACATCAATAACCCACTTCTTGTGATGGCCAAGATTAAACTGATTGAATCTTTGCGCAGCATAAAACGTATAACCATTCGGTACAATTGTCTGAAAATCAAGACTATTACTTTTGGGCTCTATAGCCCTAATGTCGATTTGACAACTAATAGTCATTATTTTCCACTTGAAGACATTTTCAAGCCCCACCTTTTTTAGGGAAGTTCTAAATAAGTATTATCTTTCAAATGCTGTTGGAATTTAACTTTTTCATTTTTGGGCCTGCAAATGGGACATAGTACCTTTAACGCAAAATACACACTACATGTATATTCACCACATTCAACCACATTTAATCATGGTTGTAGGAGGGAAAAAAACATACATTTCTATGAATTCTACCAACCACACTACACGGTGAGGTGGAAACTTACCTGCATTTCTGCAAATATGTGGTCCAGATCGCCCTGGACAGTATCATCAGGAAGGTTTCCTACAAAAGCTGTGAATGGGGGCTCAGTTGGGAAGGGAGCTGAAGGAGGCCTGCCCCCTCCTCCTCCTCCACCCCTTCGGTCGTTATAACCTCCTCCTCCGCTGTAGAAGAAGAAGGGTATACATTGTTTCACTTAAAGGTCATGTACAGCTTTGGTAGCAAAGTGGAAATTGGAAAGAAGCATTTAACAAAATGACATGTTTTTCTCCTTGTATCAAAAGATAGATGATCAAGATCATTTGGTATTTTATTTATAATTTCATGTGAATTGTAGTGTATAATTCTGGGAATGGAAGGAATATATGACAGTTATACACTCCGCTAAGCTAGGACCCTTCCACCCAAATGGCTCTCAGCACATCGGTAGCCTAGCAGAGCCAAGGTAATATTGGAGCGCTTTGAGCACCTTGCAGGGTGGAAATGTGCACTATATAAATATCCAATATCATTATTAATCTCAACTTTGCTTAGAGACAGCGTGTACATGTATGTCTAGACTGTAGTGTATTCATGCGGTTTTCAAATTACATATGTCTAGTACCATTGCAGTTTGTATTTATATTCAATTTCATTTATATATCAGGATGGTATCTAAATTATGTTTTACCTCTCATTATATTTGTTTTATATTTCAATTTAGGAGGGAAAAGATTCACAGCAGCTTAGTTTTGCTAATATCTTCTTCTTTATCATTTAAAATTAGAGAAATCTGATTAAAAAAATCTTTTAGAGGGCTTACAGAAACTGTATAAGAGCTTTAAAATAATCTTTAAGGTATTACAAAGTTTTGGGAAATTTTGAAAAATGGGTGGATAGTGATTCTTTACAATTTTGATATATTTGGATGCCCCTGTGGATGTATTAAAAACACCAGAAATTTTAGCCCCTAAAACACTTCTGCTTTCGAGAAAAATTGAATATAAAGATTTACCGGTGCTCCCGGTAAATTTTGATAAATTTCAAATAGCTTCTACGGCCGTTTAATGGTAGCTGCGACCATGAAAATCTCAGAGTATGCAGTTGTGGAATATAATTTCCGAATGAGAATAGCTAATCGTTCGATTTTAGTCAATAAACATTGTTTTATAGCTTAATTAATATCTTGACCTTGAGAGGGAGCTATTCAACATAAAATGTTTATTACTTACAATTTCATAACTTTAGAGTCGATTTTGACCGCGACAACGATCACTGAATATTGCAGGATCGTATATGCTTCCAATATGTTCATTTGAATCAAATTCATGACCCCATACCAAAACTTTGTATTGCCTTTAAGACAGTTCTGGTTAAGACAAAATCTCAACTCATAAAGAAAGTACAAGATTCATACTATAATAAATGAAATCTGCCAAACAAAATTCGAAAGAAATTTCAGATTAGCAGAATAAGCAGTTTGAGTGTACATGTAGAAGGGCATAATAGTTGTGCATTTGCAATTGTGAAAGATGCCCATATGTTTTTTTTTCTTCTTCGTTGTTTGTTTTTGTTGTTGTTTTAATTTATAGGCGTTTTTCATTCAGAAGTGAATATTTACGCCTCTTCTCTCAGGATTTTTATTCCTTTAAAATTAGATTTACTTTTTTTGATATATAGATTTGGATAAATTGGATTTTTAAAAGCTAAACTTTTATTTAATGATGAAGAATTCAGTGGCTGGCGAGCAAAAGGCTTATCGGCTATATAGGACGCCCAAGGACCAACTCGGACAACTTCAAATCCCCATCACTTTGTCTTGATGGACAGCCTTTTTTTCATAATTTGTTTTTTCTTCTCAATTAGGACACCCTATTTTAAGGAGACGCAATGGTAGAGCGGGCGGTCCCGGGTTCGAAAACAAGTCGATGCGCTAGTGCCCTTTGGTAATGCCATTAATCCTAACTACCAAGTCCCTTGGGGCTCGGAGAGGACTTAAAGACATCGGTCCCCTGGTTGCTTACTTACAAGCATACACATGCTTTCTTAGCAGTTGGGTAAAAAAAAAAACATCAAACCAAAATCATGGCTGAAAACTGCAACTCTAGACTAGACACTACATGTAGTTACAAAACATGCTAATGTGCACCAATGTATCTGTCTGTGCTTCTACATACTCCTCCTAGACTTCAATACAACCTCCGCTCTTCTAACGACCCCATGCTCCTCCGATTACCACGTATCAATTCAAGATCGGGGGAGTGTAGTTTCTTTTATTATGGCCCCAAAATTTGGAATACCCTCCCTTTCGACCTCCGCACCTCTCCCTCAGTTGAAATTTTCAAGAAAAAACTAAAAACGTACCTCTTCAATAAGTAAATTGTAATTCTAATATTTTTGTTTGTTATTATAATTACTCTTTTATACATGTATTATCTTGTGTTTACTATGTCATTATTTCTGTAAAGCGCTTCGAGCAATTCGTTGGATGTTGCGCTATATAAAAGACAATTGTATGTATGTATGTATGTATAACATCATTGGCGACGTTAACAGACTTCTCTTTCACCTTCTGATTTAACAGAAAATATCCTTCAAAAAGCATTAACCACCATGAATATTTGTCTTAGATGATTCATGAAATATTGCTTGTTATGTAAAATTATTCAGTTTGCTGTTTTTGTTAATGTTATAACTTATAAAGTTTTATATCAACTGTCCAGACACACATCTGGGTAGTGGGTTTACTAACTTTACTTTGACTTTGTGGTGCATTCTACACACTGTTTTTTCGCAAACATACATTTGTACTGCTGTTCAGCGCCTCATGAATAACAGACATAACTTTAATAAGCAGTAGGGGGCGCTGGTCCGAGAATAAGGACCGTCCGCATAAACGAGTATATCTTGGTAAATGCATACTAAAAAATAATGTCCACGTTTACAAAGATATCCTATTTCATTCGGACGATCCTTATTCTCGGACCGGCGCCCCGCCCCTACTCACCAGTAGGGGCGCTGACGCGCTGGTCCGAGAATGAGGATCATCCTCACAAACGAGGATATCCTCGTAAACATGGACAAAATGTGTCCTCAAAAATAAGGATCGTCTGCATTTTCGCAGACGTTTTTCTCATCAGCTCTCATCGGCGCTCTGCGGGTTTCGGGCTACCGAACCGCCCACTGGCGATGCGAAAAATGGATTTCGTGTCAGAAAATAACTCTAGTTCACCTTCTACTTTATGGGTTGTCCGTCTTCCCGAGGATTTATCGCTCATAATGTGATGTCTCTGTACTAAGTCAATGTAAAATGCATCAAGAAAATCATTGTGGAATCCGTACTTCGCATCGCCAATTCGCCATTCAAAAATATGAAACGTCTGAAAAAAACGTGGACGATCCTTATTTTTGAGGACGCATCACTCTGTGTTTACAAAGACGATCCTCGTTAATGAAGACGCTCCTTATTCTCGGACCAGCGCCCCAACTGCTGATAAGAAGAAGTTCAAAATCAAAGACATCCCTGGAAATGCGTGTTATAAATGAATGAATTGTGCAGGGCAGCTGCAGCGCGGGGCACAAACTGCATGAAATTCATGAATTACAGTGTCAGTGCAATGGCAATACTACACACACACACTGACATACACACATACTCGACACGAGTAACATACTGAAGAATAAAACGAACATTTACTAATTGGCCCCATATCATATGACAAATTTAATGGGTCGAAACAAAGCAATATAATCAGGGATTAATTTGATCTACATTCTAGACATATTTACCCTCCATATCCACCACCACCGCCTCCGGAATAACCTCCTCGTCTATTGTCACCGTCGTAAAAATTCGACATTTTGTACAAGTCTCAATTTGATGTTGCCAATTTTGTAATAAAAGACATAATATTTTGATGACGCATACACTATAGAGAAAAATATTTGATATTTAATTATTACAATTAAAAGTCTAATAACTTAGCAAGATTCGCTATTATGATAATTAAGCAGACTCTATATTGCAATTACACAATTTATTTCAGTTAAATGTATGCACTAATTTGCATATTTAGGGAAGATGGCTGCGAGTAGACCACATGTCGATGTCAGAGCTAATGGAAATGAAAATTCGACAAAATCGCCTGCTGACAAGCAGTTCTTAGATACTTTTTGGAAATTGGCAGTTCCATCAGATAATGAACGGATATCTGGAGCAACAACTTTGCTACAAATTCTGATAAAGAAACAGAATGAAACCAAGGAGGTGAGTAATTTGCCAATGGCAATGAATGGGAATGCTGCGTGGTACTTTAACATACGTCGCACGTGGTGGGGCGGCTGGACGCAGCGCGCGGCGGAGCTGAGTTACCATACAGCCCAGGTTACATAGGGCCGAGCCGCACCTTGCACCTCGTGCGTGCTCTGACTGAGTCTGAAACCAGTAGGCTACCACTAGATTCAGAAAATTAAATTTAGACAGCGCTAGTTGATCAAATGAAAATATGATTTTGATGTCATCTAGACGTAATTGCCATCGGGGGGGGGGGGGGGGGGGGGCGTCACTCATTACGTGATTATCATGATTATTAACATTGCTGGCTATGCCTAGATCTATGCCCTCGCACCCACGTCCAAAAAAAATGTTGAAAGGGTGTCTTTTTCAGCTAGGCCTATATTATAGGCTACAGCGTCATCGATGTTTTCCTTAAAAAGGGGTGACTGATCGCACAATAACCACAGAAAAAAATGTAATTTCGGAAAAGGTGCGATACGCCATTAGCAGAAGGGGGCACTTGTCCGAGAATGAGGATCATCCTCAGGAACTGGAACATCAGACGCCAAGTTCAAAGTAGGGTGTCTGATCGCGCACCCGATGTTGTGTGCTAAAATTTTTCCCATAGACATTACACGCATCCCTATGCAGTCTTCGTGCATTGCGCGACCATGCAAAAAAAGTCAAATTTTTTTTTCAATTCGAGATTCAAACCTTTATCTGTTGTGATCCTGAAGGTGATAATCATTAAATGAGGTGTCATATGAAAGAGCAGGTGAATTCCAATATTTCCAAAGGGGCGTAGCCCCCGAAGTTCTAAAAATATCTTGGTCAAAACAGCAATTTAAACATTGTGTCCTGGCTAACTCTGAGGTTTGTCACTTTTGAGATATGACGCCCCGGTCGATAAGTAGTCCCAGTCCTAAGGAACAATTCTATGTGCTTATATTTTCGCTAGCCCCCAGGGATCACAACTGATAACAGTTTAAAAATACCCTTCTCGCTATTTGGTGGATCAGCTAATTAGGGGGCGTGCGCTCCGCTCAGTCCAAACCATGGTTACATCGCGTAACATCTCCGCGTACGAACGAAACCCCAATGAAATTATGGTTGGCCATTCGCGCGATAAACCCGGAAGTGAATTAGGCCTAAAGTGAATACACGTTATAGTCAATGGCAATATCGCGGAGACAACGTGGCTCAAGCTGCAAGTCGCGCATTGGCTTAGCAACATGCGTACTATATGCATACGCTTGCATATCGCGCGATACAGCTGTTTGTCTGAATTTAGCAAAACAACATCACTCTGGACGTCTTTTTCGTCGATTTTGACCAAAATGATATGAATATACCAGCGTTTTGGAGGGGCTGTAACTTTTGATAGAAACATCTGTGAGACTTGAAATTTGAAATGTATTATTCTGATAACATTTTTATTCAAATATCAAACAAAAATGGTGAAAAACGATCCCAAATTGAAAATTGAAAAATCGTTCAGACACCCTATAATCAAAGATCAGCCAGTCAAGCGTGACATTTTCATGACGCAGCACTCGCGGTTGAGGGTATACACCGATTCGGGCGACTTCTGGTGGAAGTGCGCCCTCATAAGGTGACGCCATAACTGGGGGGCGTCTGACTGCAGCTAGCTAGCTTACATTGCATTGCAGCGCATGCAAAAGCTATACCTATACCGAACCTCGCCCAGGCCGGACAGGGTCGCTGCTCCGCTAGCTAGTAACCGCTCTTGAGCTCTCTGTACTGTCAGCTGGATCGGAGAAGCCCCCCAGTTATAGCGCCGCCACCGGCGGGCAGGTACATAAAACCCCCAAACCGAATCGGTGTATAGCATAGATTTCGAAATCGTGACCCTGAAAAGGCTGAATGCGTGACGTCAGGCATGATAATGCTAACTCCAGGAAGCTACAACGCAAAAGTGGTCGTAGCTTCAGAGGGTGAACAGGAAAGCGATTTTAACAGGATTGGGCGACATCTCAAAATTGCATATTATGTGATACTTTCGCCCAATCTGCTGTTTAAATCACTTTCCTGTTCACCTTCTGAAGCTCCGACGCCGAAGGAGTTAGCATAATGCATGACACTTGATAACTCCGGGTAGCTCCGACGCCGATGCCGAAGGCGTCGGAACTTCGGGTGGTGCACCAAAAAACATTCTAACAGCGGGTTGGGCGAGATAATGTCGCCCAACCTGCTGTTAGAATGTTTTTTGATGCACCACCCAAACCTCAAACGCAAAACATCTGGATCAACACAACATTGCAAACCATGGATTATGATGAGGTGAAAAAGAAATGAATGGAATGATGACACTGAAACACATGTATGAAAGCATTCAAAACTAAGAAATATCAGCCAAAAGAGGGCGGGGAAAAAAGAAAAAAACATTAAAAACTGAAAAATATCGGCCCAAAGAGGGCGACAAAAAAAAGTTCAAAAAAAAAACTTTTCCAACCAACCGACCCATGTTTTGGCACTTAAAGGGCAATGCAACAGGTTTTTATTTTTAGGCCTACCGTATTTGCCGGCGTAAAGGCCGCACCGCCGTATAGGCCGCACCCCCGATTTTGACATTAAAAAAAAAAAAATCGTTTTTTTTTTTGTTTTTTTTTTGTTGTTGTTGTTGTTTTGTTGCCGAAAACCCACGCGGGGAAGGACCTTCATTTAACATCGAGGTGCAGTTAAAGGCGCTGATTTGTGCTTGTAAACTTGTCACAAAATAATAGTAACAATGTCGTTTTTAGAAGAATGTGTAAGATCATTAATGTGAATTAAAAACAAAAGAGTACTAGGTCCTAGGATAGTACCTTGTGGTACACCATTTGTTATATAAAAAAAATTGAGGAATTATTATAATAAACTACATATTGAGATCTATTAGAAAGACTACTTTCAAACCAAGATGACAGACAAATTTTAGTGTTGTTGTAGTTTCCGAGTGGTGAGTCAACACTGATTACTGAGCTGGGAGACATTGCCAGGCATAGCGCCATAAATCAAAACTAAAAAAAAAAAAAAAAACTTTTTTTTTTACTCTTTCGCCGCATAGGCCGCACCCCGACTTTTTGATATTTTTTCTTCCAAAAATACTGCGGCCTATACGCCGGCAAATACGGTAATGTGAAAGTATCTGTGCAGAGAGAATGTAAAATGCATCAAGAAGAAGCATGCATTGCGAAATCTGTTTTTTGCGTTGCCAATGCCCGGATCAGAAATAAGAATCGTCTGCAAAAATGCGGACGATCCCTATTATTTAGGACTCCTGTCTGCGTTTATGGAGACGATCCTTATTCTCTGACCAGTAGAAGGCGCTGGTCCATGAAAAATTGCCAGTATGCTCGCCACTGATGCAGCCAATTTTTTCTTGGCACACATGTACACGTAAGTTTACGCAGCATATAAACATCGTTTCGTAAATCAAATCACCTAGATATTTCATATGCAGGTAATCAATCAATCAATCAATCATGACCACTATGAGAGACACCACACCACAATATCCTTGTTTAGTTGCTGAAAAGGCTTTTGACGAGTACCAGCATAGCCGTAGACGTAGATAAATATTATCTCAAAACATAATATTTGAAACTTGACTCGCGTTCCTTCATTGAGATCCGACGCATTGAATATGTAATCCATCTTCGGTTGCTCGTGGCCTGGTTGTGATCATCATGCAAAAAAATATCAAGAACGAGACTAAGTGGAATTTCCCCACGTCTCGATGGATTACCCTATTCATGATGTAAGTGCTAAAAATAGCAGCGCTATAGCGATTTGAACAGCCCTGTCTATGCTATTAGCATGCAACACATACTGAGATCTCAAGATGTGGAGAAGGGATTCAATTTTAACATTTATTTTCAAATTATTTCATTTTTGTTTTTGTGTACTTCTCTTTTGTCAGGATAAGTACTGTTCAGAGGTAACATACAGCTTGAGAAGACTAGTCAGAGGCTTAGCATCATCAAGGAAAGGAGCTAGACAGGGGTATGCAATAGCCCTCACAGAGGTAAGCTTACAAGTCTTATGCCTCGTTCAGATATGATGCGGCAAAACTGCTGCGTTCTTTTCTTCTTCTTTTTGCATGATGGCAAAGTATTAAGTCGCTTCAGATTTTCAATCTTATAAAAAACAGAGCTCAGTGTTTATATGCAAGAGCTTTTAGCTCGCAGTTGCCATTCTTTTAATCTTTTAGATGTTTAAAAAAACAAAACAATTTGGAGCAGTTTACCTTGTCTTATCTGACAGAGCTTTTACTCGTGAGAAACAACTTTGCATTCAAAAGTTGAGCAGTTAGTAAGCTGTATTTATGTTTTCAAATGTAAATTGGTCGACTATTGGTGGACTTCCTTCACTTATTGGCTAGCCTAGCTTGATATTGGAGCGACATGAGCACCTGGAGTGGTTGATATGAGTGCTATAAAAATATAATTATTATTTTGAAATTTGGGCAAATATTTTTTGTTATGGTCTGAAATGATGACCCACCCCCCCCCCCCCCCTCATTCCCTGTATAAAGGCCCGGTCACACAGCCCTCCACGGGAGTATCGCGGCCGAATCACGGTCAAAAATTTCTGCCCGTGAAGCAGACGCTGTTGGACGCTTTGAGGTCGCGATAAAGACACGATACAGCCGTACTTTACCCGTCGTTACACGCGGTAAGAAATTCACACGCGGTTGGCCGCGCGAAAAAGTTTTGGGCTGCCCAAAAATTTAGACCGCGGGTAATCGCGGGCGGTACACGTGGGTACACGTGGTACACACGCGGTAAAGACGCGGTACAGACGCGGAACGAACGTGCTAGGACGTGCTACGGCCGCGGTTAAGACGTGGTTACACGCGGAATTGGACGCGAAATTTAAGCGGGTAATCGCGGGTGGAGCACGGTCATAGCACGTTTGTTCCGCGTCTGTACCGCGTTGTTATCACGTGCATTAGCGTGTGTACCGCGTGTAAGTGTGGTAGGCCGCGGTACCGCCGCGCTTCACCCGCGATAAGGACGCGGAACAGTCGCCGGCGTCTGTTCCGCGGGCATACCACGGGTAAACCGCGGGTAAGCCAATTTTGCACATTTTCCACCACGGGCAACCGCGGGCAAAAAAAAAATCGCGAAATTTTACCCGCGATACAGACGCGAAAGGCTGTGTGACCGGGCCTCAATGAAGAAACTTTTATAATGATTAGCATAGCAACACTGAAAATGTTGATATTTGTATCAATTCATTCATTAAATTGGTTTATATCACCACTCTACCCCATACCCCAAAGAAAAAACATGCAATCATAAAGCTATGTGTGTAATAAAAGGATGTCTGTTTATTTTATTTTTTTTAAATTTCTTCATACTTTTCAACATGTAAAGTCATTTTCTCTCCTTTTTAAATTGTCTCATTTTCCAGCTTCTCTCTAAGGTGAAAGAGATTGCTTTGGAAGATGTCTTCAAGCTCATGAAACAAGAACTGCAGGTGTCTGGAAAGAAGAGTGTAAGCCCGACTGTACCCATGTTGACTCCCGGCAAATAACATGTCGTAAACCTCTTATCAGCTTCTTATAGTTACCGTAAATCTCCGTGTATAAGGCGCACCCCTATTTTTTTGGGCGGGGGGGGGAATCTTTTTTTTTTTTTTTTTTTTTTTTTTGGTTGTTGTTTTGTTGCCGAAAACCCACGCGGGGAAGGACCTTCATTTTACATCGAGATGCAGTTGAAGGCGCTGATTTGTGCTTGTGAACTTGTCACAAATAATAGTAACATGTCGTTTTTAGAAGAATGTGTAAGATCAGTAATGTAAATTAAAAACAAAAGAGTACATATGATACCAATGGTGCACCTTGTGGTACACCATTTGTTATAGAAAAATATATTTGAGGAATTATTATTATAAACTACATATTGAAATCTATTAGAAAGAATACTTTCAAACCAAGATGACAGACAAATTTGAGTGTTGTTGTAGTTTCCGAGTGGTGAGTCAACACACTGATTACAGAGCTGGGAGACATTGCCAGGCATAGCGCCATAAATCAAAAAAACAAAAAAAACAAAAAAATTCTGTACCTGTGTATAAGGCGCACCCCCGACTTTCAAAAAAAATTTCGGCGGCAAAAAAGTGCGCCTTATACACAGAGATTTACGGTATTAAAAAAAATTGACCCGAATCAAAGTATACATGCAAGAATTTTGTTCTCTTCCTTGATTTTCTAGATGTTTGTTTACAAAATTAATGTTTTTCATTGAGAATATTTGGTGATATTAGACATGCTTAAAATATGATTATGATTATTATTATTGTAGGTAATATTTCTTTCTTGCAACAAAATCTTGAGGTTGGATTTCAAATAAAATATTTAAAAAAACAAATACATGACAATGGTAGAAATAATTTACACAAATGTATCGGCATCTCTCATTCTGCCTTCAACACAACTTTTACACATTGTTTATCACCAATAATGATGAAGAAAGTGTGTAAGGTGCCCATTTATGCAGTATTAATACCACGGGACACTTGAATTTGATCAATTTATATAGAGTTCATGGCATTCTAATTTCACTAAACTGAGTGATGTCAGTCAATACTATGATTCCACTGCCATGTGTGGATTTCACTTGTTACATGTAAATCTGATACTTGGGTGAGAAGATCTGTCATTTCTTTCTTATTCTGTATTCCACACCACAGGAAGAGAAGGAGTATGCTTTTGGTCAAGTCTTTGCTTATCTTGCTGTCATCCAGAGTGGGAGGCTGAATGAGGTGTGTATTCATATAGAGGGGTCTGTATATCGCAATGGCATAGCTATAGTACATATAAACTTTGAAATGTGGTTATATTTAAGTATGAAATAATGGCAAATGAAGTGTTTCCAGAGATTCGTTCCACTGATTATTTAAGCAAGAACGTGTATGACGAAGGCCCAGATACACTGAAACCTGCTGTAGCAACATCATGTCTAGAAAGACCAAATGTTTGGTTTTCCCTTGAAAAATGTTTCCCATAGAAACACACGTAAGAAACATGTATTCAAGGAACCTGTACATGAAGACCAACTGCTCATGAAGATTACTTTTCTTGTCTCCCTTGAGTGGTCTTAATCTACATGTTTCTCTGTAAATGGAGAGGTACTACCAATTTCAAGAAACATTTCCCCATGCTAAGCGTTATTCAGTGGTCACTGCTGTATGGCTAAGGATGTGTCTACTAGAGCCTGCCTTGTCCCAACAGGGGCCAACACCCCTCAACTTTCATTGACATATTAATCAAGACCCACCAGTCTCAAAATAAATACATTCCCAAAAAAAAGCGATGGAAAACTTGAGTGCCGCTGCAGTGTGGACACCAGAATACGGCCGTCATGTGATGAAGATGATGATCACGACCGTATGTCAATTTTTATGTATATGTTTCTTTTCAGCACAATGGAGCCAGTTCTGTTCACATCTTGGAGCAGCTTCTTGCCTTGTCACAGCAGAAGACCTATCTTCAGTTGATCTGCCTGCAAGGGGTCATTGACCTCATAAAGAGGGTAAGTACTGCTAATGTAGTGGTCTCTGATATTTAACATTTTGATTTTTCAAGGTGATGCAACATTTGCACCTGTCACAATAGAATTTAGGGAATTCGGTAAATGGTAGAACTCTCTTACTAAGCTACTGTTGCTTGAATATTAGGGGCTTGGGGCTTTATTTCATCAAGGATGCTTCATTATTTCTTGGGTAGCGATTATGCTTAAGATGATCTTGGTTAGGATTTGTTTTCAGAACCCAAGCAGAGTGCTGACATTCTCAAAGTAAGGTTTTTTTTCAATGCACATTTCATGGCAGATTTAGGCAATTTGTTATTATAATTGATGTGAAATCGCAGGTCAGACCTGAACTGTCTGCTCCGGGTTGGTAAATCAATGACCAGCCCGGCGTTCCCACTGCGGATATTAAACTCATCTGTGCCGCTATCTTTGCAACCTGATAATGTGGTTGCTTCGACGACGTACAGATACAATTTTTTTCAAAACTTATCAATGTTATCATATCTTTAAGAAAATATATAATTCTAGTGCAAAACTCTTTCGACTTCAATTTCTTACTTAGCAATTTTTGCCTGGACATTCTCAACTACCCCCCAATTCATGTTATAATCTATTGTTGTTTTTCCAACACTTTTAGTCATCGGCTGAGCTGTTTACTGATCACATCTGGCCTGTGCTGAAGGCTGATATGAAGCAAGGATGGGAGGAGGTCTCTCCCAACAATCTAGCCCTCCTCATGGTCTGCAGACAAAAATTCCCCGTAAGTTGCTCGGATTAGGTTGTTTTCTTGGTTTATTTTAAACTGGTGAAAAGTTTGAATGAAGTAAAGCAAAAAATGAGAAAGTTGTGATTGGAAGACTTATGATCAATCCAGATCAGTCGCAAATCTTTGTAAAGACAAGGCCCAAGTATTAGAAGTCCTTGATAAGAAAAATTTTGGTTTGGGTTTCCATGGAAAATAATATGATTTTATTGACATACCGTTTTCATAATTTTAAAGGATTTTTTGTTTTCTTTAGCCCAATCTTATCATAAAGGTTATATAATGGTTATATCATATTCATAAAGTATATGTGAATCAACATATTGACAAAAATGTTTTTCAATCCCAATCTTTGTCCCATATATTTAATAATATGTGGTCTTTACTGATGTTGATAACAATTTGCTGATATGAATCTGATTGATAACAGTAATATAAGCAATTTTCCTGATTGTTGTTCATTGTAGGATGTCGTGAAATCCAAATTTCTTCAAAGTCACTATGGTCATGCCGATCTGGTTCACCCAAGCAACTTCAGCCACATCATAAGGATCCTCACGGTAAGTAGGAGGGAATCAGGGGCTGTATTCTAACAACGATCTGGTCTTTTATGTAAGACAGCGTTAAATGTCATGATAAATTGCACAGATTTAGCATTCTCTCTACAATTTTTTGAAGTATTGAATTGACTCTTACATTCTCCCCCTTGCTTTCTTCTTATTTCTTACTTTCATCCCTTTTATTTAGCTCCTTCTTGCTTTTTCCCTCTCTTCCTCATTCTCCCTCCATTTCTCCCTCACTTAGTGCTGTTTTAGCAGACCCTCTAATTTATCCTAAGGTCAGTGGAAACTTATAGCTACTCAGGGTGTTAACCCTTACTGTACTGGGCTATTTTGAGCACCCTCTGACTGGAGCACCCTATGATCTCGGCCGTCGAATGTCCGATGAACACAAAAATTTGCATATTTGTAGATATTTACGTAAGGAACAAGATGGTATAATTAGTTTTTTCCTAATATGCAAATTTTTGTCCTTACAGCCTAATTAATTATGCAAAATGCTAATTTTATGCATTTTACAGAAAACGCTACATATTTGTCCGTAGACTTGTGAAGAATCTTGAAAATGAATTTAATAAATGTTTCCTTCATCTCAAATTCATGAGGTTTCATTATTTTTATGATATTTGAAAATGCATAGGTTAATTTGCATAAATTATGAATATGCAAATTACGCATTCATGAATATCAAATCAGGAACTATATTAAGGGAACTAGAATCATTACAAAAATTGTCAGACTCCACTTTTTGAATGTTGAAACTCATTATTCATATGACTTCATATGAAACACAAAATAGTTATTTGATGTGATTAATAATGATAATTTATGCAAATTTGATGCGATTTTCAACTATTTATTTTCTTATGTATTTTATTGTTTTTTATTACTTATTATATCTATTGTTTTATTTCTAATGTATTCTTTTGTTCTGGAATACATCAAGTTACTCTGAGAAACATATAAAAGCAATTTCATATCAATTCATATCTTCACATTTCTGCTTGTACATGAATATATGCAATTATAGCACTTTTTTGATTGACATGCGCATACTAATTGTTATGTAACACCTTACAGGTATATCCGATTTTGACGAAAATGGTATCAAAATGTGCGCAAGACTCGAGGGAAAAAAGTCATGAAACGACAATTCAAAATTCCAAGCGGTTGCGGCGCGATCTCCGAAAATGTCGAGGGGGGGGGCCTCCCAGGCCCCCCCCCCCCCCCAGTACAGTAAGGGTTAATGATGTTCTTATTTCTACAAATTGTACGGCACTGTTAGAGCAGACCCACTACCTGAAAAACACCATAGGTAGGGGGCTTGTATGATGTGCTAGAGTAAAGGGTATGTTTCATTACGCTCAAACCTCACACCGCCCTCTGTGGTGGAGTGAAGGCTATGAGACCTGCCCACATGTATGTATCTTGCAGAGCCAATGAATTGATTAAAATTGGGGGGATTACAACATTGGTTCATCTAACACACCAGTCATGATGAAATCATGCATATTCAACCAATGATCCATACAAAAAATGTCTTCCTGTATTTAGGAACTGTAAGAGGCATTGATCCGGGGTTTTTTTTTGTAATACAATTTTTTTCAGTAAAATACAACTTTTAGGATTAACAAATAGTTTTTGTTACTCTAGAGGTTGGCAGGTATGAAAGCCCCTGCTACATAACAAAACTTTTGATGAACTTCTTTGTGATTTCACTGTTTTAATTTACAGAAATCAACCCTTATCAGTCATCCCATTGTCCACCCAGTGTGTGATATGTTGCTGGCTTTGGTTTTCCAGGATTCCTCCAAAGTGATTCAGTTCTGGAAGATTGTTGTAGATGGTAAGCCCTCCTCCCTCCCCCCCCCCCCCCTTCAAATTATACTGTAATTATGACATCAAATGTACCCTGGCTTTGGCTGAGTTCCCACGATAAAGCCATCAAGCTTTTAGGGCAGGTATTATTGTGTACTGGCTATCCATGCTCTCTTGAATATTAAGTAGTTATGAGTACCTTCAACGTACTTTCTTTTTAAGTGTCACCTTTTAAGGACAGTAGTGCTCTGGTTGATATTCAAACCCAAACTCTGTGATTCACAGTCTGCTGACTCGAGCACGAGACCATTGTACCTCTTTGAATGTAGATAAATCGCAGGTCAGACCTGAACAGTCTGCTCCAGATTGGTATGTCAATGACCAGTCTGGCGTTCCCACTGCGGACATTGAAACATCTGATTGGTAACTGCAGCAGGGTAGTCTTCCTCCCATTCACCTGCTATGATTGACAGACCACAGAAATACAATTTTACTGAAATATTTCTCTAGTGGTGCAAATTCTAAGTATTTGGCAATTTAATGTCTTGTAGGTTACTAGGTATGTGGAAAGTATTAACATGAATTTCATAAAAAGTGTCATTTTTCTCAATATTTGGTCGGACCTGGGTTCTAGAGAGGCTTTCAAACAATTTGATACAGTCATCAGGAGTTGTCAAATCTTTGATGTAGACTGTATCATGAAACATCTCGTACCCGACATTGTCAGTAGTTATTTAGATGTAGTCTAACGTACTAAATATTGGATAGATATTTATTAAAAAATGACATTTGTTACCAGTTGATATAATTTGTTTTTATGTAGATGGCCTGTGCACCTCCAAACACGAAACAAAGTACTTGGCATTTTCCTTGCTGGAACGAGCCGTTCCACTGAGTGAAGCCAAGCAACTGAGGGCGCTGTTCAGCGAGAAGCTTATCCGCAGTATGATCAACAACCTGGCTAACAAGCAGGCCATCCTGCATTCTGCTGCTGTCAAACTGGTAAATAGACATCTAAAATACAGTCAAACCTGCTTTAGTGACCACCTGTCTACAAAGGCCGCATTTTTTGTTTCCCTTGAAAATGGTTTCTCATTGGATCATGTACTACAGGAAGCTGTCTACAAAGGCCACTTTTTGTGTTTCCCTTGGGCGGTCGCTATAGACAGGTTAGACTGTATATTGTTGAATGCGAGTCTTGCATAATGTTTTTCCAACAGCAATTTGATGTCTATGGGTTCAGGTACATGAGCAAAATTGGGCAGTTGTAATCTTTATTGTTTGCTGTGATGTATGATGGTCTTTTTAGCACCGTAAGGGCATGTATTATCAGATTTGTTATGCCTCCGTTACGAAGTAGCCGGAGGCATTATGTTTTTGGGGTTGTCTGTCCGTCCGTATGTACGTCCCATTTTCATGCTCGCGTTATCTCAAGAACCTATTGATGGATTCCTGCATGTATCAGGAGACCCTCTAATTTATCCTAAGGGTAGTGGAAACTTATAGCTACTTGGGGCGTTAATGATGTTCTTATTTCTACAAATTGTATGGCACTGTTTTGAGCAGACCCGCTACCTGATAGACACCATAGGTAGGGGGCTTGTATGATGTGCTAGAGTAAAGGGTATGTTTCATTACGCTCAAACCTCGCACTGCCCTCTGTGGTGGAGTGAAGGCTATGAGACATGCCCACATGTATGTATCTTGCAGAGCCAATGTATTAATTAAAATTGGGGGGGGGGGGGGGGTCACAAGGACAAAGGTCACAGTGCTCATTATGTATGCATAAATAGCTTGTGATCATATCATTAGAACCGATGGACAGATTACCATCAATCGCAGGACATGAATGTATCTTGCTGAGCCAATGAACTGATTAGATTTTGGGGTCATGAGGTCAAAGGTTAAAGGGGAAGTCCACCCTGAAATTAAGTTAGTTTTAATAGGAGTAGAAAAATGAGAGAAACAAGTCAGTGAAAGTTTGAGCAAATTCCGATTAAAAATAAGGAAGTTAGGATTTTTGAAGTTGTGATCAATCAAACACAAATTGGCAACTCTATGACGTATCGTGCGAGCTCAACTTCCATTTGCTCAGTACTAAAAAAATCTAAAATTTTCATTTTCCCTCAAGAAAAATTTCAACCATACATGCACCCTAAATATAATAATTGCAAATATGTTTCTATACTCCCCCTGCAAGGAACAAATATATATTCCGTCATCAATAACGAAGAAAACATGATTTTATGGAATATTATGCACAAAGCAAATGAAGGAGAGCTCGTATAATAAGTCACAGAGTTGCCAATTTGTATTTGATTGATCACAACTTCAATAATTCATAACTTTCTTATTTTCATTCAGAATTTGCTCAAACTTTCACTCACCTGATTTTCTTATTATTCTGCCTCTATCGAAACAAACTTATTTTGGGGGTGGACTTTCCCTTTAATGGGGCTCATTTTATATGCAAAAATAGCTTGTGATCGCATCATTATTAGAACCGATGGACGGATTACCATCAAACTCAAGACATGTATGTATCTTGCAAAGCCAATGAACTGATTAGATTTTAGGGTCATAAGATCAAAGACCAAAGGGTCATACATGTATATAAAAAATAGCTTGCAATAATGATATTCTGCAAACCTGTTAATGGATTACAATCAAACTTGAATTTGAAAAATTGCTCTATGGCGGAGGCATCATTTTTGACTGCGAGCACTCGAACATCCATCTAGTTTGTTTTTTTCAGGGGGTTGGGGTTGGCTAATGGGCCACCCTGCCTATAAATAACGTCCCAACCTCAATTTTTCATCATATCGAATTGTGTAATGCAGGCGAGACCGCCAAGAGCGTTTCCCATGTTTTCTCCAACATTTTGTCCCAGATGATGTAACATGATGTGAGGAAATGATTAGAATGTTAAAAGAAACAAAATCACAGGTATCACTTCATTGTGTATAGGCTTGTCCATGATCGAGTAAAGCCCACTGTACGTTTACGTAGGTGAAGTTTTACACCAGTATCTCTCTTGTTCTCCTTTTCAAATGTTCTCTTTCCTCTCTACCTTCATCTTTCACGTTTCCCATCTCATTGTTTTCTTTCTTCTCTCCACAGAGTGAGAATCTAGCAAATGCTGTAAAGAACATTGAAGATCCGATGGTCCAGTTCGCCGTCGCCAAGTGCCTGTTGTCGAGACCAGGACATGTTAAGTTTGATGATATCACCAAGTCAAAGACTGTCTACTCTATCATCAGCAACGTGAGTCAAGTTTTTAAAAAATTCCCTACCAAAATGATAGCAAATTGAATTCATCTGCAGCATGAAAATTATAGCAATTATTGAGTAATGCTGTGAGAAGATTCACCAAAGAATAAAGTTATTTTTGTGTTCAATTTTTATTTTGAAACAAATGTAGAGTTGCTTGCAAGTGGACTATAGAGTTGCCAATTAATACAGAATTATAAAAAAATTATCATGAGATTTTAACCATGGTGATATCTCAAGGTAAACTTTACTTCTTTATCTGAGGCGATGTCTATCATTCTCATTTGATGGGATATGAAATTAAATTGAACTTTTTACTTCAGAGCTAGATCGCAGGTCAGACCTGAACAGTCTGCTCCTGATTGGTACATCAATGACCAGTCTGGCGTTCCCACTGCGAATATTAAACACAATCTGTGCCGCTATCTTGGCAACCTGATTATGTGGTTGCTTCGACGACGTACAGATACACTTCCCAATCAGATATGTTATAGTCATTTTAATAAATTGATAAGTGTCCCATAGTTTGTCTGAGTTCTCACTAGAAAATGTTGGCATTTTATATTTTACCCATCAATTAGCCTAGTAAGTACTGCAAAACACATAACTGTTGAGAGGTGTAATCAACAAATAACTATTTTCACGGCAAAAGACTTTGTGAATTACAAACATTTACCGGTAGTGGTGCTATTCAAGTATGTCACAACCTAATAATATGGTTGTAATAGACTTTCGTACCAATACATCATTGCTAGTCCTTTAGCATTCATATATTTGTATATCTTTTGTTAATTTTTTTCTCGCTTTTTTGGTGAACTAGATGCTCATTTGACAGTTTACTTTGCTCTTAAAAGTACTTTTGTCATCCTAATGATTTGTCCATTTATTTATTATTGTATACTGATGTGAAGCCAACAAAGGACACAATTAGTACATATCGACATTTAATTTACATCCACAAGTGCTTTGAGAATATTTGCTGAATGTTATTTGTGTCCTGTCTATCTCTCCCTTCAGTTTAACTGTAGAGCTGTGAAGCTTTATCTCAAATGGCTGAAGAAGCTGTTTCACAGTGGTACAGCAAGTATTGGGTAAGTAGTGCATATTTTTATACATGTCTAGTTTGCCGAAGTTGAAAATTTGTGTGTGATTGATTACAACTTTCAAACTTCAAAATATTTTCACTTTAATGGATTTCCTTCACACTTTCACTGGTCTTGTTTCTCTCATTTTCTTACTTCTTTTTTTAATCAACTGAATGCTTGATTATACTTACCCTTATGGTTATACTTACCCTTAAGATCATTTAGACTCATTAACAATAATATAATATTGAAGTGATGCAGCCTGAAGAATATTATCATAATGTTGTTGACTTTTGAAAATACATTTTAGATTTTGACAGTTGCTGTCAATTTTATTGTATGATAAACTTATAGTTGAAGTTGACAAACTATACATTCCCCATCAACGCCCATGGCAAGAGCTGTCAATCTCCTGACATGGTTTTCAATATGTGGGGATAGAGTAACTCCATTTCTCCTTAAAACCCAGAAGATCTGTTAAAGCCACAGACTATCTGGATCCTGTCAGAGTGAACATTAATATAAATTCAATATTGAGCTTTGTGTAATGTCACATTTTTTCTTTATTCCTAAATTATTTAATTTCTAATGCTATTTCATCTCATCTCGTCTCATTCCTTCCATCCTACCCACTTTCATTGAAAAATCATGGCTTGTTGGGGTTGATTCACTGTAGATGGACATCACATTTCCAAACAGTGATTTGCTCTAAATAGATGCTTGACTTTGTTAAATAAATTATAGTCCATTCTTTATTGTACCTCATAAATAATAATAATAATGATGTTTATTAGACTGAACTGATGTCACAGTGCATAATCTTAAACATTTTTTCTTCTTCACACAGTCACAGAATGCAAGAACCGAATCTTGAGGAGGACAGAAAATGGATCTGTATGCAGGTTTGTAACAATCACCCCGCCCTTTAAAAAAATAAAAATAAAAATAAAGAGGATGTAAACAATAATTAATAGACCTGATATAAAGTGAGAGGTTAACAATAGGAACTTGCTTTGAAGTGAAATGGCAGGTCAGACCTGAACAGTCTGCTCCGGGTTGGTATATCAATGACCAGTCTGGCGTTCCCACTGCGGATTTGAAAACAATCTGTGCCGCTATCTTGGCAACCTGATTATGTGGTTGCTCTGACGACGTACCGATACATAACATTTATTGTACCAATTAAATTCTGAATGAATTTTAAGTTTTATAACTAGTTAAAAGTCAAATAATGTAAGTTTATAAGTAGCATGTTCTTGCTGTCAAATAGATATGAATTTCTATCTTTCGACAAAGTCTCATAAGCAAGAAATGTGGTCATGTAGAGATGGGTATGAAGATCGTGAAAGTTAAATAAAAAGAAAATTTAAAAATCTGTTGAAGGAAAATTGTTTTGTTAAATTTGTTTAGGGGAGTGTATATGGAGATATTTGCAATTGCATTGAAACAGGAGACATAACTCTTCACCTTCTCTTCTCCCCTTTTATCTGCCTCTTGTGCCTCTTTCTCCCTCATTCCACCCCTCTGACCGTCACTCATTTTACTCTCAATTCTTTTCTCTCACTCTCTCCACCTTGTACCCTGTAAATGTATATCCCCCCCCCCCCCCTCCAAGTTGTTGACCCTGTTCAAGAATCCCAAACTCCTAGTTCCTAGACGCCACTAGGTTTCCCTTTCTCCATGCCTTGTTTTCTCATAGCTATTCTTTGTAATATCTCTTTCTGTTTGTTGTTTCCTCCAAAATGGTCTTGGGATTAACCAAGAACCCTAAGCTCCCTCGTGAAGATTGGCTCCTGCATGCCTCAAATCGTCTTTTATTGTAACTCTTTATCTTTGTTTCTATCATGTAGGTGTTGACGCTGATCAAGAATCCCAAACTCTCCAGGGAAGAGGACTGGCTCCTAGATGCCACCAGGTTTCTCTTCCTGCATGCCTTCTTCACCGTAGACAAACCAGAGCCAAGCATTCCAGAGGTAAGGTATTCAGATGATCTTTGAAGTTTAGGTTTTACATGGTGTTTTGTATAATTTCATAATTTTGCGGCTTCACCATGTGGATAGTCTTGAAAAGGACTGTTGGGCTTGGAAGGGTATAGAAAAGAGAGTTAGAGGTATTCTTTTGGTTTTGTCCTCATGAATGACTAATTGGTACTGTATGGATAGAGGTAGCGAAAACTGAGACGTTATTCTTTCGTTTTCCGGAGCGGAGTCCAGAAAACGACTGATGAACCAGGTTATGAATGCAGAGAGAGAGAGATGGAGGCTCATCATTCCAAACAGGTTGACTGTTCATCATCAGGAGTGATCTCTTTTCTTTCTTTTTCCTTGGTGACACATACTTTTGATTTCACAAATTTTCTTGTTTTGTACATCAAAAGTACTCATTTCAATGCATTTTGTTTTGATATTTTTCAGTGTTCCAGTGTTCTTGAAACCCAGGTGAGTGCAGAGCTCCAAAAGATGATAGGCAGTCAGTTCTACGGGGCTCTAGGTGTCCTCAGTGCGGTCTCACTCAAACCAACGACAGAAGGTATTGTCTTGAATATCTTCCATTGGTGTTTCACTGATTTATTGGCATTGCTTCAATTGAAGGAAAGACAGACATTGTGCTTATGTTGTTGTAGAGAGTGAGAGAGACTGAAGTGAGAGTTTGACTTTTGGTGTTATGAGATTGGATGAGGTCCGATTTATATTGAAGTAAATGTAATGGGATACAGTTTTCTTGGACTTAATGCTTGTGTCAATGAGCGGTTGCATCATTCCCTAAACAGTCAAACAGTGTTCCTAAGTTTAAATTTTAAGTCCTTTTTATATTCTGCATCAAGTATCTGTTTTCAACTGGATGTAATGAAATCGCAGGTCAGACCTGAACAGTCTGCTCCTGATTGGTATATCAATGACCAGTCTGGCGTTCCCACTGCGAATATTGAACACAATCTGTGCCGCTATCTTGGCAACCTGATTATGTGGTTGCTCTGACGACGTACAGATACATTTCCCAATTAGATATGGTATAGTCAGTTTCATAAATTGATATACTTTCCATAGATGCTTTTTTTTTTCTTTACTATTTTCACTTGAAAATCTGTAGTATTTTAAATTTTACCCATCAATTGGCCCTACTGCATATGAACGAACTGCTAAGCCATGCAAGTTGTGCAAATGAGCTACTTTCGTGACAAAAGGCTGAATTACAAACATATTTGACTGTTGTTATTCATGTATGTGATAGCATTAAACTTTCAAAATCTATGCCAGTCATAAACTTATCTGGTTGGGCAGTAACCTGGAAAGAGGAAATTTGATAATACTTTTCAATTTATTGTTGTATCCTGCTTTCCTTTGCAGAGACAGAAAGTGAAGAGCGTTCCACTAGTCCAGAGGGCAGAAACATGGGAACTACATCAAGTGGAGAGCTATGGGTGTCTCTGCTTGGACATTATGCACAGGTACAAGACATCTACACCTAACTCTGGCATTACTAAACGTTACACGCACCACCTCCAAAATGACATGAAAAATACAACCTCAATCGTGCTATAATTGACAAATTTGTGTATCTTATGCCATCAGTTGCAATTTATGTACATCGTGTATCGGTGTCCATTGATGCATTCATGTTGACTATTGAACAAAGAAAGCTTATGGAGTTGTATTTTGATGCTCAATATTTCCAATAAACCTTACGGACATGAAGGTCTGTGTCTACTAAACTGTAAACAAGTGAAGTTAGAGTGAGGTCTAAGTTTCATCTCTGTTCAACATCATGACTTAATTTCTTGTGTTGGAAGTAATTGAATTATTAGAATACAGGCCTAAGCCTTCAGATTCAGAACATCATTCTTTTCAAATCAGTTTTGAAAGACTTCTCACATTCCCTCAGAAGCTAGTTATTGATCGCAGGTCAGACCTGAACTGTCTGCTCCGGATTGGTATATCAATGACCAGCCCGGCGTTCCCACTGCGTATATCGAACACGTTTGTACAGCTACTGTGACAGACTTTGTGGTTTGCCACTGATAACGTACAGATACATTCCATTTTCACCCCTTTATTAAGCTACATGAGATACTTTGCTTTTATATGACTCATAACTTTCAAAATAGCAGAATTAAAGGATTGAATCCTTGTCAACATGTAGATAACCCAGTGTCAGCAGTGTGACAGGTTTTGTACACAACGTTGTGAGATTGTCAGGCTGTGCACTCGGGCTTAGACGGCTGATCGGAAGGCAGCCTGCAGTGGTTTTAGTCCTTTCAGAAATTGGCATTCAAACTTTATTAGAAATCATAAACAAACATCAAAATATTTGGCATATTAAAATATCTTGTTTTATAAGAGTCAATCAATAAGAGAAATTATTCAATGTGGTTATTTCCAGTTCCTTTTTCACTTTGAGAAACTAAATATTGCCTTTAATTCTGTTTCACAGGACCTACTGACTTGTGAAAGTGTGTCCTGCAACGCGGAGTTCCCAGGAAAGGTAAGACGTCGAAAAAATACGATCCGACTTAAAGTTTTATATTTAAAAGGGATAGTGTTTGAGCAGAATCTTGCATGTAGTATTCAGTTATATATTCATGGCCATGGAGCCTCAATTTTCATGCTATGCATGTTCTGTTGAAAACTATTTGTAGTCATCCATCGCAGGTCAGACCTGAACAGTCTGCTCCTGATTGGTACATCAATGACCAGTCTGGCGTTCCCACTGCGGATATTAAATCCAATCTGTACAGCTTTTCTGTACAACCTGATCATGTGGTTGCAACAGACTGAAGTACTGATACATTTCCTCTCATCACATTATGTGGTTTGTGGATATATCCATGTGAAATATGTTTTGCTCTCAACTGAAAACATTGTTAATTTGCAATAGACCATTTTTGTTATGTAATCAAATTTAATGCACAGATCTTTGTTAAGTGCCTCGTTATAAATTATTGAATTCGCCTGTTACCAATAACTGTATTTCAATAGTCTGAATGAAAATTGCATACACTACGTGTTAATAAGTTAGGACAAACAATAATGTTGTCCTACCTAGGGGCATTTGCTCCAGGGTTTCTTCCATCAGAGATAGAAGGATAGGGCTTGGGTTTTACTTTAGGTTTAGCCTTTTAGGATAAGGTTAATAGGAAAAGTGCTTGGTCCAAGTCAGCTTGTCTTTGAAATAAATATCAGAGCCTATTATCATCATGTTGTCTTGCATGTAAACCATGACTTAGAATTTGCCACTTATGACACTTTAACTATGCATGTCAAATAGATAATTGTTTTTTTTTCATCTTGATTTTTTATTTCTCTACTTTCCTTGTTTTCAGGCTCAAGATGCTTGGTCAACCATGATGGAATCTGTGGCAGCAATACAAAAAAAGTCTACCGCGGGCAGTGCAATGTCTTCTGGCTTAGCCTTCCAACTTCTGTTCTTACATGTGGGACTACAGATGTTTTCAGAACCCAAGCAGAGTGCTGACATTCTCCAAGTAAGAGCAACATTTATTGACATTCCATGGCAGATTTAGGCAATTTATCATTGTAAATGTTCAGAAATCGCAGGTCAGACCTGAACTGTCTGCTCCGGGTCGGTACATCAATGACCAGCCCAGCGTTCCCACTGCGGAAATAAAACACAATCTGTGCCGCTATCTTGGCAACCTGATTATGTGGTTGCTTCGACGACGTACAGATACATGATTTGTTTCTCTCCAATTTTATCATATCTCTAAAACATTATACAATTCTGGTTCAAAACCTCTTTTGACTTATAGACAGAAAAATAATTATTGTTTGACTTTTTTAATAAGAGATACATTGTATCCTGTTTACACATTCATGTATTCATCTCATGAGATAGAGTACATAGTCAGAGACCATGTGTGGCCAAATTTTTATTTTAATGAATTTCTTTTCTTTTTTTCCTTCCAATCAGGACCTTCAATCATGCTACAAGCGGTCTCAGCAAAAGAGAAGATCAGTAAAGAAAGACCAAGATGGTAAGAACAAATGAAAAATAAATGAATAATGTTCCAGACAATTGCATGACTGGGAAACCATGTCTCTACTGCACTTACCTACACAGGCTGATTTCTCACTTTCTGAGATTTTGATGAAATACCTTACATTAGTTAGAACTTTGCTTTTTATTTTTTGATTGCCTGTTGTGAAACCAGGATTTTTTGTGACATAAAACTCAAGAACTGTCAGTGTTGCCATGGATATACTTTGTAGCTTGAAACTTCACCAAAATAAGTGAAAGGTTCTGGTTTTGCAGTATCAGCCCAGTTTATTTATAGTTGCAAAGTTATATTTGAATGATTGTGTACCAATGTTGAAATTCATTCACTCTTGTAAGGCTACTAATTTCTTTGTACCTTTTGCGTTAAATCTTTAAAAAATCTTGTCGCATCAACTGTCTTTGTATTGGTTAAGAGTTTTCCCCCATCAACGCCCATGGTTAGAGTAGACCATCTCTTTCCATGGTTTTATCAAACATGGGGGTAGAGTAAAACCATCACTCCTAAAACTCAGAAGATCTGTCATCATAATCAGGCCATCTGTACCTGTCAGAGTGAACATTATAATAAATAGTCATTAAAAGATCCAGTTTTGCATTTGTATTGTGTAGGGAGCACCTCTTGAGCCTACTACAGATTTTTGGAAATATTGTTAGCTCATAGCAAGTAGGGCATTAAATCTGTGTTGAAGCTTATATGATTTGGGCCCTTCTGGAACTAAGCCAATGAGACGATTTTGATCATTTGATGTTGAGCGATATTTTCATATGCATTTCACAAATTTCTAATCTTTTCAAATATAAATGCTCATAGTTGTTAGCATAGTACTTGAAACCTGATGAAACACAGTGCCATTCTTTACTGATGATTCAATCCACAATTGTAATTAGGTTTAGAGAATTAGAAACGGGAAATAATCTAGATTTAGATCAATATATTTTACAACTACTTTCTTCCCATCTTCATCCTAATACAGAGCCTGAATGGGTGGAGGTCATCGTGGAGATCCTACTTAGTCTTCTCTCCAAACCTTCTCATCTCCTGAGAACGGTGGTTGATATTGCCTTCAAGATGGTCTGTCCTCACATGACACAGCCAGCCCTGCAGCAGCTACTTGATGTGAGTCTACTGTGTAGATGGAGTACTGTATTTTGGGTCTCCTAAACCACATTCGTAACATTTTAGGCCGCATCTGGCCAATAGACCGGTTTACTAACATTCTCAAATTGTATGCATACTTTTCAAACATAGGTTGTTCTTGACTAGCCATAAGCTTGCTCACAGCTTGTCCAACGTAGCAACAAGTAATGTATGCAGACTGGATTCCAGGTATTGTAGTTCATTCATTAATAAGAGGTTAAAGGAATAACCCATCACTAGGTCTCAAGGAAAGAAACATCCATAAATTTGGATATGTTAGTAAACCGGTCTATTGACATACAAATTTCACCTATCTGGGATTTAACCATAAAGAGATTTCATTATTCTGGAGGTCTCTCAGGAGAGGGGGAGGGGGGGGGGGGGGTGGTCAGACTCTCAACTGGCAGGAATGTACCATACTCTGAATCTGACACATGTCTGCCCTTGCTGGATAGACCCCAGATAGATGAAAGGTGATCGCTAAATTGGCCAGGCATAGTCGTTTGTTTGAAAATTGCAGTCTCACTTTTTGCTTCATTTGACCAAGTTATCTAATTCCATAATGATGATGATGTAACATACAGATAAAATATTGTGTGATAATGAAATCGCAGGTCAGACCTGAACTGTCTGCTCCTGATTGGTACATCAATGACCAGTCTGGCGTTCCCACTGCGAATATTAAACACAATCTGTGCCGCTATCTTGGCAACCTGATTATGTGGTTGCTTCGACGACGTACAGATACATAATTATTATTTCATAACTTATCCACTTTATCTTATCTCTAAGAAAGTATATAATTATGATTATATGGTTGTTATTGAAGAGGTACAGATTAAATATCATACTCGTGTAGTTGTCAAACGTACGAGTACACGGGTCATCTGTGTACTGGTCGCAGCCTTAATACAGATACAGGGCCTTCTTGGTAACTTACAACATTAACATTAATGCGTGGGCTGTGTCAACTATCTGTAAGATTCTATTCACATGCATATATTTTTGGTGTTAACAAGATGCAAACTTAAGACCACTCCACTCACACATTTCTCTCCTCTCTTTCATGTACAGGTCTTGGATCCTACCAAAAGCAATGTTCAAGTCGGACAAGAATCAGGTATATATAAATGTTTACTGTCGTGCCAATATCATGGAGTGATCTCGGCCCCCTTTTCTAAGTCAATCGCAAGTCCTCCAATCAATTGCAATTTTGCAGTCTCCTTTGTACATTGTTGCGATTGATTTCAATCACAAATATGTTGGGAGTAATATCAACTCCTTATAAGATGGGCCCAAATATGTACATGTGTAGATATATGTACTGTGATTACAGAAAGCAGTTGGTTAGGGAGAAGATACCTGTCTGTTAGATACAAATTTCGCAAGTATGTGACATCACTTGTCTAAACGACTTGTTTCCCATGGCCAGTGATACTTGGTAGAATGATAAAATTCCCAGAACACAAAGGATGGACCTCCTTCCAAACTTCCTCAATGTTTGACGTTGGCGTAGTACACACAAAATTGAGAATCTCACTACAAAGCCCAATTAAACAAAATTGAATGCAGAGCCTTGCAATATCATTAGCTTTTCTTTCCTCAAAAGTCTTTGATTATTCACCTGTTGGGTGCAAAACCTGTACTGTTCATTTTTCCTTGGTTAGCTAATTGATAAATGAAGTGTTTAAACACTGTAATCGCAGGTCAGACCTGAACAGTCTGCTCCGGGTTGGTATATCAATGACCAGCCCGGCGTTCCCACTGCGGATATTAAACACAATCTGTACAGCTACTGTGACAGACTTTGTGGTTTGCCACTGATAACGTATAGATACATCCTATTTTCAGTGCTAGGAACTGTCCACACTTTCTCTGGAGTTTAAGCACTCTGTGCGCTGTATCTCGACCACTTCTTGTGAGCCTAAGAGCTAATTGGCAAGATGATTTTTTTTTCAAGCATTTATGATCACGCCTATATTTCTGCAGTTATTCTGAGTGGACAAGTGCCAAGTCCTACAAAATAATGCAAAACTGTTTGTTGAATTCTGAAATTCTCGCCCATTTTGGGAGCAGATAGTCAGTTTTCAGTTCACACACATTTTGGTACAGTACTCATCTGTTCTGTATTTTTGTTGCATAACAGATGAGGAGGAGGAGGAGGAAGAGGAAGAAGAAGATGATGAGGATGATGAGGATGAAGAGGAGGAGGATGGAAATATGAAATTCACCCAGTTGAAGTCTAAGAAGCCACTCACCAATGGCAATGGACATAAAAAGGTATTTTGGGGATCCTTTTCATAGATGAAAGGAATTGAGCGATGATAACGGATAATTTATGAAGGGTAGCTACTCTGCAAATACACTCCACTCTACACGAAGACAAAGTCATCCAGCTTCAATGATAGGTCACTAAGCAGCCTGCCAGCCACCTATTTACCTCATCTGGGTTCCAAGTGGCAAATGTATATTAACGTCTTGCTAAAATACATTTTGTGAAGGTTTCGCAATCAGTTCCAATCACAATTCTTGGGTTAGATATTTCTGAGAAATTTTTTGGGATGAAGGTCGTTAGTACGGAATGTCACTCAAGAATAGCACATCAGCATGGTATGTAGATACAGGGACATTATTACCAATTGAACATTAACATTTGTGAATTTAAAAGATCGCAGGTCAGACCTGAACAGTCTGCTCCTGATTGGTACATCAATGACCAGTCTGGCGTTCCCACTGCGGATATTAAACCCAATCTGTACAGCTTTTCTGTACAACCTGATTATGTGGTTGCTATAGACTGAAGTACTGATACACCCCTCATATTTTTCTAGCCATCCATTGTCCTGTATAAAGTATGTTAAACAGAATAAATAAACTGAATGCTTCTAGCTTCATTTCCATGTGATTGAATCATACTGCTTATGCCCATGAGGAGAAGAGCTACGGAATACAGTGTTGCTAAACAAATTTACCCAATTTTCTCAAGTAATCGACTCAACAGTGATTTCAATGCCCAACTTTATTGCACCATAAAATATCAATCGCAATTCTTGGTCAGGTATGTCCAAGAGAAATAATTCAAATTGAAAATTAAATCACTGTTATCTTGCCATTTCAGCACAAAAATGCAGATTCAGACGATTCGGAGGAGGAGGATGATGAGGATGATGACGACGATGAAGATGAGGAGGATGAAGACCCTGCAATGAAGGAGCAAATCAAAGCAGCTCTTGGTAATGCAGCAGCAGACTCTGACGGGGAGGTATAACTTTGGGGTTTTTTCTCCATTCTTGAAACTAATGATGATCTTCATGTTAATGATATGTAGGACAGTAAGGGAAGAATATTTATATGTTATGCCTCCGTCAAACCACCAGACCGACTCATATCCAACTCCAAACTGACATTTTTTTATTGGTCAACTGTAGTTGTGGTATCTGTCTCATTGGTGTGACCAGGGTATGTCACTATGAAGCTGATATTGGACAGGACCAACCTTGACTAGCTCTTCCGATTTGTTGGCTCCATTTACTGAATGTAAAATTATTTTCATGCTGAAATACAACGTTACTCGAAGTTTGGGTAAGAAATGAATGAATGAATGAAATTTGAAGGTGATGATCTTTGAATGTTGCCATGCTCTTGCAATACTTGCTCTGCAGTCCAGCTTACTACATCACTAGAATGTCTAGTTTTAACTCTTGACCAAGGACCAAACGTAACCCTGATCATAACCCTAAATGTACCCAAATAAAATAAACAATCGCAATCATAAACTTATCCCTTTATCATTGTCAAAATAAAACCCAGAGCAAATGTCATTGAAACAAATGTCTCACCTAACTTACATTTTTTATGCATACCTCTTTATGTATCTTGGTTTGATTAATCCTTTGCCCTAGACCATATGAAAGAATTGTTTATATGTTTGGAGTCTACCATCGTTAGTAACAGTGGCATGTGTACGCTTGTTGTTTCCCCCATCAACGCCCATGGTTAGAGTAGACCATCTCTTTCCATGGTTATATGATACATGGGGGTAGAGTAAACCCATCACTCCTAAAACTCAGAAGATCTGTCATCATAATCAGGCCATCTGTACCTGTCAGAGTGAACATTAAAACAACGACCAACCACCTTTGCATTTTAAAAGGAAATTCATGATTGTTTTTGTTTTTGATGTGTTAAATTATTATGATAATTTGACATATCAAAATATTTCATAATTGTTTTTTATGCTTGACGGTTGTTACTTAGATAAAGAGGGAATTTCAATATATTATATACAATTTCAAATATTTTGCGCCTCAGACTGTCAATGAGTGCATAGCTTGCGCAACAAAATTCAAAGTTGGTATAAGCTTCAAAAACTACATTTTATCATTATCCCCAACCGATGAAAGTTTTCTGTATCAATATTCTAATTATTGCATGTTTCATCTTTTCCATGTCCTCTTGAAATACGCAGGACAGCGGCACTGACTTTGAGCTGGACGATGATGCGATGCTCGCCCACGACGACGCCCTCAGCAAGGCGTTCAAGGCCATGTCATCGAGGTCACGTAAGAGCAAGAAGGAAGCGTCGACCATCATGCTTCATTTCAAGCTCAGGGTCCTGGATCTCCTCGATATCTTCATCAAGAGACAGCAGAACAACCCTCTCCTCCTGGTAAGTTTAAAGGCATCGTTTAACAATGTTAAATCTGAGATGCATGTCTCTACGTGTTATCAGTGTCTGTGATATGGTGTAATATTGAAGCCCTAAAAAAAATTGCGCTTCAAAATGATCATGAAGTGCCTCAAAAGAGTAAAAATCTTTGAGTGACCAGTTTTACCACACTCATTTTACCCAATAGACTGTAGTGTTATGAAAACGAAAAATGAAATTTTGATTTCCAATCAAAAATATCTTGATAATCAAACAGGTTTGATCGGCTTGTTAGAGTCATGGAATTCCTGACTGACGTAAAGGTTTATAATTATGATTGCAGCAGTAGCTAAATCCAGGATTTTGTTTCAGAATCTGAGACAAAGTTACCCAATCTCTTTAAACCATAGGCACACTAAATGTGTTGGATGGAAAGTTATGATATGCAGATGTGTTGAACTAATGGGATTAGGCTCCGTCCCCTTTGCTACATTTCATTGCCTTCAAATCACCTTCTGGCAGGACATCTGCCATTATCGATAGTACACATAATAGATTAGTTGCGTCATGGTAAATACTAAGAAAGGACAAGTACTTTGATTTATATGCTGGAAGATGTGTTCAAGAGTAAATGATAGATATGCCTAAGAATGCACAATGTCAGGTCTCCTGTGCATGCATAGCTGGCGCATTGAAGAGAGCATCTTGTAAAGTGAGTAATGCACAGGTGCTTCTAGAACTAGATAATACAAATGTTTTCATATATCAACACAAACACAAAAAGATTATTGATTTGATTGCTGTTCCTATTGATTCTCAATTACTTAAAAATGTAAGAGGTGGAATATGCAAAAGTAGCAGGTATCCAATCTTAGGATGAAGTATAGAACACCATACAAGAATGGCACATAAGCATGGTCTGTAGATACAAAGACATGTATAAAAGTTAAACAAATTTAACATTTGTGAATTTAAAAGATTGCAGGTCAGACCTGAACTGTCTGCTCCTGATTGGTATTTCAATGACCAGTCTGGCGTTCCCCCTGCGTATAATAAACACAATCTGTGCCGCTATCTCTGTAACCTGATTTTGTGGTTGCTCTGACGACGTACGGATACATTTCCTTAATTAGATTTTCATATGTCAACACAAACACAAAAATAATATTTACATAGTGAACATTTCCTTGTTAAGACTATATTTCTGTCTTCTATATGTATATACAGGTTTTACTGCCTTTGTGACTGACTGTCTATGAAAATGACGCTCTTCTTTCTCTCGATCATTGTTTTATATTTCAAGTGTTAGAAAGGAATATGTATTGACTGTATCTCAATGTTTTCTGCATTCTTTTTGGCCTTGCAGGATTTGGTTGTGCCTCTTCTCAAGGTAATAGAATCATCAGCCGGTCACAAGGACAACCAGCTTTTGGCAGAGAAAGCTCTCAACATCTACCGCAATAAACTCTGCAAGGTTAAAAGGGTGAGAAGTAGTGAGATTTGAACCATTCTTTTTTCTTCTTTGGCCTATTATAAATATGCATCCCCCATCAACGCCCATGGTTAGAGTAGACCATCTCTTTCCATGGTTTTATGAAACATGGGGGTAGAGTAAACCCATCACTCCTAAAACTCAGAAGATCTGTCATCATCATCAGGCCATCTGTACCTGTCAGAGTGAACATTACATCAGTTGAGAAATGAATAACATGCAGACCTGTCGTTCTTATAGTTATAAAGAAAGAAAGAGATATACGTCCTTACTAACCCACATAATCTTCATTTCGTAAATGACATTTCCATACTCGTAATTCCCATGTCAACTCTTTCCGCTGTCTATAAACCATATTCGATTCAAATAATAGAAAATGTGTCAACATTTAAACAAATAACCGAAGACTCTATCTTTTTTTTTATTTGTTTACATTGTAATCGCTATGGCACTGTGTGTTGGTAAAGGTTGTAGGAGTTAAAAACATGTAGTGTGATGTTTTTTCATACAGAAGGTAATATTATTCTCTTTTCTTTTTTTTCTCACTTTTTAGTATCCACACAACCTCTCAGACCACAAAGATGACATTCATGACACCATCGAGGAGCTCATCACGATTGCAAAGAAAGGTAAGAGGATCACTTCCATGTACTTGCTTTCATTCAGAGTTGGCTTCTTTGCACACCTTGGGAGTGTTTCACAAAGACTAAGATCGACTTTAAGTTGAGCTTAACTATGGCAGGCCTTTCATGCCACTAGCTCCTCTAACCATTCCTGACATTGGCTTCTTAAGGGACGTACAAATCGTGGTGACAAATCGTCAGAATATACCTGATATGATAGTTCATTATTGAAGGAAAAAATATCTTTAAAAAAAAAATCATATTTGAGAGACCAATGGTGAGAGCAACCAGTGGCATGAATGGCCTGCTATATTTAAGTCCATCTTAAAGTCGATCTTAGTCTTTGTGAAACACCCCCCAGATTTGGCTTCTATGCAAATTGATACCCCACTTCTGTTATCTGCAACACTGGCTCTCGTGATCAATATGTTTGTCCCCCATCAACGCCCATGGTTAGAGTAGACCATCTCTTTCCATGGTTATATGATACATGGGGGTAAAGTAAACCCATCACTCCTAAAACTCAGAAGATCTGCCATCATAATCAGGCCATCTGTACCTGTCAGAGTGAACATTCCATCTGTGCTATATGACCTACTCAAATGCAACTGTTACCTGTATTTGTAGTGCATGTTGTGTATTTTTACATGAACCGTCTCTCTTTACAAGTAGAAATATTTAGAGCTAATATGCTGTAGTGTAAGATACTTCCATGGAGCTAAACATCCAAATGAACAACTTAGACTTGTAATTCATCTCAGAAAAAATTGTCATCAGAGTGACCCTGACAACACTTAAATAAACTAGTAATAAGGAACGTTACTTGTATAGTGCATATCACTAACACAAAGAAAGTGCCTGTGCGATATAAACTACTCTGCAATCATCGATGTACAACCTAATGGCAGTCTTTTTGTCTTTCATCCATCCACAGCTCACTCCATGACCATCGTCTCGCTTGTTTCCACTGGTTGTCTCTTTCTGGTAAGTGATCCAACTTCGGTTTTATGTTGCATGGTTTGATAGAAAAAAGGTTCACATTTGGCTCCTTAATGCTTGAGTTTGAATCTAAGCTACAAAATTGATATTTTATAGCTACCCTGGTATGAAAAAATAGAATATTAATTTGATGCCTTATTTCAGTGATTCTCAGTTATTGAAGATATGGATGCTAAAAGATGGAAAAACTACTACAGGTATCAAATCTAAGAATGATTTATTTTTTCGCTTCAAGCATATAAGTACAGAATATCGCACAAGCATGGCATATAAACATGGTCTGTAGATTCACAGACATAAATACCAGTTTAAACATTAATATTTGTGAAATTAATTGATCGCAGGTCAGACCTGAACAGTCTGCTCCTGATTGGTATATCAATGACCAGTCTGGCGTTCCCACTGCGGATATTAAATCCAATCTGTACAGCTTTTCTGTACAACCTGATAATGTGGTTGCTATAGACTGAAGTACTGATACACCTTAAATATTTTCCAACTATCCATTGTTTTGTGTGATATTTGAGGAAAAGAATAGATAAACTGAATGCCTTTAGCTTCATTTCCACATGAGAAGGAGAGCTCCAGAATACAGTGCTGCTCAACAAATTTGCCCTCCTATCTCAAAGATGATTTCAGTGCCTAACTGTAATTGCCCCAAGATGTGAAAAGTCATATTTGCATGTCCCAATAGGCAATACACTGGGCAAGTGTATAATCACAGTTTGACAATGTTAAAATGAGTGTTTGGTAACTGTCTTGAAAGAGCAGGTACTCATTTAGATTTGAATGTCTTCTAACCAATAAATAATAAGCTTGAGTTTTGGGAAATGTGAGTTACGGTACTCTAATATGAATAATGAAATCATATCCTTCATGATGTTGCATGTGTGTGTGACAGAGTAAACGAAATGACACCCTTTGTTATAATTGACCATCTAGATGAGAGTCCTGAGAGGAAACGTGGCCATCACTGACCCCTCACCCTTGAAGACGAGAGGTCAGAGGGCAATGGGCAGTGAGAAGAAGAAAGGCAAAAAGAAGGGAGGAAAGGAAGAAGAGGAGGAGGAGAAGGAAGCAGAAGAGGAGCCAGCGATGGGACTGGTTGATGTGGGTAGGATAACAGGGCTTTACACTGATGCCCTGGAAGACTTCACAATGCATAGGTAAGTACATAGAATGTGTGATCAGCGAAGTTTAAGTATTTTTAATGTTAAAGAGTAATTACGCTGATGGTATGGGAAATCACTTTTATCGTAAATTAGTCTTTACAAATTTCTCTCCTCAGATAAGAAATGTTCAGAATTTGTTCAGAAACTGCTCCATTTATGGAAACGCATCCTGCAAGATTTTAAGGTTGTAGATTTGACCGTTCTGGTTAGTATTTAGAAAGTTACGACCATGGACATCGGTTTGTTGCTATTTGAGATATTGACATCCCATTAACCATGCTGTGCTTGAAGATATACAGAATTTTTCAGCTTTGGAATTAAGGTTACTCCATAAGGGCCTAAGAGTATAGTCTCAAAAAATATTATTACCGGTATTCAGAATTTAGATTGTATTTCATATTTTTCTCATTTTTCTGTTTTTTCTTTCAGAGCCACATGTTTGCATCCCAACTTGTTCACAGATCTTATTGACAGATTTCCAGTAAGTAGAGACTTAATCAGTATTAAAATTTTGCTTTACAGTTGCAGGTATTGATACAGAAATCTTGGAATAGGAAAATTCATATTTTTGGAAATGGAAATGTGAAGTATAATCTGTAATATAGTCTCTAGGCATGAAATCATTGATTAGCTTTTCCTTGAAAGTTTTCTTTCTCACTTTAAGTGCTTTGTTAACCTCTTGTCAAGTTCATAGTGTGTTTGGTTGATAGATGTTTTTTCTCTGTTTTATTAAACATATTGATGGAATGACTCATTTCATGTTTTCTCTTGCAGTTGCCATATCCTGTATATCCATTAAATGCAATATTTTGTTTTGTTTTCCTTCTTACAGGCTCTGGCGTGGCATCTATCAGACACCCTTACTACTTCTGCCCAAAATGGAGTACAGCTGTACAGAAGAGTGAGTATAAAGAAAGGACGTTATGTGCAGAATTCTATACAAAATCAGGAACACTGTTTGTGATGTGCAGTATTACAAACTCAGCAAAATGCCAAATTATGCTCATTCCTTGCTTGCTGTTTTGATTATATTGTTATTTTTACAACATAAATCTTTTCATCTATTTTATGTAGAATTCCAACTTAGCCCTGAAGAAATGTATAAATTTAACTAATTAGAGAAGGTGAGATATATATGTGATTTCTAAATTGTTCTTGATTATAAACAAAATTCCTGTGATTTGGAAGGATTGGTGTTTAACTATGTCTCCTTTTGTTTTCTCTCTCCAGACACAAGCCTGTAGAATGCTCACCTTGCTGCTAAGCAAGAGACCATACTCGGTAAGTTTTCTAAGTTTTTTTAAATTTGATCGTCTTTTATATAACACATGTCCTTACTGGGGGGGGGGGGGGGGGTGATTTCAAGGAGAATGATGATTTTCTAACTAATAATTGAACTTTGTAGAGCTATGCAACACACATGAACAAATGTTGCAGAGGCAAGTTTGGAGTTGGTAGTGTGAAGAATATGTGCTGTAGCAATTCTGTCAAGAGTCATACAAATTCAGAGGGGAAAAATCTGTTGTGAACTGATTTCTTTGTAGCCATGTTGCTCATGTTGTAACTCTAGGTCAAGGAGCAGGCATGCAAGTCAGATTTTGTCGTGTTTATGAACTGCATTTCCAAATCTTCTGAAATGGAATGCTCCTGCTATAAGGAATCTTATGAAAGAAATAGGCAGTACAATTGCATATGACAATATTTTTATGCTCCTGTGTATCCACAGGACATGCAACTTAAGTTTTATCCAACAGCCTAGGAAATTAAAGGTTCATGCCTTTATTTATACCAAAGGGCACTAGCTAATATCATTGGTTATACACCCATCTGGTATGGTGTACCAGACCATAATTTAATCACCAAGCCTTGATGTCTCTTAACGATGTCTGCTTTCCTTCCCAGGGTTCACTTTCATCATGGCCGAAGGTCAGCAAGCACATCCTGTCCGTGGCGACGTTGATCTTGCAAGGCATGCTGGGAGAGGGGTCACAGTTCAAAGCCAAGTCTGCCATCCAGTTTCTTCATGCTGTCCAGCAGTGTGCAGTGCTAAGTCATCATCTCGACAAGGTACATTTGACTTTGATATGTTACTGTCAATTTTAATGTATGGTAAACTTAAGTTGAAGTTAACAAATCCCCATCAACGCCCATGGCAAGAGCTGTCTATCTCCTGACATGGTTTTCAATATGTTGGGGATAGAGTAACTCCATTTCTCCTTAAAACCCAGAAGATCTGTTAAAGCCACAGACTCTCTGGATCCTGTCAGAGTGAACATTACTATAAATTTAATATTGAGCATTGTGTAATGTCATATTTTTAAATTCCTAAATTGTTTATATTTCAAACGCCGTCTCGTCTCATCTCATCTCATCTTTTTCCAGCATTATCATTGCAGCATGAGCTAAATCCAGGATTTTGTTTCAGAATCTGAGACAAAGCTACCCAATCCCTTTAACCCTCATAACCAAATTTTGTAATCAACCTTGTTTATGAAGTGTGCTTAAAATTAGAAGATGTTATAGAACTTGTCAATTATTAGATCATTTTAGTGACCATATAAATACTTGATATTCTCAGGCAATTTTTCGAAGTTTTATCTTTCTAATGTTTTATGTAACTGTATTATTGACCTTTATGAAATCATCTCATCTAGAGAACATTTCAATTAGCTTCTCTGAAAGTTTTAGTTGTATTCACCGTTTAAATTGTTGACTTTTCGACCAGGTTCCGGACTTTGGCGAGATATCACCTGTTCTCGAGATGTTTAAGGAGAGGTCGGAGGTCAAGAGGTCAGGAGAGTTCAGATCAGCTCTCGATACCGCAATAGCTGCTATAGAAAATAGGTAAGAAGACTTCTTGGTAATCTGACAATTGCTCTGGCGACAATTGTGGTCAATGTCCCACATTTGGCAAATTCATTACTTCAACTCTGGACCAAATGCCACCTTAATCCTAATCCAAAGCTTAACCCTAAACCTAACCAAAATCACCATTGCAGCCCTCACTTTAGCCCTATATGTTTGACAATTAAAGCCTTGCACACTTTTTGTCAGAGCAAAAGTAAAATCATTAAGGGTGACCTGTTTAGGGTGTTGATTATTTTCTAAATAAGGTTAGAGTTAGGGCTAGGAATGCCAGAGCATAAATTGGTTTCTTAACCCACACTTTTCTTGTTTATAATGTTGTAAGCTGATACCGGGTTGATTTGTCTCGATGCACTGCATAAAAGAGAATAAAGAAAAAGACAAAACAACAAATAATAGTGTGTGTTGTGCGTGTGTGCCATATTCCTGTAATTTAGTTTCAAGATCCTCTTCCAAGTTGCGTACACTCCCTCACAATCCTCCTCTGTAAATATCAGCTCTATAAATGTTCAGAAATCGCAGGTCAGACCTGAACAGTCTGCTCCTGACTGGTACATCAATGACTAGTCTGGCGTTCCCCCTGCGGATATCGAAAACAATCTGTGCCGCTATCTTGGCAACCTGATTATGTGGTTGCTTCGACGACGTACAGATACACAATTTTTTTCAAAACTTATCAATGTTATCATATCTTTAAGAAAGTATATAATTCTAATGCAAAACTCTTTTGACTATTAGATTCTGTGGTTGCTATTGGCGACGTACAGATACACTTCCCTTCAAATGAACCCTAAATATCCGTCTTTCTAACGCCTCTGTTTGTTAGAATTTTTAGATATTTCTTGGGAAGATTTGGTCCTCATTTAAAAATCTAATCACAAAGAAGAGCACAAATTATTTATGATTCATGTTTTGACTTTTGAATATGGTGCCTCTTGGCCAGCTCTTGCCCAGTATCTTTTAATCCTATCTGCACTAGTTTTGGCCAGGACGGATTAGACCTCCCTGCATGGTCACCTCATCAAATAAGCTCTCAATTAACATAAGAAAAAGGGACCATGGGGGACCAACGGTCACCGCTTAGACATTGTTTGCTATATAGAGGGCGCAAGTAGCCATACCCAGTGCAGTGGGGCTTTAAGTTTGCAATACATGTCTCATGGAAGTTAAGAATTTTGAAATGAAATTGAATATTATCCTGGATTTAGGGATGAAAGTCAAATTGTATTTTACCACATCATGAACATGTGTGCTGCGTCTTAGTGTCTTTCCTCATATTATTCTCATTGATCAATTTGTTCATTTTCTAATTGCAGGTCCAAATCGAGCAAGAAGGGCAAGAAAAAGAGGAAGAAGTCAAGGAAAAGGAGAAAGAGTGCATCCACCTCGTCCGTATGATAATCGCCATGGCTTCACAGTTCAAAGCAGTTAACATTAACATGAAATTAAGCTTGTAATGTAAACAAAAATCCCTCTTTGGTACCTGACTTCAAGAAAGATCATGGACACATTTTAAAGGACTTTAGAAAAATCAGCTGAAGGCAAACTCAGAATCCTTGTCCACCCCCTTTTGAAATGTGAGAACATTACAACGACGTATGACGCAATCTGAACATGATATCTACGGGATGAACAATAGAGTGTTTGATTGCCCTCCTTGATTTCTCGAAAATCAGTACGCTTACATATTTATCAAAAGTCTATACAGTTACATGTACACAAATCATTTAATTCCCCACCCCTGTTTTAGACCCATCATAATAATTACTGGCTTATTTAAATGAGTGAATTTGAATAGTATATATCCAATCAAAGTTGATGCAAGTAAGTGATGTTAGTAATTTGGTGCGAAAATCATCCCTGTCTGTGTATCCTACCTCAAATACAACTCTTTGATGTATCTTCTCAATAGACTGATTAACTAACATGTTTAAATTTGATGTATACTTTTCAAACATAGCAACAGGTAATGTATGCAGACTGGATTCAGAGTATTGTAGTTCATTCATTAATAACAGGTTAATGGAATACGTCATCACTAGGTCCCCAGGAAAGAAACGTCCATAAATTTGAATATCTTAGTAAACTGGTCTGTACATATTCCAAGTGCAGCACACATGTCAGGCACTGACTGTGATTTCCTTCATTTTCAGTTGACACACTTACATTTTAACTTGCTTCTGACATGGGGAAGATCATAAAAGCAAGAATACAAATGACATTCTTATTATTGTTAAATGATAAGAAATCTGTTTGCTGAAATGTGTACACTGTAAATGCTTCCAACAGTTCTTTTTTTTTTTTTTGGGGGGGGGGGGAGGTCTCTGTATGACATATTTTCTGTCTTCCATTCCTTTTTTATGCATTACAAGTGTACATATGTACTTACATGCGTTGAATACGATTTGTTATTCATTTAAGAAAATATTATCCAAAGCCCAGGGCCGAGTTAACTTGGCCGAATTATTCAATATGTTGAGAATTAGGAGAGATGATGGATATACATGTACATGTATTTGATGATCTTACCGTATGTGCTTTTCTAGAAAGACTTGACTGGCATTTCCTTAGAATTGTTTTCAATCCAGCATTTATGATGTACCATTTGGATGATCATGAGAAATTGAGTAATTTCTATTTTGAGTTTGATAGTATATCACATGCTCCTAGAAATAGATATATATTTACCTTATATTGGATCTATTAAAAATTCTACTTGAAACATATTGCCTTTTAATAAATAAATGATATAATGTACTGGAAGAATATGATTTTACAGAGTGAATTTGTACTTTCCGGTTGATGGACACATTATAATGTTTTGTTTTGTTCTTCAAAGCGGTAAATAGCCTCCCTATGCAGTATGCATACCAACTTGGTATTAAGAAAGGAGTGAAAACATCTAGTGTGTGTGGGGGAGGGGGACAAACTTTTTATTTTGCTTTAAAATACAGCAAATTTATATGTAATAGGTGTGGAACAATTATTGAGATGTGAAGAAACAATACATAATTATATGTTCCTGTATCCACTCTTAGTCTTTGCTGAAACGTAGGGCATTGTGAGTTGTCGGGACAGGATAATGAACTCTTCAAAAAAAAAATTCTGAATTCAAGTTCGAGCATTTATATCTGTCTAATTACTATATTATCATAATTGATGTTGGTATCATTGAAAATCCTGTTCATTCCCCTTTAGAATGATGCCTCACTTGTAATGATTAAGTAGTCATGATATGTGCAGTACACCTAGCTATGGAGCCAAATTGAAATGTTGCAAAATGCTTTGTTATAGAGTGTTTGTTGGAGTAAACAACAAACTTGCAATAATCTGTTTAAAACTCGACAATCACAATCATGTTATTAAAACACATTTCATCTTCCAAACGAAAGGCAAAACAAAAATATTGCACTTTATGAATAACCACCTCAGCATAAATCAAAACATGTTTCATTCTCCAATCAAATGAAGAATTCAATGTTGATAATAGCAATGCATTATGCAACATTTCACTTCTGACTTAGGCCCCACATTTAGGTGTACTGTACTTTTCATGATTACATAATCATTACAAATGGAGCATCGTTCAAAAATACATGTAATAATAATAATACATTTTTTAAATATTGCAAAAGGAATTAAGCAGGCTTTTCAATAATACATATACCAATTTCAAGTATAAGACATGAATAGTAACACTAGAGATACTGTATATCAATGCTTAAACTTTTTGTTTCGATTTATTATTCACGGTTCATAAGCGAGTCGGAGTGGGATGGCGAGGAAAAGGAAAATCTGTGAAAAGAAGGTGGTATGATGAGTGTAACTTGAAAGTAGAATGGAAATGGAGAGTGCAGTGAAATATAGATATGTATACATATAAAATGGATTTGTATTGTAACTGAAGTTGTTCCAGGATCGGCAGTATACACAGTATGATTCGTAATGCTTTAACCATCTTTTATTTTCCATCATATTTCTTTCTGTTTGTTTATAAAACTATCATTTGTCTTACTCGTGTATTATTTTGTTACTCTATTTTTCTGTGACTCTCGTTCTAATCCTCTTCTCTGTCTCTCTCTTTCTTCTTCCCTCCCTCTGCCACATTCACTGTCTAATCGATTTCCTTGCTGGACGTTTTGATGATCTCGATCTATTTGTCTCTCTCTACCTCGCTAAGTCTAGTCTTGTTCTATTCTGTTTTCCAACAAGCTGTTTTTCTATCTACATTTCTGTCTGCTCATCTATCCTCCCTCCATCTACCATCACTTCTCCCTCTCATTCTCCCCCTCTCTCTCTTTCTCTCTCTCTGTCTTTCTCCCCCTCCCCTTCCTCCTCTCTCTCTCTCTCTCTCTCTCTCTCTCTCTCTGCCTCTCCTCCTCCACCTCATCCTGCCCTCCTATTCCCTCTTCCATTTCTCATCTCTCTTCATCTATATTATTGCTACCTGCAATTCTCTCTCATCTTCCATCCTCTCTATCTTCACCTTTCAATCTGAATGCCTGAAACTCTTGTCTCACCCCCCCCCCCCCCCAAATCACACTCCCTCGCTCCCCCTTTTGTTTCCCCATCTCTTTCTCTCTCTCTCTCTCTCTCTCTCTCTCTCTCTCTCTCTCTCTCTCTCTCTCCTGACACTTTTTTTTTTCTCACCACGATAAGTGCTTTCAAAGAATCCAGCTTATACTGCATCAGCGCGATAATACTCATCGTAACCGTTCGCGATTATCACGCACTGTCTTTTATTTATTCATGAAAATTATACAATTTCTCTCGATGTCTGATCGAAACCATGGTGAAAACAGGATTTTATGCTGGGCAACGGCTAATGAATTTGGTTTCCTTGACAATAGATGCACTATTTACGCAAGCACGTGACTTTTGAAGAGTATTATAACTCTACAGAAAAGGACGATTCACTGTACATGCATTAGATACTCAGATGCCTTTTCTCCGTAATATATACCTTCAATACTATAGATCAATAGCATATCTTCAGCCTGTAACTGACATTCCCTTACCATGAGTTTCCCCCAAAATGTCGTAAAGACAATAAACTTTCATCTTTCAGAGGGAAAGAATTATTTACAGTGCCATGAATTTAATTTTGGATATTTTTCGTCATTCTGCGAAAAATTCTGCTGTACTAATTTTCAAACATTGTTCACACATTACAAATTTACAGGACCGGCAAAGATATTACAAGAACATAATTCAACGTTGTGAGAAATTACCAAATTCGACAAAGTTCTTGAGCTTCGTTTGTTGAACACGTTACTAACCGTCCAAAACGACTGTAGAAACTATATTTAGTCTACAAAAAGAGAAGAAAGTATTCGGGTGTTACAGCAGAACGCGTCATTAAAAAACATCATATTCATGTACATGTATATTTTGCCATTCTTTAAAGGTAAAGACCAGTATTGGAAACGCCCCAATTTCAAAAAATGAAATGGAAGCTCTCATTACCAATCATGTGAAAGAATATGTTTTGACTAATACATGATGATAAAAAATTTGCCGGGAAACCGCCTACTAATTCATATATTTGGTAAATTTGTTTCTCTCATGGTCTGTGAGAGATATAGGGTAGTCCCATATACATCTTTCTGTGTATAGTGCTTGTAACTTTACGAAGAATGGGCCAAATTTCTTATCATTTTTATGATTCCAGAACCTTGCAGATGCTAGATGCTAGATGCTAGATGATCAACCTTTTCTGATCGATTCCACAACGTTTTTTTTTCACAATGCAATCGCATGACCATAACTGGTCTTTACCTTTAACTTTATATTATGACACATGATGGGCAACGCATTGCATTTCGCTAGCAGTTATTATGACTTTACTCTTACAATATTCACCTTTCGAGGTGTTAATAAATAGCTTAGATCAAGATATACATGCATAATTCATGTGCAGCTTTCTAGAACAGTTTAGAACATTTTGTGTAAATATGGGCTATGGATTTTACTCTTTAAAATGTGCCTAAGTGCATGGAAGTCTGCTTCTGGGGGAGTCATAGTTTAGGAATCACTTTTTGGGAGTTGAGTTCATTCTCAAAAGAGCAATTCAACCACTATATTTCGGTGTGATTGATTTCAAAATAACATGGAGTTGCTTCAACTCCACAGGGATATGATATATATATATTTTTTTTTTTTTGGGGGGGGGGGGAGGGGTCGTATTAGAGATCGAGTGATTTTGATAGGAATTCCGACGCTCAAAATAAAAAAAAAGGAATAGCGGAATCCACTCTCAAAAGAGTGATTCAAACACCACTTAGGAGTGGATTTCAATGTAACTTAGAGTGGATTCAATTCCAACGAAAGTGATCACCAATATGACACCAAAAAGACGTGGATTTATTGTCTGTATTAAGAGAGTAGAGCAATAACTGTTATTGTGCACAATTTTATCACATGTGATGTGATTAGAATGATGAGTGACAACGTTAACTTTTCTTTTCTATTTTTTCAATCTTCAACGATTAGCGATAATGCTTCCATTAACGATATATTGACCGCGTAGCAAGAACAAGAGTCGCACAGGACGGTGAAATATTATTAGTGAAGAAATGCTCATTCAAACAATATGAAAACGATCACAAAGACCTTCGAGAAATCAGCTCAAGCGCAATTTTAATCCCTTTTTGCTAATCCGATGAAAATCATGTTCAGTGATTACGTAATACTCTGTTGCCATGAATGTTCGCACATTTCGATAGGTGACGCACAAAAAAGCCTCGGTCACAAATGCCACGAACGCCGTACGAACGATTTTCAGACAATGGAAATTCGGAAAGACAATAGAAAAACAGGGAGATTCGTACGAAATTATCGTTCGTACGAACCTTTGTGACCGTAGCATTAGGCTAATGAAATTGCACGAGGTAAATTAATTCTTTTTCGAAAGTCTTTGCGCTCGTCTTTCTAATGTCTCTTTGATTGCCGATCAGCGTCGGGTGTTAGAAGAAAAATGAAAATCTCTTGGGCGTGGTGACCTTGGCAAAAGACGGACGAAAACGACATTGCATCATGGTCTTTACGTCGATTAGCTGCCCTTGGAACGATGACGTATCTGATGACGATGATGATGATGATAAGAAAAAGAAGAAGAAGAAGAAAAAAAAGAAGAAGAAGAAAAAGAAGAAGAATAGGAAGAAAGAAAAGAAGGAGAAGAAGAAGAAGAAGAAGAAGAAGAAGAAGAAGAAGGAGAAGAAGAAGAAGAAGAAGAAGAAGAAGAAGAAGAAGAAGGAGGAGAAGAAGAAGAAGAAGAAGAAGGAGGAGAAGAAGAAGAAGAGCGATAATGGTAATAACAATAATAATAATAATGATAATAATATTAATAAAATAATGTTAATTGGGTTTTATATAAAGTTCATTAAAGTAGTTAACACGGTGTAATTTATCTGAATGAAAAGTCTCAACTTACCCGAGTGAAAATCAAAAGGGAGATTACAAGAACTCAAAATTAATATATAATTGAGAAGGGCAACTTCTTCTTCGTGCTTACCATTCCGACATGTGTCGATCATGTCTTTGTATCTGGAGAAGCAAGCGATGAGTCCTCTAGGCGCCAGCCCTCTTCCCGTACCGAACGCGAGGCATAGCTTACTCATCCCGTTCTCCCGCGCGCAATCTGTACCAAAAAATCAACAACTCGGTCTATGAGTAATTTGGAAGAGGGATTTCCCATTTTTTATACATCAATTTGCGTCTTTATAACATTATTTTTATTGATTAAAAAAAGGGGAATGAAATGGTTTTAAAATATGGACATCGAAGAAGGAAATAATCTTCAACTTCCATCAAATGAAAGAATGGGGATCATTTTGAGAGAGAGAGAGAGAGAGAGAGAGAGAGAGAGAGAGAGAGAGAGAGAGATGAGAGAGAACAAGACATACGTACAACAACGAAGGCAAAGAAGCTAAAGAATGAACAGAGAATTAAGCAGAAGGAGGGAACAGAGAAAACCAGAAGGGAAGAAAATGAAAAATAAACAAATGAAACGAAACAGTAAGGCTTAGACAAAAGATACGAAATGAAAGGGAAATATAAAGTTAAAATAATAAATCGAACTTGAAGAGAACATAATGGGGAGAGGCCAGCTGTGATTAGAGTTGATAGAGATGGAAAAAAAAACATGTTTAGATATGGAAAATGTAATGGATAATAATTTTACCTGTCACATTGAGTGGCATCTTACTTTGGTCGATCAGGGGGCAGTCTTCCAAGTTTTGCAGATCTTCTGAGAAACATGAATTACAACAGTGACAATCCATGTAGAGTTGAATTGATTTGGATCAATCATAACTATTTATAAGACGGGGCCCTTGTCAAGAAGTAGCCTAGCGTAGGAATGTTTGAAAGCTTTGAATACGAGCACGATATATTTATAAAAGGGGCATAGTTTGTTCTTAATTTTGGCGGATTGTGCCCCCTGCCCCCTCCCGACTCCACCGCCTTTCATCGTAGTGGTATAGAAAACAAATAATTATCCAAAGCTGCTCCGATTCTTTGAAACCAGATATATGGTACTTTAGATGACCGCAAAAGTGCACAATTTGTAAGAGTCAGTTGGAAATATAGGGGGAAAGGGGCACTTAATATCAAAGGACAATTACACCAAAACTAACCAGGTGAACTTATAATTATTTGAAATGGGCATATTAGAATGGAAGGAGCAATTATTACAAAAGGAAAATGGGCACTTATCAGAATAAAACGGGAGCACTTATTTGAGGTAAATATTATCACTTTTTAAACGTAAAAAGGGCGCTTTGAGGTACTTGGAAAATGGGGGCACTGTGTCCACAGCTCCCCCCCCCCCCCTCGCCACCTCTATGTTTGCTTTGAACATTTACTTACCATTTATAGTTGGTGTCTTGACTGGGGCTGGACAGCTGATGCCTTTTGCACCTATACCGTGCAAAAAAAAATAACAACATGATCTTTTTTACAAATTTTAATGTTGATAGGTCATGAATGTTTTGGAATTCCCATCCTACAATGAGTATGTGTCGAATAAATGCTATTCTATAGAAGTTAAATGTGCATTACGGGTGATGCGATTAGTTAAATTATGTCAATACAGTAACACAGCGCAAGAAACCAGTAAACACGATTGGTAGAGTAAGCCATTGAAGAAAAAACACCTTGTTATAAAGGCACATGCGTGAAAAGCGTCTATAGTATGAGAACTACAAAATAGAAGAAAAAAGGGAAACGATTATGGGGGGAAAAAGTTTGAGAGGTTTATAAAAAGAGAAATGGACAAAGAAGATGAAAAACATTTAGAAAAAAGGGTAGAAAACAGACAATGATATATATTTATAGGGATAAGGTTGAATGGAATGATTTTTTTTTTTAATGAGAAAGAAATTATAATGGCATGAGAGAGAACAAGACGACTAAAGGAAATGCAATAATTATGTCATACCAGTCCCCAACGACGTTAGCAAGAAGCAGCCGAAAATGAAAATACAAATATGACTTGGAGTCAGGCAGAGAATAGATTCTCTGGTAGATCCGCTCGCCTCCATCTTTCCTTCAGTCAGTGATGAGAGAATGCCTGCCGTCTGGAGCGGTATCGCTTTATGCGGAGGCCGCGGATCCGGGGGACACAAGGGGCACATACCCCCGGCAAAAAATGGTCTGTATTTAATGCACATGCGTGTAACGTCAACACTAGTCTTGTGCCCTCACTATTTAATGATAACAAATATGTTTGTTGTTGTTGTTGTTTGCTATGCTTTTTTGTATTTAGTTTTGTGCTTGATTTTGTAACGTGATCGCAAAGACTTTCGAAAGATCAACTTTTTAAAGGCAATTTCTATAGTTTTATTTCCATCTCTCGTTGAAATATACGAACATCAAAATGATGCATTACGTCACCCGAACATGATTTATATTAGGATGTACTGCGGGGGTATTGACATTGTCCTCGAGTTGGTTTCTATATTTGCTATCATTTGATTTTGTTGCGGGAATTGTTTAATCTTTAATAATGGGATATGCAACATTATACTATTCTTCTAGTGAACTTTAGGTATGATAGGACGCCTAACTTGTGCGTATACTTTAACCAAAAAAATTAGCGTAATAAATATTTGTGTGACCACCTATGCTTTTATGGCTTGAAAGTCTTTGGGCCCATAAATTTTAGTTAAATGGTCAGCTATGGAAAGAGGACCCATATCTATATTCAGTAAAATGATTCAATAGAACGGTTTCCTAGTATGTATACTTTTAAAACAAAGGTTATTCTTGACAATCCGATCGAAAGCTTGCTCGATGCTTGCCCGCGACCTAGCAACAAGTAATGTATGCAGACTGGATTACTAGTATTGTAGTCCATTAATTAATAACAGGTTAATGGAATAGCTCGTCACTCGATCTCCACGCAATTTGAATGTGTTATAAGTAATTGCCGGTCAATTCAATCTGTTTATAAATTTCACTCATAAGTGTTTTTCTCTCTCACTTTCAAAGCGAAAACGAAAATAACAGCTGAGGTAATCAATGAATCTGATTATAAATGCTTGTCCAATATTTCAGCTCGAGCAGTACCGAGATGGAGATTAGATGAAGAGGGCGCGGCCTCCCTGTGCCTCCCACGCCCACTGTATTATCATCATGTGATACTTTGCCGAGGTCACCTGACCATACAGCGTTGATCTAGCTACCAACCTGTGCGAGAAATAACGTATGGTTGATCTAGAATGAGGAAACAGTCAATATTTGCTCAATATCTCGTCGTGGTTTCTGTGGACAACTCTTTCAAGACGGATTAAGTAAACACATTTGGAACAACAAAGCCTCTTTAGGAAATAGTCGCAACTGGTCAGACTTTGTCGTTCTTTTTCGGACAGTATTTTACTTTTAGCTGGGAGTGGTGGACGGTCGACGGCGCCATACATGTACCTACCGCACCGCGTACCGGTATGTGACTTTGCTGCAATGCTGGTTCGACTTGGTCGCGGTGTATTGCTATAATGCTAAGGCTGTTGGACATGCATGAACTGATTCAGGACATTTTGCAACTTCACGAGTCGGGGGGAAACTACCCCAATGTAATACTGATATCATGAACTACGGACGTTATATCTTTTCTATCATTCATTAACTCATCCTTGGCTTTGCTTTTCAAACTGAAGAAGATCAAAGTGCATGTGCAGAGTGTGAAGACTTATTTACATCACTGACAAGAAGCATTCAACTTTAAGTTATCTATTGCCTTTGGATTGGGTAACGCTTATCACTATAACGATGGCTCTTTCAGTAGATTTCAAAGGTTTAGACTCTGATCTTGATCATTCTGTTGACAAAACCGAGGAGTTCGACAGGAAGCCCAGTAAAGGTGAAGCAGAGTTAAACATGACCCAGGAGGAACGACAAGCGTTGCTTTACGCAAGCGGCAGCCAAACCTCATCCAACAATGGCAACTATTCAAGTCATAGCTCAAGCAGCAGCAGACTTGGGCCAAAACATTTCAGCCCAGCTCGGTACTGGAAAAACCTGATAGTTATCGGTCTGGCGTTTATGCTCACATTCAGCGCATACAGTGCGCTGGCCAACTTGCAGAGTAGTCTGAACTACAGTGCAGGGCTTGGTGTCACATCGTTATGTGCTATTTACATTGGTGTGATCATATCCAGCTTGCTATCACCACTTGTTATCTGGGTTTTGAAGGTGAAATGGACCATGGTTGTCTGCAGCGTGTTCTACGCCATCTTCTCTGCAAGCAACATCTACCCCGCCGTTTATACGCTCATTCCTGCAGCAGCCTTGCTGGGATTAGCTGCATCACCCTTCTGGACGGCGGTCGGCACCTACCTTACAACATCGGCCATCCAGCTTGCAGATGTGCAGGATGGCATCCCAGAGCCCATCATCAATCGCTTCAACGGTGTGTTCTTCTGCTTCTTCCAGTCCGCTCAAGTATGGGGCAATCTCGTCTCATCACTTCTTCTTCACAATGAATCTTCCTCCGATACGATGACCAACTGTGGACGCTTCAGCTGTGGAACCGGCATCAGCTTCAACGTCACCGGTGACGTCGAGATGGCTGAGGATCAAACACTTATACTCATCATCATCTACATCACCCTCGGTCTCGTATCGACACTCATTTTCATCTTCTTCTTGGACAGTCTGCCAAAGGTTTCTCACAGAGAGAGTAAAACTTGGAAGATGCATCTGTCGGACCACCTGGTATCTACGTTCCAGTTGATGAAGACCCCGTATCTCTTTCTCATGATACCACTCATGATCTACAATGGAGCAGAACAGGCCTTTATCAGTGCAGATTTTACAATGGTATCCAAAGTTAACTTACTGTTTAACTATTCACTAATATAGAATATAATAATGATAATGATGTTAATAATAATAGTAATATTGTTAATATGATGGTAATAAAAACAATAACAGCAGCATGATAACAACAATAATGATACAAATAATGGCAATGAAACTTTTTTTAAATGGAAGATTGTGGACTAAAGTTTTCTTAAGAGAAAGAACCAATGTTTGAAATATAGCCAACCTGCTATTTAAATTTCCTTTTCATTTTACACTACACGGATTTAGAATGTTAGCAAATGTAACACAAATTTGTAATTTTTAGAAAAGTTAAACTAATAAACTAACGAGACCCAGTGATCATGATAATGGAAGCAAACTTTTTATAGTAATTATTCTTGTGCTTTTGGGCAAGTCCGTGATACATGTATATCCCACGCGTAACCAATTTCAATTCAGTTTCATATGGAGTTGCGAACATAAATCGACATGAAAATTTAATTTATTTTATATTTTGTCTGATTCAAGCCCTTGTAGAGCTACATGTATCAGCTCAATATACATAGCCATCACCCATCAGAATGTACATGCACTTAACTTAAGTCTTGATGTTAGTCAATAATGTACATGCTAAAATAGCCTGAATATATAGACAGTAAGCACTTCAGATTTATGGATCTATTTTTGTAAGCAGCATGTTGAATAACCGATTAAGTTATCATGTTGGTCATGAACTTGATCGTGCTCATGGACTCTGTCCAATCACCTGACCTTTGCATCGCACACTGTCAGATGTAATATTTAGGCAATGGCCGGGAATCATATGACATAATGAAGAAGAGGGATGAAGAAAGAACTAAAGAGGGCTCTGGTGTGTGGACCTGGCTTTGGCAGAGCACCTGAGACATTGTTCTTTAAACTTTAATCGTGGAGGGTCACATTATTGTAATCTGGATTTCTTTGACAAGCAAAAAAAAAGGGTACCCACGTTTTGTGGTTTTGCACTAAAAATATTGTGGTTTGGAGGGCTTTTTTTAATTAATAAAAGACTGAAAATTGTTGGAGGCTTTTGATACTGTGTCCCCCATTTCCAAATTGTGGATGGAACGCCAACTGCCCTCTTTATTTAAAGTCCTACATGATAGTGGATGTTTTATGATGAGGGACCCTATTGGCAAGTTCCCATTATCAAAATTAAAAGCATTTATTTCAGTTTTTACCCATGGACAGTCAACTAGGTATGTTCATTTATTGTGAAGGCACAAGGTTGTACGATTTGGTAGACCCAATTGTTTGCACACATGAAGGGTAAATCATGATGACCATCAAGGGCTTTGGAACCCCCTTAAAGCAAAAATCTTTTTGGGGGTATCCATCTGGCTCATTTGGTCAACCCATCAAAACATACTCTCGTATGTACATTCATCCATTCCCAATTTGTGATTGGATAAATATTTATTATTTTCTTCTAATTATTTCATTTCGACCATTCCTGTCCTATTGTTATATCATTTTAGTCTTTCGTCAGCTGTACAAGAGGTGCCGGTGAAGTCGGCTACGTCATGATCGGATTCGGTGTTGCCGATGCGCTGTCCTCGGTCATCTTCGGCCAGCTCGAGAAGTACACAGGTCGGATCGTGATCTTCTTGTTTGGGGGTGTGGTCCACATGGCTCTCCTGATCGGCTTTGAGGTGTGGAACCCGGAGCACTCGGCCACCTGGCAGCTCGTCATGTTTGCCGTGGGATGGGGTATCGGGGACGCCGTGTTGCAGACACAGATTTCATGTAAGACATTTAATCGTTGATCAAACACGATCGCAAAGACTTTCAAGAATTCAACTTAGGTGAATAGAGTGGTGAAGTGTGACGTCATCAAAAATCTATTTTGGGCATTTCTCAATTTTTTCTTCATTTTCCGAAAGAGCATAAAAAATAATGGCCAAATATCGAAAACCAATTGAATATGTTAAGTAATGGCTGAGATGTGACCATCTGTGTTATATTGCTCTGGTTCATAACATTACGAGCCAGAGCAATATGTAACACTGACTTCATATAGAAAATCTATTCATTCAGATGGTCATATCTCAGCCAATACTTAATATTTTCAATTGGTTTTCGACATTTGGACATTATTTTTGATGCTCTTTCGGAAAATAAAGAAAAAATTAAGAAATTCCAAAAATAGATTTTTATGATGTCACAGCTTTGGTACCGTACTCTATTTCAATATCCAATGTACTGCCTCCAGAAGTTATGTTCGGATTATGTCATTGTCATGTTCACACATATCAATTGGTGACACACAAAATATTGGAATTGCCAAAAGTTGATTTTTCAATGTTTTACTATTGTAATTTGTTATAGAAATTGTTTTCAGAAGAAAAGAGAAGAAAAGGGTTTAAAACTGTAATTTGATCGCAAAGACTTGAAAAATCAACCCAATGCAATTTCAGTAGCCTTGTGCCTCATCTTTTGAATTGCGAGGACAGGACCAAGAGAAATTACATGAGCTGAACATGATTTCCAGAGGCAGCACAGTATAGGGTATAGACATTGTCCTCGAGTTGTTTCTCGAAAACCCTTGCAATCGTATATTTTAAAACATCAGCTGAACTAAATTAAGAATGTTAATCTCAAGAGATGAACAGGAAGAGAACCGAAAAGAGTTGAACTTGAACATCTTTATATTTTGTTTGTGATTTATACTAGCTCACATGCTTGAAACTGAAACGTTATTGTGCAATTTAAATTGTTTCACTTTCATAACTGTCCATTGTAACTAAAATAATAGGCCTACATGACACATGGAAGTATCAGAAACACAAAAAAGGTGATATCCCAGAATAAATCAAATGGTTATTAGTATTGATACACAAGAGCCTACAGAAAATATTGTTATGGCTGTATTAGGAAAGATAGAAGAAGATGATACTACTAAAACAAACTGCCCTCCTGCTTTGTGACATCACAAAAGTTGTCATAATACAGTATTTTCTTTTTTTTCTGTTGTAGTTGTTGTTTATATCCAGTCTCATTTTATTGTCTTTTTTTTCTCTCTTTCCCTCATTCTTCCAGCTCTGCTAGGCGTGATATTTCCAGAATCTCAGGAGCCCGCCTTCGCAAACTTTCGACTGTGGCAGGCCGTGGGTTTCGCCGTGACCTACGCGTTGACCATACCGTCGGCCATATGCGTTTGTCACAAGATATACGGACTCATGGCATTTCTGACATTTTCAATGATTTGTTACATCATAGAGGAGTATATGATTTCGAGACCAGCCCCTCCCTGGACGGATTGAAATGGATGATTTTTATTGCAAGTGATGCTTGCGATATTAGACATACTTTTGACAGTCTCAAAACAGAATTATGCACGCATAATATATAAATACGTTTATCCAGATTTTATTGTATTCAACAAGGCTCATTATACTTGCACAACATTACATGTAGTAATAACCCTCATTGCACACAAGGCATCATTTTCAGTACCTGGGTCAGAACTTGCACGGTTTCTGAACACCCCATGTGAGAGTTACATCTATCAACGGCATGAACAGTGCGAACAATTTGAACATTGCGTTGAATTACTGACGCAAGTACTATTTGCTGTCATATAGGATAATTTATATGTCCTTGTAATGATGCCCCATCTGCAATTCGTTTAAGGAAAATGTAAGAAGTGAGAAGGACATAGTCTATACATGTACAAGGATACTCAGGAAAACTAATTTAGCTTATGTAAAAAGGGAGAAAACTGTGACCGGATGTATATTATTTTGTTGCTATTTCATTTGTGATAATTTAGCAAATATCATTGTACATGTATCTGTAGTATTCCTCAATGTAGAAAACGAAACTGCTATGCATGCATGCAAGCTTGTTCTATTTCATTGTGTTTCTACTTTTTGTCAATATCTTTCATCCAGGAACTTCAGCAGAGCCATTGTATTGAATATTGGTATATTACTAATGATAACATTTATATGCATTGGTGCATTTTCACTGTATGGCAATTCCATGGGAGTCCTGAAAAGGACTGTTGGTAATCTTCCTTGAGTAGTCCTAAAAAGGACTGTGGTAGTCCTGAAAGGACTGTTGGTAATCTTTCTTGAGCTTATAGTTCTAAAGAGATCTATAGTGCCGGTAAGAGAGGATGGGTAGTAGGAGGAGCTGGACGTTTCAGACAGGTTCTCTATCCGTCGTCAGGTCTACACATGTACAAGAAGGATTACCAACCATCCTTTTCAGGACTCCCCGATCCCGATCCTCCTCCCCCCCCCCCCCCCCCTCTCACATGGTGTAACAGTAAGCTAACTGTATAAATTGATTCTCATTAAGGAAATGTAATTCAGTACTTTGCAGCTGCTTATTTTTTTGCAGCTCTCTAAAGCACTGAATATGTCAAATTATTTAATGTTTCTTTTAAATGTTTATTTCAAACACTATTTATATAGGATCCTTTGTACTTGTAGTAATAATCTCCAATACTTTACAATTTACTTATATGATAGGTACAATTTCTATTTTCTGTATGTAAATATTTTCTCTTGAAAAGGGCATTAAAACTAATCATTTCATGAAGGAACATTCATGTTAATCAGCCTATGTCAAAAAGCCTATGTTTTCTCACGAAGCCGAATTATTTTATAGTTTATTTCAAGAATTTTCTAAAATTCCTGAGCAGATATGCTATTATTTCCTTAATCCAGCAATATTTCCATAGAAAATACTATGCATGATGCTATGTATGAACGGTATGTGTATCTCGATTGCAAAGACTTAAAAAAAAAAAATCAACTGGATTGCAATTATGATAGCTGATAGCATTGACGATAGAAATCATGTTTGTATTACGTGATATTACATTGTCATGTTCGCACATTATAACAGGTGATGCCCGCCCAAGGCTACCGTATTTAAATTGCCTTATAGTAGTAAATTGAATTTTGGAAAGTCTTTGTGATGGAGTTATCCTCAATTTTGGACTTTGATGATAATTGGTGCAGTTTCTTATTTCTATATATATGTTCTTTTTTCCCCACCAGATGATAGAATGCATGGTGCCTTCAATATAATATTTTCAATTTCTAGTAAAAACTTTATTTGTGTGTAGTGTTTCATTCCAGTCACGTGTAAAAAAAATCCTTTACAAAATAATTTGTTTTGAATAATTTTTTTAAATATTTACTATCTGGGGTTCTCTGTTGTATCCCACTCAAATTTGCTATCACAATCGATAAATCCATGATAATTGATGCCGGAGGCAACAGAGCCGGGGGGTGGGGGGGGGGGGTGGGCAGGGGGGCACAATACTCCCCACTTTTTCAAGTGCCCAGCCTAAAGCGCCTCTTACCACTTCTGATAAGTGACCCCTTGACTGATGATAATTGTCCCAATTCAAATCTAATAGGTGCCCATTTTACTTTAACAAGTGCCCTTTTCTTTTGTAATAAGTGCCCCTTCTTACCTCTCAAGGTGCCCTCTTTTATTTTGACACATGCCCCCTTGTCTTTCTAATAATTGCCCTTTTTCCTCCTGATAAATGCCCCTTTTCTTTTTTAATAAGAGCCACTTCCCTTTCTCATAAATGCCCCGTCTGATTAATGCCTCTATTGAAATCACATAGGTGCCCCTTTTCTTTCGACAAGTGCCCATTTCTCTTGTAATTAGTGCCCCTTTCAATTCTCAAAAGTGCCCCTATTCGTCTCAGATGGGTGCCCCTTCTTAGGTACAAGAAATGCCCCTTATCACCTCTGATAATTAGTGCTCCTTCACCTCGTGTAATTATCTCTTTTCAAATCTGAGAGGTGTCCCTTTTATTTTGACAATTTGAAGTGCCTCTTTTCATCTCTGATAATTAGTGCCCATTTTACTTCAACACTTGCCCTTATCCTTTCTAAGTAGTGCCATTTTCCTTCTGATATAATTGACCCTTTTCATCTCTGGTGAGTGCCAGACTTATCAGGTGCGAGTAGTGCCCCATTTTCACCTCTTATATTTCCGATTTTTACTTTGCCACATGCGCTCCTTTTCCTTTCTAATTAATGTCATTTTAACCCTGGATATGTGCTCCCTTTTCCTTAAATGTCACCATAAAATGTGCTCCTAATTTAAAGCAACTATTCACACATCAAAGCTCGATCGGTCGCATTTTATAATTTTTTTCTTATAGATCATTTCAGTCTTTCATGATAAGGATTATTTTTTTCCTCTTTATAAGATGTAATTTTTCGCACTGCGGCATATCAATTTTTTATTTTTTTTAGCTTGCTCTCTTCGCTCGCTGGCAAATAAATATTCAGACATATCACACCCAAGTGACCCAACTGCAAACTAAGTATAATGCTTAAGCAGTAGGCCTATATCTTCGACCATGTAAATAGTGAAAGAACAATATGAAATCATCCCTGATAATATAATCACAAGGTAGGGGTATATAGGCCTATTAAATGAGAAATGGTATATTTTCCCTTCGAGGTTTCCCATATTAAGTGCCCATTTTCCCCCAAAATTCCCCCTTTTTGTCGGCCCCGCCCCCGCCTCGCTCCACCCCCCCCCCCCCAATTGAAAGACGCTCTGCCGCCCCTGGGCTCAGGTGACATTAATTCTGGATATTATTTATCAATGCAAGATCTATTTATATATTTTGCGTCACTGTTACCACAGCACAAAATATCAATAGTGCCATTTTACAGAAATAGCATAACTTGTTAGCTTCAATATAAACTGCGTGATATATTTTTTTTATCCTTGATTTTTGCGACATATAATGAGAGTGAAAGTCGAAATCAAATAATTTTTCCTGACATTTGGAATAAAATTATTTAAAAGACGTATTTCTTGTGAAGTCTTTGTAAGGTAACAAGTTCGATTTGGGGATTTGAAAATTTCGTTAAAGATGTTATAATATACACCTATCAGAAAATGACTGAAACAAGTCTATAACCCCAAAATAGATAATTGATTAATTGCTCAAGATGGCGGATATTGAGACGATAGAAACTGTGCAAAGTCATGGAAATGACGTCCATCAGAGGCCCAAGACAACGAAATCCGTAATCTTAGAAGAGAGAGATGAAGATGAGAAAGTTAGCAAAAAGCCAGGAAGTAAGTTCATGCAGTTTAAGTTGATATTTCGTGTAACATTTGTTAGTTTTTGTGGCATCGGCGTCGAGGTATTAACGTCTTCCGCCCATTATTCGTAGTCCCATACTATGTTAAATTTGATGGTGGTACTGACTTGTTTTGTTTTGATGTTTTTTTTCGATGATGGTCACGTTGTCTTGTCTTATACTTATTAGTGAAGATATCTGAATGATGTCAATAAGTATTGAACTTGTAAAGAATTAGAGTCTATATTATGTTAATTTAGTATGATTAGTGTCTGTTCTAATGATAATATGGTTGAAAATGAAAGCTCTGAGAGGTTTGACTGAGTTGAGACTGAGAATGAAGTGAGATAGGCTAGACTGATTGAGATGAGAAGTGATAATGAGTTAATGACTTTTTAGTTTTGTTTTGTCACTTTTTGTCGGCTTTAAAAAAAGATAGAAATGTAGACCCTAGAATATAATCTGACATTAGAGTCTAGATCTAGTTTGAGTTTCCTGCTTTTTTTTGTTGTGCTTTTGTTTTTCAATTGTTTTTCAATGTTTCTTTCAACTGAATAGTCTACAACTATTTTGAAAATTGAGGAATGACTTCAAATTTATTAAAAGATTAGTCGCAGTCATAATCTGTAAAAAGCAATCAAAAAATATTGAGAAAATAAAGAATTTTTCATTATACTTCTTGATAGATTTTGCTGTTTATTGTTCAACTAAGTCTAATGCAATAATGGAAAAAGAATTTCTGTTGTACTATGACAAATGAATCAATAAATTCAAATTCAAATTCAAAACATGTTTTCATGAAATTTGCCTTAACCAACCTAGCTAAATAACAAATTTGATGATGATGATAATGGTCGTGACTTTAATAGTGATAATGATTATAATAATGGTAATAAAATGATAACAATAATAACAATAATTATAACAATAATAATGATAGTAATGATGATAATAATTAAATAATGACAATAATAAAGATTAATTATCCTCAGGATTAAAACATATTATCTATAGCATATACTGTATGTAGAGGCCTGCTGCTAGTTCAGTCATATTAAGAAGTCTAATTTCAAGGAGCTTTATATCCCATGGCCATGAAAAAGAAATATGTGTACCAGTATTAACATTTTAGTTATGCTCATCAAAATATCCGCAATCTCGACACTTTACTTTCAATAAATCCATGGGCAGCAATCTAGCCCTAGCCATCAGACTTGTTACAAAGACTTCTTCCAAGTCTGATTAATTACTGAAATAATTACACAGTAGCGGAGTAGCGGAGAGCTCGAAATACCATTTATATACCGGTACATGTATATTATTAATAAAGAACATCTCAGTTTTGTCAATAGCAATTCCAAATTTATAGATTTCCCATTAACGAAATGGTATTTAGAGTACACTGCTGTCAATATTTCAGGCTGCATTCTTAATCTCATTGTCAATTTATTAACTTGTATTCACCTGTCTTCTCAGGCTCCTCAGTAAGACAATGTCTTGTAATGCCCTCCCATAGCTCATCTGTACACCACTGCAAAGAGTTCATAGCTGGATCTGTGGGAAGACTGAGCAGGATTATCACCTGCTGGGCCTAAACTTGTCGCGCTGTGTTGAAATATAGGCATCCACCTCTGATTTGAAGCTGTTAATGAATGAATTCTAACATCCTTCTTAAGAGGCGCTTTACAGATATTCTATAAACAGAAGTAAAATTGAGTCACCTGTCTAACATTGTACTCCTGTCATTTTCACCTTGTCACAGACACGGCATTCAAGCAGCAGAGGTTACCAGCATGGCAGCCTATCTTGACCGCAGGAACGGTCCTTCCGATGTTCTTCCTTGTGGGTATTGTCTTTGTGCCTCTTGGAGTAGGGTTCCTGGTGACATCTAACAATGTAAGTAGTAATGCCCTGGGCCCTGTTTCACAAAACTTGTTATCACTGACAAGTTACAATATCTGTTATAAGCTACTGAAATCGTGGCATTTGATTGGCTGATGGCAAATTTTGAATATAAATTTAGCATTTGTTATTGATAATAAGTTTTATGAAACAGGGCCCAGATGTGCAAGCAAGCATGAAGCTGCCGTTTATTCCTAGTTTGGGGCATAGAAACTGTACATGTATATATTATGCCAACTTCTAATTAAAATAAATATCCCTCCTTTGTGTTATATTTTTGTTTTTGTTTTTGTTTGTTGATTAGGTCGTTTCCATATGATGTGTTTGTATATTAGGGAACTACGATTGTACAAGGCCTAAGGGCTTTATTTATATAGTTCCCCATATCATTTTCAAATTTTGTGTATGATTTATTTGAATATATATACAAGAATGAAATAAATGAAGGAAAATAAATAGAAAATAGTATTTTGATCCTTAGATTCATCTTTTTTTCTGAAAATTCTGTGCAAAAGCAGGGTGGTCCACAAACATGTAAAATTAGAACGTGTAAGGAGTGTAACTGTGAACTGATGTACATGTATGCAAAGCAGGAAGTCCCTTGTGGTCAGGCTCCAGGGCTTGCTTAAGGGCTCTAAGGTTTTTAGATCACTCTGGTGCAATCTTATCCATACTTTGAAGCATTTTCAAACAAATGTCTTGACTAATACTGTATTCATTTTTTTGAAATTGTTCATTTTTAGATCTGCAAAATGAAAATTTAAACCTGTCAATGTTACATGTTTGAACCCCTTGTGGAATGCTCTGACCTTACCATATAAATTACACATGATTTCTAATCTTTTTTCTCTCCCTTCAACAGGGTTCTGCATTTAAAGATTCACGTGTATTGAAACAAGTCTATAGACAAAGACCACCTGCCTATATTGACCACTTAATACCTTGGTTCCCATGAACAGTGTATCTCATGCAAACATATACCGTATTACTAGAACCAGTAGATAAAGATGACCTGATTACAAAGACCACTCCTTTGTCACCCTAGTGGCTGTTGTTACCTCAATGTAAGCCACCTCAATTTTTTGATATATTTTTTTCTTCTACAGGTTCAAGAAGTGGTACTTGATTACACAACATCATGCACCTACCAGAATGCAACCAACGGAACAAAAGATTGCACTGATTTCTATGAGTATCCAGAGAATGAAAACAGTTCCTGTACATGTACAATGAAGTTTGAGCTAAATACCAAGATAGATGTAAGTGCTGAGTCATTTCTCAAATATTTTAGGTTTTGTTTTGAAGAAAAAAAGAAGAAAAACAAAAACTTTGCTTGGCTCCCACTCCATAAGAAAGAGTGAAATAACGACAAAGTTATAATGATTACCTGTTTAAAGGAATTTATGAGGGGTTTCCCCAAATTATTGTTTACTACATTCATTTTACTTGTTAAAATTACCAATATATATAGTTATGTACATGAAAAATGAAATGCTTGATGCTGAATTGATGAATGACATGTACATGTATAGCCTACTTTTCCTGTTTTTGGTTGTAGAGGTTTTTTAGTATTGGTAGCAAAGACATATTTAGATACTTAGGTGAAAATTATAAAGGTGTTATACAGTACGGTAGCTTATTTGTCTCAAACTTGTGAACATGTTCATGTAGCTCTTTACATTACAGAGTACATGTAAATGTTTATACAGTAGGCTTGCGGGTGCACCATGTGAGAGAGAGGGAGGATTGAGGAGTCCTGAAAAGGACTCTCGGTAATCTTTTGTAAATGTTTATTTTCTGTCTGGAATACTATGAAGTGTGTCTGTGAAATAATGTTATTATGTACTATTCTGTCCAACTATGTCACTTCTGAATTGCCATGTGCCAGCCAATTTTGTTTGATGGTTCCAGACACATTTCAAGAAGAGTATCTTGTAAGTCTCTGTAATTTGTTTCCATACTCATCAGTAGATGGAGTATAGTTTGTGGATAAACATGTACATGTACATGTATATTGGTATGCTTTTAAAGGATTTTGTTTTCCTCGTTTCATCAACCCAGGGCCCCATCTACATGTACTACCGCCTGACCAACTACTACCAGAACCATCGTCGCTACGTGAACTCTCGGGATGACATCCAGCTCCTGGGTAAGAACCCCCTCAGTGTGAGCAGCGACTGTAGTCCTTACGACGAGGAGCTTTGTATATACTCCAATACATCGGAGGAGAAGATACCGTACGCTCCATGTGGAGCCATCGCAAACAGTCTCTTCAATGGTAAGTGTAGTTTATTGCTGCATTCGCTGTTTATTTTACCTACCACATTGGCCCTGCCTCATGTCAAAAAGATCATGTACTGATATTATATTTGGTATATGTGCATTCATTCTAAAATCGTTGTATTTAAATTTCATTACCCCCAAATCTTCCTTAATTTAAGGTAAATTCTGTGAGGGGTGGATATTTGAAAACATTGAATTTTGAATTATTTGACATCATTCTTGCTTGCTTTTAAATGAAAAAAAAATTGTTCTGCTCTGTTCATATATTGATGCCTCAATCTATCCTACTCTTTGTCTTACTCTTTGTTTTTGTGTATTATTCACTCTCTGTCTGTCTCTCTCTCTCTTTCTCTTTCGCTTTCGCTGTGTACTCTCACTTGTTCTGTTTCTCCTATACTCCATCTTTTTCATATTTTCCCATCCTTGTTCATTCACTCTCTCCCTTTTCCATCTCTTGTCATCTCTCCTCTTCTCTTCTCTCCCTTTCTCTCTTCCTCTCTCCCTCTCTCCCTCGCTCCCTCTCTCTCCCCCTCTCTCTCCCCTCTCTCTCTCCCTCTCTCTCTCTCTTGCCCCTTCTCCCTCTGCATTCTCTCTTCATTTCTCTTTCTTCTCTCTTCCTCTTCCTCTCTCTCTCTCTTTCCTCTCTCTCTCCATAATATTCATCCATATCTCTCACCTCACATACACAGATACATTCAATATAACGTTTGATGATGATGGTCAGCTGCCAAGTGGTAAGGAGGTCTTGCTAGATAGAACCAACATCGCCTGGGCCAGTGACATTAGGACCAAGTTCAGGAATCCTACGGGAGCTTCGCTTGAAGAAGGTTAGTACATGTAGCTCAGAACCAGAAGGATGTATAATCATATAATGATAATGAAGAAGAAGAAGGTGGAGGAGAAGGAGAAGGAGAAGAAGAAAGAGAGAAAAGGAAATGAAGGAGAAGGAGGAGGAGGGGGAAGGCGGAGGAGGAGAAGGAGAGGAAGCAAGAAGAAAAAGAAAAAAGAGGAGGAGAACAAGCAGAAGAAAGAAGAAGAAGGAGAAAAAGAAAGTAGAGGAGAAGTAGAACATGCTATGACTGCAATGAATGCATTTTTGCCTTGTGTTGTTTTTAATTTCTAACCTTTTGAATGTGTCACATAGTCAAATTGGTGTGATTTTTAAAAAACAATGTTATCACTGCAATAATTTAACGTCTTTTCCTTTAACAGCATTCAATGGAACCACTAAGCCACCTAATTGGCAGAAGTACATCTGGGAGATGCAAGATGGTTACCAGAACGAAGACTTCATCGTCTGGATGCGAACTGCTGCATTCCCGACCTTCCGCAAGCTGTACGGTAGGGTCGTGGACCAGCCCAACACGAGGCTAGATAATGGCTTACCGGTCGGAAACTACACCCTCACTGTCCAATACAGTATCCTTTTTTAATATGTGTATTGTAATTTTTATATTGTAGTAAAATATTATTTTTTACCTAGCTAATTAGCCTGTCCAGATCAAAATGTAAAATGGAACTAAGATCATTCATTTCTTTCATATGACATGTATGTATTGTGCTCTGTACATTCAAAATCTGATATCTCTGAAAGGGAAAATTATCATTTTTTTCTCCCAACTCATTCAACAATTAATTTGTTGACATGAAATTGTTATACCGTAATAATGTAGATATATTTTGCGTATCATAATTTTGTAAAAACCAGACTTGAATAACTGACATAACATTTTCCATAGCTTCAAAGGAATTTCTTCACAGTAGATATCAAATAAGGAGACAAATCAATATTTTGTAAAGACGATTGTTAAAACTTATACCAAATGAACAAAGTTGCCCTTAACCCATGTAATTCCCACAGACTATCTTGTCCACATGTTTGATGGTACAAAGAGCATTGTTCTGACCACAACCTCATGGTTAGGGGGCAAGAACAACTTTTTAGGAATAGCATACATCGTGACTGGATCTATTTGCATCGTCTTTGGCGCCTTATTTCTTATCGTTCATATCAGGCACGGAAAAAAGTAAGTATACACTCTGCAAGAAAGTGGCATGTTCATGAATGATAATATGATTTGATTGTTAGATTCCCACTTTTAATTTTGCTTCATTTTAACTTAACTTTGTCTGAACCCTTCTGATTACTTTCCTAACTTTGTTCCTGCTTGTATTTTTGATGTTCTGATTATAACTTATCATTATGATTTACCTTTCATTTACTTTATATTGCTACTCCCTCTTCCAACCTTTTAATGTACATCTTGTCTGTTTTGCCTGTTGGCTCTGTGCCAAAATATGATCTGTAGTTTGAGAAAGAGGTTGGTATGTGATTCTCCATGTCAATTACCCCGAGACAAAAGACCTGCATAAACTCTTGTACATGTATATTTCAATCAATCAACCATTGGAATTTATTGGATATTGGTAGGTTTCAATCAATCAAACATAGGAATTTACCACCAAGGTATTTATGGCAGGTGAAATTAACAATCACAGATATGGTAATGTACAACCAAGATATTCCATACAGGTTGAAATTAACCAGCCCAAAGTATGACAGTAAACAAGTTTTCCTATTGCATGAACACCATGGCCAGAATTCACAAAGGAGGTTTGTCGAGAAACCTAGGTTAATGTTCGTCATATGACGTGTTTCGATGCGTTTCAGACCAAGGTTCAGACAAACCTTGGTCTGACGCACATAAACCTAGGTTTGTTGACAAACCTCCTTTGTGAATTCGGGCTTAAATGATTAAAATAGAAAGTCCTTCCCTTTCATTGCTTTGCATGTTGATGTTGAGTGTACTTAAACTTTCCATAGGCCCAAATAGATGAAATTCAAGATCGTCTTTTATTTTCTACTCATCTTTGTTTCATAAATTCATAGATTTTGTACGTTTTCTATAATTTCTTGTGTAAAAATACATGTACGAAGTCTAGCTTCAGCTAGAATTCAATTTTCATGTATGAAATCCAAAAGATTATAGAAAATTTCATATCGCCAATATAGTCCACACAGTGAATTCATGGCACATACTTAGATTTAAACTAAATATGATGTTCTGTTTAAGGTGACCGAATGATAGCTGCAGAAAGAAAAAAAGAAAAAAATCTGTAAACAGGATTCAAGTAATACAATAGATTTTCTATCTCATGAATATTAAAATGAACATTTGAATAGATATTTGAAGTTAGATGGAATGCATTAAGAATATTTAAATGGAATGATTTTATCCCAAACAGACTGGATGTACAACGAGGGGAGAAGCGGGGATTCCAATCCTTGTAATTCAACTTTGATTTACAAAACCTCTTAATGCAAAAAAAGCCCTGGTAAATTAATTATAATAGAAAATAATAGCATTTTCTCTTCTCAAGCACTCTATCTAGTCCTATATACATAACATGGTGTATTGTTCTCTAGTATATTAACAACATCTACATTTGCGGATTTCTAACGATAAACTGTACACGAGCATCATCATTTATAAACTTGTGCGTCCATACTGCATGCAGCAGAATCATAGTTGCGTCAAGATGGTGGAGGGATATATATATATAGCCTAGTAATTGATGATTAATAAAAGCTGTAATGTTCCTGAAATAGTAGCTGCAGCTATAAAGCTACAATTCACAATTAATCAGCTGTATGCGGATTACGTAGTTTTTTTTGCACTATTTCTTGAATTCTCTACAATTTATTTATTATGGATATACTAGCAACATGTAATTATGAATATTTAATTATCGTTTTAAGGGTAGTGCTAATATGTGTGAACTATGAAGCTATTTAGAAAACATAATAGCACTACTGGGCTTCTTGGCATATTAAATTTCATGTAGATAAACATATAAAACAACAATTTTGATGCTCTTCACTGTAAATTATATGAATATGTTTTGTTATTATTCTATAGGACATCTTCTCAATTCCCAGTACATGTTTTTCAGGAAGCACCATTATAGAACATTACAGAACTTTCAGACACCAAATTACAAAAGCACTCAATAATAATGTATTCACATTGTAAGGTTTTACCATCAACCTCAGCTACTTTGCATTTATGAAAACAAGTTTAGGGATTTACAAAACTAACTGCAAATATCATGACTTTCCTGTTCTTTGCCTTGTCTAAAAACCTCAACAAGAGAATACTGAACAAGTTAATATGATCATTTAAGTATCTACATATAGTATCTTCACTATGCATTAAAACCATCAGTAATTTATATGTTTATATATTTTTGGTGTACAGTTAATAATATTGATATGAACAATCTTCATTTTAGTTTCTAGTATCTTCACCATGCATTCAAATAATTATTAATTTATATAATTTTTGGTACAGTTGATGATTATTGATATGAGTAATCTTCAATTTCTGTATTTTCTTCTGAAAAATATGAAGATATAAATTAGGCTGGAGTCTATATGATAAACTCCTTTTATAGCGCAGTAAATCTTAAATCCAACATACAGGGATTCACAATGATAAATGGAAGGCATTGAGAATATTAAGTACAAATGAATTGTAAACCACGAGTCAGAAAATAGACATGCATTTAGGAAATATTATCTTTAAAATCTGCTGTAATACAAACTTTGAATTATTCTGTATTCTGTATTGAAAACAATATAATTTCTCCCTAATACCTGGTTGCGAAGGCTACTAACTTTAAGATTACTGTTAATATAATACATATTTGATACAAATTAATAGATCCATATTGACATATGGCTTTCTGGAGTCTCTGGACATTAATATTAGTATCTAACTATGAACTGTAGTCCTAAATTATTAAGGAAGTATCATTTAGCACAAATTAGCAGTTAGAGCTAAGATCTAATCTTTATGATTGCATATTAAGGAAGTATCGGTTAAATAATATTTAACAGAGCTTTTTTTATTGAAACAGATTTTCCTTTAGAACCAAGAATACATTTTGCAAGTGAAATCTCATTCTAAAACATGAGTGGCAAACGTGATATGAAGTTCCTTTGGAATTATCCGTATAGTTATGGTGTTATCTAGTAATTTAAGGGTTATTCATTTAGATTAGAATTCTTTTTATTTTCATTGAAATTGGATGTTTCAGCGAAACATGAAAGTTATTTGTTTTTTCCAAGATTTTTGCAAGATACCGTATTGACCCTGACCTACTTCTAGGGTCAAGTAAGTGTATACGTTGCAGAGCACATTTTTCCACGGATGTGGTCTGACATATCATTTCAGACGTTTATTTAGAGGCCAGAATTCCAGGTTTAGGAAAATGGCAACGGTATTTCAGAGTCGCTAGCAATTTCCGCAAAACAAGTGAGTAAAGCTTGGATAAGATATTATAAAGTGTATGATAATGAATTGGTGGAAATTAATGATTATTTGGTGTCACATTCGAGTACGAAGATGTGTTAGTAATGTGCATGTTAATGTGTATAGAAGTGTGCAGCGTAATGTGTACGTTTACATTGAAAGTATGTGCGGTATTTAGTTAGTGTTTAATTCACACATTTATAAAGAGGGATTTTGTGCTTTTTAAATCACCGACTTATAATGACATTAGTCAGAGGTTGATTTAAGGTTGTTTTAGTTGACAAATTATAAATATTGGTATGGTATTGACATATGAAATAAGCGTCGGATAAATCAGAGTTATGAAAGAAAAAGACTGAATTACAGTCAGGTTTTTGGGAATTTATAATGAAAGTTCAATGAGTCTAAATAAGAAAGACAAGTTTGACATACTTTGAGTAAGATGGGATTTATTTATTAAGCATATATTTAAAGGTAGTCTTGACTAGGAATTTATCTAGGCTGAGGACCTTGGTTACTCGGGTTTTTATGAAAGCAGTATTTCAGTCAAGATATGTTATTTTGACATAGAGATTAATGGGGGTTTAGGCCTTTTACAGAGTTTTTGGATATAGAGTCAAGACTTTTAATGAATGCTATTTAAGGCTTTTGATTATACATTATCGGATAAATGCATACTGATTTAGTTCAGTACATTTTATGTGTTATAGACATGTATACTGAGGATGCTTATTTTTATTCTACTTTCAGGTTGAATAAAATAGCTCAACTGGCATATCGTTGAGTTCATATACAACCAAGCGGAAACCTAGTCCTGTCTTCATTTTTTGAGCGTACCAACAATTCAACTTGTTCCAGAGCCGGTACATCGAGAACTGAAGCAATGCCGACTGATGACATGACAAGCCTAAGGTTGAAGAGGAGAGGGACCAAAGCCAAATTCACCAGGTTGGGGAATGTGTTAGATTTCCTGATAGAGGAAAAGCGGCCGGTGGAAGAGGTGAAGGAAGCTTTCAAACAAGCCAACCAGGCTTACGTAGACCTCCAATCCAAACACGAGGCCTATACAGAGAAGATTGAGAACGATGAAGAATTCAACAAGGAGGAGCTATGGCTTGATGAGTGCCAGAATTATTTCTGCAAGCTACAGATCCGAGAGAAGGATTATATCTCTCAGATGTCTTCGTCGCAAGAGCCTCAACAACCAACAGAGAGAGATGAGGAGAGCTCCCAGAGAACTGTTGTTCAAGCCGAGTCGAACCGGCCTCAAGCTCCTCGCTTCAACATGGAGAGGCCCAAGTTACCAACGTTCCAAGGAGACATAAGAGAATACAATGTATTCAAGGCTGATTTTCAGCATGTTATACATCCACACTACGATGAGAGGGATGCTTTGATGATCCTGAGGTCTTGTTTGAAGGGGAAGCCACTTCAACACATTAGAGGAATAGGGCGAGATTATGAAGCTGCATGGGGTCAACTAGATCTGCTCTACGGAGACTCAAGGATGGTAGCTGATGCTATTATGGAAGATGTATCCCGATTTCGTCCTCTGAAAGATGGGGAAGATGAGAGATTCTGTGACTTTGTGAATCTCATACGCAGAAGTTTCAATACCTTGAAGGAGGTAGATAGAGCTGAGGATATGAACAATAGTCACATGCTAGCCATCATTGAGAAGAAGCTCTATGTCACAGATCGACAGATGTGGTTCCGAAAGCAAGGAGAAGGAACAACGGCGACATTAGAGGCACTGTTGAAGTGGATGGAGATTGAGTTGAGAGCAAGGATAAGATCATCTGCTCCAGTAAGGAATGATGCAGCCTCTAAGTCCAGATCCGCTGTTAGTCAGGTTACAGCATTTGAGGAGAGACAGCAAGACTATCGTTGCTGGATCTGCAAGAATAAGGATGGGCACTGGACTGACCAATGCAAGACTTTCCTCGATAAGTCTACAGCGGAGAGGTTGGAGATGGTGAAGAGTAACCGAGCTTGTTATAGCTGTTTGAAGCAAGCCGGCAGAGAGCATCGAATGGCTACTTGCAAGAAAAGGAGACGGTGTCCAGAGAAATACAAGGGGCAACCTTGCAAGTTTTTTCATCATCCTTTGTTACATCCCAGCATGGACAACAATGCGGTGGGAGTAGCCCTTGTAAGAGGTACTGAAGCCATGCTACCCGTCATCAGGGCAAGGTTTTCAGGTTCAGAGCTGAAGATCCAAGGAAACGTGCTGTTAGATTCAGGGGCCCAGATCAGCATCATCAGACAAGGGCTCGCTGAAGACTTGGGACTGACAGGAAAGAGCATCAGTATCACAATAACCAAGGTGGGCTGTGTAGAGGAATCTGTGACAACATCCTTGTATAGAGTGCCGGTCAGTTCAGTAGATGGGAAGACAATCCATAAGATATTAGCTGTTGGATTACCGTGCATCAATGATGACATTGAGGAGGTGAACACTGATAATCTTGCCCGACAAGTAGGCCTCAACCCCAGAGAGTTACGTAGAGGTAGTGGGTCTATAGATCTTCTGATAGGAATTGACCACGCTATGATGCACGCAGGTGAAACGAGACAACGAGGCAACTTCATCTTTAGGAAGTCACCACTTGGATGGGTGGTGTTTGGAGCATCTAAGCTGAACCAGCAGTATCAGAATAGAGTGCTCAACGTGCAACTGAGTCCAGCAACTGACTTATCAGCGTTTTGGACTACAGAGTCGATGGGAGTTGATGTGGGTTGTCATTGTGAAGCCGAAAGGATGACTAAAGTAGAGAAAGATGAACATGATCTTATCTGGAACTCTGCCAAGAAAGTGGGTAAGCAGTGGCTTGTTCCTTACCCATGGAAGGATAACCCAGAGAAGCTGCCCGACAACAGAGTGCAAGCAGAGAGAATGCTTCAGGCGACGGAGAAAAGGCTTGCAAAGAACCCAGAGCATGCTGAAGTTTACAAACAGCAGATGCAAGAGATGGTCGAGATGGGGTTTTCGAGAAAGCTGACCGATGAAGAGAAGAAGAGGCATGATGGGCCTGTCCATTACATTGGTCATCATGCGGTTGTCAGGCCGGAAAAAAAGAGCACACCAGTGAGAATTGTGTTTAACTCATCAGCAGTTTTCAAGGGACAGTGTCTGAACGACTACTGGTTCAAAGGGCCAGACTTATTACAGAGTCTGTTCGGAGTACTCCTTCGCTTCAGAGAACACAGAGTTGCGATATGCGCCGACATATCTAAGATGTACCACCGAGTACTGATTCCAGAATCCTATCAGCACGTCCATCGGTACTTGTGGAGAGGATTAGATTCAGAGAGAGAACCGGATGTGTACGTGAAAACTGTAGTCACGTTTGGAGATAAGCCTGCTGCAGCAATGGCCCAGATAGCTCTGAGGAGGACAGCAGTAGAGGGAGAGTCTCAACATCCTAAGGCAGCAGAAGTACTGAAACGTGACACGTACATGGACGACATATGTACCTCAGTAAGAACGTCAGAGGAGGCGAAAGATCTTGTCAAGGACATAGATGAGGTGCTAGCTGACGGAGGCTTCAAGGTGAAGGGTTGGCAATCCAACGAACAGCTGAAAGATGAGACTTCTCAGATGAAAACCAACGTTCTTGAGAATCTGAGTGAGGAGAAGGTTCTGGGGATGGTATGGAACCAAAATACAGATGAGTTTTCATACAGAGTGAAAAGAAGTATGATCCCAGATCTTCCAGACGAACAGAAAGACACCACTAGCAAATGGACAAAGAGACGGATACTAAGCCAGATTGCAAAGATCTTTGATCCCATAGGATTTGCTTCAGCATTACTGGTGAAGGCAAAGATAGGAATGCAACGCCTGTGGCAGCTTGGTTTAGATTGGGATGAAGAGCTACCCTCCAGAGAAAAGGCAGAATGGGTAAAACTCTTCAGAGAGATGGAGAACTTAGATGGAGTGTCCTTCCAGAGATGTTTGACACCACCCGGTGCAAAAAGACGACCTACATTATGTGTCTTTTGTGATGCATCTGAAGAGGCGTTTGGAGCTTGTGTTTACATTCGCTGGGAGTTAGAGGATGGCAGCTATGATGTTAGATTTGTGACGGCGAAATCTAGAGTAGCACCACTAAAGAAGTTGACACTGCCGAGATTGGAGCTACAAGCTGCAGTGGTTGCTGTTAGACTCGATGCAACCATCAGAGATGAGACCACACTAGAGTTAAGAGAGACAGTGTTCATGACAGATAGCATGATAGTGCTTGGATGGGTTCGAAGTCAGGCAAGAAGTTTTAAGCCCTTTGTGTCAGCTCGAGTAGGAGAAATCCAAAGCAAGTCGAATCCCCAACAGTGGAGACATGTGAGTGGAGCAGAAAACCCAGCTGACGACATTTCGAGAGGTGTTACAGTAGAGAAGTTAGAGAGGTGTAGGTGTGGTCCTCAATTTCTAAGATCACCTGAGGAGGAGTGGCCACAGAGTGAGACGAAATCTGAGATTTCGTCAATGGACAGTGAAAGGCGTAAAGTTCAACAGGTGTCGAATGTAGTATTGGCATCAGACAGCATCGACTGTGAAAGAGTTTCCAGCTGGAGAAAACTGGTGAGAGTCACTGCATATGTTCGGAGATTTACCCACAACATGAAGGCGAGGGTAAGATCAGGAGATGAGAGAGGGAAAGTGACGGCAGGACCACTTACAGCAGCTGAACTAGGTGATGCAGAGATGTACTGGGTCAGAGAGGCTCAGAAACCGCTTCATGACAGACTGAAGAAAGGGGAGTTCAAGACTCTAACACCCTACATAGAGAATGGAATCATCAGAGTTGGAGGTAGAGTTGGAGAAGGCGTGATTTCGTATGACAGCAGGCATCCTGTGTTATTACCTCATCAGCATCGCATCTCTACGCTCATCACTAAGCATGTCCATGAATTGGGGCATGATGGAGTTGCGACAACGGCAGCGAAAGTGAGAAGCAACTACTGGGTGATTGGCATACATAGGCTTGCCAAGACTATCAAGCACAGGTGCGTGATGTGTCGTAAGATGCAGCACAAGGTCGAGACGCAGTTTATGGCTGAGCTACCAGAGATACGTATGACACCGTTTTCGCCTCCATTCCTGTATACTTCGTGCGACTACTTTGGGCCGTACAGCGTGAAGGTGGGGCGGAATAAGGTTGCTAAGCACTATGGAGTGATCTTCACGTGTCTTAATAATAATAGATTTATAATAATAATAATAATAGATTTATATAGCGCAGCTTTTATACAAAATATATTCAGCTGCGCTGGTTAAGAGCTCCTTTTTACTAAATTCTACAAAATAAGATCACTCAGTTGAACAAATAAGTTTTTAAATTGGATTTAAAAACATTGAGAGATGGAGTGCTTCTTATTTCTATTGGCAAGCTATTCCATAATTTGGGGGCGGCAATAGCAAAAGCACGGTCCCCAAGAGTTACTTTAGTTTTGCCATGGGGAATCTGAAGCAGTAATTTATCTGTGGAACTGCGCAGGCTACGACTGTGTGATTGGACTTTGAGTTGAAGTAATTCTTTGATGTAATTAGGGGCTTGACCGCTCAATGATTTATAGACGATTAACAATATTTTGAATGAGATTCTTTGACGGACTGGCAACCAGTGGAGTTCTCTCAGAAGAGGTGCGGTTGAAGTGAATTTCGACCGACGATAGACAAGTCTTGCACATGCATTTTGTACTCTTTGTAACTTAGCTATCAGAGAATCAGGCATTCCAAACAGCAACCCGTTACAATAATCAAGCTTACTTGTGATAAGAGCGTGTACAACCAATTTCATACTTTCTTGATCAAAATATTTGCGGATACGTCTGAGATTGTACAGAAGATAGTATGTTGATTTGCATATATTTTTAACATGTGTTTCCATGGTTAAATTAGTATCAAAGTATACTCCTAAATTCCTTGCTGTAACAGAGGGTATCACATTGGAGGATCCAACTCTTACACCGTCAATGCTTATTTTTGAGATCTGTTGTGGAGTTCCTATAACCAAAAATTCACTCTTACTATCGTTTAGCTTAAGATTATTGTTAAGCATCCATCTATGAATAAAATTAACACATTTTTCCAACATTGAAACACTTGCATCTTGAGTACTAGTGGATGGTCTAAAGGATAAAAATAATTGTGTGTCGTCTGCATAACAGTGACAGGAGACTTCAGGAAAATTATCCTGAGTGCTCTTGATTAGATTACTCGTGTATAACATAAAAAGCAAAGGGCCGAGCCGAGAGCCCTGTGGCACACCAAAGGGCACCTGGAAAGAGTCAGAGACAATGCCATCAATTTTAACTTTTTGATGTCGATCAGACAAGTATGACTCGATCCAGCCGAGAGCAACACCGTCGATACCGCAGCATATCTTCAAAATATCTAGTAATCTGGAATGCTCAATAGTGTCAAAGGCACTACTCAAGTCAAGTAATAACAGGAGAGTGATTTTCTGTCTGTCCATTGCAATCAGAATATCACTCTTGATCCTGAGTAGTGCCGTTTCTGTACTATGAAACTGTCTATATGCAGACTGATTGGATGGAAGGAGTGAATTACTGTTAAGAAACTGTAAAATCTGTTGTGTGGCTGCACCTTCTACCAATTTAGAAATGTATTGTAGGTTACTTATGGGTCTAAGATTACCAAATTCAACATCAAGCCCTGGTTTTTTCAACAATGGTGAAACAAGTGAGACTTTCCATTCTTTAGGAAAGTGGCCCGTAGACAAGGAGACATTGATCATGGATGTAAACACAGGTAGTATAACATCAATATATTGCAAGAGAATCTTTGTTGGAATCGGATCAGCAGAACAAGACTTCTTGCTGAGCTTCATCACAAGTTTCCCTACTTCCTGTTCAGATAAAAGTTTAAACTTATCAAGCTTGATACCATCAGGTACTGGAATAAGACTTGATGAATCAGTATCAATTCTATCCATCGAACCTATGCTAGTTTGAATGTCACTGTGAATGTTTAGAACCTTGTCATGAAAGAATTTTCCTAAGTCGTTCACAAAAATCTTCTTATCAATGTTACATGGCATCACTGGTTGTTTGTTTGAAACATCAAGCAGAGATTTGATGACAGTGAACAAGCTCTTTGAGTCATCTTTGTTATGTGTTACTAAATCTTTATGATAAGTTCTGTGAGCAGCATTCAAAACATACAATGCTGCATTGCGAGCTTTCTTGTACTCATTCAGATCGTGATCAGATCGTGTTCTAGACCATCGTTTCTGTGCTTTTCTTCTTTGCTTCTTTGCTGCTCTAACCTCGTCCGTGTACCATGGCACATGAGGACGGGCAACTACTCGTTTTGAAACTAAAGGAGCATGTTTATCTAAGACCTTTCTGAGTGTGATATCATACAAGGAGGCCAGATCAGAGATATCACTGGGTACATGTACATTTTGACAGAGTATACTTTCTGCAAGATCTATACTAAACATCCTAGCATTAATACGGGAGAATTTGCGATACGGCACAAGTTTGTCAGCCAATAATGGTTTACATGTATTGAGATGGCACATAACAGGAATATGATCAGATAAGAGGTAATCACATGGCCATGGTTGGCCAACAATTATATCATCAGACTCGCGACAAATAAGTAGGTCAAGGGTATGACCATGTGAATGAGTACTAAAATTTACAAATTGAGTACAACAGAGTGATTCGAGGAGGTCTCTAAATGACTTTGATTCAGATGAGCTTACATCAACTCGAATGTTGAAATCACCAGCAATTAGTAATGGAACATTGGACAAAAGGTGATCTTGAATATATTCATTGAACTGAGAAAGAAACAGTGAAACAGACACGGGATGAGATTCTGAATATGGTGGTCTGTATATATTGATCAAATAAAGAAGAAACGATTTACAAGAAATATGATATTCAGCATACTCAAATGATTCCTTTTGACCAGCGGCAACTTGACGAGCATCGATGGAATCTTTGGAGAGAAGACCAGTTCCACCACCACGGCGACCAGTCCTAGGATGGTGAAGGAAGCGATACCCAGAGGGAACAAATTCTCGTAGAACTGCGGTGTCACTCTCAGTTAACCAGGTTTCTGTTAGTGTGACTAAATCAGCATCGCTTTCATAGACAAAATCGTGAATAATAGTTGTTTTATTACGAACAGAGCGTACATTAATTGAACAAAGTTTAAGACGATCTGAAAGTGATGAAGTTCTAATCGTTGCTTGACTTACATGTCGAAGACTATTCTTTTTCCTTCCGCCTCGATTACCCCGTCTGGTTTTCTTACGCGTCGTCTTTTGAATTCCATATAATCCAATAGTTTCACAAACATGTAATGGAAGAGGTGCAGTGAAATCTTTCCACTGACAGAGTTCAGCTGGGGTGTACTTGATGACAGCAGCAGGTTGATTAACACAAGAGCGGTACACCTTGACCTAGCGGTAGATGTTTCTACAATGGAGTTTCTTCAGGTTCTACGTAGGTTTTTTGCGTTTAGAGGTCAACCGAAGGTCATTCTGAGCGATAATGGTACACAATTTGTGGGAGCGATACGTGAGCTACGTGAGATGGTAAAGGGATGGGATAGCGATCTACTACGCGAGTTTTGTGCGGAGAAAGGTGTAGAGTGGAGGTTTACAACCCCTTCAGCTCCTCATCAGAATGGATGTGCTGAAGCACTTGTGAAAAGTAGTAAGTCCGCATTAAAGAAAGCTATAGGTGATCAGGTCCTCACTCCTTTTGAGTTATATACCTGTTTGGTAGAAGTAGCAAACCTCGTCAATCAGCGTCCAATAGGGAGGGTACCGAATGACCCCGACGATGGTAGTTATCTCTGTCCCAATGATGTTTTGTTAGGGAGAGCATCCAGTAGGGTACCCCAGGGTCCGTTCAGAGAAACGAAGAATCCGCGACATAGAGTCGAATTTGTGCAACGAATCGTCGACTCATTCTGGAAGGCATGGAATCGCGATGTATTTCCACTCTTAGTACCGCGAAAGAAGTGGAATGTTGACAAACGTAATCTTCGCGTAGATGACATAGTTATATTGTCAGATCAGAACGCTGTTCGAGGAAAATGGACATTAGGGAGAATTGTTGAAGTTTTTCCTGGAACTGATAATAAGATCAGAAACGTGACAGTAAAGACGGCTAATTCTGAGTATAGAAGGCCAATAAACAAAGTGGTCGTATTATATCCAGCAGAAGGATATGAAGAGTAGATTGAACAGAAATATGTCTGTCTATAGTATTCACAGAATAACAAATTTATTCACTTTCTATGTTCTTGTTCAAAATCAACTTTTTCCAGCTTTAAGAAGATAGATGATAACAAAGCTTTGTTGGTGCAAATTTCAATTTTTGCTATTGTTACATGGGAATTGACTTTTGGCACAGTTTACACTGAGAACAAAATTCAACAGTTTGAAATTATGTACAAAGTTTAGTACATTTTGAATACATTTTTTGTATTTGAGATTTTGAGTGATATTTGCCATTTATTAGCAAATTCAGCAAAGAAAGTTTGCAGAGAAAAGTTGATTTTTATGATTATGTATACAGGAAGCAAACTGGTATGGAATATCCATTTGATATTTTTGGACAGGAAATGTAAATTTGTGTATTTTCATGCAACAATTGTTTTTTCAGGTTCGTGCAGGCTTATAGATACTTTTCATTAGCCTTGCTAATAGTTTGGATGGTAATTTAGACTGTTAAAGTGTTAATTACGTAGAGTGAGAAGAAGTATTTTTCACATCTTAGCTATGAGTCATTTACAGATTTTGGAGTGAAACACTGAAGAAAGTATTTTGTTCTATTTTGAATGAGAAACATTGCGTACTTTTATGAAAATGATGTCAATTTTATTGTTGCCCTCATTGGGGGGAGGTTGTTTCAGCGAAACATGAAAGTTATTTGTTTTTTCCAAGATTTTTGCAAGATACCGTATTGACCCTGACCTACTTCTAGGGTCAAGTAAGTGTATACGTTGCAGAGCACATTTTTCCACGGATGTGGTCTGACATATCATTTCAGACGTTTATTTAGAGGCCAGAATTCCAGGTTTAGGAAAATGGCAACGGTATTTCAGAGTCGCTAGCAATTTCCGCAAAACAAGTGAGTAAAGCTTGGATAAGATATTATAAAGTGTATGATAATGAATTGGTGGAAATTAATGATTATTTGGTGTCACATTCGAGTACGAAGATGTGTTAGTAATGTGCATGTTAATGTGTATAGAAGTGTGCAGCGTAATGTGTACGTTTACATTGAAAGTATGTGCGGTATTTAGTTAGTGTTTAATTCACACATTTATAAAGAGGGATTTTGTGCTTTTTAAATCACCGACTTATAATGACATTAGTCAGAGGTTGATTTAAGGTTGTTTTAGTTGACAAATTATAAATATTGGTATGGTATTGACATATGAAATAAGCGTCGGATAAATCAGAGTTATGAAAGAAAAAGACTGAATTACAGTCAGGTTTTTGGGAATTTATAATGAAAGTTCAATGAGTCTAAATAAGAAAGACAAGTTTGACATACTTTGAGTAAGATGGGATTTATTTATTAAGCATATATTTAAAGGTAGTCTTGACTAGGAATTTATCTAGGCTGAGGACCTTGGTTACTCGGGTTTTTATGAAAGCAGTATTTCAGTCAAGATATGTTATTTTGACATAGAGATTAATGGGGGTTTAGGCCTTTTACAGAGTTTTTGGATATAGAGTCAAGACTTTTAATGAATGCTATTTAAGGCTTTTGATTATACATTATCGGATAAATGCATACTGATTTAGTTCAGTACATTTTATGTGTTATAGACATGTATACTGAGGATGCTTATTTTTATTCTACTTTCAGGTTGAATAAAATAGCTCAACTGGCATATCGTTGAGTTCATATACAACCAAGCGGAAACCTAGTCCTGTCTTCATTTTTTGAGCGTACCATTGGACATGAATCTTTCATTTCTGTAAATATTAACTTTGATGATTTATTTTACTATATATATTCTAAGACAAATTCACAAATGATTCAGCTACTTTCAAATCTGAAATAATACTTTAATAAGCTGAAATAAAGTCATGATCTGTATAAATTTGACTTGCTGATATTACTACCAGCGAAATGCAAGTCATTTGAAGTTGTGCCTGTTGTATATTCCATCATTAACCATAATAACCCCTGTGAATAGAAGAAACCTTGCATTGTTTCCTTTTCTCATCTGTTGTGTGTGATTTTTAATCCCATCATGCAGAAATTCCTTTGATTTGGCATTGGCGTAAGCAACAATTATTAACTTTTTAGTAGACTGGTTCTTTTTAAGTAGCATGGTTGGCTTCCCATTTAAGTTTCCAATATTGTGATGGGTTCTGTCTGTTTTGTTGCTATGGTGATCTTGTGTTTCCTGTTCTAGTATAGTTGGGATGTATCCTATCTGAAAAAATGCAACTGATTAAATCTTTGTTCAATTTGATTATGAGACTTTATTATAGCTACTTGTAGCATGATAATACGATTTCTCTGCAACTATTTCCTTTTTGCATGTGTACCCTTCTCTCTTTGTGCTTCAATTGTCATTGGTGTTGGTTGTTTGTTTTGTGGCAAAGTGGCAACTACTTTATTAAATACAGGTGCATCGGTTTTAGTTATCAAAATGTGATGGGAAGACACTTGAGTTACTTCGGTGTCAATCTCATTGCACTTGATACACTTGGTAATCAAAGCTTCATGATTATTTTCAGTTATATATGTAGAATCTATTGGAAGTGAATTAACAGATACATTGTTCTCATGATCAGATGTCAAGTATTAGAAATTTTAGAAGAAGAAAAAAAAGGAGATGATTCTTACAACAAATGGGTGGCTCAATGGGTATGGGAACTTTATTCAGTGGAAAATTGGTTTGGAAGTACGGTAGCACTTTGAGATGCAAGGTATTGAATAAGCTTTGTATTGGTACTTGATGGTAGCTGCATATTATCTATTTACACTTTAAAACCAGAAGGGAGTTATCTCTGTGTAGAATGGTATGATTTAACACCATCCTGGCTCAAAGTAGATTGATGTCTAGTGAGAGCCAGTAGGCTGTTAAACTCCAGATTTAAAAAAAAAAAAAAAAATTCTGCCTCACAGCAAAGGATAAATTGTGATCAATGCGCAGTGGCTGGTATAGCTTTTTGTTTGAAACAGAATGAAATGACCCCATTGTAACAACACACATCACCATATTTTTTAAAGCTTTTTTAAATTTAAACCAGTGGCAGATTGGGGGTGCCCCCTCTATTAGTTTCTCAACTTCTTTAAAAAGAAAAATTGCATGCACCCCATTGTTTAAGTCATTCCCATTGCCTGCTCTTAAATATTTCATCCTCAGAAGGTGCATGCCCCCAATGCCCCATTTTTAGTTCAAAATTATAGATCTACAACTACACATCACAACCAGTAATAAAAATTACTGATGGATGTATACGCTGCCCCCCCCCCCCCCCAAAAAAAAAGTCTTGCAGTATTTAAAAAATAGTTTTAAAGGTAAAGACCAGTATTGGAAACGCCCCAATTTCAAAAAAATGAAATGGAAGCTCTCATTACCAATCATGTGAAAGAATATATTTTGACTAATACATGATGATAAAAAATTTGCTGGGAAACTGCCTACTAATTCATATATTTGGTAAATTTATTTCTCTCATGGACTGTGAGAGATATAGGGTAGTCCCATATACATCTTTTTGCGTATAGTGCTTGTAACTTTACGAAGAATGGACCGAATTTCTTATCATTTTGATGATTCCAGAACCTTGCAGATGCTAGATGCTAGATATCAACCTTTTCTGATCGATTCCACAACGTTTCTTTCACAATGCAATCGCATGACCATAACTGGTCTTTACCTTTAAACTTATTCGTATGGGGTATTTATTTCATCTTGATTTTATTTGAATTATTAGAATATTTTTGTCCATGCATGGAGCGTTTAATTTCATCATGATATTATTTGAATTATTAGATGATATTTGTATTGCTATACAATGTTATTGTTTTTAAAGTCTTTGCAGACTGCATGCATGGTGAAAAGGATAAGGTATGAGGTAACAAAATTCATTCTGCTTTAGAAGAGTTTTTCTTTCTTCCATCTTTCAAGAGCAGATTTATTTTTCTTGCTTCTATCCCTGATCTGAGTTTTTCAAGATCAGTCAAAACCATTTTACTATTGTAAGACCACACCCTTGGGGGCTGCAGTCGATTGGGCAGATGGGCCGAGATGGAGTTTGTCAGCCCACAAGACTTATAAGGCCTGTCTTCATCAGCTCGAGTTTGCAACCCGCTATTTTAAATATCCCGATCAGCCGCAGTTGCAATTAGCGGGATATTTAGTTGATAAAATATCCAGAGAAATCTTGGTCTTGTTACCAAAATATCCCGCTATTTTGAAGAAAGCAGGATAGTTTTTACCCGTCTGAGCTAGTTTGTGATGAGCGTAGTGGTCTGGTGAAGAAGCAATTTCGGGATAATATCCCAAGTCTGAAAATAGCAGGTTATTTGGCGAACTGGAGCTGATGAAGGCAGGCCTATAGTCCACAAGACTGTCTATTGACTTACCTTAGGGATCATTAGATCAATGGTGTCCACTGTCCACAAGACCTGACAATTTTTCTTGAAGGTTTGAAGAACGATCAAGCTGGAGACCAACAGGACTTGAGTGCTCATGAGACCGACGCCCAGGGAGACCGACGCACGTTGAGACCGACGCACATGGAGACTGATAGGACCTTCTAACAACTTATCGCACATTTGACAAGATCATCGTTCTCATGGGCCATCAATCAAGGGGGTTGTCCCCCTCTACTTGAATAATTTTTTTTACAGTCAAACCTGCTTTAGTGACCACCTGTCTACAAAGACCACCTATCTACAAAGGCCACATTTCTTGTTTCCCTTGAAAATGATTTCTCATTGAATCATGTACTAAAGGAACCTGTCTACAAAGACCACCTGTCTACAAAAGCCACTTTTTGTTTTTCCCTTGGGTGGTTGCTATAGACAGGTTTTACTGTACCATGTACTCACCCTTTTGTAATCCCATCAGTCACATTCCTACACCATATTAGAACAGAGCTCAACATTTCCCTGATTGCTTTTTCTCTGGTTCGCTTGATCATGCTGAAGACTTTGCTAGAGTGGCTTGTGTGCATGACTGCATATATATATGTTTGATATTGTACCACCAGATAAACTGTTGTCTTTTGACAGTACCAGAAGAAGAGATACGGGACATAGCATTTGGAATAATAATTTTGGTTGTTCTTCATGAGACATGTCTTCATTATTGATAAGCGGATGTATTCATTTCTGTGGTGATAAAATATGAAGAAATCAAAGAAAGTGATATATCCATGGCTCAACACTGAAATTTGCCTGGTAAAGTAACAAACACTCGCACCCCCCCCCCTCCCCCTCCGTCAGTGGAAAACTGGAACCTGGTACAGACAGACCTCTAAAGTTTTTTTTCTTCTTCAAATGGAAACCAGGGGTTTGTGTGCCCCCAATGTTTCGCTGCAACCCTCAGCCCCAATGATGACTTATAATCGATCTTTTGCTTTGATTCTCAGGTCATCTATAATTGTCACAAACACTTTAAATAGTGCATGCACATTCAAGAGTACATGCAGTTCTATAAACCTTGCAAGTTATTACTGCTAGTTATTAGATATGTGTGAAATTTGAATTATGTTTATCATTTATCAAGCTCAAAATACTTTGCCTGCATGAAATATGCTTTTGTCCGTCCTATGTATCAAACATTATCAATAAACAAAGAATATACATGTAGTTTATAAAATCGAGACTTAGTGATGTCTGAAAGACAACAGCTATTTTTTTATTTCTTGCAAAGCCTATGGTTAAATATACATTTTTAGCCATTTTCGATTGCATTTTTCATACTGGTAGGAGCTATATTTTGTATATCCTTTTTTTTAAACATAATTTTTTTGAGTTATCACCTTATCATACCATGTACAGTAGCATTAATTTGATGTCTGCAAACTTTTATCCGTAAACTTTTATCCGTAGACGATAACCCACTTTAAAGCAATGATTTGACCTCTACATTGTAAGGAGAAGTTTATTAATTTGTAGATCTAGAATTTGCAAGTTTGATTCAGGTTGGGGTTTCTGATTTGAGCACGGGTGATTTAAATCACTGATTAACCATAATTTAGAAAACACAATTTATTTTCTTCTATTTCTCATAATATGTAAAACATTAATATATAAATCTTACGTTTATTCACATTCCTCTTCTAGTAAAATTGAAAAAAAATAATAAAATTACCAATCCTGGAATCCTCTACTTATAAACATTCCTCCTCTGCCAATATCCATCGTAGATTCGTTTCATTATCTATTCCCTTATTGATTGATGATTATTTGTCATTTTCTTTCTTTACTCCTTTGCACGCATATCATTATTTTTGCTCTAGCCTTACTCTTCCAGAGAGCAAGATACCCCATGAGTCTCCAAAGTCAGTCTTTCTTTGCATGCATTGTTTCAAATTCACGTTTACTATCTGTTTGAATAATTTAAGATTTTGGGCATTTTTATCTTGGTTGAATTTTACATTTGGGAATCTTAAATATGTTTATGTTGGGTTTTAAACAAAGGCAGTGAGTTTCTCTGGTTTTTGAGGAACTAGGTGGCTGTGATACTTTGATGAGTTTGGAATAAATACCAAAAGCAGGATTCTGACATTTCGGAATCTGAAATGTGTTCATGTTGGGTATGTCGGTTATTGTCGGGTGTATTCTTCACCTTTTATTTTGTCTGGTTTTCGTACAAGTTCACTGTAAGTTTGTCTAGTACAGTTTTAAACAAAGGCAGTGAGTTTCTCTGGTTTTTGAGGAACTAGGTGGCTGTGATACTTTGATGAGTTTGGAATAAATACCAAAAGCAAGATTCTGACATTTCGGAATCTGAAATGTGTTCATGTTGGGTATGTCGGTTATTGTCGGGTGTATTCTTCACCTTTTATTTTGTCTGGTTTTCGTACAAGTTCACTGTATGTTTGTCTATTACAGTTTTAAACAAAGGCAGTGAGTTTCTCTGGTTTTTGAGGAACTAGGTGTCTGTGATACTTTGATGAGTTTGGAATAAATACCAAAAGCAGGATTCTGACATGTGGGAATCTTAAATGTGTTTATGTTGGGTCTGAATGGGTGTATTCTTCACCTTTTATTTTGTCTGGTTTTCGTAAAAGTACACTGTATATATGTGACTTGTACAGTTTGAAACTTTGAAATGAAATCAGTGAGTTTCTCTGGTCGTTCATGGCTGTAAAGCTCTGATGAGTTTTAAACCAAAGGCGGTATTCTGACGTTTAGGAATCTTTTATGTGTTTATGTTGGTACGATGGGTGTATTCTTCCATCTTTGTTTTTGTCTGGTTTTTGTATATGTCCACTGTATATGGGTCTAGTACAATTTGAAATAAAAATCAGTAAGTTTCGCTGGTCGTTGGGGAACTAGGTGGCTGTAAAGCTCTGATGAGTTATTAATAAATACCAAAGGCGGTATTCTGACATTTGGAAATCTTAAATGTGTTTATGTTGGTATGTTGGGGTGTATTTTTCACCTTTATTTGTCTGACTTTGGTTCAAGTACACTGTATATGTGACATGTACAGTTTGAAATGAAGTCTGTGGGGTTTCTCTATTTTTTAAAGGAATTATGAGGCTGTGAAACTCTGATGTGTTTTTAGTTGCCGGTATTCTGACATTTGGGAATCTGAAATGTGTCTATGTTGGGCATGTCTTGTGTTTTTTTCTCCTTTTTATTTTGTCTGGTTTTCGTACAAGTACACTGTATATGGGTTTAATACTGTTTGAAATGAAATCAGTGTGTTTTCCTGGTCATTAAGGAACTAAGTGGCTGTGAAACTCTGAGAAGTACTCTGAAAAATAATATGCCATTAGCAGTGCGAGGTATTTGAATTGTCATGACAAATGTAAGGAATCATGAATTTGGTTGGTAACTGCACAGAAGTGACTGCATACACAGATAGTTTGTGCAGTCATCCATACAATCATCTTTAAACTCTATATGCTTTAGATATTTGTTGACAACTGAAAAGACCTCTCACTTAAAGGTACTATGTCCCATTTGCAGGCCAAAAAAAATGAAAAAGTTAAATTCCAACTGCATTTGAAAGATAATACTAATTTAGAACTTCCCTAAAAAAGGTGGGGCTTGAAAATGTCTTTAAGTGGGAAAATAACGACTATTAGTTGTCAAATCGACTTTAGGGCTAAAGAGCCCAAAAGTAATAGTCTTGATTTTCAGACAATTGTACTGAATGGTCATACGTTTTATGCTGCGCAAAATTCAATCAGTTTTAATCTTGGCCATCACAAGAATTCGGTTATTGATGTAGACAAATGCTCATGTACCCTTAACAACTCTTTTCATGTATGTTATTACCGAAGAAGAAAAAAGGCCAGTCAGTCACTCAATAGTGTCTGACAGTGAAGTCTAGCAAGTAAACAGGTTTCCTTGCTTAATTTGAATATGAGGACACTGCTAACGTTTAAATTTCACAGATTTATGACATTTATGACATATTCATAATTCCTGCAAAGTTCTACAGAATTTGAGGTTGGCTGCCAAAGGGACATAGTACCTTTAATAGGGAATTTTTTTTCTTCAGGAATGTTGGTGTGGTTACACTAATTCCTGTTTACAATTTTTCAGATGGGATTAAAGATTTGCACATATTTTTTTTAGGTGTTGGTAGATATCAATTTTCTGTTTTGTTGTAAGGTCTGTTGAATGAGGTACATGGTTCTATGGTTTGATAATTTGTTTTTATCTGACTGCAAAAAAAAGTATGTGTATGCTTTTAAGCGAGCAACCAGGGGACCAACAGCTTCAAAGTCCTCTTCAAGGGACTAGGTAATGAGGATTGATGCCTTACCAAAGGGCACTAGCGCAAAAAAAAAAAATTGTTTTTAAATCTGGGACCTCCCAAGTACGAGACCACTGCTCCACCACTGAGCCATCACGCCTCCTATACATGTATGTTTGTAGAGCAAATTTTATGTAGTAGCTAAATGGTTTTGTTTTGGTAGAAGGGAGACTACCTATCAGCGTCCAGTGGTATTAAGAGATTTGTAGGCAACTTTACATAAATAGTTCATTATTGTTACAGGTCCATTTACACGGCTATGGCTCGGCTATAAAGGTGAATACAACTACAAATTAAAAAAACAGAAGAATAATAATCATATATCACTGTCTGATTTCATACACTGAACATTCACAAATTACAAATTCAACAAAAGAAATCATATACATTTGTCACTGATTTCATACATTTTGAGCATTCATAAATTACAATTTCAACCAAAAAAAGAAGTCATCATCACTGATATCTTACACTCTAAGCATTCACAAATTACACAAAAAACAGAGAAATAATCATATATCACTTATTCCATACACTGAGCATTCACAAATTTCAAATTCAACCCCCAAAATAGAGAAATAATCACATTTCACCAATTTCATACACTCAGAGCATTCGCAAATTACAAATTCAACCAAAAGTTAAGAAATATTCAAATACCACTGATTTCATACACTCTGAGTCTTCCATGCACATTTGCATGCACAATATAGAATCATATGAAGATGCTTTTCTGCATACATATAATATTACACTAAAAATATCTCACAAAAGATTAAAAACATGATGCAACATAAAGCAAGCGATATTATTGAAAAAAAGGCAAATAAATGAACAATCAAAGCCATAATATGTCATTAATATGCATAACAATCTGAAAATACAAAAAATCTCTAACCTTTCCACATCTTTTGAAAACCACTTTTACTTTGGGGACCATAAGTGAACAGGACAGGCATATTTTTGCCTGGGGTGGGTGGAAGGCTGAAACCTATTGTCCAAGGATTATGTTTCCATTTTCTTTTATTATCATTATTCTGTATTTTGAGTGAGTGAATGTGTCATATATATACAGTGGCTGCCCCAGGGTTGTGGATGAGGAAGGGAAAACAAACTGAGGGCCAGGGGAAATAGTGTGAGGGTAACAGGAGAGTGACTGAAGTGGGGGGAAGAGTTTCTTTATTTTACTAAACAATTTTTTTTGGATAAAAGTATATAGAATGTTAGAGGAATAAAAGTGCCACCTGTAATTTAAGTTGCAAATAAATACTTAACATATCGTCACTGTTTTCACGAAGTGACGGTAGTGAAAAAAAAATGCATTCACTTTGCGTGACGATTTTCCTCACTACCGTCACTTCATGAAAACAAGGACGATATGGTAGTGTGTTCATTTGAGCATATAATTGTGAAAAATGAAAAGAACAGTTTTGATTAGACTGAATGTAGAAATTTAATGGATAGGATGGATGCTTCGTGTTATGCACTGACATTTCTGAATAAATGTGTATGTAAATTCTGTTTTTAGGAATCACAGACATGAAATTTCTCGAAAGAAATTACTGTTGGAATTATCTTGCATCCAGTATCATGTTTTTGCTTATTATCTTCTTCTGACATGGACTACTAAGTCTGAGAAAATTATCACCTTTTTTCAAATTATATCATTATTGGAGCGTAACATTGTCCCATATTTCCTGGTTTAGTAATATCATTTGCCCTATTCAATTTTGAATTGATGCCTTGTCCTTGACTTTTTCTTTCTCTGTTCATTTAACCAGGGTTTTTTTAGACACTTCTTTTTCAGAAAGTTCTGCATTTATTTTGATAATTATTAATTTTGAATGTACCTCTCCACACATGCAATTTCTGAATTTCTTTTGAAATATATACATTGATTTTAACATTCTTCTCCAGAATGAAATATCCAAGCATAAAGCTCATATTATTAACCTTATATTCCCAATTTCTACTCTCACACCTCTCTCATACAATTACTACTCAATCGCCGTTGACCTTTCATTTATTCCTTGGTCAGATTGGCCCATGTTAAGGCTTGGAAAAGCAAGCGCAAAGAGTATGGTACTGGCGCTACCCCCCTCTGTAAGTAACTCAATGATTAAACATGATTGTCCCACATCTGTAATGTCCGAGGTCTGCATCCACAAGACTACATAGCCATGAAAATTATCCGACGTGCTTGCATATTGCCATTCCATTTATACCGTGTTTTGTGTTTTACCATTTACACTCTGTTCGCTATATTTATTGAATTGTGTTGCAGAAGCCAAAAGTTAATTTGAGCAAGCTGAACTCAGATAATTTGTTTATGTTTGAAACATAAAAACAAATGCAAAATTGCAAATTGTCAAAATTTGCACAGAGAAATAAAATTTACTCTTGATATAGATGCAAGATCAAAATTATTCCTTGCCAGCACCTGGCTGTCTGTAACCAAATAATTCCTGGTTTGACAGTTTGATAGTGCAAAAAGTAGACATTGTTGGGATCATGAATGATTGAAGCTTTATGCTTTTCTATTGCTAGCTGCATATTTGCTTAAATTGTAATCAATAATTACATTACAATTCTTATCATGTGGATGATTATTTAAAAATGATGGTAACTGATAACCGTCGCTTTAATTATGGAAACTTTTGAAAATAACCTAATAATACTGCAACATACTCCAGCAAGATTCACAGCCTTTTGCCATATTTTTGGTTTGCCATAAGAAGTTTGCTGTTGACCATGAATTATTTCAGTAAGCCAAATTAAAAAAAAATATATATATAAATATAAAATATATATATATATACCGGTACCCATCTTTAATAGTGCCTGCCTCTCTAATAGTGGTCACCCATATTTCATCCCTCTATAGAAGGATATATGTGTAACTGTTGAAGAACCTGTCTAAGATGGCCAACTGTCTACAGTGGCCACATTATGTGTTTTCCGGGGGTGGTCTTAATAGATAGGTTTGACTTTACTTCATTTTAGTCTTTAAAACTGAGTGCAGACACTATAATTGCATTAGTAATTATTATCATTGTTCATTACAACATACAACGTGCAATGTACATGCACATATTTATCAATGTACACCGCAAAAAGATGGTTTGTTCATGAATGGTGAATTTTTTTCTTCACCCATCATAATTTTTCTGCCTTACATTTTTGCGATGTTGTAGTGTTGGAAATTGAAGTGTGAGAAATCTACAGTAAAAAGTAGAAACTACAGAATTTATGGAGTTGTGGATGGACTTTATTCTGTTTCTTTGAAAATGGGCCATCTGAAGGGTATTAACAATGAAACACTTCTGTCCTATTTTTGTTTTGCTTTTTCATTTGATACTTCTCCAATTTTGAAACTGGACCCTACTTTGATTCTGTTACATGTAGGTGATTTTCAACTAATGCTGAAGCATAAAACTGCATAAAACCTCACCATAATGCACTTTTAAAATCATTGCAATTTGCAAGAATGCTTGTTTGTCATTCATCATTTGCTTCAAAACACATTATGCATGTTTCCTTGCTCTCATTCTCTTTGTCTTAATGTTTACTCTTTTGTTTTCCTCATACATTGCCATTTGTTGTATTAATGCATATAACTTATGTAAGTATTTTTTAATCAAAAATTACCTTTTTTTTTTTTCATCAGTGTGATTTAATTTTCATCTACATGTAGGTTCAGATGCACAGATTTTGAATATATTTGAAAGGAAAAACAGTACTTAATTTTTGTTAACAAACTGAACTCGCATCTGAATGTCATTACGTTCCTCCGTTTTTCAGTTATCATATGAATTGACTGCAAGTTATGAATATTGTTTAAGTAAAAATAAAATTATACTTCTACTATTATTATAGATGTTTATATGAAGTACAATTTTTTTTTCTTTCTGACATCTGTTTATTAGTATGTACAGTAGAGAATTATTTCAAATATTTAAGAGGAATACTTTTGAATGCATACTTAGGAAATAGGGTAGGTGACCACTTTGATGAGTGCTTTTTGTATCTTGATAAAGTTGCTCCGGACACTCGTAGTAATTGCTGCTCTTAATCACTATAATTGCTAATTTATTATTTCATCTTTTCATTTCTGTCTTGTTTTTAGAAACACCCTGGAAAGTACTACAGAAGTCATTGGATGATGATAACGGACTTCTTTTCTTCGCTCTTCTTTTCTTTCATTCTTCACTCAATCATTCCACCTTGGACTTCAAAGAAAGGATACACCACTCTTCAGCCTCCCAAGCTTAACACCAGTGATTCTAGCACCATTACCTCAACCTGCTACCCATACACAAGACACTCAAGTGTATATTCTCTAAGGTGTATGGCATAAATGTAGTGTGCCTGTGATGCAGCACCGGACATAAAGCAAAGTGCAGTGTCAGAGGATAAATTCAAAAAATGCGATTATGAAAGCATTTTATGATTTGGGATGTGCTGCATGTATATTTCCCTTTTGAGCCAGAAGGGCATTAATTCTGAGTTAGGATTGAAGTTGTAATGCCCTTCTGGATCCAAAGAGACGATATTTACATTGGCTTGTTAATATCAGGAAATATTTCAAAATACAGTGTTTGTTGTCCAAGATATACCAGTGAGCATTAACACACATGCCTGTCTCTTTGTAATCAAGGTAACTCTTAAGTTGTAGCATAATCCAGCATTCATACCACCCGACTTCATCGTATAGCTATACAATAAGTAATTAAACTGTTTGTAGTCTGAACGTCGTGTAGAGAAATGTTGTATAATTGAACATATGTTTGAGCGTCATTTCAAATGGAAACTCAAATATAGAGTCAGGGCCTGGCTATAGCCTGAACATCATATTATATGAAAATAATATAATATAATATAACTTGATGTTATACAATGTTGTTTTCTAGTCTTTATGTTTGCTTGACTATATGGTTATTCTTTACATGACATTTCTTTATACGAGTTCCATATAATTAGCTTAGTCTGAAAGAGCTATGAGACTCTGTTCCTGGGAAAAGGATAAATCATTTGTATTCTGACTTAGACTTTTTCTTTGAATCCAACATGCATGTATTTAGTCCAAAATGGAGTGAAAATTTGTGAAAGCTTATGATGTGCTGTTGTCCGTTTCCTTTTTTTTTCTTCCTCCGAGTACTTTCTCAATGTCTTCTACATCAAATAGTCTTGTTTCAAATATATTAACTTATTTTTGTAATTCCCCCATTCCTTTAAGCTTTAAAAAATAATCAAATAGTCACCTGTTATTATTCAGATATGTGTTTACTATGGATAACTGTAGCTGATTGTAGAAGACATAATTTGTAATGGTAAGATATTTTTAAGTTGTTCAATCTTCTCTTTCTAAATTTTAATGTTTAACAATAACTCTATTTTTCTTATTTTTTGGAGACAAACATACTCTTTTTAATCTGTACTATTTAGGATATATTTTGACCCCTAAAACGTATGGAAAAGTGCCTGCTAGCTTCTGTTCCATTTTAAGTGAGTTCTTCATCAACTTTTAAGTGAGCCATGAAGACACTTTGTCTCATTGGCAAAAAATGATGTACCATGCCATGGTATTGCATACATTGTGACTATAAGTGAGGTACTTTTAAAATAGTTGATTTATTCTTATCAAATATCCTTCCCTCTATTTGCTTTACTCTGAACTTGATACTGTTCCTAACCGAGGTAGTGCAATGTATACAATGTAAATAATCATTTTGTATCTGTATGTATGGTAATGACAAGTACAGAATATCAACTAAGAAAACCAAAATTTGTATAACGATTTGACATACCGGTAATAAAACTGTAATTGATGTACCGGTACTTCGATATTACCATGCTATTTGTTAAAATTAGACCTGTTGGGACTCATTTCTATCCATGATGATGTTATTTGATTTTATATGTGGTGATGTAGAATTATGATTACCGGTAGATATATTATATTTAGAAGAGATACATTATTATATTGCCATGATTTAATATTTGTAATATATATATATTATGTTCACTTTTGTAATGACAAGTAGCGTATGATTATATCCAGGGATATGAAAGCCTACACTTTCTAGTGTGTATATTTAGGTTGCACTGTGCACTATGTATTCATGTATTAACATGTCTGCATGATCTGCTTAGTATTGTTTTAACATAATTGGATTTGAAACCTCTTTAAGGGTGATACTCTATTCCTTGCAGCTAACTTGTTTTTACATTGGCTATGCAGTAGGGGGGAATTTTTTTTTTTTTTTTTTTTTCTTCATTTATATAAATGTATACATGGATTTGCATATGAATAGTAATGAATAAAAGTAAGAACAAAATGTTTAAGCGACTTCATGTACTGCTTAAAAATGCATGTACATGTGTGTATAGCATGATCACAAAGGCTTTCAAGAAATCAAACCAAGGGCAATAGGCTTGTATATCACCTTATGAAATACATGTATGGAAACATGACGATGACATATTACATAATCTGATAAATAATGGCTTCTTACATAGCGCTAACATTCATCACGTTTTGAGACTGTGATGCTCATTCATGGTGCATCAAAATTGTTACTAGTAGAGTAACTAGTGCTCAAGTCTACCAGGTACCCATTCACCTCACCTGGGTGAAGAGTGGCAGATGTAGATAAACGTCTTGCCGAAGGATGTTAGTGCCACGCAGGAAGGCGATTTATATAGGCAATACACTATGATGTTGCCCTGGAGTTGGTTTCTTGAAAGTCTGTGCGTTTGTTTTGAATCTATGATAGATATGAAACTATTTATTGTTATTCATGATTCTAATTTTTATCAGGTATTGAATAATACCTTCTATTCTTGCTTTGTACTTTATGAAATTATGTTTAAATTGTATTAATGATTTTTCTTTAGTGACATTGTGATGGTCTTTATATCATACAGGGTTTAGTCCACCTTTTTTGTTTAGTAGCCGCAACTATGTTGCTATCATGGAAAACCTCAAAAAATATGAATTTTAAGAATTCATACATGATTGAATAAAATAGATATCATTTCACATAAAAATATTAATATCTTATAAACATGTTTGCGTGTTTATGTTTTAGGATTTTGGTTTTAATTGAGTAATTTGAAAACATTTAGAGATGTTTTTAATGAATCAGACAAGTCAACAAAACTAACTTTATTTTGAGTCAAATAATGGTATATAAAACTGATCAATGTTTTATTACATGTAATGCCAACTAGAAACATCAATAAAATCTTTCTTTTATCTAAATAACACTTCAATTGTACAAAAAAGAGGTTTTGTGAGATGTTCTGATTATTCTTTTCATTAGATGTGGGAGTACATACATGTTCTTCATCTACATATACCATGACAACATATTGAATTCAAGTTTATGTGACATGGAAAATCATACATTTACAATCATTTTCTAAATTTATTTCATAATACCTTTTTTATGAATACCAATGAAGTACATCTTCTCTTCCCCCCCCCCCCTCTCTCTCTCTCTCTCTCTCTCTCTCTCTCTTTCTCTCTCTTTCTCTCTCTCTCTCTCTCTTCTCTTCTCCTCTCTCTCCATATGTCTCTCTATCTACAGGTAAAATGTGGTTGACACATTCACAGAAATCAACAACGAAATATATTTGTATATGGATGGAAATATTTCTGGCATATTATCTAGAGGCTCTGACATAGGCACATAACATCTTCTGTAACATATATCATTTTTTCCTTATAGACCAAAATGCCCACCTCTTGAAATTTCCATTCAGCCTGCCTCTTGATGCATCTGTTCCATTGAATCTCTGTGATTCAATTCTTTCCAATCTTGTACGATCTCCTCGGTCTCTGTCTGTATCTCCCTCCCTCTCTCTCTCTCTCTCTCTCTCTCTCTCACTCTCTCTCTCTCTCTCTCTCTCTCTCTCTCTCTCGCTCTCTCTCTAAGTCTCTGTCTCCCTCTCTACTTTCTTTCCCTCTTACAATCCATTCTGCTTTCCTGTCAACATACAACAATGACCCATGTAACTTCGGCATCCCTAATGTTTGTCCTCTGCAGCCTTGCCAATCTCTTCCTCCTCATCCTCAGAGTCATCCGATGATGCACCCAGGTTCTCTGGAGGTGAAGAAGTGGTCTTTGTAGAACTCTTCTGTCTCTGGCCTGCAGTGCTTTTGCTTGAATTTGATGTCGTAGGTTTCTTATCCACCTACATGACAGAAAAAAAACTTATTCATGAAAATAGAGAGAATCAGAGCATTTTGAATGGGGAGCGGGAGTTCAAATCATATCTTCAGACAAATTTGTCGATACATTTTTCAACAGGCCAAGGGCAAAAGATTGCAAGATTGTTAAATTTTCCCCCAAAATCAGAAACAACGAAGAAAGACCATTTGCATCTATTTTGTTTAACGGGTTGACGAGATGACATCTTCACCCACTCCAAGAACGACCCTGGAGGAAATGCTGCCAACTATTGTCATTTGCAGGTATTATGTGAAACTGAAACTGTTGTTTTATTTTGTTCAGATCAGAACTATTAAAAGAGTTTATTATCAAAGCAAAGTTATATCTCTAATCCATGTTGTGATATTGATATCTGAAATCCAATCCAACATCTAGTAATCAAGAAGAGCGAGATGCATCACAGATTTCCATCCGGCCCACCACCCAAACCCACTTTGGTGATAGGGTTTGAGGGTCGCTAGATTCATATATCCCACCGCTGCCACCACTCACCGCATTACCAGGCACCAGCCGATCTCGAGACCGCGACGTTCCCTTCATAACACCCTCAACTCCGTCAAGTTTCATCTTCAAGGATGTTCCAGATCCTAGGTGTCCTAGGTCCGTCTTACTCTTGGTGACGGGCTTGCTGGCATCCTTAGGGGATCGTCGCGAGTTGTGGACGGAGCCAGGCTGTCCGACAGTGTTACTGGGAGGGACCAGGCGGGCCGCATCCTTGATGAGACCCGCGAGGGTTCCTCGACGGGTGGAGATCAGATTGTGCTGTTCAAGCTCCAGCAAGTTGGACAAGATGTCTCCTTTTTTCTAGATTTAATGGAGTAAGAATTATACATTATATGAAAGGTTTTGAATTTAGAGTCTATAAGCAAGGACACTCACCTCTGATAAAACATAGAGGGTGCCACAAGACCATTCTTAAAGGGGATGTGCATGGTGTTTCAACAAATCTTGCGACAATTATTCTTGAACTACTGAGCAAAAAGAAATCCCTTTTAATTATTTTTGTTTTAATTCAAGTTTTCCGACAATGCCAAATTTTTGCCAAAGAAATTTTGGATGGGTATGAACAATAGCCAACATAAACATTTGTAGAGTATATCAATACCTTACATTTCTACGTATTCACGAGCCCTTTGCACACGAAACGTCATTTTGTTTGACATAGGACTGCGTCATCAGCGACTAGTATGGCCTTTGACGCGCCATTTGATGCGCCATTTGACGCACTTTTTGACGCACCAATTATTTATCGACGCGCCCTTTGAGAGAGAGAGAGAGAGAGAGAGATCGTACAGAAAGCAAAAAAGTGATGTGTGCAAATATTGAAATAAAGAACTGACACTATAGTCATGCACAAATCGCCTATAATATATTTGCAAGCTTGATTATAGCGCAGGTAAACTGGGAATAGCAAGAAAATGAAATGACGCCTCACGCGCAACGCGCATAAGACAAGACGAACATCAAACCCTCGATTATAGTTGTATCTGTCTATATATTAGACCGTAGTTAATTTCACAAAAAAAACTGTACATCATCTTGTATTCTCTTCAGGCTTGCTTAGATATGACGATGTAAACCGCCGCAAAAAGGACAACAACAAACAAACAAACAAACCTGTAAATGAAGGCACACTGCACAGGTCATGCATGCTTCTACTGAGCTTTTTTGTGAGATACAGGTCGAAATTTGACGAGTATTACACTTTATGTCATCATCGGTTTTACCGCGTCATATACTGTTTCTGAAAGAGACCTTGGGGCTATTTATCCACTAGGTGTGATTTGTTTCTTTTTCTACTCACCCCGATGTTTTTGAAGTTAACTGGATCTGGGGCTGCTGCCGAGGGTGGAGCCATGGAAGGTTTCGATTCTAGATCATCTTCTTCTTTAAATTCATTCAGTTCCCAGAGCAGTCGAAATATCTGACAAACCAATCAACAAACCTCCATGAATTCGACTACTTTTTTTAAACTCATATAATTTGAAAGCAATATAGGCCTATTACATTTACATGTATAAAGTGCATTACGTTCATACTTTAATGTGCTGTATAGTTTTATTACTGATTATTATTACTCGTTCTCGCTGAGTTTCAAGTCCACGCATAATTGTGCACAATCTCCACTCCTTTGGGAGTTGCACCTTCCAAATACAAACATGTAGATAGTCTCTGATCTTGAGTTTTCTTCATGAGCCGTAGTCTTCATGATGTAGTTTTGAAACTTTTCCGTCGCCGTAAGATGTTTTGTTATTGAATATGTTCACTATTTGTATGTTTATTTGTTTGTATTTGTACGAACCTTGTCGAGGTCATCTCTGATCGTCTGGTATTCAGCAAGATTGTCCTCAAGAGCCGAGATGAGGACGATGTAGTTTTGAAACTTTTCTGTCGTCAGATACTTAAAATCCTGCAGGAGATAATGCGATGGTTGATGAAACATAATAAAGAGCATCTCTCTATATATCTCATAGCTCTATCTCTCTTTCTCTCTTTCTTTCTTTCTCTCTCTCTCTCTCTCTCTCTCTCTTGCTCTTTCTCTCTCTCTTTCTTTCTCTCTCTCTTTTTCTCTCTCTCTCTTTCTCTCTCAGGCTCTCTCTCTCTCTATCTCTCTATCTCTCCATCTCTCTATCTCTCTTTCTTTCTTTCTCTCTCTCTCTCTTTCTTTCTTTCTCTCTCTCAGGCTCTCTCTCTCTCTCTCTCTCTCTCTCTCTCTGTTCCCTTCCCAATATTCTCCTTGCACCTATATACGATCTACGAAAAGGATCGCAAAGACTTGATAATTAAGATTCAAATTAATTCATTGATATTCAAAATGAAATATAAGGAATACTTTACATTTATAACAAAAAATCCATTTCCAATTTTATTGCAATTCCTTTCAAAATTATAGTCGCACTCTGGTCATAATGTGGCTAGCTACACGGTTGCCCAAGATAATTTCAGATAAAATACAAATTATTGCCTCTTCTTACCCCAAAGTGCAGTGGCTTCTGAGTGGGCATGTCCATCTTTTCTAGGACATCGCCAATAGATGTGATAGGTACCTCTTTGCCAATGTCTACTTGGAATCAGAGGAAATAAAATAAAATCTTTAAAAAATAATCAGTCGCGACGGTAATAAAGCTACAGAAAATACCTTGCTGCTCGCATTATATATACTTTCGAATTGTCTTATCATGAAAGAATCTCTCAAGCATTATCTTGATCCAATGCAACTGATATATAAATTATTTCTAAACATTCAGTTCTGTTTATGCATTTTCTCTGAATTATCAAGATCACATACACTACAATACAAGCACATTCTTTAGGAAAGTGTAACACATTTGGCAGTGTGTATACTCTACCAATGAACATGTGCATAAATATTGTAGATGGAAAACAAACAAATAACGATATTTCATGAGACCAATCTACTCACCCGTCTCATCTTCTGTATTAGTGGTCTTGGTGCTCAACACATCTTCTCTCATCTTGTTCTCCTGTTTCACCTCCTTGACTGCTTTGTCCTGTAATGCGACAAGATATATTATCATTCAACATAGTTCATTTGTCACGTTAGGTCTGAAATTGGATGTTATCTTCTACATCATGACTGCGAAAAACACAGTACAGAGTAGGTCAGGAAATTTCAAAAATAAAGTTACACTCGATCTAGACCTGGGGGGTGTTTCACAAAGATCCTAAGTAGAACTTATCTCTAAGTTGGACTTAAAAGTTATGAAAAGCCATTATCATCTTTGAAAATATTTTGTAAAAGTTATTTTGAAAGGCATAAAATGTTGATTCAAATCATTCATATTTTCTATCATCAAGGAGATTTCATGTTCTGGATGTGGAATTTATAAAAAGTCTAAAATACTTGAATTTCTACTTTGGAATATATTTAAATTTTAAGGCTCCAATGGCTGTCCATAATTTTTAAGTCCAACTTAGTGTTAAGTTCTACTTAGGATCTTTGTGAAACACCCCCAGGTAGTTGAAACATTTCCCCTCCTGATCAGACCTTCGCTTCTCAAAAGTTAAGTTACGCCTGATAAAAGTTAAGTAAATCATATTTTGGTCATTGGTATCGATCTCGAAAACAAAGTTTATTAACTTTCTTTTTAATTTTTGTAAAATGTATAAGCTTCAATTGAAGTCCACATATAATGATTATTATTGTTTATGTCATGTTACCTTATCTTGTAATGTTATCATATTTTGTCATGTTATGTAATCTTGAAAATGGAAGCAATAAAAAAGAATCTTTAAAACAAAATTAATGGTTCTTGTTTTCCGATTTCATAGATACCATATTAGCGAGGCCAAATTTACTTTTCTGTCTAGACATGATTGCGTTCATTTACCAGATTTGTGACGACCACGGCGACGACAAGGTTGGCGAAGACGAATGATCCGATGGTGATGGCCAGGATGAAGTAGCCAGCTCCTATCATGTAGTGAGGCGTGTTCTGAATTATTTATTTGTGAAAAGATAAATATCATCAGCCAAATATCATTAATTTAAATGGTGGTGAAATTAACCATAAATGTGGTATGTTGACGACGAACATTAAAGATAGAGGTCTACAACTTGTTTTATAATTGTAGAATTGGGAAGAAATTGAAAAATGCCACAGGAAGTTAAACAGGTCAATCGTGTTGGTAAAAAATTATTGAAGAGACAAGTTGGAGTTGGACTCATTTCAAAGTAATTCATGCTATATAGCACTCATAATAGGAACAAATCATATTCTATGAAACTCTTTGGGAATAAAATTCTTCATCAGCTTAGTTTTATCTATCGCGAAATCGCGAAAAGAAGCTATCACTAAATAATAATTGAATAAAGTGAAGATATATTACTTCACTCGGCCCTTGTTATTAATTTTCATTAAAATACATGTTCTTATAGTAATAAAAATGAAAGATATTCCTACCTTAAACCTTTCAAATAACCCCATCCAACCATCTTGAGTTACGCAGATGAAGAGAGAAAACATAGCTGTCAAAGGAAAAAATCATAATAAGCATAGTTTATCCAGGTTTTCACGGAGAATCGTAAATATCGTATTTTAAGACTTTAACTACTACTACTAATAATAATAGTTCAGTTCTTGTATAGCGCATAATACGTCATGAAATAACATCTCTATGCGCTTCCAAAGAGCTTTGGACTTTATTACCCTAGCTTTAGCTCCGGCAGCCTTATCAGCGCACAGTGCATTTCCCTCATTTACCTCACCTGGGTTGAGTGTGGCAAATGTAGATCATTGTCTTGCCAAAGGACATTAGTGCCGCGGCGGGACTCGAACCGCGGACCTTGTGATCGACAGTCCGGTGACGTATCCACTCGACACCTCTACATGACAACTAAGGTCATAGATAGTCTACGAAAATCTAATAAAATAGGTTGACCACAAGTCCATAATTAGCTACTTCTTTCTGGTATGAATGATAGATGAGGGTGTTATTAATACGCTGAGGAAGATAGTTTATGAACAGTGTCCTTACTTACCCGACTGAAGATTGCCAAAGAGAGATGGGAAATCCTCACCGAACAGAAACACACCTACAACACTCAGAACTAGCATGAGGATGACGAGCAGAAGGGCGATGTTCGACATGTCTGTCAATGTAAGAAAGTGATAATATGGGGCTTCCGTTATTAATCTAATATCGCTATGTTTACATTGCATAGTATAAACATGACAATAAATGATACCGCTTGTCGAAGTTACTGTATCGAAAAGTTGTACACACTTTAAACAAAAGTAACGTATCATAAAAACTCAATGATAAAGATGCGACCTTGAATCAGCGAAATTAGTGAATTGAAATTAACAATTAACACTGCATTAAGAATTAAGACTATTAAAGATACTATGTCCCTTTTGCAGCTAACCTCAAATTCTGTAGAACTTTGCAGGAATAATAAATATGTCATGTATGTCCTATCTGTGAAATTTAAATGTAAGCAGTGTCCTAATATTCAAATTATGCAAGGAAACCCGTTTACTTGCTAGACTTCACTGTCAGACACTATTGTCAGTATTGAGTGACTGACTGGCTTTTTCTTCTTCTTTGGTAATAGAATACATAAAATGAGCTGTAAATGATTTGTCTACATCAATAATCCACTTCTTGTAATGGCCAAAATTAAACTGATTGAATCTTTGCGCAGCATAAAACGTACGACCATGCGGTACAATGGTCTGAAAATCAAGGCTATTACTTATTGGCTTTATAGCTCCTAAGTCGATTTGACAACTAATAGTCGTTATTTTCCCACTTAAAGACATTTTTAAGGGGAGTTCTAAATTAGTATTATCTCCCAAATGCCATTGGAATTTAACCTTTTCATTTTTTGGGCCTGCAAAAGGGACCTTTAAGACATTGCATTAAGGCATTAAGCCAATGTTTCAGATGGAGAAGAAACTTCTTCCATCTCATCAAAATTTACAGATCAAACTCGAGACGAACATTTCATTTAAAAGGATTTGTCTATGTTCATTTCATCTCGTCAGACTCTCTTGTCATTTTCAGAACACAGTTCGCTACACTTACCTGGGATAGATTGGAAAATAGTCTGCACCACAACAGAGAGACCGGCTAAAGCACTCACACTGTAAAAGAAGGACTACATTGTTTGATCGGGATGTTTATTAAAACAATATTTACACATGCTTACTTATTATTTTTAAATAATTAAATTTACACTATTGTCATGATTAGCTTGCTTTACTCTAAAAAGTCTTGAAATACATTTCATTACAAAAATTCTGAAGAATAAAAAAAACTTCATACCTACAAACTGCTAAGATATTGTAAACTAGGACATTATACTAGAATGAATAAAATATTAACAAGTACAGCAAATGTTATGATATAGATGTGGCGAAAGGGAAAACGCAATTATTGTCAATGACAAATTATCGTGTAGAAGAAATTTATCGACATTATTCTCGTGGATACGGTGGAACCATAGAGCTTAGATTTAATCATAGCCGGATGGAATTGTTTTGTACCTTCGCAGACTTCTGAAGGCCCTGAGCACCCTCAGGATTCTCAAAATACGACTGCTTCCTAAGAACTTGAGAGCTGATTAAATGAAATTGAGATAATTTGTTTTATTGAACAAGGGGATATAATAAGAAGAACGATAAAAAAGATGATGCTGATGATGACTGTGATCAATGAAGATGATGATGATGATTACGACGACGACGATGATGATGATGATGATAATGATAATGATGATGATGATGATGACGATGGAGAAGAAAGAGAAGGAAAAACTGAATGTTGAAGAAGGAAGAGTAAAAAACAAATACAAGAAAGGGAGATGAAAGAGGAAGACCGAAATATAAAAAAGAAGGAATGATGATTCAAAAAAGGAGATCAAGAACAAGGAAAAGAGAAAAGAAAAGTGACTGTAGTGTAAAGTATGGCATTCAGAGTTAAGATGTAGAATTTTGCTACTGCTTAATTAAACTGGAAAACAAAGTAAACATTAGATCCAAGTCGAGTTGTCCCCAGATTATTATTTCTACTCACTTGGTCCGAGGAGGAGGATGACGATGATGAAGAAGTCGAGAATGTTCCATCCAACCTTCCAGTAGATGATGAACCCATTATACCACTTGAGAATCAACTCACACACGAAGATACTCAATACGGTATAGTCAAAGATGAAGAAGAGCCAAGCGTACTTCTGAGACTGAAAACCAGGGGAAAACAGAACCGTGAATAATTATAGTGGTGGTAAAAGTGTATCAAATATTTCTGATACTTAATGTTGAGAATTAGAATATTAAAAAGGAAAATTCATTGTGACGCACCCCCCCCCCCCCCTATTCCCACCCATGGATGCTCTGTGATCCGCAGGTTTTTGTCGTTACGCCGAAGTGGTCAGGATGGGAAAATATTGTTGATCATATTGATGGCCCGCCCCCCCCCCCTCCCCTCTCCACCTCCACTTCCCCCCTCTCACCCTCCCTCCCAACCCGCTCACTTGTGATCGTGTTAATTAACCGCTACGTCTATAATTATGTCGGCTGTGAATAGGCCTGTCTCATCTTAAGGCCAACATTTTAATAATAAAAATGAAGTGTTCCGTCCCCACCCGCCTCCTTTAATTAAAAAAAAAAAACTATTTACAATTGAGATTCGTTTAAAACCCTCAAAAAGCTCCCCCCGCCAAAAAAAAGGCCAAAAAAAAGCCACCCCCCCCCCAAAAAAAGAGCCTGTGATATACATTTTGTTTAAAAAGCTTCTAAAGTGATACAAATCATTTGTTGTGTATCACATTGCATCAGTATACTCACATAGCACAATATCTGTGAATAAACAGGCTTGGCCAGCTAAAATTAGCATGGCAGCCATGTTGGAAAAAATAGCAAAATAGTAAATAGTAGGCCTGATGAGCTGCCCCTCATTTTTATAAAGTCCGGACGAGAAACACGTTATTTTTGTTATTTGACCTTATAGACCAGTTCACGGTTAGCACATGTTCCAAATGACCCCGAATATCCACAGATCTTCAAAACATTAAGAGGTCCCACATTGTACATTTTGAAATAATCACTCTTATACAGCGATGGAGGTGCTGCATAAATAGCCTTTGTTTCCCTTTTTCAAAAATACTTTCACCTGTGTATCATGGAGTGCACTGCTTGTGCATAAATGAATTATGATTTACATAACTTTCATGAGCACGTACTATCCAGTATATTTTGTCACCGTGTATTTCACAATTTGGTCTGCAATGGTCTTTATCTGCTCATGCTCAGACTGCAACCTTGAATTGGCTTATTCCTTTCACACATGAATTCTTATTTATTTCTTTATTCTTTTCCAATCTTCATTCCATTTCCTTTTGTGTAATGCAATATAGTGAAGTAACAATTTAATTTTCATAGGCAGTTCACCGTGGCGCGATCGGTTAGCGCGTAGTACGGCTCCAGATCAAGGACGCTTGGTTTGAGCCTGGGCCTATCAGGGACGCCTGGTTCGATCCCGGGCGGCAGCCGGAACACGGTGCCGGCCATATACCTTTTTGTTGCTACCCCCCTCCCCTCACACACACGCACGCACGCACACACACACGCACACACACACACACACACACACACACACACACCTTCGGGTACACTGTGATCCGCAAGTTTGTGTCTTGACGCCGAAGTGGTCAGGAAGGGAAAGTTTTTTTTTTTTTTTTTTTTTTTATTGATTCCAAACAATACAAATAATCTTAGAAATAAAATACAGTTGTTTTTGTCCTCGACATGAATTCAAAACATTTTCATTACATAGATTGTACGATAATTGATGAAAACAAATATGAAATCAGTAATTTGTAACATAAAGGAAGTTGTTGGTAGTGGATCGTCCTAACCCCGTCCCTTGCACCCACCCCCATCCAAACCCCACCCCGCCCACTTGTAAACTTGTTGATTTATCGCTAGATATACGTCTAAGTTGGCCTGTCCTTTTCACATCTATTCCAATCTTAATTCCATTTCCTAATTTCGTCTTACGCGGTATAGTTTCATTCCTATTAGATGATTCTCCGTGGCGCAATCGGTTGCGCCTCGTACCAGGGACGCCTGGTTCGAGCCCGGCCACCGGGATGTTCTGCCTGGGGTGGATCCCCGGTATCCCCGGTTCGAGCCTGGGATCGCGGAGTAGGCCATACGTTTTTGCTTAATTTGGCTTTTTTCTATTTTAATTGCTATTAACATTCACAGAGTCTTTCACCATTAAATTGCAATTTGATAAAAAGAGATCAATTCATCAAAATATGCTTAAGAGCACTTTTTTTTTTGGTCCCGAAATTTGAGAATTTCGCCAATCGATATTTCGTTCCGTGGGTGGGGGGGGGGGGGGGGGGGGTGAGGCCACCTTTTTTTGGTCACCCATTAGCACAATATTATTATTATTTTTTTTTTTTTTTAATATATTTTTTTTAATGAGGGGGCGGGGTTTCCTCCAAAACATACACGCGCCTAAAAGGACCTATCCCCTTTTCATAAATGCCCCTTTTCACCTCCTATAAATGCACCTATCAAAATCTGATGGGTGCCCCTTTTCCGACATATTCCCATTTCCTATTCTTATGACTGACTTTTTTTTGTATCCCTGGTGAGTGCCTCTTTTTGAGGGTGTAAGAAGTGTTCCATTTTCACTTCAGATAATTACTCTTTGTACTTTGACACGTGCTCCTTTTCTTTTCTGATAAGTGTCCCCTTTTCCTCTCATCATTAAACGCGCCTCAAATTTCAAGCGACTAAGAGCACTAAGACTAAGACAAGCGACTTCTCCCAAAGCTCGCTCGCGTATGATATACTTATGTTATACTTATGTTACTTATCAAAGCTCTTTTCAGTCTTCTGTTATGAGTATGTGCTTATAACCCAATCAGGATTGGGTTTTGTCCTCTTTATAAGATGTAATTTTTGCACTGTGTTCTCACAAATATTAAAAACTTTCCTTGCTCGCTTCGCTCGCTCGCAAATAATTTTTCAGACCATCACACCCAACTGCAAAGCATGATGCTTTTAAAAGCAATATCTTGTATGGTGTATGAAGTGAAACAAAATATTGAAATCATCTCTGATATAATCACAATGTAGAGATATTATACCAATGTCTAAAAGATTGTATATTTTCGCTTTGAGATTTCCCTTTGTAGGTGCCCTTTTCCCCAGAAAGTGCCCATTTTCTTGGTGCCCCCCCCCCCCCACTTATGATATTGTTGATTTATCGTTACGTATTATAGTTGTGTTGACTGTGAATAGGCCTTCACTTCTTAATTACTTTCTCATTAATTCGTATTTATTTCTGTTATTCGATTAGGCCTAAATAAAAAATGTTGTATTGCCCGTCAGGTGCCAGAACCAGGGTCGGTCAGAATTTTTTCTCTCTGTTTTTCCTCTCTTCAAAACAGCGACCGTCGCCCAAAAAATCTCGCAGGTTTCTATGGTACAGCGCGTGATATACAGTACACGAGGCCAGTGTCTACTTGTTTATTTGATGATTTTAGGCATTTATATCCCATTTAAATAAAACAAAATGCATATTTTATCATTCATTAAACATTTATGTTCTTCTTTTAAAAACGGTTACATTAAAAAATAATAAACAAATCGACCGTAGTTTTTAAGATATTTGGGTCGGTCACAAAGGGCAATACATCTTTTTTTAACGCCCTACCCATGCAGTGTTATAATCTTCATTCATATGCCATAAAGTAACAACTGGTGTAGGTAGGTCCCCGTGGCGCAATCGGTTAGCGCATCGGATCAGGGACGCCTGGTTCGATCTCGGGCTTTCGAAGGAGAGTTGATTTCCCTGGAACATTGATTCCCTTGGGCGTATTGATTCACCGGTTCGAGCCCGGGGCACACGGGGGTGTCCAGTATTCCGTTTTGCTTATTTTGCTTTTTTCTATTTTGATTGCTATTAACATTCACAGAGGAAACACCAACAACGATAGAAAGGAACATGTTTAAAAACAAATGAAATGATACAAAAGGACTTGTTTCTGCTTTGTGAAACGCCATTTACATGATATATTTGTTTGTTTATTATATATTATACAGGTACACCTATATTTACTCATTTTTACATTCAGTAATGTTTCATAAATCAATGTTTTAGTTATGTTTTACTTAATCCCGAAAGTCAGAGGCGGCCCACCGGGGGGGGGGGCAGGGGGGGGGGGGCAGGGGGGGGGGGACACAGTGCCCCCCCCCCACTTTTTCAGATACACCCAAAGTGCCCCTTTTTACATAGGAAAAGTGCCCCTTTTATTTTGTAAGAAGTGCCCCTTTTACATAGGAAAGGTACCCCTTTTACTTTGACAAGTGCCCCTATTACTTAGTAAAAGTGCCCCTTCCCCTTTTCACCTCTGACGAGTGCCCTTTTTATTTTTGACACGTGCCCCTTTTCCTTCGACATGTTCCCATTTTCCTTTGCAATAAGTGTCCATTTTCCATTCTCATAAATCTTGAAATTATCTTGAATAAGTGCCCTTTTTAATCTCTAGTAAGTGCCTCTTTTCAGGTACGAGAAGTGCCCCTTTTCACTTTTAATAAGTGCCCCCTTCACCTCTGATAATTGTCCTAATCAAAACTGAGAGGTGCTCCTTTTACTTTCACAACTTCCCCTTTTTTCCTTTGTAAGAAGTGCCCCTTCTCCTTTTAATAACTACCCCTTTTTTAAACTCGGATGAGCGCACCTTTCATTTTAACATGTGCCCCTCTTATTTTCTAATAAGTGACCCTTTTCCTTATGATAAGTGCCCCCATTAAAAAGAGAGAGGGCTCCTTCCCTTTCTCATAACTTGCCCTTTCCCTTTCTCATAAGTGCCCCTTTTCCTTATGATAAGTGCCCCCATTAAAAAGAAAGAGCTCCTTCCCCTTCTCATAACTGCCCCTTTTAAACATCTGAACGGTGCCCCCTTTTCATTCAACAAATGCACATTTTCCTTAATTATAAGTGCCCCTTTTACATTTTCATAAGTGCCCCTTTTCATATCTGGTCAGTGCCCCTTTGCAACTCTGATAATTCCCCTTTTAATAATGATACGTGCCCCTTTTCCTTTCTAATAAGGGACCTATCCCCTTTTCACCTCTTATAAATGCCCCTATCAAAATCTGATGGGTGCCCCTTTTCCGTCAACAAATGCCTATTCCCATTTTCGTAAACGCCTCCTTTTCATCACTGGTGAGTGCCTCTTTTTAGGTGAAAAATGCCTTATTTTCACCTCTTATAATTATCCTTTGTACTTATACACGTGCTCCTTTTCTTTTCTAATAAGTGTCTTATCCCTTTCGATAATTGTCCCCTTTTCATGTCATCATTAAACGTGCCCCTTATTTAAAGCGACTAAGAGCAATTCCCCCCAAAGTTCGCTCGCTGCGCTCGCTCGCATTCAAAGATGATATAATTATGTTACTTATCAAAGGTCTTTTCAGTCTTCCGTTATGAGAATGTGCTTATAACCCCATCACGATTGGCTTTTTCCCTCTTTATACGATGTAATTTTTCGCACTGCGACCTCACAGATCTTTAAAAATTTTCTCGCTCGCTTCGCTCGCTCGTAAATGCATATTCAGACATCACACCCAACTGTAAAGTTTGATGCTTAAGCGATATCTTGTATGATGTATGAAGAGAAACAAATATTGAAATCATCCCTGATAATGTAATCACAATGTAGGGGTATATACCAATGTCTAAAAATTGTATATTTTCGCTTTGAGATTTCCCACTGTAGGTGCCCTTTTTTTTTCAGAAAGTGGCCTTTTTTTGTTGATGCCCCCCCCCCCCCCACTTTGAAAGTCGCTCGGCCGCCCCTGCCGAAAGTTGACTCTTTACAAGCGACGCTTTTTCCTTACCAGTTCTCTGTTGGTCTGTGCCCCGATGAGGATGGCGTTCATCACGATGACTCCGAGGATGAGACCACGGAACCAGATGCTATCCACCATCTTACCTACCAGCTCCTGTAAGATTGGTAAGGAAGAGGAATTATGATGATAACAATAAGGAGGATGGTGGTGATGATGATGACGACGACGACCATGCCGACGATGAGGAGGATGGTAATGTGATGATGATGATGAAAATAAGGAGGATGGTGGTGATGATGAGGAGGACGACAATGACGAAGACGAGAAGGATGGTAGTGTGATGATGATGATAAAAAAATAAGGAGAATGGTGGTGATGATGATGATGATGAGGACGACATCGAGGAGGATGGTAGTGTGATGATAATGATAAACAATAAGGAGGATGGTAATGTGATGATGAGAATGAGGATTTAAATGATGATGATGACGATGGTAGTTATGATAATGATGATAATGATGATGATGAAAATAGTGCCGATAATGGTATTGATAATTGTGATTATGATATTATCACCATTACTATAGTAATGGTAATGATGATGATGGTGTGATGACGATGATGATATTAATATTGATGATATAGATTAGGGTTTGGCTGTTGGCAATGGTAGCATTGGTAATGTTGGTGTGAATGATAAAAACAAGGACGATGAGGATGAAGATAAATTATAGACATGATGATAATGATGCGATGACAGAATGAATAATGATGTTTTAACACTAAATAGAATGTTTATTTTTTACTACTTCTTTCATACATGGACTTTGGTAAGAAAGATAAATTACATATAGCAGCCTGATGCTTTATTCTGTTCTAACATGATTGCATTTCCTCACCTGAGAGACGACTTCCTCAACGCGCTCGTCATCGAGATCAACGATCTGGTTGAAGTCTTCTTCTACTTCGTCAGTCTCAAACAAATCGCAAAGTTCTGCCCCGCGTTGAATCTGTCAACAACAAAAATAGTTCAGGTGTCCATCAACTGAGCCGGCTATTGGTGCATAGTTTGCAGGGGCGTCCCCATGTGTAGAGGGGAGGGGCTGACAGCTTATTCGAAATTTTAACGTCGGGACATTTTGCTTACTTTTGTTTTGTTTTATTTTTACAGTCTCGTCGAAGAATGGAAGAATCGCAAAACCTTATAATCACTCTCACTTTCTCTCTCACTGTCGACCCCATCTGTTAGAAGAGAGGTCTCTTTAAAAATCTTTTCTTTTTTGCGTGTGTTAATATGTGTGTGTGCTTGGACAAATTTCAACTATCTTATCGCCACAAGAATTTGTCCTACCCCATTCAAATTAGACTGGCAACGCCCCTGGTCGTATATTATAGCTCAGGTGAACACAAATGAAACACGATGTTTTCTTGGATGTGTATTTTAAGTCCACCTTGGTTTTATTATTAAACGATAGAGCATACAATAATTATGAGGTAAATTTCCAAATCTTAGCAAAATGTAAAATAATTAATGTTCGTCCCTGGGTGGGCTCGAACCACCAACCTTTCGGTTAACAGCCGAACGCGCTAACCAATTGCGCCACAGAGACAACTGTAACTAACTGTAATCATACGTGGCCAAAGCTGTCCTGAATAATTATAATGAGTCATTTCTGGGCATGGAAGTGGTCGGTTAAAGATGTTCCTATTCAATCTCTCTCTCTCTCTCTCTCTCTTTCTTTCTCCTACCAATCTCTAAATTATATTGTAGTACATTCAATACTATCAAGTAGACAGACAGATAGAAAGTAAAAATTATTTCGACGGCTGCTTGCATGAAGGCCATTACTACCATTAACAATACATTGCACTTGCGACCTTCTTACAGACAGCTGATATTTAATAGTCTTGACGTGAAGAAAACGACAGTAGGAACAGAATAGTAAAGTTACTGGTATTACATTTGATATGCCTCCATCTTGTGTTAATTTAAGTGCGTCACAAACAATTAAAACGAAATTAAAGTTTGATAACCAACCATGCGAATACTATCATATTTTGTATGTTCAAAGTTCAACTATCATCAGTTCTTATAGGACAAGCATGCAATCAAAATATGTATTATTATAAAACTTGTGAGGTTAAAAATATGTGTGAATTACAGAATAACACTAATGTATATAAACATATTTGTTTGAGGGATTCACATTTTACAAGCCCCACCCTTCAGCGAATCCCTCCTTCCCTGAGTGTTTCCTTTTACAAAAGCATAAATAAGTTCCAGCAAAGTGTATAGGCTTTATAATTATTTTCGAAATTTGCATAATGTATCATATTAATGTACTGTACTGTACATTGATTTCCTTTTGTCGTAATTGTTTTTGTTCATTATTGTTTTGTTAGAAATGAAAAATATAAACTGAAACTGAACTGAACGTGAAACAGTACAATGGAAAGCGTATCAGGACAATTACCCCCTGGAAAATCACCCCCGGAAAAATCACCCCCCCCCCTCCTCTCCCCAAGGACAACCACCCTCTAGGACAATAATACCCCCGGAAAATTACTCTCAGAAAAATTACCCCCGTGGTCAATTATACCCTCCCAGGACAATAACCTCCACCCCTGAAAATTACCCCATAGGATAGTTACCTTCCCCTCCCTGTTCATTAAAAGGGTTAAATGTCCGCCGGGAGTAGTTGTCTTCGGGGGGGTGGGGGGATTTTCCGGGGAGTAATTTTCCGGAATGGGAGGGGGGGTAATTATCCCGCTGGTAATAGGCCGGGGATGATTGTCTAGGGAGTAATTGTCCTGGAACCAAATGGAAGTATACTCACAGCATTGGGATCAAATGTAAACAAGCGGGGTGTGTCGTCTCTGATGAAGTTAAAAAAAAGAAGAAGAAGAAAAATTGCACAATAGCGATTGTGTTTTCAAATGTGCCTTAATACACAAGGTGGAGAATGTGATTTTGTTGTTGTTTATAACATTAAAAATAATTATTGTTTTAAAATTGGTAATGGCTTAGGCTTTCACTTTGAATATGTGTTGACCTTTCCGTTTAACTTACAACAACACAAATCAACACTTTTTACTGCAAGTTAATGGTAAAAGCTAAAAAATAACCAAGGGAAAGTATTTTTAATTTTTATTCTTCAATATAGGCTTATAATGAAAGACACGAAAGTGTGTCAAATAAGCTTGCATTATTTGATGATTCACTTCTCCTTGTGTCTCTTCCGTAATGCACTGATAAATCATGGAAATAACATTTACAATTTCAGTTAATCATTTAAACAATCAAATACTTATCTTACATTTCAACTTTGTTTTTATTCCTTGATCCAAGTTTGTTGGCTATCTTCACTTTGAGTCTAATCTGTTGCAAAAAAAATAAAGGAAATAGGAATGAAATATACGGTAACCTTTGACAAGGCCGTTCATTTGATTTGATAAACTCAACTGACGAAAATAATTTTGCATGTATTGCCACCCATTTTTCTTTCAATTTTGAAATGATTGTCCTTAAATCCGAAGGCAAAAGAGACGGACTTATGTTTGTCATGTGCCCGGATACCCAACCCTCAATCATACATGTAATAATCGGAGCTCTTTAAGTCAGCAAATCTAAATTTATTCCATTCCATGACAACTTGATGATGATTTAGTTTACCCTTTTTTCTTCTTTCTTATCGGTAGATCTGGAGAATGGCAACACTAGCAACCGCCTCTTTCATTGAGATATATCAGGAAAGGGGAAATGGACTCCCCCCCCCCCCCCCAACAAAAAAGAAATTAAAAAAAATTGAATTGAATTGAAAACTATAAAGAAAAATAATCTACTCTAGGCCTAGGGCCTATACTTTTTTACAACAAATTACTTTACCTTCTTGAAGGCTGCTCCAGCATTTCCGAACTGTTTGGAGGCGCGTCGCACCCAACCCATCGGGCTTTGAGGAGCCACGACATCAATGTCGCCACCCTGCTCGTTTCCCCCCTCATCGCTCATCTTCACGGAGAATTAAAAACTCGAGGGGAGGGAAAACGATAATTAGGATGAAGGGGAAGAAGATGATGATGGTCAGGGCGACGAACAGAGGCAGGATTATCAACAGAAGAAATGACAGCAGATGAAATAATGTGATGTCTTCCAGTTTCGATTGTCAGTAGCCTGTTTCACTCTTTGATAATTGCTCTTGCCATCTCGAAACTGTAGAAGTTTTTTTTTAGAACAACAGACTTTTGTACAGTCAATTTCTAAGTGCCGATCGCGATCGCCGCATCAATAATGTGTGACGTCACGATGATAATTTTGTTGTGATGATGGACGTAGATTCTTCATCCCTACTTTTTGATATTTCGTTTCAAGCCTCGAATCTCTGACCTGTGTAACATGCAGACGCGTTATACATCATTAATTGCGCTAATTAATAATTATGCGCAAGTACAGTAATGAATCTAAAATCCAATATGCATTGCGTATTAAGGATTGCAACGCGTGCGTCTTTAAGCTTGCGCTCAAAAATCATAACAAAATTATAGTAAGCGCGCAGAGCGTCTTAAAATCACTACATCTTAAGGCAATGGGCTGAAAGTGACACGGACCCTCTTTTCTCTCCGAAAAAGCAAAGAAAGAGCAGAAAGGAACAGGAACAACGAAACAAACACTACAAATACTCTTTCTTTGCTTTTTTTAGAGCAATAATTTTGGGGTGAATACCGGTAGAAATTCAAGATGCATCGAGCGTACCAGCCGATCACCCCAGCCAACAACAAATTGCTGAAGAAAAGATGGGATGAGAAACGGTTCGATAACCATCTGCAGAAGGTTCAGAGTGGTAAGAAAACACAACATCTAATATTAAAGTAGGGTTGTGAGTGACGTTTACTAATCAAAATATTTGAAAGGGCGAGTTTTTCGGAATTTACTTGACATTTTTGTTTGCTCTTTAGACCTCGCAATTCTTAGCCTTACCAAGTTTGATTCATGCATGTAAGTTTCGAAACTACATTCACATTGTATTTTAAAGGCGTGAAGGGGATTCTTGGAGAGGAGTTGTTCTAACTTCTATAGACACGTTAAAGTATTAAGGAGAGGGGGATAAGAAACGCAGGTAGAGATAAGTGGGAGAGCGTTCGAGAGAGAAAATGTATAATCTAGAGGAGATATTAATTTTGTTATAAGGCAGAAGGATAGAAAATATGAGAGAGAGAGATTGACAGATATGAGAGAGAGAGAGAGAGAGAGAGAGAGAAAGCGTGAGAGAGAAACAGAGAGCGAAAGAGAAAAGGAGAAAGAGAAGGCAGTGGTATGGCAGGACAAACCGTGCAATCTCACAGTAGATTCGGTTAGCATTCTCCTTCAAGATTGCGTAGGCTATCCGGCGTAACCCGAATCAGAAAAATACAAGCCTATAAAAGTATAATTAGGTCTATGTTACACTGTATACTCTATGATCTTACAGCCAGGCCAGTGATTGATGATAAGCCTCCCAAGACCTACGTCCATCTCCATCTGAAGCTGAAGAAGATGCAGATGGAGGAGGAGAGGCTAACCATCATCGAGAGGGATAACCGCATCCTCCTGGAGAAGATGTGCCACATCATGCTCACAAGAGGCAACGTCGACAATAAGAACTTCTACGATGGCAAGAGGTAAGGAGGCAGAGTGTGAGTGTGAGAGAGAGAGAGAGAGAGAGAGAGAGGGAGAGAGAGAGAGAGAAAAGAGAGAGAGAGAGAAAGAGAGAGAGAGAGAGAGAGAAAGAGAGAGAGAGAGATAGAGGAGGGGGAGCATTGATAGGGACAACGACATCCTTTTGCCCACCAGGGGAAACGTTTAAAATATAATAACACATACATGTAGGTCTAAGGAGGAGGAATATGAGAGAGAGGGGAGAGAGAGAGAGAGAGAGAGACACACACACACACACACACACACACACACACACACGCCCACACACACACACACACGCACACATACACACAGACAAACAAAGAGAGAGGGGGTGGGGAAGGAGGAAGGGGAGAAATAAATAAATAAATATAAATGTGTCATACCCTTCTCACCAGGGACAACGTCGAAAATTCTGCTTGTAAATTCTATATTGGAAGATAACAAAAGACTCAAAGATAGCGATGTAAATTTATATCAAAGGTCTGATAACTTTATGAAATGAACAGTGACACCCTTCCCCCACCAAAAAAGAGAGAGAGGGAGAGAGATAGAGATAAATTCAGGGGGTTCCAATTGATTCCAAAAGAAGAAGGATGAAGAGGAGGTAAAGGAGAAAGAGAGTGAAAAAGAGTAGAAGATAAAGAAGAAGAAGACGAAGAAGAAGAAAAAACAAACAGCCCTTACGTCATCATGTTGAGCTTTTTTTCTTCTTCCTTTATGAAATTAAATTTTGTTTTATCATAGAAAGGCATCATAATTATGATAATTATATTTTCTCTTTGTCCAGCCTCAATCGCATGGCTCGCCAACGTGAGCTGCTGCGAGTGACGCACGAGAACCAAGCAATTATGAGAAGAATCCTGGCCAAACAGGCTACATACAGTCACCATCAGTGGGAAGATGAATGGGCGGTAAATTCTAGTTTCTTTTAGTCTTTCTTTCTTTTATTCAGTTTTTCTTCTTTCATTCTGTCTTTCTTTCTTTCACTCTATCTTTTGTTTTCTCTTCCCTTTTTTCCATTTTTTTCATATGATTTCTTTCATTCTTTCTAATACAAAGTTTTTGTATGGGGTCATGAATTTAAATCGACATATTGGGGAGTGGAAGCATATGCGATCCTTCAATATTCAGTGATCGTTGTCGCGGTTGAAATCGAGTCTAAAGTTATGAAATTGTAAATAGTAAACTTTTTATGTTGTATAGCTCCCTCTCAAGGTCAATATATTAATTAAGCTATAAAACAATGTTTCTTGACTAAAATTGACCAATTTGTTATTTTCGTTTGGAAATTATATATCACAACTACATTTTCTGAGATTTTCATGGTCGCAGCTACAATAATTGTACGACCGTAGGCGCTATTTGAAATTTATCAACATTTACCGGGAGCACCGATAAATGTTGATATTAAATTTTTCTCGAAAGCAGAATTGTTTTAGAGGCTACATTTTCTAGTGCTTATAATGCATCCACAGGGCCATCGAAATATATCAAAATTGTAAAGAATCACTATCCACCCAATTTTCAAAATTTCCCAAAACTTTGTATTACCTTTAAGTTTTGTTCTTTCTTTCTTTCTTTTTAACTCTATCATTATTTCATACTTGCCTTCGTGTTTTCATAATACTTTGCATGTTTGTTTCCGTTGCGCAAAGTAGTCATGATCCAACTGCCATCAGATTTGTAAATTAAACGTACAGCTATCTTCATTAGATATGAACATACAAAAGCTATATATTGTTATGCGTTTTCGGATTGTCCGTCCGTACGTCTACGAGCGTTATCTCAAGAACCGATGGACGGATTACCATCATACTCAGGACATAGATGTATCATGCCAAGCCAATGAACTGATTAGATTTTAGGGTCAGGAGGTCAATGGTCAAAGGTCATGGGGCTCATTATGTATACAAAAATAGCATGTGAACGCATTATCATTAGAATGACGAATGGATTACTATCAAAATCAGGACTTGTAATATCTTGCAGAGCCAATGAACTGATTCGACTTTAGGGTCATGAGGTCAAAGGTCAAAGGTCATGGGGCTCATTATGTATACAAAAATAGCATGTGAACGCATTATCATTAGAACAACGGATGGATTATAATCAAACTTGAATTTGAAAAATTGCTCTGTTTTGGTTTGTAAAATCGCTCTATGGCGAAGGCATCTTATTCGACTGCGCGCAGTCGTAAATCCATCTAAAGTATTTTTTAATTTTGAAAAGTGAAAGCAAAGTATTTATTTTGTCAAGTGTCTCGATCCAGTCCACTTTGTTAGGTTTATCCACTGTTTGGTAATCAACATGGCCGTTCCTCCTAGTGATTTTTTTTTATCCACAACACGTTTCCCTTTTTTTGTCCATTTTTGTCTTTACATACAGATGAACTTGATGTACCTGAAGAATATCGCTAAGTACCCCCAGTGGTATGAGCACGCGTACGACCAGTGGAACAAGAGAGATAACCACGACAGCCGAAACGGATCGCACTATGAACCCAAGAAAAGTAGCATGTAAGAAAAGCGTATACCCAATATTCTAAAGTCAAATTTGATTTTTTTTTTTTTTTTTTTTTTTTTTTTTTTTTTTATTTTTTTTAAGAAGACAGAGATCCGGAGGCTTGGAAGGGCAAAAGAGTAGCAGTAACTGCGATTGCGGATTTCGGATTATTTGGTCTGCCGGGGTGGGGGCGGGTGTCTGGGGCCGGGGGGGGGGTGTGCCATGCTTGCAACGTCTCTTTTTCCTTTAGGCCCTTTTTATGGTCTGAAATGGCCGGGGCAAAAAAAAAAAATCACGGACCCCTTTTTTTTAAAACCAAGGCTTACGAGATTGGATTTTCCGGGGGGGGGGGGTAGCGTGCCCCAGTTCACTCCATATCCATTACTATATCGTCTTCGTTGGCATCGATTCAACCCCCAGTCTAAGGAGGATTCGTGGAGGATTCCTCCCTCCCTCATTTATTAATTCCTATTTGGATACGCCACTGTGTCCTACATGTACAATTTAGACTGCGCGTAAAAAATCTATATGCGTTTAGGCCTACTTGAGATGATTACTGATTCGCTACTTAATGATCTATTCTTTAAATCTCAATACCGCAACATTATTGGTTCATTATTCAGTCATTCCAAATATACTAATTCGTTCGTTATTTTCCCTCTTTGACTTGTCTTTGATTAGGATGGCGTCTTTGGAAAAGTTTTCGAAAAAAGCAGAGGGAAACAAAAAACCAAACAGCGAGAAGAAACGAGCACCACGACGATCTACAAAGCAGAGTCGAGATCGACAAGCAAAGAGAGGTAGCGCTAACGGATGCGGAGTTAGCTGATACTCAACAAAACACTTCACAAATGAACATATTATATTGGCTACCTGCAAATCACCTTTTTTTATCAACATCCCAATGCTTTTCCTCACAATATCTCAGTCCTCATTTTCTCCGTTGGTGTGTTTTTATTTAGTTAGTCGTTTTCTCTTCTATATTGTGTGTGGCATTGTGATATATAGGAGTATTTTGTCAAAGTAATGTTTGTAATCATTGTATGCTCCTACATTACCTTTCTTCCTTTCGTACTTGTGAGAAGTCAGATTTTCTTGAGTATTTGTTGTTGTTGTTGTTGTAAACTTGGGGAGAGTGTGTTAAAAAAGTATTGTGTACCTGTACTACCACAAATTCCATAGTGTACATAATTTATCGTTTAGTTTTGTGTTCTGTTTGCTTCGTTTTGTAATGTGCGACTGCCCGTTGCTTCGGTCTACAAATTATGATGGCATTGGTAAAAAATTGAGTTACTATATTTAACGGGGTGTAGATTTAATGGTGGGGGGGGGGGGTGTTATTGGTCATGTAGATTTAAGTTAAGGTAAATTTTAATGGGGTAATTTGGGGATAAACAATTTCTACCAATGCCATCATAATGTTGTGCACCCAATCATAAATTGATTGCTTACCTCGAACATCCGCTATGGCAATGATCGTTTTGTCTTTTGTAGATTCTTCTTTTTGAGATTTTTGTGGTTGGTATTTTTCATCCTCTCTGTGATAATTTTATCCTCTCTTTAGTCATCTTTTACTTTTATAATTTTGGCCTTCTTGATCTTTTTTATGCTTATTCCTGAGTTTTCTTTCCTGATCTTTCTCTTCTTCTTCATCATGTTCTCTCATTTTCTACTTCTTTCGTCTTGAGAAAGATAAAAATAACTTTCTTCTCTATCTTGATTCCCTCTTAGGCACCGTCTATACTCTATATTATGTGGTCGTTTTATATTGTTTTTCGTCATTCTATCTATTTGTCTTTCGTTCTAAACGCTTTGCACTTTCGTCGTGATTGCTTTTGTTCTCATCCTTGTTGTTGTCTGCCTCCGATGAGGACCGTTTTTTCTTCTTCTGAATTATAAGGTTTCCCACTTCGTCATCCATAATGTAAGGCCTGCACTTTCATGTTTAATTTGTGTAGTAAATTATTTGTCTAATGTCTTGTCTGTTTGTATTGGGACTTTAGTCTATTTTTTTTGTTGCTATTCGTCGAATGATTTTTATTCGAATTGTAATCTCAACTGTCATTTGCCTATTGTGCTGTTTATTCCTTTGTCATATAGTTAATTCGTCCGTCATGTCTCTTGATATTTTGTTGCTAGTGTTGTTGCATTCTGTTTTCAATTCGTCTGTTATATTCTCCCATCTACTATTGGCTGTCGAGTGCTTTGTGTCTTTTCGTGCCGTTTTTTGTCTTCCCATATTTTCTTACTAATAGTTGAATAATGTATAGTCCGTTGTTTACTGACATCATGCATCTGGAGCTGTTGTGTAAGTGTTTATTTCTGTCGTGGCGTTGGTGTTTATAGCCGTATATATCGTGTTATCTTGTTGGTATTCCATCTTGTCTCTTTCGTTATATCTTTTATTGTATTTTGTCATTTTCTTCATTAATTTTTTATCTATTTTCATCACTGTTCTTGTGTAGCACTTCTATATGCGTCCGTTGTTGTGACCTCCTGTTCAATGTTTATACTCTTTATTTTCTTTTGCATCATCAGTTCGTGTCACTTTTGCCGTTTGGCTGTCGAGTGCTTTGTGTCTTTTCGTGCCGTTTTTTGTCTTCTTCTCATATTTTCTTAGTTAGCTCCTTGTTTTCGGACATCGTGTATCTAGGGCTGTTGTTTCAGTGTTTATCTCTGTCGTGGAGATGACAGCATCTGTCTTGTTATCTTGTTGGTATTTCATCTTGTCTCTTTCATTTTTGTTATTGTCTTTTTGTCATTCTCTTCATTATTTTATCTATTTTCATTATTGTTCTTGTGTCAAGAGATGGTATTGTGTCTTTCGTTCTTGTACGTACGTCAGCATTGTCGTCTATATAGTCACCAATTCTTTAACCAATTTGCTGACTGTCTCTTTGTTCGTAATGTCTTGTCCTATAAGTTACAGACATGTTGCACTGGTACCGTTATAACTTCAACGTATCTCACTCGCAGTGATGTACACAAAATGATGGCATTGGTAAAAATGTTGTATTTATTTCTGTACAAGGGGTTATTTAGAATAGGGGAGGGGGTAAGTATATTTAAGCTTTATTGTGTTATAATTGGGGTAACTTAGTTTTGCCATTTCTATCAATGCCATCATTTTGTTGTATACATCCCGACGGGAGACCAAAATACACAATACCAACAGGTGTCTCATAAAGAAAGAGTCGTGTAGATATTTCTCAGTGCCATTTACGATGACAAAGGTAAAACGATTCATGGGGGGGGGGGGGGGGGGGGGGGGACTCGGGGGGGGGGGGGGGTAATTAGGGGGTTAAAACTGGGTAAATTGGGTTTTGAATTTAGATTGAACGTAGTAGCGTACGTAATCGGGTTATATAAATGTCTCGTTTTTACCATTGTCATTGAGCCTTCATATCATCTAATGGCCGGCCAATAACTACTACATTCCTATATTTCTCAACATGGTTTTTGTAATGTAGTTGCAAGTCTTTGTTTGTATTTTCGTTAAAACGTATTCTTGGATGTTTGTCACTTCTCTACTTTCAATTCATGTCCATTCTGTATATATACTGTAGGTCATAGCGTGTGGAGAGAGATAGTTGTGACACGCGCACACATTCGCATCAAAGGTCAATCCACGGAGCTCCAAATGGTTCCTTCCCATATAGCATAGAGATTGTATGTGGGAGGAAACTATTTGGAGCTCCATGCCTTGACCTTTGATCGTGTACGTGTGCGCGTGTTACAACTACCTCTCTCAACACGCTATGCTTGTGGTATTTTATGTAGTTATTTGTAATTGTGAACGGGTTCATGCCCCTGTTACCTGTGCATTACCGATATTGTATACACGTTAATATGTTTATTGTCAGTGCATTGTGCAGTGTAGTCGAAATTAAATGAGGACTTAGCATTGGGACTGATGATATCAATGAAATCTACTTGAATTATACCATCTAACACACTGTACATGATAACTTCAGGTTATGGTTTCAAATTTGCCATTCTGACATTTCTTAAAACATTTATGACCTTACTGACTCACTCTCTTTTTATCCACGAACCTTCACAAGTCGCACATCATTTAATATTGTCCACCGTTGCCCGTAAAATTTGAATGTTTTCTTACCTCTTTTCATGGAACGATTGTGACAATATGGTTTATTATTGATAGATAAAATTATGAGGAGATATAAAACTTGATCTTTCGAGAATAATCCATTGATATTTTCACAATCATTTCATGAAAAAGAGGTAAGAAAAATCATTCCAACAGTGTATGTATAGGTTTATTTAAAATATTGCAATGTTGTGTCTGTAGTGGTAAAATAATGAGTATCGAAAATGAAACTTTATCTACTCTTCTTTGTCTTTTTCAAGTATTTTATTAGTTTATCCTACCATTGGTGGAGGAAAGTTGTCTTACAAGATCAAATTATCTATGATATTCTCATTTTTGGATTGGATAATGATGAAGGCAAATGCCGTTCTAGAACATTATATGTTTTCGGGGGGGGGGGGTGGTCAGAAAGGGTATATTAAAACAGCCATGAAGTAGTTACGTATAGTCTGATAAACAGTGCGTCCCAGAAAAAACGAAACCGAAAACTATCGATGTTTTATCATAACTTATTATAATTAATAAATGACACGTATAATATAGATCCTCCTCTTTCATTTGATGCAACTCATATGATGCACATTTCACTCATGAGTGATTAAAATAACTTGAAGAAAGGGTATTCAAAAGTCATTTGGCGAACGGTATCTGAATTTCAAAGAGAAAAATCACATTTCTAGAAAATTAGTATTTGCCCTTTAATTCATATGACGCCTCAATCAGAAGAAATGAGCCAGGAATAAAGAAGTTCTGCTTGTGTAAAGTAATGCTTGCATTTCCATAATGTGATTAAACGAATTCGTTTTTACTGGCTGCCTGTCGTAGCAACAAACAGAGTTGACTAAAGACTTAACTCCGTTTCGTTGACGATCAGCAAAGAGGACGGAAGACTGCATGCATGGCTGATCGTCAACGAAATGGAGTTAAGTCTTTTGTCAACTCTGTTTATTGCTACGGCAGGCAGCCAGTGAAACGAATTCGTTTAATCAAATTATGGAAATGCAAGCATTATTTTACACAAGCAGAACTTCTTCATTCCTGGCTCATTTCTTCTGATTGAGGCGTTATATGAAAGGGCAGAAATGTGATTTTCTCTTTGAACTTGTTCATACCGTTTGCCAAATGACTTTTTGATACCCTTTCTTCAAATTGTTTTTAATCACTCATGCGTGAAATATGCATCACATGAGTTGCATCAAATGAAAGAGGGGGATCTAAGCTTTACAAATGTGTCATTTATTAATTATAATTGTGATTAAGTTATGATAAAACATCGATTGCTCTCGGTATCGTTTTTTTCTGGGAAAAAAATACTGGGACTGTATAAGGAATGTTGTAGGGGCAAATGTTGATTAATCAAAATTAAATTTTCGGCTTTGGTAGAGGCACTCTTCTTCTTGATAAAGGAATGGAGAAGCAATATAATACTTGAACAAGACAAAGAAGTAATGTTTCCTTTTCGATATCTATTATTGCTGTGTCAAGTCCCTCGATGGTGCAACCACATATGGAAGTCCACGGGTCGAACAGAGTTAGGGAGTTTGGCTCCAGATTTTGAGCTGAAAGTTGGAATGACGTTATTTTACTTTAGAATTTATTTGGATGATTTCCTTGCTTTGTCGAAAATTTTTATATTGGTATGTTGTTTTATTGTGGAAGAAAAGCAGTAACGATATTTGATTGGTATACTGTATCACAAACACGCTGCCTGGTCTCAATAAAGGTCGTCTGATGAACCATCATCAAAGAACTTTGTTTCCATAGTCATCATATACGTGTACTTTCTCATCTATCGCCCCGGTATACTTCACATTTTCTTGTCCTCACTAGAATTTACATATGACCTTGACCAATTTTAATAGTTTTCGCCAATGTTCTTTTTTCATTTAAAAAACATTCGAGCTTCTCTCATTTTGTTTATCCCTAAATTTCCCAAGGCCTCTATCTTTTGATACTGTACATCCTCTCTTCTTCTTATCTCCATCATCATCATCATTCCATCTATTCAACATAACTTATCCATCCCTCTTTCTGCATACTCCACTTCTCCATCTTCCAATCAGTTTGTCCTTTTCTCTCTTTCTTCTTTCTGGCCATCATCTCCTACATATTCTTAATTCATTCTTTACATCCAAAGGTCAACCACTCCCATAACAGAACGACCCCCCCCCCCCCCTTCACAGAAAAATACACATAAAAATGGTGCTGTAAAACATATCCTGAAAAAAAAGCAATGTACACATCATGTGAAATAATTACAAAAACCTTTTACTTCATAAAAACATCACAATCATCGGACACCATACATAGTACTTGGTATAATGTAAATACAGATATATACATTAAAATAAAGGCATGATATCCCCTCCAAAATGTACGATTCAGTATCACAAACAGATATAATAGAAAAGACAAAGACATTTGCAGAGTTCAAACACAAATATCTCTTTTACATGTACTGCAGCAAACAGACTTAAAATAAAAGTCATTCCACAATCCTTTTGCTTTCTTTATGCAATGAAAATCACACACAAGTGATGTTCATTAGAAATTGAGTCTCCTTTCGTCTTCTAACTTCAGTTGCTACACCTCTTGCCCAAATCAGGTAAATCCTGGGACCCCATTTCACAAAACTTGTCATTAGTGACAAATGACAGTTTTTATTATAACAGGGATGCCAGTTAGAATTAATCAGAGAGCCTGGAAATCACCTAGAATGAACTATGATCTGAAAATAACTTGTCAGGGCCTGAATTCAGGCTATTGCCTGAAAACTGGCATCCCTGATTATAAGCTACTGGAATTCTTGCTTCTTATTGGTTATTATAACAGCAGATTTGTCACTGAGTTTTGTCATTGAAAGAAGGCTTTGTGAAACGGGCCCCTGGTAAGCATGTCCCTGGTTTATCAATCCGACATTGTCATGCACATAAAACTGGATAAGTGAAAAAAAAATCTTCTTCTTTCTAATTTTTCACCCATTGAAAATTGGTTGCATCCTTGCATATATGTTGCCGTGATGAAACATTAATTTTAAAGAGCTTTCATCGCTAACTTAGCTAATCTGTACAACTGACAAAACCAAAGAGGTAAACAAAATCTCAACATCTGAGTAAATCAGCTTTATATTTGCTTCCCAAAATGTACAATCTGAGTTATGAAGCGCTCAAACTTGTTCACCTTTACATATTCATGACAAAATATATCACATGAGGTAGCTACAGCCATAACAGCACAGTCATGGAAGACATAGAAGACTTCATAAGTCATGGAAGACTTTGTAATAAGCCATTTATATAACATAGCAATATGTTCTCTTTCAAACATCAAAATCTTCACCCAAAATGCCGTCAAAAATCTGGAAGACATCACGTTCTAGCAGAACTACCAACATAGGACTGCCCCCTAACGAAAACACCAGGAAGATAGTTTTTGCAATTCACAAGATGTAACACGCATTGTAAAGTCGATGTACTGAAAGCCGACAATAAGTCAGACTTCACGTGATAAAAATTGCATTTCTAGTATCTTTGCACAGAATTGGCAACTAACAATTGAAAGCAGACATGAAAGGCACAATCTAACACAGTTCAATGACACAACAGTGACAAGTAGTAAAACAATGTACAAAACTACAAATGCAACATATAGATAAACACGTACAAGAAAGTTTTGTTGTTGTTGACATTCTAGTACCTTTGAACAAAATGGGCAACTTACAATTAACAGGAGACACGAGAGGCACAACCTATATATACATAAAACACAAACAAGTTGTAAAAACATTGGTACAAAACTACAAATGCAATGTTATATATTCCTGAATAAATAAATACCCTTCAAATGATGTGAAGCAGCATAGAACATGACTTGAGTGGTATTCTGAAAGCTGTCCTATCTTTCACTCTATCTTTTATCATAATTAGGTGAAGAAAGATGAGAAAATACTTAAAAATCAGTTCAAACCTGTATTTTTAAATGCATTAGAAATTAGAAAAAAATACGTCATCTTACGTAGCACACACCCATGACATTATATGCAATAATCACTCATAATTTTCTTATTCTTCCCTTTCACCATTTTCAGTTAATTTAATGAAACAAAAGATGAAATGTAGGGTTAAAACATACTAGATAGGAGTTTTCAGAATACCACTTTCATATAAAGAAAAAAAAAATCAAGATAAAATGGTGTTCAGAAGACCAGCCTAGTACTATATTAGAAAAAGAAGTTTGATGTATGTTACAAAAATAGTAGTACTTTTTCATTCTTGCCTGGAATCTGGCAGAATAAATTATTCTCGCTTTTGAACACATGATGTACATACAAGTAAAGGCAATGCGTGAATGGAAGAAAGAAAGATTGCATTTGCTCCAACCTATTTACCTCTCCTGTACAAAACTTTTTTTTTTTATTGTACAATGTATGATCTCTATGAATTGGTACAATTCTTTTGTCAAGAACACATCAAATTATTGTCACTTTAAAAAAAATCAAACAAAACAAACTAGCAAAAGACAACATTTTTTTTACATAGCTAGCATATTAACTGTATGCTAAGAATACCACACAAATTCCTGTTACTTGCCTTAATGTGATTCATTCCACCAAAAAAGAAGAAAAGAAGAAGAAAAGAAAAAAAAAAAAAAAACAGAATTTTATGAGCATTACTTATCTACAATGTCCAATTTCAGTCCGCTTCATAGCAGGATGTAACGTCCCACCAGCTAATAAAGTTCAGTCAAAACATGAGGTGATTGACAAATTCTAGTCTGGATACTTGAAAGTTTATTAGTGTTCCGGTAATTCTAATATTCATACTTGGCAGCTAAGGGTTAGGAATTAAACTTACGTACTACGCAGAATCTACTCGACATCTTAAGTTGGGGACATATTTTCAATCTGCAAGGATCAAATTTAACCCGTTTGAACATGGCAGCAACAGATATGACAAAGACATTCAGCCCAGAATCTTATCCAACCATTTCATGGAAGACTACATTTAATGTTGGTCAAAAAAAAAAACACTGTGGCATGGACATATCATTATTCTGCACCCTTCAAAGTACAGACCAATTAATATATGGCAGCAAAAATTATGACAAATACTACATAATCTAGATGTTACCACACCATCTAAGAGAAGATCCGCTTTACTTTAGAAACGATTTTAGATACCGCGGTATCTAAAATCATTATCAAAACACAATTTTGTTGACACATTTCTAGTCTGCATGGCAGCAACCATCCAACATAGACTAACTACATGTACCCTGGATCGATCAACAGGCTTACAACATCGTGTGTTAAAGTAAGAGGGTAAAAAAATCAGGCTCCTACTTTGGAATTAAAAAAAGTTCTTTCATGAAATCTACTAAAAAGACCAATGATGCTGACATGTATCGAGTCTCTGTCTGAACTCTTACAGACTTATATATGGCAGCAATGAATTACATACCGGTATACCCTGGATGTCAACAAACCATTTCAAGGAAGACCTGGGGGGCGTTTCACAGAACTTGTCATCAGTGACAAATGACAGTTTTTGCTATAAGCTACTCAAATCCTTGCTTCTGATTAGTTATCAACAGATTTCTCACTGATTTTTGTCATTGAAAAAAAGCGGTGTGAAATGGCCCCCTGTACTTCTATCTTCAGACTCCTCAGCTCACCACAGCACATAGATGAGTGATCAACCTCATGGACCGCGTCACCCGTAGCGTGACCGTGGCCTTTGACGAAGACGGCGTCTCCTGGCTGGGGGCGATCTGACGGAGATGGGCCTTGAACCCCTCCGTGTGACGGCTCAGTTCCATGAACACCTCCATGTCTTCCAGCAGTGGACCCAGGCTGGAACAGTTCTCAGAGTAAACTGGACCTCGGAGGCTAGGGGAGAGAGGAAGGCTGGCCTTGGTGAAGGTAGGGGAGCCAACCACCGATACGAAAGGTGTGGTTTCACTGACGCTGGCATTTACCTGAAGAAAACATTAACAAATATTTATTATTTTTTCACCTGAAGTGAATTGGTGTATAATTTAATGCAAAAGTAAGCTCCATGAATAAATATTGTGTACCGGTAAGTTGTTTCCTCTAGCACTGCATTTTCCAAAACAGCATGAAGAACAATTGATATTTGTACCCATAATACAAAGTCATTAGTTGAGCTCATCAATTATAACTTTTCAACAAAAATTGAAGATGTGGTTGGTGTACGGTTAATGTTAAGATTATTAATTGAATTAGAATATTTTTGTATTACTTTCGGCTAGTAAATGTATCCAATCTCATTTGTTGAAAGTGGCTACTTTTCACCCTCATTCCCATCCCTTTCAACGTAAAATGCTTTCATCTCTCTGCACTAGTATGGCCAGGAGAGATTAGACCTCCCTGTGTGGTCACTGACAGGTGCTTATCTCATCAAATCAGCTCTCATAATCAAAAGGGAACCATGGGGGACCAACGGTTAATGCTTAGACATTGTTTGCTATATAGAGGGCACAAGTAGCTATAAGTAGTGCAGTCCCGCTTACTGAATGATGTAAAGCGTAATATGCATCACATTTCTGTATCTTATAACACAGAGCTCGGTGAATATGCGCAGGACCTCTGTAGCAATAGTTGCCATTCATTCACACATAAAAAACATGCTTAGGTTTTTTTGCGGGGTTTATCGCTTCATATCTGAACGAGCCTACAATTTGTCAGTCAGAGTGAGACTTGATGCATGCGCTGCATTGTATGCATCTACAAGATGGAATAATGTCCATGGTATTTCATGGAAGAGGTGTCGTGGTCGAGTGGATATGTCACTAAACTGTGGATCAAGTCCCGCCACGGCATCAATATCCTTTGGCAGGACATTGATCTACATTTGCAACACTCGACCCAGGTGACGTAAATGGGTACCTGGTAGGATTATTCCTTGAAATGTCAATATCGGTAGCCGGAGCTAAATCTAGGGTAATAATTTCCAAAGCTCTTTGGAAGGGCATAGAGACTTTATATCATTATGTGTTATGCGCATTTATTATTATTATTTACCCCATTCGCTTGAAGGTTGTTCACCAGCCTCTTCTGGCCCTTGATGATATCCACCTCCGCCTTCACCCGATGAAGGTCATGTGACCTGACGTAGCTCTGCAGCATCGCCATGACGATACTGGCAAACGCCTCACACTCCTCCTCCGTCACATAGCCTAGAGTGCTGGCGAAAGGAGGGCCAAGAAGCTGGCGGTACTTGCTGGGGTGCGGCTGGGGAGAATTCTCCTCTGAGGGAGGGCAAAATGCGATGGATGAAATGAAGACAAAAAGGAGATAAGTGTCAAGCAGGAAGAACATACATTTTATTATAAAACCAAACATATTTCATAACATGAGATTATCACAATGTGCTGAAAGATGACCATTAATACTGCAAGAAACTGATATTTGAAAAGGTTCGAAATTGCAATTAAATTACTTCACTGCACAAAATATCTGTGAATCTCGACCGCCCCCCCCCCCCCCCCCCCCCCAAAAAAAAAAAAAAAAATGTTGAAAATTTTTCAGGAAAAGTAAAGACTATAATTTTACCCTAGTGTTCAAGAGTACAACTTTTCATTAAGAGGGTTGAGTGGATTAGTGTATGCTTACACAAAATGTTGTTATATTCAAAACCTTTTAGAAAGACTCATACTTAATGAAACACTCAAACAAGAGTACTACAACCATTTGGCGCTGATTACTATGACAATTTTTTTAACTCTCTCTTTCGAGAAACAGGGGTGATAGTGAGCACTAAAAAAAAAATAGGTTTTTTGTTTTCCCCTCAGCCACGCCCCCCTTGAGTAAAAAAAAAAAAAAAAAGGATTCGCGGGGGGAAAATGGCATCTAACAACATTCTCCCTTTTCGAGTAAGAAAATTGGGACGAAACTGGGAAAAAATAGGGCAAAATAGGGAAGAATAGAGAAAATTGGAGGGAAATCGGGCAAATCAGGATAAAATAGGGAAGGAAAAAAAAATGGTAAAAAAAAAAAAAAAAAAAAAAAAAAATCTGGATTTTTTTTTTTTTTTTTTTTTTTTTTAAATCTGGAAAAAAAAAATCGGGAAAAAATCGGGAAAAATAAAAAAAATCGGGAAACCGATTTAAATCGGGTTTTTATCAGGCCTGGAGAAACCAGAGCCTATCACCCATCAGCGCTTACAAATGATGATCAGTTCGAAGATATTATGATCATAATGCTACATTCCCCGCTGATTCCTTGCTCTTTTTCTCTCCCAATATTAAAAAGCTTGTAAAAACAAAAGTTTAGTCTGGTTTGGTACTTACTGTTCTCATTCTTTTCATCAATGGCAGGCACTTTGCTGACCTCTGACCTTTGACCTAGAATGGCTTCCTTCATGACCTCTGTCTGAGCTAAGTCAACAGGAGTATACCCTGCCTTGTTCTTAACAGTCAGTAGACTCCTCCCTAATGAATAACATAAGGAAATGCATCAAAAATGGCGACATGAGGCAGTTAAGGCTTGTTCAGATACATTGCTGTAAACCGCCGCAACAAAGTTGCCACATTTCAAAAGGTGTAAATTGATGACAAGTGTGCACTGCTAAAAGATCCAGCCCATATTCACTAAACTCTGTGTTATAACTTATAAGATCTAGAAATGTGACGCGCATTTCAATTTTACCTAATTCTGTAGGGCATCCACCTTTGAGCAAATGAAATAAAAATGTTCACTAGCCCAACTGGGTGACCAAAGCTTCAACATAGATAGTGATAGTGGTAGAACAGGTTTATTGATAATAGTTTTGAATGCCTACACTCTGAGACCAATTTTTTTTAACAGATGGTAATAATAATAATAATAATAATAACAATATTTATAAAGCGCAACATATCCATCTCTAGAGATGCTCAAGGCGCATACAAATAATTTAAATTAATATTAAACATACTTAAGATTAAAGAAATATTAAATGTTAACTTGCATTAGATCATACAACTTCATGGTGCCATGCAAGGTACATACAATGTGGCACAGTGCGATTGTTTTGCATGCATTGTATAAAAAGAACATTGAAATTTAACAATATGCATTGAGCATCAGGTGAGTTTTAAGCCCAGTTTTGAAAGTAGAGAGAGTGTTGGCCATCTGAATAGAGAAAGGTAACTTATTCCACAAAGAAGGAGCTGCTGATGCAAATGCTCTATCCCCCCAATTTCTTTTGGTACGTATTTCTTTAAGTCTAATATTATGTGATGAACGTAAACCAGAACGACCTGCAGAGTGGGGTGATAGAAGGGATGAAATATATTCTGGAGCTAGATCATTTAGTGCACGATAGGTTAAGAGTAGAATTTTATATATCACACGCTGTTGAACAGGGAGCCAGTGCAGAGATTTCAAGATAGGAGTGATATGTGATGATATTCTGGTGTTAGTTACAAGGCGAGCAGCAGCATTCTGAACTTTTTGCAATCGGTTAATTTGGTTGGCAGGTAGTCGAAAGAGTAATGAATTGCAATTATCAAGGTGCGAAGTAACAAAAGCATGTACTAACTGTTGGGTGGATTGAGGTGAAAGATATTGCCTAATTGCACGGATATTACGTAGATTACAATTGGCCAGTTTAACACAATTTGAAATATGGGTTTCGAGTGACATGGCAGAATCAAATATTACACCAAGATTCCTAGCTTGATGTACAGGAGATACAGGGGCAGAACCAACTTGAACATGAGAAACCTTAATTTTACTGAGCTGTCTACTGTTGCCAAGCAAAATGAATTCTGTTTTTGCATCATTTAGTTTTAAGCGACTCTCAATCATCCAGTTCCTTACATCAGCTATACAGTTTTCAATTTTCTTCACATTTTCATCTATTTCTTTCTGGACAGGTTTGCAAATAAAATAAAGCTGTAAGTCATCTGCATACATATGATAATTGATACTGTGTTTTTGAACAATATGCTGTATGGGCAGAGTATAAACATTGAACAATTGCGGACCGAGAACAGATCCTTGGGGAACTGAAAAATCTAAACTAACTGAAGCAGAGGTAGCATCACGGATACAAACTTCTTGTGATCTACTAGAAAGATATGACATAAACCACTTTAATACTATACCATTGAGACCTATTTCCTTTAATCTCTTTAGCAAAATGCAATGATCAACGGTATCAAAAGCACTGCTGAGATCAAGCAGTACTAAACCAGAGACATTTCCATTATCCATACCAATTAATACATCATTGTTTACCCGTAACAATGCACTTTCCACGCTATGCATCTCCCTGTATGCTGACTGGAAAGGATTTTGCAAACTCTTATTCTTTAAGTGAGACCGTAGTCTACCGGAAACAACTCTTTCTATTAGCTTGCCTAAGTATTTTAGATTAGCAATTGGTCTGTAGTTTTTCAAATCTTGTCTGTTAAGAGAGGGTTTTTTCAGAAGGGGTTTTATGAGGGCATGTTGTAAACAATGGGGAAAGAATCCACACTTTAGAGATTTATTAACTATCTGAGTAATATAAGGAACAAAGTCATTGACAAATTCTTTAATTAGACAAGTTGGTATCGGATCTAAATCACAAGAAGACACAGGGGAATTCATGATGATTTTTCTAATTTCAGTACATGTGGCGAGAGTGAATTCTGACATGCCAGTAAAAGGGACAGGAACAATTTCTAAAAGGGTGTCAGTATTTCTGTAAGAACTTAAATCAGTTAACTCTTCTCGAATACTTTTTATCTTATCTACAAAATAATCACAAAAACGATTAGCAAGATTATGATCATTATCAGTGTTGGGATATAATGGATCCTTCTTCCTGTCTAATAACTTATTAATAATTCTAAACAGACGTTTCTGGTCTCCTGAACAATCATCAATGGAAGAAGAATAGAACTGTTTCTGTGCTTGGTCTATAAGATGAGACACATGTTGCTTCTGCTCCATGTAGAGAATGCGGTCGGCAGGGATTCTAGAAGACCTCCAACGCCGCTCAAGTCTCCGTCGAAGGCGTCTTGCGCTACGAATGTCATCAGTCATCCATGGTGACTGAGGTTTGATAACAATAATTCGAGTCTTCTTTGGAGCAAGTTTATCAAGTAAACTGTGGAGAGAGTTCTCATACTGTGCAACACATGAATCAACAGTATCATGATTAAAATCGATGGAAGATAACGCAGCATGGACACCAGTTTGAAACTCCTGACGATCCATTAATTTTAAGTTACGAGTGACAATGGACTTACGAATGGGTTTAGGTTTCCTTAATGGTAATGCGAAATGAATTCCTTCGGTGGTCGGGCAGATAAGTGAACATGTAGAAGGGGCAAAACTGCATTTCCCAAGAAAAGAATTCTTGACATCAAATTTTGTTAATTTTGTCAAACAAATATGGTAATTTCTGCCCTCTGACTAGAAGGTCAACTCACCTCCAGCCTCTACCAGAAGCTTGACCGCTTCTATCTGATTGTTGTTGACCGCATCATGAAGGGGTGTGGTCCCACAGTCAGAGGGCGCTGCTAGCAAGTCAAGGGTTTGCCTTCCATTCTCTGTACCTGAATCACAAGTATCGACAGCATTTTTAAATTGAAGATCAACTGAATTTGAATTTGTATAATTGGTAATAATGCAATTACACAAGCTCTAAAGGAAATTGAAATGTAGAGATATCACAAAATGGAAATTCTGAATGAATTATTTGTAATTCGAACTGCGGTCTGACAAAATGGCATGGTGTAAAATCAATGAAAAATGTTTTGGATACCACAACAGATGCCATATCAAACAAAGAAATATCTTATTCTTATTTGATTTACAGATTTTACCGACTGAGCCAACTCGCGTCATTTTGCTTGATACACAGTACATTTATTTTTTCCCGCTATCCTTCGGAAACGTTCAAACTTCACATTTGCTTTGGCCCACATGCACACATACCTGTAATCTTTCTTTTTCCAGGAACGAACTTCAGAAGCTCTTTGACACAGGCCGTGTGTCCATGGTTACAGGCTTCGTGAAGAGGTGTCCAATCTGCATTGTCCCGGGCATTGATATCGATGTCGGGTTCATTCAGAAGCTCCCTAACTTTGGCGATGTTGTTCTTGATGCATGCTACATGGAGAGGCGTTTCCCCTGGAATTAAAAAAAGATGTAAACTAGACGCACGCAGTCGAAAAATGATGCCTCCGCCATAAATTGATTTTACAAACCAAAACAGAAGCAATTTTTCAAGTTCAAGTTTGAAATTCATTGTAATCCATGAACAGGTTCTAAGAATATCGTGATAACAAGCTTTTTTTAAAATACATGTATGACCCTTTGTTCTTTGACCATAAAATCTAGTCAGTCCATTGGCTCTGCAAGATACATACATTTCTTGAGTTTGAGGGTAATCAGTCTATTGGTTCCAAATATAATGCAATCCCAAGCTTTTTTTGCATACATAATGAGCCCCATGATTTTTTACCCCAAATCTTATCGGCTCATTAGCTCTGCAAGAGACATACATGACCCAAGATTGGCAGAAGTCCATCAATTAGTTCTTGAGATAACGCGATCACAAGAACGGGACGTACAGACAACCATAGTTTGGTGCGAAACTTGATTCAGTTATGCAGAGCTTGTGTACTTCAAGATAAATTGTTAATTAAAGTGATCTTCAACTTTGATATGTAATGTAACATCTGATCCTGTGATATGAAATACAGATTTTTCATTACTGCATCTGTTAACAGATTTGATTAATATAAATTAACAAAAGTAACATCCAATCCTGTGATATGAAATACAGATTTTTCATTACTGCATCTGTTAACAGATCTGATTCAGACAAAGAAAGAAAAAATAAGAAATATTTCCCCAAATAAGTATAAATTAACATCCAATCCTGTGATATGAAATACAGATTTTTCATTACTGCATCTGTTGACAGATCTGATTCCAACAAAGAAAGAAAGCATAAGAAATGTGTCCCCAAATATCTATAAAATTAACAAAATACATTAAAACCATTTGCGACCTACCTTTAGGATTCTTGCGGTTCACATTGGTCTTCCTGGGTGAGGATTTTGGTGAAGGATGAGGGATACTACGATGAGAAACTGAAGTTGAAAAGATTCAAAGTTGTGATTTAATCATTTTATAGCATATTTGCTGCATCATGGTGTAGAGACTTTCCTTGTCAACCTATCAAATGATGTCTTAAGGGACATGGATGATGGGAGAACTACTGTTCTATTACTTCTCGATTTACCTTCTGCATTTGATACTGTCAATCATACAATTCTGTTAAATACTCTGAAATCACTTGGTGTTGATGGTAAAGCTCTTAAATGGTTAAGTCATACTTATTTGAAAGGTCTCAAATTGTTTGTGTTGATAATTCAAAGTCTGATCCTGCTGCATTAGTTAGTGGTGTTCCGCAAGGATCTGTTGGAAGCCAGACACTTTTCTCAATTTACTTAAGTGGTCTGAAACAGATTTTACAATGTCACTCTTTTAATTACCATTGTTATGCAGATCATATCCAAGTGAATACATCATTCCTACCTAAACAAACCAATGTCATTGATACTATTCAAAAACTTGAGGCTTGTGTTCATGATATCAAGAAATGGATGAGCTCTAATTCCTTGAGATGAAATCGGAGCTGTTGTTTATCGGTTCTAAAACTCTATTAGACAAGGTCAGCTGATAACTATCACAAAACATTGTAACTCTCTCTTTCGAGAAACCACAGCCTATCAACCTCCAACGCTTACAAATGATGTTCAGTTCTAAGATATTATGATCATAATGCTACATTCCTGCTTATTCTTTGCTCTTTTTGTCTCCCAATATCTAGAAGCTTTGAGAAAAGCACTTTTAGATCAAGGTAATTTTGTTGCTGTTGTTGTAAAACTGCTGAATATTTGTTAGTCTGGTTTGGTACTTACTGTTCTCATTCTCTTGGTCAACGACAAGCAATCTGCTGACCTCTGACCTTTGACCTAGAATGGCTTCCTTGATGGCGTCTGTCTTAGCCAAGTCACCTGGAGTAGACCCTGCCTTGTTCTTAACAGTAAGTAGACTCCTCCCTAATGAACAACAGCAGAACAAAAGAAAATGGATTAAAGGGATCCGGTAACTTTGTCTCAGATTCTGCAACAAAATCCTGGATTTAGCTCATGCTGCAATGATAATTATAAACATTTAGGTCAGTCAGGAACCCCATGACTTTCACAAGCCGATCACCTGTCTGATTATCAAGATATTTATTATTGGAAATCGAAACCAAATTAAGTTTGGCGCGAATCCATCAATCGGTTCTTGAGATAAAGCGATCACGAGAACGGGACGTACAGATTTACGCACAGATGGCCGGACAACCCGAAAACATGTCTCCGCCCTTCGGCTACTTTGTAGCGGAGGCATAAAAATCACTAGCCCAACTGGGTGATCAAAACTTCAACTTAGATGTCACATGGTAGTACAAGCTTAATAACAATAATTTTGTTAATACCCAAACTCTAATAACAAAATTGATTGCAGATGATAATCATGTTGAAAAATTGTATTCATCGGGCATGTGTAGGTTGTGCAGATATACTAACATGTAGAAAGGGCAAATTTTCAAAGAAAAGAATCAAATATTTTTCAAGCCAGAGTTAATTCCTCATTTTTATGCTCAGTATCGTGTCATGACCTAGTGTCATCATACATATTAGTTTGCTTTTCTCATTATGCCTTGTTTTTGTTACTTGTTTTGTTCATGAAATGTTATACATTTCAAGAGGGACCATTACGGTTACAGTGATCAAGTTTGCTTTCCTCTTCCCGGCAGTCAACTGATGCACTCAGATGACCTCCAGTAAGAGTGTGCATTTATGATTGACATTCCTTATATATTAGTTTAATCATATTTACATTGTTATATTTTTTGCGAAATGCTGAATAAATAATAAATTTTAAATAATTTAAAAAAAAGTGAAATCAAATTTCATTAATTTGGTAAAAATTATGCTGTTCGATAATTTCTGCCCTCTGACTAGAAGGTAAACTCACCTCCAGCCTCTACCAGAAGCTTGACCACTTCTATATGATTATTAGTGACCGCATCATGAAGGGGTGTGGTCCCACATTCAGATGGAGCTGCTAGCAAGTCTAGTGTTTGCATGCTTCTACTCTCAGTACCTGATTCCAATTATCAACAGCAATTTAAATGAATATATTAACTGAATTTGAATTTTAATAATTGGTATTATTCAACTTCTAAGAATGTTCTGTAATCTGATTGGTTCAATCGGGCCATGTGACATTCAGTGGACTGCACGGTAGCATCTATCTGCATTGGAGTGCAGAAAGCGCACCATACCAATGCACTATACCTTCACTCACCTGAGTGCAGGTATAGCGCTTTTGGTATAGCACATTCCCTGCACTCAGAATGACATCATCAATGGGTGTGGCAATGACCGGGCGTGTCAAAGTTTGCGCGAAGTGTACACATTTAGGAATGCTGTCTGCGTACTAAGGACTAAACGTAACATCCTAATTTCTGCGCTGGCATGTGCGCCGGCACAGTACGTACACGTTTATATACGATTATATTACGGATGGACAAAGAGGATTGGGATTTGCGTTGTTGACTGATCAGGAAATGGACAAACTATTGGACAGTGTTGATAGTAAAAACACAACAAAAGTTGAATGATATGCCAGACACAAAGTTGAAAGATTTTGTAGTTTAGTTGGAATGGATATTGAGTCCTTCCATCGACTCCCTACAACAGAGCTTGATAACCTCCAGAGTCGTTTTGGGGTAGTTTAAGAAAAGATGATGGCACCTTGTATAAAAAGAGGTCTCTACAATCTAATTTGGAGTAAATTCTGAATGAATTATTTGTGATTCAAGCTGCTGTCTGACATTTAAAATGGCACGATGCCAAATCATTCAAAGATGTTTTGGTTACAATTGCTATATCAAAGAAATAATTATCTAATCTTCAATTGATTTACAGATTTTACCAACTGAGTCAACTCGTCTCATTTTGCTTGAAATACACTATTTTTTTTCCTTTTCGCTATCCTTTAGAAATATCCTTTTTTTTTACAGGTCAACCACATCAGAAAACTTTCAAACTTTCTAATTTGCTATGACCTATGTTCACACATACTTGTAATCTTTCCTTTTCCAGAAGCGAACTTCAGAAGCTCTTCGACACAGGCTGTGTGTCCATGGTTACAGGCTTCGTGTAGAGGTGTCCATCCTGCATTGTCCCGTGCATTGACATCGATGTCAGGTTCATTCAGCAGTTCTCGTACTCTGGTGATGTTGTTCTTGATGCATGCATAATGGAGCGGCGTTTCCCCTGGAATTTAAAATAAATGTAAACTAGATGGACCTAGATGCCTCCGCCATAAAGCGATTTTACAAACCAAAACAGAAGCAATTTTTCAAATTTAAGTTTAAAATTCATTGTAATCCATAAACAGGTTCTCAGACTATCGTGATAACAAGCTATTTTTCATATACATGTACATGTATGACCCTTTGATCTTTGACCCAATAACCCCTAAAATCTAATCAGTTCTTTGGCTCTGCAAGATACATACATGTCTTGAGATTGAGGGTAATCCGTCTATTGGTTCCAATTATAAGGAAATTACAACCTATTTTTGCATACATGAGCCCCATGACCTTTGACCTCATGACCCTAAAATCTAATCAGCTCATTAGCTCTGCAAGAGACATACATGACCCTAGATTGGCAGAAGTCCATCGATCGGTTCTTGAGATAACGCGATCACAAGACGTACGGACAATCATGTCGGGTCAGCCGGGCTTACGTCAAATTGTTTTGAACAGCACAAAATAGTTCGACCTCTGCAAAGGTCAACTTAAATAACACATGTTTTGCATAGCTTGGTGCGAAAACTTAATTCGGCCTACTAAAAATTCAAGTTATGGAGAGCTTATGTACTTCAAGATAAATTGTTAATTAAAGTTTTCTTCAACTTTGAAATGTAACATCTGATCCTGTAATGTGTAATACAGATTTTCATTACTGCATCTGTTAACAGATCTGATTCAGACAAAGAAAAATATCATAAGAAATGTGTCCCCAAATATGTATAAATTAACAAAATACATTAAAACCATTTGCTACCTACCTTTATGATTCTTGCGGTTCACATTGGTCTTCCTGGGTGAGGATTTTGGTGAAGGATGAGAGATACTACTGCGAGAATCTGAAGTTGAAAAGATTCAGTTGTGATTCAATCATTTTATAGCATATCGGCCGCATCATGGTGTAGAGATTTTGCTTGTCAACATATCAAATGATCCTTGAGGGACATGGATGATGGGAGAATTACTGTTCTGTTACTCCTCAATTTATCTTCTGCGTTTGATACTGTCAATCATACAATTTTGTTAAATACTCTGAAATCACTTGGTGTTGATAATAAAGCTCCTAAATGGTTCAAATCTTACTTATTTGAACTTTTCTCAATTTGCTTAAGTGGTCTGAAACAGATTTTACAATGTCACTCTCTTAATTACCATTGTTTTATTCAGATGATATCCAATTGTATACATCATTCCTACCTAACCAAACCAATGTCCTTGATACTATTAAAAAACTTGAGGCTTGTGTTCATGATATCAAGAAATGGATGAGCTCTAATTCCTTGAGATTAAATCGGAGCTGTTGATTATCGGTTCTAAAACTCTATTAGACAAGGTCAGCTGATAACTATCACAAAACATTGTTACTCTCTCTTTCGAGAAACCACAACCTATCAACCTCCAACGCTTACACATGATGATCAGTTCTAAGACATTATGATCATAACGCTACTTTCACGTTTATTTTTTGCTCTTTTTCTCTCCCAGCATTAACAAGTCTTGAGAAAGCACTTTAACATCATGTTAATTTTGGTGTTGTTGTAAAAGTGCTGAATATTTGTTTAGTCTGGTTTGGTACTTACTGTTCTCATTCTCTTGGTCAACGACAAGCAATCTGCTGACCTCTGACCTTTGACCTAGAATAGCTTCCTTGATGGCGTCTGTCTTAGCCAAGTCACCTGGAGTAGACCCTGCCTTGTTCTTAACAGTAAGTAGACTCCTCCCTAATGAATAACAGCAGAACAGAAGAAAATGGATTAAAGGGATCCGGTAACTTTGTCTCAGATTCTGCAACAAAATCCTGAATTTAGCTCATGCTGCAATGGTAATTATAAACCTTTAGGTCAGTCAGGAACCCCATGACTTTTACAAGCCGATCGCCTGTTTGATTATCAAGATATTTATTATTGGAAATCGAAACCAAATTAAGTTTGGCGCAAATCAATCAATCCATTCTTGAGATAACGCGATCACAAGAACGGGATGTACAGACGTACGTACGGATGGCCGGACAACCCAAAAACATAATGCCTCCACCCTTCGGCTACTTTGTAGCGGAGGCATAAAAATCACTAGCCCAACTGGGTGATCAAAACTTCAACTTAGATGTCACATGGTAGTACAAGCTTAATAACAATAATTTTTTTAATGCCCACACTCTAATAACAAAATTGATTACAGATGGTAATCATGTTGTATTAATTCATTCATTGGGCATGTGTAGGTTGTGCAGATAAATTAACATGTAGAAAGGGCAAATTTTCAAAGAAAAGAATCAAATATTTTTCAAGCCAGAGTTAATTCCTCATTTTTATGCTCAGTATCGTGTCATGACCTAGTGTCATCATACATATTAGTTTGATTTTCTCCTTGTGCTTTCTTTTTGTTACTTGTTTTGTTCAAGAAATGTTATACATATCAAGAGGGACCATTACGGTTACAGTGATCAAGTTTGCTTTCCTCTTCCCGGCAGTCAACTGATGCACTCAGATGACCTCCAGTAAGAGTGTGCATTTATGATTGACATTCCTTTAATATTTGTTTAATCATATTTACATTGTTATATTTTTTGTGAAATTGCTGAATAAATAATAAATTTTAAATGATTTTAAAAAAAGTGAAATCAAATTTCATTAATTTGGTAAAATTATGCTGTTCGATAATTTCTGCCCTCTGACTAGAAGGTCAACTCACCTCCAGCCTCTACCAGAAGCTTGACCGCTTCTATACGATTATTAGTGACCGCATCATGAAGGGGTGTGGTCCCACATTCAGATGGAGCTGCTAGCAAGTCTAGTGTTTGCATGCTTCTACTCTCAGTACCTGATTCCAATTATCAACAGCAATTTAAATTAATTATCAACTGAATTTGAACTTTAATAATTGGTATTATACAACTTCCAGGAATGTTCTGTAGTCTGATTGGTTCAAATCGGGTCATGTGACATTCGGTGGACTGCACTGTAGCATCCATTTGCATTGGAGTGCAGAAAACATACTAGGTCTGCACTCGCTGCGCTGGAGTGCAGGTATAGCGCTTTTGGTATAACACATTCCCGGCACCCGGAATGACGTCATCAATGCAAGTGGCAATGACCGGGCGTGTCAAAGTTTGCGCGAAGTGTATGCGCAATGACGCTCGGACAACCAATCAAATTCAGGAATGCTGTGCGCGTACTAAGTGCCAAACGTTACGTCCTAATTTCTATGCTGGCCTGGGCTTCGGCACAGTATGTACACAGTACACTACAGTTCTACAGGGCTTCATAATAGATAAGAGCTCATCCCTGTAGTACTGCACTGTACTGTGTGTATATCGCTAGCTGTGAAATTTTTTCTGTTGTCTTGTTCCTTTTTGGATATATTTTGAATTTCTATACAAACACATTATGAATGAACAAAGAGGATCGGGATTTGCGTTGTTGACTGATCAGGAAATGGACAAACTAGTGGACAATGTTGATAGTAAAAACACAACAAAAGTTGAATGATATGCCAGACACAAAGTTGAAAGATTTTGTAGTTTAGTTGGAATGGATATTGAGTCCTTGCATCAACTCCCTACGAGAGAGCTTGATAACCACCTGAGTCGTTGACATATGTTTTGGGTACCACCACAGCTGCTATATCAAGAAAGAAAAATCTAATCTTCATTTGATTTACCGACTTTACCAAAATACACTACTTTTGTTCCTTTCCGCTACCCTTTAGAAATATATTTTTTTTTACAGGTCAACCACATCAGAAACTTGCAAGCTTCACAATTTGCTATGACCCTCATTTACACATACTTGTAATCTTTCCTTTTCCAGAAGCGAACTTCAGAAGCTCTTCGACACAGCCGGTGTGTCCATGGTTACAGGCTTCGTGTAGAGGTGTCCATCCTGCATGGTCCCGGGCATTGACATCGATGTCAGGTTCACTCAGCAACTCCCTAACTCTGGCAATGTTGTTCTTGATGCATGCTACATGGAGCGGTGTTTCCCCTGGAATTACAAATGGATGTAAAAAAATGCGTTGTATTGGTTGATGATCCAAGAAGTATCAGGAAATTAGAATTTTAAATGGAATGGTGAAAGAATTCACCTAGATAAAAAGGATTAATCCTTCACCGAGCTCTGGCTTTTCATTGTCACCTATCTTTGCTCCAGTGATCTTGAGGCAGCAGACAGGAAGGAACTGTGTTTCTATTAATTCAATTCAATTCAATTCAATATATTCATTTGTCCAATGTCATTCAACATGGAAATTTGGTTTGCTCATATGCTAACTAAAGGCTCAGACTAAGTTTACAAAGAACAGAAATATGACTAGAAGAGTTAAATGCACTAAAATTCTGGTTAATATTCTGATCATTATTTAGAACCTAAATCAGGAGGATGTCATTTGTTTAGATTTCCATATCTAATATAACCGCCATTTCTACGAAAACTGGATTTCAGGAGAATCATGTAGCTTCCGCTGGGCTTACAACGAATTGTTTCGGACAGCACAAAATCGTTTGACCTGTGCAAAGGTCAACTTAGGAATTATAAATAACACATGGTTTGCATAAACTTGATTTGATCTAGGGAAAATTAAAGTAATGCAGAGCTTGTGTACTTCAAGAAAAAATGTTTATTAAAGTTATCATCAACTTTAAAATGTAACATCCAATCCTGTGCTGTGAAACACAGATTTTCCATTACTGCATCTTTTAACAGATCAAGACAAAGAAAGAAAATATAAGATAAGTGTCCCCCATTGTGTATAAATTAACAAAATACATTAAAACCATTTGCTACCTACCTTTAGGATTCTTGCGGTTCACATTGGTCTTCCTGGGTGAGGATTTTGGTGACAACACACCATTCTTAGATGTCAGCTGCTGATTGCTGTGAAGAGGAAAAGACAAATGGCATATGGCTCTATTGAAATGTCATTTTGGAGCCAGAAGGGCATTGGCTCATAAACCCATTGTGTTAACCCCCTTCTGGCTCTAAACAGTGGCTAAGTCATATGTCTAAATCAACTGAGTACAAAAAAAGATATTGTTGGTTGGTTATCTGCAAGAAGACAAATACTGCCAAAGCTAATACATAGCACTTGTGGCCTTCTTGCCGACAGCTGACACTCCATCAGTCCAAATACCTAGATCTAAATTTGCTTCAACAAATAAGTTTGGGTGAGATCTGTTACATTGAAAATGTATTTGTGCTTTTAATGATTAATACATTTTTTTAGAGGCTTTAGTGCATTCTTGTATACCAACCTGTACAAAAATCAATGTAAACATTCATATCTGGTTGTACAGTTGGAGAGCTAGAACCCCAAACAAAAAATATTGTCTCAAACCAGGACATCGTTTCACGAAAGCATTGTAAGGACTCGCTGACAGGGTACCATTGAAATGCGTGTTGAATGTCGGTTTTGTGAAACGAGGCCCTGAGGGGCGTTTCACAAAACTTATCATCAATGACAAATGACAGTTTTTGTTATAAGCTACTAAAATCCTTGCTTCTGATTGGTTACCAGCAGATTTGTCACTGATTTTTGTCATTTGTCATTGAGAAAAAGCTTTGTGAAATGGGCCCCAGGCCTATTCATTTGTGCCTTTCTGCAAGGCAAACGATGAAACCTACCTGATAGTCTGGAGAGGGCTGCTTTTACTCATTCCAGTATCTTCCTTCTGGACAGGACCAGCAGTAGGTGGGACCAGGTAGAAGTAGTATGAAACCTGGGCACATAATTTAACGGTAAGCCAAGGTAATATATGCATTATTTACTTTCAAACTGATTGATCAATTATCTTGAGAACCAAAAGAAACGTACAGTTTGCTACAATTTTCTAAATTGTATTTAACTATGAACTGCTTTCAAAGATCCACCTTGTCATTTTCATAGACATTTTTATACAACAAATTGTTGCAGTCGATGATTAAGTGATTACCCGTCCAAGGGGCTCTATGTATATGTGTGGTTTTGGAATTTGTGACAACCTTGCTGCTAATTCTATTTGTACCCAGTTAAAAGCATGAAAAAAGAGAGGGTTCAGCTCCTATATCCTGAGGGAAGTTCTAACACAGTGTTTTCTTTGATCTTACATTGTACCAGTATTAAAGGGACTGGGTAACATTGTTCAGATGAGAAATAGTGGTGCTAAGGTAGTGACTTCAATGCTAGATGTACAATTAAAGATAATCTGAAAATTTGAGTGAAAACGGACCATTCATGGTACAAATTAGGAAAAACTAATCTGATCGATTCCTTAATTCTCCCAACTATATTATTACAATTTAATTACATTTTAGGTGAATGTAAATCGTCACAAAGCAATAAAATGGCTCTACATTCCATTCCAGACATTTATGTGTAGACAAATTTTTTATAGCCTGTTTTATGTCTTTTTTTCATGGAAAAACGGTTGGGAAAATTCAAAAATGGTTGGGAGAATTTACTGTTAATCACTGTTAGAGGGTGTACATTGGAACCTTCAAAGAAAAGCATAGATATATTTGTAGTTTGAGAATTTTTTCAGGATATTTTGCATGTCAGAGGGTTAGTACAGTAGAAGCAATACCGTATTTGCCGGTGTAAAGGCCGCAGTATTTTTGGAAGAGAAAATATCAAAAAGTCGGGGTGCGGCCTATGCGACGAAAGAGTAAAAAAAAATTAAAAAGTAAGTCAAAACCAGCACGAATTTGCACATATGGGACTAGATCTACGAACGGTACAATAACTATACATTTCCAAACATCTTACCGACAATTTTATCTTGCTTTGTTGACATGAAGACGAAAATAAACTTCCAAAAACAACATCTGCCGATAGATCTTGTTCTAAGTTCGTGCCAATGCATTGCAAAAGTAAAAGAAGGGCCCGTTTAACGGAGCTGCCGCGAAGCATCCAGCACGCGAAGTCGCTTTTTTGAATCCATTTCAATACACAAGAGAGAGGCGTAATGTATACATCACAAAAAAACTACATAAGCTAGCATCAGTGCGGGATGGCCGAGCGGTCTAAGGCGGTGATTTTAGTCAAATCAACATTTATACGCAAGAGATCAAATCCCGACTTCCACAAAAAGTGTTTTTTTTTTTTTAAATGTCAAAATCGGGGGTGTGGCCTATACAAAAATTAAGCAATTTTTGTCATCAACCTTCAACAATGTTGCCGAGTCACTTTAAGGTTTATATCGAGGGTTCAGTGACACAAAGACGTAACTCCATATTTTGCCAAAATGAGTATTTGATATCAAAATGTTCAGAAAAATGTGGGCTTTCCAGGACACAAAGACTTAACTCCACCCAACACACCATTGAAGTCAATGGCTAGTGAAACAAAGGCCAAAGTGCTCAGTGACACATAAACCACTTTTTCTCAAAATGGCCAAAATGCAGTTACGTCTTTATGTAACTGACCCCTCAATAAGTTGACTTCGATTCTCAAGAAGATCTTGGAAATCAAATGAGGTGGAAGATGACTTTCAGACGGACTTACAATCTTCCTCATGGTCAGTGGCTGGCCCACCCAGAAGGTCCGGTCTCCATCCAGGAGTTGATCATCGTAGTTATGCAGGAGACACTCTGCCACACCCATACACAGCCAGCTTGGTTTCAGCATGGAGAGGAACATCTCCTGACCCGACCTGGTCGCTAGAATATCCTCTGTCAAAGAAACAATATATTTTCATGTTATTTGTTTCTGGCTCCTCATCAAGGTCCTTTCAAAAATATCTGTCACCATGGATACGTCACCGGACTTTTAACCACAAGGTCCGCGGTTCAAGTCCCGCTGTGCGCAATAATGTCCTTTGGCAGGAGAACATTGATCTACATTTGTCACACTCAACCCAGGTGATGTAAATGGGTACCTGGCAGGAATTAATTCCTTGAAATGCTAGAGCGCCGTAATGGCCGCCTTGCTAAAGCAGGGTAATAATCAGGGCAGCGCCAGGAGTGTTGCAAAATGACGGACATGTGCACTATGAAAGAAGCCACCATTATCATTATTATTATCAAGATTTAACATTGTTAAACAATGCCTTTAAACCACACTCTACAGAGAGTTAATGTCGTTCTGACTCCGATCAAATAATGTCCTACAACAGTCACCTTTTTTTGCTCTTGAGGCTAGTGCCTCTGCAAACTCTTTCCTTCCTTTCTCTGAGTTCTTGTTTCCTGGCAGCTCTCCAAACGCTACGTGGATCTCTGCTGCTATCAGCATCAGGGTCGACAAGAGAGTCGTCACTGGCACCTAGGATGGTAATAACAAGAAGTCCACTTTAATACAAAGTTTATCGAGGAAGCTACATCTCACATGCTTTACCAATCTTTTTTTCATCTTTCTTTCTCTCTTCAATCTTTAAAGGTACTATGTCTCTTTTGCAGCCACCATCAAATTCTGTAGAACTTTGCAGGAATTATGAATATGTCATGTATGTCTTACCTGTGAAATTTAAATGATAGCATATTATGCAAGGAAACCTGTTTACTTTCTAGACTTCTAAACTTCATTGTCAGGCACTATTGACTGACCATGCTGACCGACTTCTTCGGTTATAGCATAAATAAAATGAGCTGTAAAGATACATGAACATTTGTCTACATCAATAACCCACTTCTTGTAATGGCCAAAATTAAACTGATTGAATCTTTGCGCAGCACAAAACATGCCACTATTCGGAACAAGGTTCTGAAAATCAGATTATTACGAAGATGATTGCTAACACTCAAGTTGATTCGACAACTAATGCTCGTTATTTTTCCACTAAAAGACATTTTCAAGCCTTTTCGTCTTGAGGGAAGTTCTAAATTAGAATTATCTTCAAATGCCGTTGGAGTTTAACCTTTTCATTTTTTGGCTTTTTTCCCCACAATGATTACTTGAGAAAGACAATAAATGGAACTTGAAATAGCTAGTGTATTAGTGATAAAAGCAAGCCAATTAGTAACTTTGTTACTGAAATGTGTGCTGTGCAAACATTTCTTCCTTCATATTTTAATGATAGCAATTGTATCACCAAGCCCAACCTTGAATGGTGTATCAATCTGTGGGAATGTAGGCTGACCCACGTAACAAAAACTTTCGTGAAAAACAAAAAGTACTTTAATTCCGTTTCTGCACAAATTTACTTATGGAAGTTCCTGGAAAAAGTGAAAGGGGAGAGAAAAAGACATGAGCTAGAGAACAGGATAGAGTTGTCCATTCTAACATATATCCTTCCTGGGGCCCGTTTCATAAAACTTGTTATCAATAACAACTGCTAAATTTCTATGACAAATTTGCTCTCAGCCAATCAGATGCCATGATTCCAGTAGCTTATACAGTAGCTTGTAACTTGTTATTGGTATCAAATTTTATGAAACAGGAGGGTGTTTCACAAGGCCTTTTTCCAATGACAAGTAACAAAAATTAGTGACAAATCTGCTGATAACCAATCAGAAGCAAGGATTTCAGTAGCTTATAACACAAATTATCATTTGTGACTGATGACAAGTTTTGTGAAACGCCCCTCAGGGCCCTGGCTTACCCAATCATCACACTTGGCAGCCATCTTGACTGCTTGTATGAATTTAGTCATGAGCCTCTGAACGTTGTTGGGGACCTTCCTGGAGGTTTGCTCCATGACAGATGGCCACAGGATCTGGGCTAGGATGCACCGGGATGGACCTTTCTCTTTCTCTGTACCTTCACTGGTCCTGGGAGATAGATCGAAATGGTTTATTAAAAAGATCATCGCAGCCAACAGCTGAATTGTCATCCACTTCACAAAGATACAATACAATTGCAATTCAAATTCAAATAACACAAAAAATGACATACATCAAAAATCAAACATACAGACATTTCATAAAAATTCATTGATCAAATTTTTTTTTTTTAAGTGAGAAAGGGAGAGGTGTAGAGAGGGAGAGTTAGAGTGATGAGAAAGAGAGAGAAAGAAAGAAAGAGACAGAGGTCATCAACTCATGGGACAAATTTCCCCAAAACTATTATCCCCTCTACGCCCTACGCCCCCCCCCCCCCCTCCCAGCTGTTCTCTGAGAGTAAATTCTAAAGTAAAGGGGATAGTTATCCAGTTCTAGGTGTCTAGAGTGTAGTGTCCTTAGTGGTAGTTATCCTAGGGGGTAGATGCTACAAGGGTAGTTCCGCAGAGGACAGTTATCCGGAGTAATTGTCCAGGATTGTCATCCTAATACAGGAGGGGCCCAATGTAGGCATTTTCATGGGGGGGGGGGGGGGCTCTTCATTCGCACTGTTTGGTTACAACAAATTGCAATAATGATCATGAATATAAAAATATATATCAAACAGTAACAGAACAGAACACAGATGAAAATAAGTATATACATGTATATAAATTTGTATTCTTGGAATAAATGTGGATTTTTTCTCTCAACAAAATGCCATTGCATATTTGTAATACTATATTACATGTATAAACAGTAGTCTGCTTTTTAAGTCAGGTGAAATAATATCATTAATTTTTAGACATTTTTTTCTTTTCGAAGATAGCCTCATATAGTTTTGGAAGCTCATAAACAAAGTAGAACGACGATCTTGGCTTAACATATATCTACACTTGTGATACCCATATTGTTGTACACATATTTAAAAAGCATCTATCACAAGGTTGAATTCCTTGTTAAATCTTATTTTTATCCTGTAAAATGATTGCATTCTTTCTTAAACTATCAGTCATCATCCACAAGAACTTGTTAGCTCACCTCCTGGCAGAAGCCATGAAATCCTCTTCAAACAACGACACTAGGAAGTGTAGAAGCATCTCGCCAGTTTCCATGGCAACCTTGACAGCCTCTTCATCCTCATGCTCTTTGACATCCTGGATGACATTCTGACCATATAAGGCTCTCCTGTATCAGACAAAGAAAAGGAGATAGGGAGGGAGGGAGGGAGGGAGAGAGAAAGAGAGGGAGGGAGGGAGAGAGAGGGAGAGAGAGAAGAAGAAAAAAAGAGAGAAGGAGAAGAGAGGGAGAAAAGAGGGAGAGAGAGAGAAGAAAGAGAGAGAAGAGAGACAGAAAATGGGGGGGGGGGGGGAGAGGAAAAAGTATGTGAAACGTTAAAAAAAATTAGTAACATATATACATACATGTATAAGATTGAAAGATACAACCAGATAGCATAGGGGGATAGGAGAGACATTAGGTACATACATAAAGAGATAGAGCAAATAAACATTAATTCTCAACACAGTTAAAGAAAACTCAAATTCTTCCTGTAAAATGTTAGTAATACTCTTTCCCACATTCTGCTATAACCTTGATGACTTTGAGTCATCAGCTATACTATCAAGTTGGAAATTGTCACATTTCATAATTCACAAAAGTTACTAAAACCCACGCGACAGATTACAATGGTGGCCAGAAAGTCAACAAACAAAAGAGAACATTTCTCATAAAGCGAACAAAATCCATTTTTCACCAACATTTTGGTAAATTTTGATTATTTTATTTGATCCTTTTACTTTACAAACCACCCTCGTGCAATCAGGTCTTGTAGACAAAGATATTTCCATATCTCACCTTATGACAGCATCCACAAAGTTCCAGTGTTCATATTGGTACGGCATTTTGAAGACCCCTTGAGGTTGGATCATGGAATCAAGGTAGAGCCCTCGTAGCGACACGTAGCAGGCAGGACTGTGCAGACATAGGACCTGCTTTAAGATGTGCACTGCTGAACGACAGATCATCAGGCTCGGGCACTGTAGATGATGGATCAAACAAATCAAAGAAGACAAGTTGGATTGAGGCTTAAGTAGTCACCCGAAGAATCAAAAGTGTTTTGAATAGATGCAAAATTCATATCGTTGCGAAGGGGAAGCCTTACTGATCAAATATAACAACTTCCCTCTTCAAAATATCTTTGGGGCCCGCAGTAATCATCTCTCAAAAATGTTAATTTTGAAATCAAGATTTTTTCTGCCTTCAGCAGTCCTCCGTAGAGCGTCAAGATTTGTGACGTCACATGCGAGGCACGTCTAGCCACAAAATTGTATTTACGCCTTTCCCTGATATCTATATGTTTTTTCAGCGAATCATTCATGTTTTTCATGAGAAAATCTTCCCATCCATATATAATTTGTCCATAATTATCAGTCGTCTTTGTGTGACTACTTTAAAGGTTGTAAAAATAAGTACTATTCAAGCGGAAGTACTCAGTATTATCATTTTAACTCCACACTACCTAAAAGACGAGACTATGGAGGTTTAGTAGTTGAGTGGTTAGGCCGGATGGGTCATAGGTTCAAGCATGGCACAGCATTTACAGTTAACAACGAAATTATTCATACCCTTACCAAGATTTGTATTTGTTTAAGTATGTGAAAAATTGATTTGTCCTGATTTATGTTTCTTGAGATGTGACATATCAAAAATTCTAAGATCTAAAAATATTCAACAAGACCCTTATTCAACCATTCCATGATTCCACCTGTCATTCTTAAGTTACGAAGAAAATAAAACCCCATCATACTTACAAGGGGTATGAATAATTTAGATGTTAACTGTATGTTGTTTAGCAGGGCATTTTATCTACATTGCTTCTCTCTTCCCAGGTGAAAGATGGATACACAGTTACAAAGCCAGTGTTTGATAGCATACGTAAATGGGTGCACCCGCCAATGGCAACTGGATAAAATGCTCTGGAATGGAGTGCACTGTGATTGCAGAATCAAAGTTGACTGAGGTAACAATACATTTTTAACCCTTTTGATCAATTACTTCTACAGGCTATGAAATGGTCAACCGGATCTTTCATTTAACCTTTTAAATGAATGGAAATTACGTGTATTCACTCATCCCTGTGTTATAAAAAATATAATTGTGAAGCATTACACTTTATAACGTGTTATTACAGCAAAAAACTGTCCCAAGTTAATAATACATTTATTTTCACGAAACTCATAAAAACAGCCGGGTGAAATGTGTACAACAATGAAGAAAAAAAAAAACATTTAAATATTATGATAGTAACTTAAACATGCAAAAAAGAATGATAAATACATGATAATTGAGTATATATGTAGGGATGGGGGGACTGGTAAACGCCCAAGGGCTAATCCCCGGCAAGATTGGAATATCTGAACAAGGCTGAACTGGAAAGGTGTTAGGCGCCACGGATTTATTCAACTGGCATTCGGAATGCATGTAGAATGCCCTATTCAGAATCTATTGTTCTGTTAATCCGCATTCCAGAATGTACCTAGAATGTACCTAGAATGCGGTACTTAACGACTTAATTGGCGCATTGTGGGTGCATTCTGGAATGCTCCATGAATAGGCCATCCAAACAAAGGCGAGATCGATCGGCAGCGACTACCTTCTTGATATTGCGTGCCGGAAGAGTTTCGATATAGAATGCACCATAAGAATTGATAGAAATCAACAGATATTTAATTGGTTTCGCTTCTGTCTCTCCCGCGATCGGTCGCTCTTTGCATTTCTCGAGCGCAGGTGATAATGGACTTACTTTGATTTCTTTCCGACGGCTTAATTTTTGTCATAAACTCCGGTAACATCAGCGATATTTAATTGTTTTCGCTTCTAGCTCTCTTTCTCTCACTATTTATTTCTCAAGCGTCGGTGATATTGTAATTGATTTTCTTTCTTTTCTTCAGCTTATTAAAGATGGTGAAAAGAGTAGAAGAAAGATTGAGACCGCCACAAAAATGTCCCGAGTCGGCGCTCTCAGAACAAATTAGGCGCGTAACAGTGTCAAATATACGCGGTGTTTTGAAACGTTGGTGTTGATTGACACGATGCCTCATTAAAGATGGTAAAAAGAGTAGAAGAAAGATTGAGAAAAAATGAAGAAAATATTTTGCATGAAAATGCGGATGAATCTGAATGATCAAAAAGGAAGAAAGAGGATGCAAGAGATGGTGGGTGTTGAAAGATCGGAGGACTAATGAAATGATACATTTAGATAAAAAGCGAGAGTGGATATTTGTGGTGATTACCATCTTATTTTAAAACTTTTTGGGGGGCAGGGATGGGGGGGGGGTCCGTCTTTTTTTTTGGCCAGGGAGGAAGCAGCCTGGCCCCGTTGCCCCCCCCCCCCTCTCCATGAGTCTGCGCATGAAGGAAAGCACATGCTTTAATGTAAACCTATGAAGTATGTTGTTTCATATAATCTTATTCCTAAACCGATACAGACATAATTTTCTTTGTGGTCTGTACTTATGTTGCGTATCATTTTTTTTAATTTGTTACATCACTTACCTCATCTACCCTCTCTATTTTTTAAATTTCTTCTCTTATAAATAATGATTTTTTTTTTTGTGTGTGTGTGTGTGTGTGTGTGTGTGTTTTTTTTTTCTTCAATTATAAATACAATATGACTTACGGAATTTCATAAAAATTGTAGAGGGTGTGCTTATTTATAAATAAAATAATGACAGATTTATTATGACATTCCCGCCACTACTATGTCGGCGCTCTCAGAATAAAGGCGCGTAACAATGTACGCGTGTTTTAAACTTTGGTGTTGATTGACATGACCCCCCATTTTAGATAAGAAGGAGACAGTGTTCATTCGAGATCTGGATTTATTATTATTATCGAGAGAGAGAGAGAGACTACAGGTGTAAATTGGCTGTATGCCTATAACAATTCTAAAATGTTGGATTATTTTGTAATACACAAATGTTTTTGTCATCGGAAATAATTGCTCCTCACCATTGACCACGGTTGCAACAACGACATTCAAATAATGACAGATTTATTATGACATTCCCTCCACATGTCGGCGCTTTCAGAATAGAGGCGTAACAATCGTAAATATCGCGGTCTGTTGGAACTTGTGTGTTGATTACAACATTTCCAAGATACAGTCATCAATCCAACTTTCTACTTCATTCGTGCCTTTTCATCGTACCCACAAAAAGATCAATAGACATATCAGAATCTCGATATTTAATTGCTTTCGCTTCTCTCTCTCTCTCTCTCTCTCTCTCATCACTGCCCCTATTCCGTTATCCTGTTATCCTTGTTATAGATAAAAAGCGAGAGTGGATATTTGTGGTTACCATCTTATTTTTAAACTTTTTTAGGGGGCAGGGATGGGGCGGTCCGTCTTTTTTTTTTGGCCAGGGAGGAAGCGGCCTGGCCCCGTTGCTCCCCCCCCCCCTCCATGAGTCTGTGCATGAAGGAAAGCACATGCTTTAATGTAAACCTATGAAGTATGTTGTTTCGAATAATCTTATTCCCAAACCGAGACGGACATAATTTTGTTTGTGGTCTGTGCTTATATGTTGCGTATCATTTGTTTGTTTAGCGCACACTATCCTACCCCCCCCCTTTTTTTTTTCATCACCTTCCTCATCTTCCCTCTCTAATTTTTTAATTCTATCTCTTTTTTTTCTTCTTCAATAATAAATAAAATATGACATATCATATTTCTCTACGGAATTTCATAAAAATTGTAGAGGGTGTGCTTATTTATTCCAAAACAAAAAAAGAGAAGGTCATATATAGATCAGTAGAGAGTGGGGGAGAGATGATAACTGAGTGAGAGGGGAATCGGAGAGAACGAGGGAAAGAAAGAGGATGCAAGAGATGGTGAATGTTGACATATGAGGTGGTGAAATCTGATTTTAGTCTTTTTTTTATATATATGAGAAGTAAAAAGATTTCTTATTTCTTATTTCCAATCTAAAAAGTCCGTATGCTTTAAGTTATCTCACGCCAACATGGCATGTGGACAACAACATGACACGTGCACAACAACGACATACCAATAATGACAGATTTATTATGACATTCCCGCCATAAGCATGTCGGCGCTCTCAGAACAAAGGCGCTTAACAATATCAAATATACGCGCGTTTTAAACTTTGGTGTTGATTGACATGACGCCTCATGTTGATTCGAGATAGAGATGGATTTATTATTATCGAGAGAGAGAGAGAGAGATTAAAGGTATTACAATCCTAAAATGTTGGATTATTTTGTAATACACAAATGTTTTTGTCATCGTAAATAATTGCTCCTCACCATTGACCAGTCGCAAAACGACATTCAAATAATGACAGGTTTATTATGACATTCCCGCCACATGTCGGCGCTCTCAGAACATAGGCGACTTAACAATAAATATCGCGGTCTGTTCGAACTTGGGTGTTGATTACAACATTTTTAAGATACAGTCATCAATCCAACTTTCAAATCCCCACCAATCTTTCGTGGTCGGGGGAAGGAGGGGGGGGGGGGGGGGGGGGGGGGTAAGAGCATCATCCATTGATATTTGTTTGGTTCCTATCTCATGAACTTAAATTGACAGTCGTAATGGATAACACTAGGTCTGAACCGTGAAACTACGAGACGTCCGGTAATATGAATACATGTATCTAAAAATGGCACATAATAGCATAACAAAATATCGGCCTTTAGACTGATCCCGCACCGTAATGTGCCCCTATAAAGAAATACGGGGTTCTCGAGCGATTTCGGTTACATCGCAAGTAATGGAAAATTTGGCGGTGCTTTCTACTTTCATTGCGCCTCATTCAGTCAATTTCGTGATTCCTTTTGTAAATATAAAAATGAAAGTTCAGACTTTTTTTATTTCTAAATATATAAGTAATGTTCATCAATACGAAAAATAAGGTCTGTTATTTTTGAGGGAAATTGCCGTCTTATTTTGCTGAAGCTTCACGTCTTTCCTTTTCAATACACTCACAATACAAATTGCGTAAGATCGGTCGATACCTCCATTCATTCCCCCATTGTCTATGATTGTCGTGTGCTAAAGCTCGGCCGATTATCAACCGAGTCATACATAATAGGCCTAAGCCTTCGTTTTACATGGGTTTTCGACACATTTTGTAACTATATTCTGACCAACGTTATGCCATGATCTACACTAAATGCCCTTTCTTTTAAATGTGAAAATCAAATATAGGACTATTTGGGGAACTTATGCATTTTGAAATGAACATTGTTTTATTCTCGAAAACAAAAATAATATACTTTGAATACTTTCGACTTTGTTTCTCATAATTAGAAATATTCATTTGTCGTGTGCCTTACCATATTACAATCTTACCACTATTGCCTAAATATATTTTATGGAATAAAATGACACACAAATCCCATTTATCAGGATAACCATTGAACAGCTAGACTTGTTTTGGTTATCCCTCGTGAGAATTCAATTTATTTGTCTTCGTCTCCATCTGTGTTCTCGTTCAACATATCCTGTCAATAAAACTTTGTTAATCTTCGTTTCATGATCAGTTCTGTAGATGGCATGTACATGAAATGATGATGATGATGGCGATGATGATGCTTACAATATTGTAATAGAATAGTAATGATAATAGACATTAATTTCTTCATCTTGCACTCGCTTTTCTTTATTGCCAGAAAACTTGTTTTTTTTTATGTTGCCTTGCTTTTTTTCCCCTTTAACAATGGTAGCATATTTGCCCAGGAAAATTCTCATATTCGTGGCTATACCTATAACTCAGACCTGCTCTAAAATGATTACATGCCCTCGTAAAGGTACATAAGTTAGAGTGGTTGTTTGTATTGTCATGTAGCTTGACCTACGTTTGGGCCTACATCCTCTTCTTTCAACACGGTAATCTTCCAGAGTAGTTACACCTTTACATTCGTTTGTTCCTCTTATTGTGGGATCCGGTCCAGGCAGCTGAGATAAGCGTTTCATAATAGAGGAGGTCCATACATGAATGATTCGCTAAATTGATCAAGTTGATAACATAAAAACCGTATTGTCAGAGTAATTACAGGGGAGAAGAATTACCAAGTCAGGGGTCAGTTATTTAATGGCTGTTTTCACAACCCGCAAAGGCCTTTGTTTTGTTATCTGTTCTTGTTTATCGGATCGTTTTTCAAACTTTTATGAATGTTTTCCCCTGATTTGTTTTGCTTTCCTTTAAAGCAAATTTCCACCACAGGGTTGGATTGCCCATTTATTTTAATTAAGTACAATTTATAAATGCCAAGTCTCAGATGTCTCATATTCCATTCAATCTTTCGGGGAAGGGGGGGGGGGAGCATCGTCCATCGATATTTTTTGGTTTCCTAGGAACCAGTCGTAATGGAAGTCGATGTTAATACAGAATAATTATGATGTTCCCACTGAGTAAAATACGTCCTTTGCCTCCACCGTTAAATCTTTTCCCTTGCATTTATTGAACGGGTAGTGTAATTTACTTGACACGCAGTTGATTTGAACGAAAGCAAAATGGCAACAACAACAAAAGAGAGAGAAAGAGAATGATGATAGTTTGACCGAGTTTAAAGAATTTGAAAATACAAACAATTTATTTTATATAAATGTAATCTTTTTCGAGCGGGAAAATACTTGTATTAGAACTCGTCCGTAGCGTCAAAATTCATTTTACCGGGGAAGAAATAAAGCGGCCGCAACTTTTTTATGGGAAAATGGAAACGTAATACCAAGATAATTTTTTCCTTCAATTAGGAGACAACGTGTTTCCGTTGTTATCAACTTCAGAAAATCAGAAGTTGAGAGAACGAATGTTATACCTTGTTTAAAAAGATGAATAAAAATAGCTCTTACTCCTTCTAAAAGTGCTCCGCGCTGTCTATATAACTGATACTTATTCATATTCCAACACTATGTCGGCAGAAATTAGAAAAGACAACAAACAAGTTATTTTATATAAATGTAATCTTTTTTGAGCGGGAAAATACTTGTATTAGAACTCGTTCGTAGCGTCAAAATTCATTTTACCGGGGAAGAAATAAAGCGGCCGCAACTTTTTTTATGGGAAAATGGAAACGTAATACCAAGATAATTTTTTCCTTCAATTAGGAGACAACATGTTTCCGTTGTTATCAACTTCAGACAATCAGAAGTTGAGAGAACGAATGTTATACCTTGTTTAAAAAGATAAATAAAAATAGCTCTTACTCCTTCCAAAAGTGCTCCGCGCTGTCTATATAACTGATACTTATTCATATTCCAACACTATGTCGGCAGAAATTAGAAAAGACAAACAAGTTATTTTATATAAATGCAATCTTTTTTCGAGCAGGAAAATACTTGTATTAAAACAAGCTCGTAGCGTCAAAATTCATTTTAACGGTTAAGAAATAAAGCGATCGTAACTTTTTTTTATTGGAAAATGGAAACGTAATTCCAAGATATTTTTTCCCTTCAATTAGGAGACAACGTGTTTCCGCTGTTATCAACTTCAGAAAATCAGAAGTTGAGAGAACGAATGTTATAGCCTGTTGTGCGCCGCGCTGTAGTCACTTTGGCAGGCATTTGAAATCACGCAATTCTGATTAATTGCCAGCGTCTCGGGCATGCTTTTTAATCGCCCAATTCTCAAAAAGGTGATGCGATTTGCGCCTTTTGTCTAGAGAACAAAGGCGCATTCCAGAATGCATTCCAGAATGTGCGCATTCTGGAATGCCCCTTTGTTCTCTAGACAATAGGCGCAGGTCGCATCGATTTTTTGAGAATGTGGCTAGAATGGGGACATTCCAGATACATTCCAGAAAGATTAACAAGGGCATTCCGAATGCATTCCGAATGTCAGTTGAATAAATCCGTGGCGCCTTAGACTTACCAGGAGGATGTGTTGCATGATGCTGTAGAGCATGTGCGGAGGAGGGTATTGAAGGGTGGAGATGGAGGACCCTATACACGACAGGGCATCTAACCAATGGGACTCCTCTATGTTGGCCTCGATGGAGTTACAGATGTTGGCTGAGAATGGGATCGATGGGCAGACGTGGCTAGCACACTGATGAAAATAGAAAAGGAGAGAGAACTTGTATATCCAAGTCAAACTGACTCTCAATTGACAGATAACTGACCAAATAAGGTTTTGGTTCATAAGGTGAAAATCTTAGCCATTTGAGAATTTCGGGGTTGAAATAAATTGTTGTTTATTTCCTTTTCTGTCTAGTATTTGTCTTATTGGTGTAATGAATGTATTAGGTATTTCTTTAAAGCCCCACTGTACTACTTGTAGCTACTTGCTCCCTCTACATAGAAAAAGATGCCTTATCTGTGACCATTTTCTTATGTTAATTGAGAGCAGAGTTAATGAGATAGCCACCTGTCAGTGACCACCCTGGGTAGTCTAATCCCTCCTAGCCAAACTAGTACAGATGGCCTTTAAAGTAATAGTTATTCCACCAATGTACTAAGAGCAAGATTCTTCTTCTCTATAGACTAGTTGAAAATAATAAATGCCAAGACAGAAAAAAGAAGAAGAAATAAAAAATAAAATTAAAAATAAGAAGAAAAAACATAAATAAGCAGGAAAGGGAGAGGAAGAGGAGACAGGGATAGAGAAAGAGAAAAAACCCCATAAAAACAGAGAGAGAGAGAGAGAGAGAGAGAGAGGGAGAGAGAGAGGGAGAGAGAGGGAGAAAGAGAGAGGGAGAGAGAGAGAGAGGGAGAGAGAGAGAGAGAGAGAGCAGCTAGAAGAAGGAAATCAGGAAAAATATATACCGTAAGAGTAGGAGAGAGCGTATCAAATGCAAAGAATCAATCATTCTTTCCAAATTACCTTCAATTCTCATTCATAAAACCTTACTGAGCCTAGTTGTCAACTAACTATGTAATATAGCTTTTATTATAAATTGACAACTAGCTAATTATGGTTTTATTAATATAGGCCCAGATGTTTTCTAAGTACTATCACAACTATGATGAACAATCTGTAATTCTTTCTTAAGAATAGATGTACTTGATCTCTTACCTGGAATGTTTTCTTAGGTCTAGGGATCAGCATTGTGTATGGTACCAGAGGAAGGTGCTGAGATGAGAGCTAAATATAAAGACAAAAATCAAAAGTAAAACACAGAAAAGATATTAACTGCTAGCTAAGCCGTATGGACTCACACATTACGTAATGAAAATAAATTACTGTTTGGTACACAAAGCAAATTGTGTGTCCTATTCCTATAAATAAATTTTGCTTCACAGCTTTACCAATTGATATATTGTTTTGCTTTTTTTGTAATTGCATTTTGCCTCCAGAATGTAAGAGTGAAATAAATATTATTGTTCCAATTTGAGGAGGCAAACTATATTCAATCAGCGCTTTGGAAAGTCCTCTGTATGAAGAAAGAGAAAAAGGGAGAGAGATAGAGAGAGAGAGAGAAAGAGAGAGAGAGGGAGGGAGGGAGAGAGAGAGAGAGATAGAAAGAGAAAGAGAGAGAGAGAGAGAGGGAGGGAGAGAGAGAGGGAGGGAGATAGAAAGAGAAAGAGAGAGAGAGAGAGGGAGGGAGAGAGAGAGGGAGGGAGATAGAAAGAGAAAGAGAGAGAGAGAGAGAGAGAGGGAGAGAGAGAGAGAGAGAGGGAGAGAGAGAAAGAGAGATAGAGAGAGATAGAAAGAGAAAGAGAGAGAGAGAGAGAGAGAGAGAGAGATGGAAAGAGAAAGAGAGAGAGAGAGAGAGAGAGAGAGAATTTGCACTGCATGGGGGTAAATAAGCAACCAGTAGTAGATGTAGTAGATGCTTGACAGTCAATCTTGAAAAACTGTGAAATCAACAACAAAATCTGATCATAGTTACAAATACCTTTCTCTTTTTTAATATTTGCAGTGCCTCCCTCAGCTGATTGGGCGAAAAGTGAAGCTTCCTTTTCACACCCCTCCCAGGGTCACTGGAGGTACTCTCCTCTGCCATGCTCATCGTCGATCCGGGGGTATCTCCTTCTCTTCCTGAAGTGTTGATCTTTTTTCCTTGAGATCTTGCCCGTGGGTTTGGCTTCAGGAATGTGTCTAATTTTTTAAAAAAATAAATGAGAAAGGTTTCAATTTCAGGCATTGAAGTAGCAATCTGCTTTAGACTTATCAAGCAAAACTGCTGTAACCAAAAATAATGAAAACAGACTTCATCTGTTGGAGATTTTTTATGTTTTTATATAACATGGATTTCTAGTTGGTATTAGAAAGAATTTGTTCATGCTAAAAGAATTTTCATTTTAAAGATTTGGTAATGCCTCAACAAACAAGGAAAACTAACTTACACAAAAAAACTCAATGAAATTGAACATGTCAAAAAAGAAAGAAGCACACTGATTTTCTTCTTACACAATTCGCCATCAAAACAACTTGAAGATAAGTAGGAATAGTCTATATTTCATTAGAGTAAAACACGTTTTAATAGCAATCCCCCAACCAAATAGAACAACTGAAATCTTTTGTTTATACACAGGTTCCACTCTCTTACTACTGCTATCACAATGATGCAAATGGATACAAAGTTACAAACCATGGTCTTTCTTAGCGCTGACTGTAGATACCACGACGTTCGTCTGTCTCAAGGTTTGTGTGGGAGTCATCAGTGCACTGGTTACATGATACTGGGTCATGTTCGGATTCTCCTGCAATGAACACATAAACGAACGAATAGAACAGAGGGGAACCTCAGGGCATTCGCGTCCCAAACTCTTACAAAAGCTCCCGTAAATTTCCTTGGATTGATAAAATATCAAACTTGTAATTTTTACCAAAATTGCAGTACACAAAGTTTCTGGTAGTTTTTTATTTTATCTTCAAATTCGAAATCCCCTGCTCAAAAATGAAAGGTAAACGCACGAGACGATCCTTTATCAATATCGCTGGGTTTAGCGTGGGGAAAGTCTGAACAGCTGGGTGACACAACATGTTATGACACATCATCGAGGAATGCTTGCATTAGGCTTACAGGCCAGGCATTTTTTGTTATTAGCTGAACAAAATGTTGTTTGATAAAGAGAAATAATGAGTTTGTGTAAGATTTCTCAACATCATAATTATTTCATAAATAACTGTTGAATATTTGAATCACGATGGGCCTTTATTTCAAGAGGTGAAAATAGACTCAAATAAATTGAACATTATGATGGGCTGGTAGTTGTAAACTACCGACTATGTGTTGCCTAGTAACCAAAGACAATGGGCAAAGGAAGGAATGAAGGTCAGTTCATTCATCACCGACAGACACCAGGCCCTCCTCCTGAGTTTACGTAAACAAATAATAATGTTGGAATTTATGACCTCCAAATGGAGTTTTTCTCATAATGTTGAATGTATTTGAATTCGAAATGTGTATCTTTTTTCCAGAATTTACAGAAATAAATACATTAAAAAAAAAAAAAAATATTGATTTTGATAAATTCTTTATAGAAACTTACCTGAAAGAGATACTCCGCAATGAACTCTGGAAGGAGACAAGGGATGCCTCTTTCTTCTAGACACTGAACATCCTTCTCATGGCACTTGTCCACGATGACATGAGTGACCGAAGGCACTAGTCTAGCGGGTTCCTTGATGGGGAAAGTCCCTTTGACACACTGCCCTCCACCCGCCTCAAGAACTCTGCAAGTACAGAGAGTTAGAGAGAGAGAGAGAGAGAGAGGAAGGGAGAGTATGGAGAGAGAGGAAGGGAGAGGTATGGAAAGAGAGAGTGAGGGAGTGATAGAAAGAGAGAGGAAAGGAGAGGTATGGAGAGAGAGAGCGAGAGAGAGAGAGAGAGAAAGAGAAAGAGAAAGAGAGAGAGAGAGGAAGGGAGAGTATGGAGAGAGAGGAAGGGAGAGGTATGGAAAGAGAGAGTGAGGGAGTGATAGAATGAGAGAGGAAAGGAGAGGTATGGAGAGAGAGAGAGAGAGAGAGAGAGAGAGAGAGAGAGGAAATTATAGTCAAGCTTGTGTCCAAATTCCTTTTGATTTTGTCTTTATATTATCTGATACAAGTATCTTACACTAATTTCCCCATTGCCCATCACATCCCTCTTGATTGCAAGATACCATATATTTACATCTGGGGGAATTATACACCCAGGTACATTTACCCGAATATGGGGTCAAAAGTTCAACTAGTAAATTCTAATGTCATGCCTAGACCATATGCCATAATGAAATGGACAAGAAAGATCTACCTGAACAATGTAACAACATGTAAAATTTCATATCATTCATATGACCACCATATAAAAACTACATGAAAAATACAAAATTTGAAAAATAAAAAAGTGACAAAGAAAATTTAAACTACAAATAGCAAGACATTTGAAAGCTGTAGCTCTTTAATATAAGTCTTTAATATCTATTTCTCTAAGGATAAACACAGGAAGACGGTGTGGGGGAGGGGGAGGGGGAGGGGCACTTACCTTCTATAAACTGCATCTCTATTGTTGCGGTTAGTAACATGGAGAAGTATGTTCCAGCTGTGGAAGGCTCCATGTCCGCTGGCGGTGACCTTCTTCCTCCATCGCCTTGGAGCCCTCAGGAGACCCGGTAGGACGTTCTCCGACGCATCGCCCTCGCTCCACTCATACTTGGACTCTGCCTGCCATTTGCCCCTGGAGAAACTGTCTGTGACGAATTCTGGCTTCAGGATCCACTTTCCTGTCATAAGAAGACGATTTGATAAACAGAACATTCCAATTAATTGGTAAAAAGTAACCCCATTAAAGTTCTCTTTACAATATCTACATTTTTTAGAAGTAATGTTTGCCCCCCCCCTCCAGATTATCAGATGCCAATAATGATACAGATCTAAGAAAAAAAAACATGTTACAGCTGCCTTTTTTATGTTTTGTTTGAAAATGATAAAAAATTATACAGATACTAGATTCATGACCTTAGAATTTTCTGAAGTTGTGTTTGATTGATTTTATTTCTGAGTTCAAATAACAATTACAAGCTTATACATTTTACATAAGTATTACATTCATAGCAAATAATGTCTAATAATAACAAAGCATACAAACAAGTATATTGGATATTTGTATATATTTTTCATTGAACTAAAGAGATAAATTTTAGACCGCAGGAGACCGCCATCGTGGGCGGTTAGGCTGGAAATGGATAGCGGCCTCATGTGTGGAATGTACATGTACCTCAATTTAAGGATAGGAAAGCATTTTGGTCATAGGAATTTCTTTTTCTTTTTTCTGCCCCAGCATCCTGGGAGATGAGGCAGAAAATACAATCTTAATTCCTATTACATGTATTATTGATTATATTTCAATTGTGCTTCAAGTTATCAATGTTGTACTTGTGATTTGAGTGATTGCCGACTACATGTAAATGAATAATAGTAAATAATAATAAGACAATAATAATCCAGAATCCCCAAAGTAGAACACTGCGGTAACATATAAATGGAGTATCCATCATGGGTCCAATGACATCCATTGCATAACAATATCAACTTATTATACAGAGTTGATAGTGAGAGTTAAAAAAAAAAGGAGGTGTTAGTGAGAGCTTTAAAAAAGTTTTAGAAATCCAAGTGAAGCAAGGTGATGAAAAAAGACACCTCATCCTCCCGCCCCCCCCCCCCTGTATTTTAAATCGGATTTGCATCGATCTCAGGAAATATCTATTTTTGGAGAAAAAAATCATGATAAATTTTTTTTTTTATTGGGAAAAAAAAAACAATAATCAGAAAACTGATTTAAATCTGGAGATTATCAGGCCTGATTAAAAAGAATAAAAGATTGATACGCAATTTGGCATGGGGAACAATGAACAATGAAACACTACACTGCAGTTTGAAGTTCACACTTTACCTGATGCAACTCCGCAGAGAAACTTCTCACTTCTGATTGGTTTGTAGCTGATGACATGGGTGCACCCTACAACATAGGTCTGAAAAACATGAGACAAGTACAATGACTGTTCAATGTTACATAGATTTGGGTTGTTTAGGAGAAAATAATATTAGAAAATAGAATAACTTTGAAATCGTCTGATTCGCAGATAGCACATTGTTAATAGTTGAATAATTCACAAAGGATACACTGCTATGAATGGGTTAGGGGAAAATGGTGCTCAAGGTAAGTTAAGTATTGTCTGATACAAAAACGAAACATGAATGTACGTTCATCAAGTTTAAAACATGGTACACTTTTCACTTTTCAGGAGTCAAATTAGTCCACTTGTCTACACCTTGTTGAATAGAACTACTCTATCTTTCACCTCAAAAATAGTTTTACTATCTCACTCCAAAACATATTTATATAAATATATTATACAAATATACACTGCCTTGAGAGGTTCTGGTTAAAACTATGCGCAAGAGGTGACTCCAATAGTACTATTTGCTGAGGGGCGCAGCCCCGAAGCAAATGGTACTTTTGGAGTCACCGAGGCCCATAGTTTAACCAGTACCTCGAATAGAAGGCATGGTATATTTGTTTTATATCCTGCATCAAAAATTTATTTAAAAAATAAAAATAAAAAAAAATAAATTTGGGGGAAAAAAAAATTTAGAACAAAAAAATGTCAATTTTTATCTAAAAAGATTTAAAATATTTTGTTTTCATTAAATTAAGATTTGAAAAAAAAAATTGATTCAATTAAAAAAAAAAATTCACATTTTTTTTCAACTCCCAAATAGTAAACCAAAATAGTACTCTCATATAGTACTTTCTAAAAATAGCTCAAATATTTTTGGTCATGTGACGAGCTCTCAACCAATCAAAAGCCAACAAATTTTTGATGCAGGATATAAATATATATAGATATTCATCTACCATTACAACCGGTAGGATGCGAAAGTTCACGTGGTTGGATCAGCAAGTGTGCGCTTGTAAGATGGCGACTGGCTGGAATGCTCCCCAGGGATAATAAGCCTGAATCCGATGACTGGGGTAATAATATGCGCTTAGGCACATCGTTGTATCAATGTATTGGGCGCTATATAAAAGCAGAATATTATTATTACTAGCAGGACCCGCGGAAATCCGCGGGATTCTAGAGGGGGGCGGGGGGGTGTAAATAGATATATAGAGAGTGTCTAAATTAAAACCACCAAGAACTTTATTTTCCATTCAGGCCATTCAAAAAATATACATGTTTAGCGTCCCCGCCCGCTTCCTTTTTGGGGGCCGTCCCTATTTATTAATTTTTTGAAATTTTTTTGATTTTTTTGATTTTTTTTTTTTTGAAAGAAAATAAAACAGCGTCCCCGTCCGCTTCCTTTTTGGGGGCCGCCTCCTATTTTTTTTTTTTTTTTGAATTTTTTTTATTTTTTGAAAGAAAAAAAACATGAAAAGCACTGCTAAAATGTATTTCTGATTTTAAAAAAGAAAAAAAAAAATTGTCGGCCACCATATTGAAAAATAGCCCGAATGTCAGGGAAAATGTACGGAGTGGCCATTTTGAAAGAAAGAAGAAAAAAAAAGGGCCTCCTCCTTCCCATTTTTCGAAAAAAACAGGACGCTTAACATTTTTTTTTTTAAATTTGGCCTTATATAAAAAAATTTAAAAAACGATCCAACTGTACCGGTAGTTATTCTTTAAGCCACTGGAACTGCGTAGAGTTCCGTAGTGTGGTGTACCGACTACGCAGAAATTAGGCCGCGTATTAATGGGAAAATAGTCCCTGCGTAGGTTATGCGTAGGCTGGCGTACAGGTTTGCTTATGGTTGCTTACTGTGTGGAAAGCTTTTACTGCTTTGTCGATCTGGCGTAGGGTAGCGTACTGTTGCGTAGGCATGTAGCGTAGTGTTGCGTAAAAAGGCGTACTTTCTGCGTCAAGTTTCTACGCCGAAAGTACGCGAAAAAAATTAAACATGTTGAATTGTTTTCGTTCTTGCGTACCCCTTTCCGTCCCTCAGCATATCGTAACATATAGTTACTACGTAACTCTACGTATTGACCCCATCCAATTAGTGACCCGCAAGTGTCACAAATAAAGTATTAAAAATATGCTCATCTGACCCTAATTAAACGCCTAAAACCCCCGAGCTTTCGGGGGTTTATGGCCCTTTGAAACCTGTGGACCCTACGCCTATATTATATATACACTCAACTCGCTGCGATCTGATCTCTCCCCCCCCCCCCCCCCAACTTTGAAAAATGTAACCCCCGAGCTTTTGGGAGTTTATGGCCCCTTGAACCTGTGGACCCCATGCCTATATTATATATACACTCATCTCAGGACCCGCGGAAATCGTGGGATTCTAGAGGGGGGAGCAGGCAAAAAATTAAGTTTTTCATTTTGGGGGCTCTATTTCAAATTTTGGGGAAATTTTCTGGGGCTACTTTTTCAACTTTCGGGGGCTCTTTTTTCTGGGGCTACTTTTTCTTTAATTCATAAAAGGATAGGCCTACACTTCGTTGCGATTTGTTTAGTAGGCTAAGGTTTCAGGCTTCCTACTTCATAATTGCCTATTTTTAAAAAAAAACAACATTTTTCTAGTTCAATAACTAAGTTTTCATGCGTTGATTTGATGCAAGAACTGTAACATAGTAGACCCTAGATTGTGATTATTTCTGACCATGAATTTCGATAATCATTTTTCAAAGTAAAATTTTCACAAGAAAATCAAACAGTCGTTTAAAAACGTAGACAATTAGTAATACTTTTACTAATTCTAAGCTCAGGTTTCGTAAATCTATTGACGAAACTATATTGAAATCGCGGCAATAATCATGCAAACCAACAGATAACAATTTCAAAGTGTCAAATCTCTTCGACTCGAGCTCAGCTCAGCTGAACTCCCACACACTCCAGCGTAACTCCAGGAAGCTCGAACACCGGCGCCGCAGGCGTCGGACGCCTGCGGTGCGCGGTGCCGGTGTTGGAGCTTCCCGGAGTTACGCTGCACTGTGTGTACTGTATGTGTGTTGACTGAAGGCAGCTTGCGACTGAACTGTCAGTCCAATGGTTTTCTTGTGAAAACTTTCCTTTAGAAAATGATAATCAAAATTCAGTATACATGGCCGTAGTAATCACAAAATAAGCTTTGATTTTATACCTCCATTCACGAAAACTATGTAAAAATCGCGGCAATCATGATGGAAATAGGTCTCTAAGTTTGGACGTCGACGGGAATTAGCCCCGTGTATCTCTCTGGCTTGTGCAGCTCGTACAAAGCACACCCTATAGCAAGAGGGCTTACTCGGGGGGTAATCCCGCCCTTTGCATAGAGCATTTCATACGCAACATAATGTGAGTTGCTCGTCATCTGTCGTGTCTCTCTTTGATACGGATGTTATGTTGAATATGCATGAGGTATCTCTGTCGTCACGCATATCCTGCATTATGCATATCGCGTCTGTTTTCGCCCTGGACGTCGACACGGAGGAGGACCTCGGGCGGAGTATAGCCAATTCCACAGAGTAGACTCTCCCGCGGACGATGGCACCGGTCACCGGGACCCCGAGTGGAGGGTTCAGGAGGAGATAGCTGCACCAACTTCGGTCGGCGATCTCATTAAAAAACAATAGAATACAAAGCCCGGCGGAGACGTCATGCCCCCCCGCGGAGCCTTCTCGTATTATTATTATAGAGATTATTATTAACATACCTTTTCAGTTTTTGCTCTTCCACCCAATGCTCGGATCTTCTTCATAAGTTCCTTCTTCTCATGCTCCTCCCTGAACCCGGATAATAAAAAGTCACAAAGGGCTCCAGAGGATGCAGAAATACTCCTCTGATCTCCTTCTCTCTGTCGACTCAGTCGAGTGAACTTTGACCTTGATGACTCTTTGGATTCCATGTTTTACAGTGTCCCCAGACACTCTTGCTCGACTTGATCTCTGCTTTAGCATGTACAGCAAAGCTGAAATCTGTAAAATACGAAGATAAAATATTCAATTATTTTTCGACTTGACAGAAAATGTGTCTATTTTGATCAGGGGACATGTTCAGCTGAGACTACATCTGGCTTCACCAAATACCTGTCTTGGAGGATAGCATCAAAAGACAAAAGACAAAGACAAAAATTCCAAGTTTGCAGATATTTCATACATGAGGTGGTAAACTGCCTTGAAAATAATAACAACAAAACATGTAACAAAACAACAACAACAAAATATTCTGCAGCAAAGTAAAATCAAAACGATGTATCCTTGCAAGACAACCTTGTGATGAAATTAAAAAACTGTAATACCTCAAATATCATAGACACTAGACAGACAAGTGACAAACAACAGCAAGTGCTACAACCCCATCAGAGCATAAACTGAAAACTACAGGAGCTCATTCTTCCCATCTACCATCATTGAATGGAACCATTTGGACAGAAACACCATAAACCGTCACATCAACCAGCATATTCAGGAATGCCATTGACAGAGCCTTCTGAGTACCCCCGCGCCTATGCATTTATGCCCAGTAGGACCCTGCATAGTACACATCCAGATCAAGATCCAGAAATAAAGAGTTTCAGAAACATAGACATTAGATGCGTTTCCGCATTTCACACACACACACACACACAAAGTTTGCATAATATGGTCTTGTGTAGTGGTCAATACCTGTAAACATTAATAAGATGTCAAAAATCTGATCCCCATCAATAAAGAGAGGAACACAAGATCCTACACAATACATACATGTAGACAACCTTGTGATGAAATCTTCTTTGGTATTGCTCGAAGTTTAATATGACAACATTGACAAAAAAAAGCGCAGACTTTTTTTATGGTATTATGCACTCATTAAAAAAACATACAAATTTATTGGCAAGGGTCGGGAAATCTTTATGATTTTGACAGGATCTTAAAGACCTCAAAAGAATCTTTGTGTAATAAAAATTCTAAATAAAAATAAAAAAGAACTGAAACCATCTACCAGGTAATTTTGTGTGGCAATGTAATGATATGGATATTCTCGTGTTTACGTTTTCCTCAAAGGTTCATTGACGTACATGTACAAGGCAAATTCCTGGTAGATTTCGCTAGAACTATGTTTACAAACATACATGGTGAATTCCTTATGCTATTTTTAACACCTGTTCCGAGACGTTGCGCTCTTAACTTTGGCTCTACTTTTTCGGCTTGGCCGATTGGATTAGGTGTCGCTGGGCGTGTCGCCACACTTGACTTAAATTTAATTAGGCAAATTTGGGAAATAGATTTGTATTACAATTGGAAGGGTTTTTCCTTGTTGCCGGGTCTGTTCACACTATCGAAATAGTATGAGAGAGGAAGTGAGGATTACAGGTGTGTAATAGCCAGAAGCATGTGGGCTCGCTAGTGTGGACGGACATAGCAACATTTATCCCTTTTTATATTCATTGAATTAATTTTCAGGGTTGTTGGGTCTCCGGGTGATTTGCATCTCTTGTTTGAAAGATTAGAATGTAAGAGACAAAGGTGGGTGCGTGAAAGAAGTATGTGAGGAATAGAGATGCGGATCATCCGGAGCACCTTATATCCGAGGGGGTAAATTCGCCAAGAAATATAGGACCTTTTAATACGGAAACTAATTATGGGTGGATTGATATTACGCAAAGCGTCTGTTTGACACGCCTCAATTCTTGGGAGGAGGAGGCGTGTCAGTTCGGGGGGATAAAAACCGAGTTGCGTCTCTGGAGCGGGACCTCTTTTCCGTTACGATTCCGACATGAGTTGCTAATTTGCTTCAATTGGGTTGCCCAGCCCCAAAACATGAACTTCGTGATTTTTATTAATTCTACGTTTATTTTAATAAATCTTCAACTCCAATCAAGAATTTGTTTTAGTGACTTTGATTTATCTTCGTTTTCTACACTTCAAGAACTAAAGTTATACTTTAACATTTTCTGAGTCGGTACTAGGCGGGGCGGCTTTGGCCACCGGGCCGTCTCGCCGTGGATCGCTTCAGCAATATTAAATAAATCGGTTAAATCATCTGTTTACTCATGTCCATGAAAATTTGACCTGTGATTTTATGGTCCCTTTTTCAGTTCATTGTTATGGTTATGCTTTTTGATCTGACATCAAATTGTGAGGTTGTGAATATACATGTATCTCTACAATACTTCAAATTGATGCATTTTCTACTTGCACCCAACTCAAAATTTAGTTTTTTACTTGGTCTTGACCTAGATAAAATTTCTAAAATATCTGAGATTGTGTAATGCTGTATCAATTCAAATATCAAATTCCGAAACAATTGGCCGCAAGTTTGAAAAACCTCATCATCCTTCGAGCTTCGAACAGTTTCTAGGACAAATTATTAGCTTCTAAAAAGTTCTAAAAAGTAGAATCACAACATCATGATCAATGATCATGACTTGGAAAAAATATTATTATCACAATGACATGCACATGTAGCCTATATTTTTAGTTTACTCGTTCAATTGCAGGGCCCTCGGGGAGAACAGTATGAATACGGATGAGGCTACCCTGGGTAAACAATTATTATTATTATTAATCAATATTTGATCCAATTAACATCATCTAATTATCATTCAATTATCTATCAAAATTGACATTATCATATTCATGTAACTTTTGTTTTTTAGTTTTAGTCAAGCTAAGTTTGACTTTGAGTTTGATTATAACCAGTTTATCATTATAGTCTAGATCATCATTATTCATATTTTTCACAAAGTAGGCCTAAAGAAAGTTAAACTCTTTCTAGTCATCATGCCATGTTTATGTTAGTTGATGATTATGACCAGATCTAGTTAATCAGTCAAAATGTAATTTATCGAGTCTAGTCAATTCGATCCGAATCCCCAATTCACACTCACAGTCACACATTCAAAGTAACAAAACAAGATCATGAAGATGTAGTCTAGTCTATTTTTTACCGCAGTTCACCTTATCGTAGGATGAAGCTTCTTTGACTTAGTGACTGTTGTTTGCCTCAGGCTCTGGTTCTGCCTCGACAATCGAGTAAAACTTCAAACCAAATGACTCTTGAGTCGAACTCGATGTCGGAAAATCAAAGAGAAGGCCGCATGAGAACTGACGACTCGATCGCTAATTCCAAAGCTAGCTGGCGCGGCGCGGGTGAGGGTACTACTACCCCAGGGCGCTGGGCAGGAAACGCTCAGAGGAACCGTGGCGGCGAAAATTTAACGTTAACCTTCAAAGTTGGCGCGGGGAATTCCGGTAACGTAATGCGAACGTAGATTTATATTTATACGCGCGTGAATGTACTTCCTTCCACTGGACCTATTCATTTTATTTAGAGGGACCTTTTAAAAATAATAAATGTAAAAATAATAAATGTCACTTTCCATTCGAGGTATTGAAGGTATTTTATGTTAATAAAAATATAAATCTAAATGAAAATCTACAATTTCATTTTCTGGAACTATTTATAAATGCTTAAATGTAGACTTTGGAAAATTTAAATTTGTGTGCTTTGTCGAAAATGCCCACCAGAATAATGGTCGAGCAAATGACCTTTGACCATGTCATCTTGACAACATACAGCTAGATCAGCTCTGACTGTCTGAGCTCTCTGCCTTGTTATTTCGAGGATCGAAAAGGTGAATAAAACTGTAAGATGTGTAAGATTTTTAACAGGAAATGTGTCAAGACGTTTAAAACATAATGATAATTGTTTATTGTAGGTCTGTACATCACCAAAGTATGTTAATGCTGATGAAAAACCGTGTGCGTGCGGGACGGCCGACGTGCGTCTCCCTGCCTCAGCCCGCCCGGGCCCGCGCCTCTCAACTACGTTGGGTTGGATCAGCCGTGCGCGTGCCTAGCTTGGTGCAGAGTCTTCTTTCTACATCTAAGGTGGTACTGGACAGGACCAATTGGTATATACGTCCAGATTTCCGTGGCATCGCAAACTGTCAACAAACATCACAACTGATGCAAAGTTCAAAAAACAAAATAATAAGGTGCTCATAAAATGAGTGGGTTCTTTCTTCTCATGCACACTTTTGAATCAGTGATCGATAGACTAAAAATAAAAAATTCAAAATAAAATAAGTATGAAGTCGAAGAGTGAAGTGAAGATGGTTTGACTTTGAGTGAAACTGAAAGTATCTTTTGTAGGCCTAGATCTACTATTGACTTTTGTAGCCTTAGGACTAGAAGTCTAGGTCTAGATCTAGACTCATTAATTTGCCTGCCCTTAGATTAGTTAGAATAATTTTACTTTGTTCCTCGTTCTTTCTGCACAGATGATTTAATGGTACATCAAGAATATCAACTCCTTGAGTTCATACCAACAGAATATTCAGCATGACCCAAAGAGGGGACCCCTCGCGTGCCGTGGCACTTGATCTCATGTTGCGCACGTTCATGAATACGTCGGAATTCAACGACATGCAGCCCAAGAACTGGGGCGCCATCGCCAAGTTGATCCCGGGCACGATGCCTCAGGAATGCGCCCAGCGCTTTGAAGAGTTGCAGTCTGCTGCTGGTGACCTGTCACATGTTGGTAGGTATTTTTTTTTTTTTTTAGCTGTGAAAAACTGTTTAAAGCCCCATTGCACTACTTGTAGCTACTTGCGCCCTCTATACAGCCAACAATGCCTAAGCGGTACCCATTGATCCCCCATGATGCCCTTTTTCTTATGTTAATTGAGAGCTGATGTGATGAGATAACCACCTGCCAGTGACCTTGCAGGGAGGTCTAATCCCTCCATACCAAACTAGTGCAGAGGGGCTTTAAAGGTGAATATTAAAGTATTGCTTCTAGTTTTGTTTAATTATTAGCTATTGCAGAGTGATTTTAAATATATTTTCTCATTCCATCAGTGCAGATGATAATCCTTATTTTCAGGCCGTCAAAACCTCCATTTCCCCCTCTCCTTTTTTGGATAGAAAACAAGAGGAAATAATTCTCCAGGGTTAAATTAGGCAGTTCAGTTTAGACCTTCGCGATGGGGACAACTTCTTATTCACGTACGCAGGTGCGCATTTCAGCTCCCTATACGAATCCACATACATCAGGGTGAGCGCGCTTTCGGCCACACTTTCGTGAGCTTTCGTGGTTCTGCCAAAAAAAAACACTCAGTTTATTTCGGATTTCGCTGCCTTCTGATTGGTTAAAACAATAAAATATGACGTCATTTCTCTTCGACAATTATCGATGCACATCGGAAGTGAGTTGTACGTTGAATAACCATCGTAGTAGATGGTTTTGCTCAAATCTGCCGACAATGTGATGAAATTCAGATGGAAGGAGTTTTTCAACTAACTTACAACTCCGTAATTAACAAAATTAAACACCTTACCTTCTTTCCTGAAAGTTTCATATAATGATGATGAGTAGATCTTATGGTAGATATGATAATATGATTGCAGTTTTTGAAAATTGCACGAACTGATTTTGACGATGCGACGCGTGATGCATGTACATTGTGTGTACGTGAATGAAACAGCTGTGTGAGTGACGTTGAAACCATTTCGTAGTCTTAGAATTCAGACCCGTTTGTGACTTGATTGACTTTTTTTTCAATTTTTGTTTATTGTATGTTGTATTTTATTGATAATTGTGATATTTATTTTAATATTTGGAATAAATATTGTAATAATCTAACATGAATTGGTTATATTTTGGGGTAAAGTAACAATATTTTTTCTAAAAAACTGTTCATTTACTGCAAGATTGCTGCAAGTATAGACTGCATAGACGATTTGTCACCTCATCCTTTTGTGTGTGTGTGTGTGTGTGTGCGTGCGTGCATGTGTGTGAGAGTGCATGTGTGTGAGAGAGAGAGAGAGAGACTAGGAGAGAAAGACCGAGAAAGACCGAGAAAGAAAGAAAGAAATAGAGAGAGAGAGAAAGAGAGAAAAAAAGAAACAGAGAGAGGGAGAAAGCGTGCGTGTGTGTGTGTGTGTGAGAGAGAGAGAGAGAGAGAGAGAGAAAGAAATAAATAAATAGACAAGATCATTTGGTAAAAGTTTAGATTCAAAGGGTTTTTATTTATCTTTTATAACAATATGATGACAAAAACATGGAAATTTGCATAAATTTGCATAAATTTGCATAATTTATTACGGTGCTGTTTAAAGATATTAAATTTCATATTTGCCAAACATCACTGAATATATTTGCCAAATTTCAGCGAGTTTGGTCATCGCATTGAAGAGATGTGACTATTACATGTATGAGGCTTAACAGATCACAAACTTCTGAAAACAATGGTGCCACTGCTTAAACACAGGTTTAATTGACTTCAATACAATTATAATAGGTTTGACCTTTTGATCTTTTGTCCTCATCAATATGGTTCTGAAAATTATTTTAAAAATCCGTTTCTCTGGAACCGTTGGTCCAAATTGAACAACTCAAAGTGCATTGTGTAAATAAAAATGTGATCTTTAAAATGATATAGAAATCACCCCCTATCTCCTGCAAAAAAAAATCACCTGAACTGCCTAGTTAAATATAGGCCTGTGGCCTTTGGGAGGAAAAAAATGGGGAAACTACTTCCTGCTTCTCCACCCCCACCACCCAAACTCCCCCTCCCACCTTCCACACCCTCCCAATCCTCCATATAATAATATATACAACTCAGGAGTGATTAAATTAAAAATAATCTTGAAGACACTTTCCACTTGTTGCCATTTGAATATGATCAAACCCTCATGTTTAGTAATTTTTATCTGTTTGGTCAACAAGTTAATGTTAAATGTTCAAAATGAATGTTTTTTGTCATTTTTTTGCAGTGTATCTCCCACTATGTAATCATTGACTGGTTATGGAAGCTCTTTGAATGAAAGCCTGGTGCGATACAGACTATAGAATCTCTATCATTCTTTATATTTCTTTCCTAATGTCTTCTTTTGTCCTTTGTTTGACCTTCAGGAAACCTTTCCACCATGGCAGCCCAAGGGAAGCCAGCGCCACGGGGCAAGACTGCAGAGGGCAGCAGAAGGAGAGCACACAACAGAAGCCAGGGTAGACCAAACAGCAGCCTCCAGCAAGACGGCAAGACCAGATGGAAGACAAAGCATCAGGAGAAAGAAGGTAAGAACTCGTAACCGTCCTTCTTCGATCTGGACCTATAAGGCTGTGGAGTACATGTAGCTTTCCAAAAAATATCAGGAGTGTTGAGTGGACATGTTAACCATCAATGTTCATTTCAGCTCTCAAGACTTATGTCTTCCCAGCTACGACATCATCTCTGCACATCTGCACATAATGGTAAATAAAATATACAATTTGATGCACTGACTACGAACACTGGATTTGTGATGCAATCCAAATGCCTCAAATATTAAAGCAGTCCATACATGTACATGTATATCTTTTATAAACCGAATTCACAAAAAATATCTACAAAGAATTCTTGCCTTCTCCTTTTCTTGAGTAAAGATTGGTCAAAACATCACAGAAGATCTGGGACACTGTAAACCAATGGAAAGTTGCCTGAATGTTACGATCATTCGGGAACTGCACACAATTAGCAGCCAAATCGCACACACTGTACATACATGGTATCCGCGCTTGCTCAAAGAAACTTTTCACACATTAAAACAATGGGGCTCCAGCAAATTTTTAACTATGCGAACCGTTACCTGGGGCAACGGGCATCTTTCTCATCAACTATTGACCATTAGGCAGGCTTGGCTAAAATCCAATTTCATAATGTATATCGCACCTTTGATAATAATCATCAGGAACAATGAAAGGTTACCAACTTGCTTTTGATCCGGTAGCAAAATCTCACATTTTATATTTATTTCTTGACCGATTTCAAAAAGCTTTTTATGTAAAGAAAAAAGAGCAAACTAGTGAACTAGTGTTTGTCGGGTGTGGGAATGGGTGGTTTGGGTCACTTTTTGGTTTAGTTTACCTGCCTCTTCACGCAGGGGTATGGGTGCCAATTAAGAATGTGTGATATCAATATCATATTTGACATTATCACGTAGCCCTTAAAGTACAATGTCCCATTTGCAGGCCATAAAACTGAAAAGGTTTAATTCCAACAGCATTTGAAAGAACTTCCCTCAAAACAAAATGGGCTTGAAAATGTCTTTAAATAGGAAAATAACAACCATTAGTTGTCGATTTGACTTAAGTGATTGCAATCATTTCAGTAATACCGGTAGTCTGATTTTCAGACCCTTGTACCGAATGGTCGTTTGTTTTATGCTGCGCAAATATTCAATTAGTTTAATTTTGGCCATTACATAAAGTAGGTGATTGATGCAGACAAATGCTCACGTACTCTTTAAAGCAAGTTATATGTATGTTACATACCAAAGGAGAAAAAAAAGACAGTCAGTCACTCAATAGTGTCTGACAGTGAAATTTAGCAAGTAAACAGGTTTCCTTGCATAATTTGAATATTAGGACACTGCTAATGTTAAAATTTGAATTTCACAGGTATACATGTAGAACATACATGTATGTATGTATGTATAATTCCTGCAAAGTTTTACAGAATTTGATGTTGGCTGCAAGTGCGACATTAGTGCCTTTAAGGCTATTTAAAGGTATGGTATACCGTATTTGCCGGCGATAAGGCCGCATAGGCCGCACCCCCAACTTTGACATTTCAAAGAGGAAAAAAAAAAAACAGACAAAAAAAAAAATTCATAATTTTCTCGAAAACATTATTTTTTTTGTTACAAATTGATATGAAATTCATCCATATTCTTATAATTTACCGGAAGTTTAGCTAAAAAAGTGATCGCAGGCAGATTTGGGTCTGATATACCCCTACCACAATGTACGGTGTAATGCGTTTATTTTTGTCTTCTTGTTAACAATGCAAGATAAAATTGTCAGTAAGTTGTTTGGAAATGTCCTGTACCATAGTGGTATTATTATTTTACCGTTTTTAGTCCCATACGTGCAAATTCGTGTTGGTTTTGACTTTCGTTTTTTTTGGTTTTTTTACTCTTTCGTCATAAAGGCCGCACCCCGACTTTTTGATATTTTCTCTTCCAAAAATATTGCGGCCTTTACGCCGGCAAATATTTCCATTAGAAGAAATTATACAAATATACATTGTCTTGAGAGGTTCTGGTTGAAACTATATATGGGCAAGAGGTGACTCCAATTGTACTATTTGCTATAAGGCGCTGCCCCAAAGCAAATGGTATGTTATATTAAGCACTATATAAAAATTAAATATTATTATTATTATCATACTGCATAAAAAATGTATTGGTTTTTGATTGGTTGAGAGCTCTTCACGTGACCAGAAATATTTCATCCAATTTAAGGTTGCTCTGAAAATGTACAATTTAAAAAAAAATTAGAACCATAAAATGTTGAAATATTTAATTTTAATAAGCCTGCAATCTCTTTAATATTAGATGGACATATCATTGAGAAGGTCAGTAAGTACATCTACATGTATTTACATGTAGGACAGAATATCACAGATGATGCCAGATGTGAAGCGAAAATAAAAAGAAGAATAGAAATAGCTTGGAATACATTTCTGGCAATGAAAGACTTATTCACAGATAGAAAGGTGAAGTTTGCGCTTAGGTTATTAGACTAGTAAACTATTATACATGGTCTGTCCTATTGTTTGGAGCAGAAACATGGACAATAAGCAAGGCCATGGAAAAGAGAATAACATCTTTTGGAATGTGGATTTACAGCAGAATGATGAAAATATGTCAGAAATGAATGAAAACCAACAAAGAGACATTGCACATGGCAGGGCGCAAACAAATTGTACTGGTAGGAGAAAAAAAGTCAAATACTTTGGTCATGTTAAAAGGCATCATTGGAGGGAAGAACTAGACCGACAGATTGACCCAGAATCAACTGGGAAGGGAATGTCAAGAACTGGAGTGGACTAAAATTGCAAGAGTGCAACAGAATGGCGGAAGATGGAAATGGAGAGATGTTGCAATCAACCTCCGAACCTGGAGGAGATACTTAGATAGATAAATAGTCTAATTTTTGTCTTAAAGCTTATCTGCCATAGTTTACAGGAGGGATTAGACCGCCCTGCAAGGTCACTGGACAGGTGGTTATCTCATCAACTCAGCTCTCAGTTAACATGGGGATCATGGGGGACCAATGGTCACCGATTAGGCATTGTTTGTTATATAGAGGGCGCAAGTAGCTACAAGTAGTGCAGTGGGCCTTTAAATTATTTTTCATAATTTTAAAAAATTCAAAATGTTAAAAATGTTTAACAAAATTAAATTTAAATGAAAAAAATGAAGAAAAAAATTCAAAATAATGTGAAACAATTAATATTTTTAATCAAAAATAAATTTTTAATGCTGGATAAATACACCCTGCCTTCATTTCATGGCACTGGTTAAAACTATGGGTCTCAGTGACTCCAAAAGTACCATTTTCTTCGGGGCTGTGCCCCTCAGCAAATAGTATAGGAGTTAGTGCTGTAAGTCAGACGCTATGTTCGTGTTCGGTTCGGTTCGGTAGAGTTCGGCAATTTTTCACCCGAACTTGGTTCAGTTCGGGGTTCGGTAATATAATGGCAAGCAGCGTTATAGCCACGGCGGTCGGCACTTGGCGGGCCGGCCAGCCTGCCGGGCCCGACCAGCACGGAGGACCTCTGCACACTGCTTCCGACCAGTACGAATTTCACATTAAAAACTGCTCTAAACGTAATTATTTGTGAAGAAAAATACTACTTACATTCGTATTTCCGTCTTGAATCGTGTTTTATTTTCAATTTTAAAAGAATCATGTTTTCAATTTGTCAATAAATGATATTTTTTAAAGATTTTCCGAGAGGGTTGTTGTCTAATGTTAGAGTCATGAAAGCTGCTATCTTGAATAGAAATTCAGGCTCGTCAATAACTGTTTTGTATAAGTTTTTATTTTTAATACGAAAAATATAAAATCCCTATCTTTCCTGAATAAATAAATACCATACTATAATATATATTTATTTTATTATTTATTTTGTAAAATTTGTCCGATATTGTTACAATTAAAATATTATTTTCTTGTTGAATGGGTTTGAGCTGAACATATTTTGATCACGCACATGTATTCATGATCGCGACGTAGCGCGGTCAGGATTTGGGATTTAAATGGCGCCAGTGAAGTCGCGCCCACCACTGGATAGGCATAAATCACAAAGGCGAGAAATGGGGAAAAAGTAAATATAAAATGAGCAATCATGACATGAAATTAGGTACAAAATGACAAGTTTATTAGCTTGCAAAAACTTTTATATTTTTCTGCCGAACATCCGAACCAGGCCTTTGCGTTCGGTTCGGTTCGGTTTGGTTCGGAAGTGCCATGTTCGGCGAACTTTCGTTCGGTTCGGCGGTTCGGCTACAGCACTAATAGGAGTCACCTCTTGCCCATAGTTTTAACCAGAACCTCATGAGACAGCGTATATTTGTATACGTTTGGAGTCACCGAGGCTTTACTTTTTCCATGGGGGCTCCCAAAAAAGAGCCCCTGTGAGCTTTTTCTCACAGGGGCTGTTTTAGTAATGATGGGGGCTCTTTTTTTATACAAATTTCCATTGAATTGGTGTCCATGATACTCCTAAATTCCTTGGTATTTTATCATTATCATTGATTTAAGTCGGCATTTTCCCTCTTACATAGTTACTAGTTAAATAGGGTTACTGACTTGTCATCCTGTGATGACATTCCCTCCATTTCTTCCTGTCCCGTACATTCCTCCTCATCATTTAGAGCAACCGTATTGCATTTTTTCTTTCGCAGGCGATTTTGTAGCTCATGGGGGTAAATTTCCCGGTGCCCTCATGTATTCTGAGCCTTGCTTATGACTTTGCAGTGTTTGTTTCATTAAAAATCGAACCATCGTCATCATCGTTTCAACAAGTTATCATATCTTAACGAGCTAGGGTGTCACTCAAGTGTGTTTATTCATCAGAAGTGACTTACAGATTTTTTTGTCGTCATCAAAGGGTGCGTTTAATCGACACTTTTTCACCCTAGAATCACGGTTTCTTAAGACGTTTAGTTTAAAACGCAATGCGTTCAAGCGATTTTTTCGTCGGTCGTAAAAATAAACGTGTTTGAAAACACAAACATGAAACGCTGAAAAAGATGCGTTTTGTATCATGATTCTGCAGAATCACGGTCGCTAAAATTCGATTGAACGGACGGAGTTCTCAATCATGATTGTATGACGGAGCCTGTTCCGGTTTGGGCAAAAACCGCGCGCCTGCTTTTCATGCAATTTGCGTTTACTATACCATGCTCTTTATCATGGCCTGTTCCGTTATGTTATACCTTGTTTTCCTCTTTTTCTCTTTCTGTCTTTCCTTATGTTATTCTTTGTTTCTTCCTTCTATTCTTATGTTATTCTTTGTTTTTTTCCTTCTATCACCTTCTCTTATGTTATTCTTTATTTTTATAATTCTATCATTTTCTCTTTCTGCATGTCTTTCCTTATGTTATTCTTTGTTTCTTCCTTCTATTCTTATGTTAATCTTTGTTCTTTTCCTTCTATCACAGTTTCTTATGTTATTCTTTGTTTTAATCATTCTATCACTTTCTCTTTCTGTCTTTCCTTATGTTATTCTTTGTTTCTTCCTTCTATCACCTTCTCTTATGTTATTCTTTGTTTTTTACCTTCACTCACAGTCTCTTATGTTATTCTTTGTTTTAATCATTCTATCACTTTCTCTTTCAGTCTTTCATTATGTTATTCTTTGTTTCTTCCTTCTATCACCTTCTCTTATGTTATTCTTTGTTTTTATAATTCTATCACTTTCTCTTTTGTTATTCTTTGTTTCTTCCTTCTATTCTTATGTTAATCTTTGTTTTTTTTCCCTCTATCAGCTTTTTTAATGTAATTCTTTGTTTTAAGCATTCTATCACTTTCTCTTCCTGTCTTTCCTTTTTTAATTCTTTGTTTCTTCCTTCTATTCTTGTGTTAATCTTTGTTCTTTTCCTTCTATCACAGTTTCTTATGTTATTCTTTGTTTTAATCATTCTATGATATCACTTTCTCTTTCTGTCTTTCCTTATGTTATTCTTTGTTCCTTCCTTCTATCACCTTCTCTTATGTTATCTTTGTTTTTATAATTCTATCACTTTCTCTTATGTTATTCTTTGTTTCAATCATTCTATCACTTTCTCTTTCTGTCTTTCCTTATGGTATTTTTTGTTTCTTCCTTCCATCACCTTCTCCTTCTTTGTTTTATTATTGCAATCTATGCTCAAAACAGCAGTCGACAGTCGGCCGTAAACAATTCCAAAAAGCGCGCGCCGAAGTTGACCTATACTTCCTGGGTCAAACTGCGAGTGTGATCCGCAGTGGCTGGGCTCGAAATGAGCTAGAATCAGCGTTGATGAAAAATCGCTTGAACGCTAACCGCAGTGACCTTGTTTTTTGTAACGGCGTTTTTATTTGTGATTCTAGCTTCGAAAATTCGATTGAACGCACCCAAAATAATGATGATGATAATGATTCAACTTGCTGTTTCTTCATTACAAACCATGCTATAAGTAAATCATCACCCCTGCTTTTTCAATTTTTTTTTTTATACATCCTTCTAAATTCTTATATAGATGAATGTTTTGAATAGACCACAACAAAAAAAAAAAAAAAAAAAATAACCATTAAATTTGATAATTTCTCTGATGGAAGACTGACTTCAGTCACTCTACATGTACTGTTACATGATTTGATTTGTAAAAGTTGTTGCGATATGACAGTTCAAGTTATACTTGCAAATATACATTCGCGATTTTACATCTTTTAAATCCAGATTTGATAGCAGCTAATCTTAGCGAGACCAAAGAGGTTAAGAACGATACTCAACCGAGAACACAAAAGGTAAGTTTTCAGGACTACAGGCTAATTCAACTCTAGGGCAAACTCTGCATTGCACTGTGATTAGGTTTAAAGAGTTGAAAGGCAATTAAGCAACACTCTAGACTCGTAAATTGCATATTTTGTAGAATTTCATCTTTAGAAATTTTCAACATCTCTTCTCTTGTAAACTAATTGACACATTCTTTTCAAATAATCTAATATATTTGTGTTTTTATCTTATGCACTAAGCTAATGCAAAAGTCATGCATTTGTGATCGATTTAATCCTAACTAACTTTGCCTTGATTTTTTGCTGAGTATCAGTGCCAGGTTAGCCTATATAGGGAGAGGGGAAAATAATTTGTTAGCGTTTTCATCGTTATTATGCTAGTATGCAAGAACATCAGATAAAATAATGTTCCCCGAAAAAAATTGCTCTCCAAATATGCCTTCATATTGTAAATATGACAAGTAATAGCTTACAAATGAGGCCCGATTTTTATGCCACATGTTTGTGTAGTCCCACATACAACTGCTTGTTACTTTACCAATTAGACTAGGCCAAATTTCTTATCATTTTGATGACTCCAGAACCTTGCAGTACACATCAATACTTATATGCTATATCATCAACCTTTTCTGATCGATTCCACACCATTTCTTTCACAATCGCATCAGAACTCAACTTATGATTAAATTCATATGTTCATTAAAAAATGACATGCAGAAAAGAGAAAACGACTCACCTCAAGTGCTCATTTAATTGATAAGATAATAAAGCTGCAACCAAAAATCATTGGTTTTTCTCACATTCCGGCAACCACATCGAAAAATCCCATTAAAAAAATCCACCTCTGGAGTGTGGTTTTTATGAAAAGCCTGCTGAAGTTCCACCAATTTTTGCATTAATTGTAAGATTCTTATTTCTAATCATGTGACTCACCTCGCTTCCGTTTTTTCCAGTTGCGTAAATTGTATTACAAAAAAAAAAGAAGAACTTTCAGTGTTTTGGATGTTTAAATGGGCCTGCACTCATCTCCCCGCTCAAACTATCCTTGTGAGTGCAGACACTGTATAGTATGCTATGCACATGTTTGTAGTAAACATGCCGTAGTATTGCCAGCTGTGAAAGGGCGTAGGATAAACAAAGGGGGCTTTCACAGATGAGGTGTCAAACTATTTGTGGACACAAGATTATAAGCTGTTCACATTGCTGTTTGTTTAATGATGTTGATTTGATTGCAATGAATACACCTGCCCTGTTACATTGCACAAAGTCTCTTATTCAAGGTTATCCTATGCACATAAACAAATTATGTTTGCATCAAACAATAGATTTGTGTCTCTCTAGTGCTATTTTCCCTATTGTTGTTATTCTGTCTACCGGTAAGTAGTGTGGGAGTAAGCTTACATTTTAGCTGTAGTGATTATGTGAAATGGTGAAATAAATATTGATCAAATTATAAAAGGCGTGAAAAGTTCATGACAAGGGGGCCAAGGGTAGTGAGAAATGATGATGAAATAATTTGCTATCACAGTAGAAAACATGACTGAAAATGATCATTAGTTGTGAATCATTTCATTTTGTAATTTTTTTTTCTTCTCCACACCTGCATACATATTCACTTTTCTTTATTTGATATTTAATAAAGGCAAAGTTCAAAATATGCAGACGATTTGATCAAGAAAGCCATGAATCTGCTGGCTATATACTGTTTGTTTTCTTTACGTAATAATGATCGTCTTCCCAATTAGGGGGCTGCAATCTACAAGCCCAGCTTTTCAGCAGTCCCCTCCATGACCAATCTGTTTTTATATGCCTGTTGTGTGTACAACCGGCATATAAAAACAGATTGGTGGACCAACTACAAACATATTGTTAAGTTTCATTGTTTTACTATGTTCAATGCAATCCCATGTACTTCATTTATTTTGTTGGAAATGGAAATAAAGGAAAAGAATTAGGCTATGGGCTAATGATCTATCTATCACTAAGTGATTGATTATTTATAACAAGTTTTTCATACTTTCAAATGTTAAATCTCTTTCCCATCATATACAGGAAACAGCAGTAAATCATAAAGGGCAACCAGAAGGGTGAGTGAATATTATTATTTATTTTTTTTAAATGAAATAGCAACCATTTATTATGGGAAAAATCAATACATGGTTGATAACTGTTTCACCTGATATGCTTGTAAGTAAGCAACCAGGGGACCAACAGCTTTAAATCCTTTCCGAGGGGCTTGGTAATTAGGATTAATGCCTTACCAAAGGGAATGAGTGCATTGACCTGAGACCTCTCAGTTAAGAGATCACTGCTCTACCACTGAGCCGTCGTGCCTCATAGATAAATCCTAGATTTCATATTTGCATATTGTTGCCACTCCTGGGGAGTGTTTCACAAATTAGACTAAGATCGACTTAAAGTTGTAAACTATATGGCAGGCCGTTCATGCCACTAGTTTTTATTGTAGTTATTAAACATTTGTTATTTTCTATTCTGTTTCAGCCCCAATATAGTGATTCATGTCTGTGATGAAGCAAAGAATGGTAAGTGTTTTTTGTGATGATGTCTTCTTAGAAAGTACCATTGGTCATAATTCCTTTTAATTGTTAAATTACCCTGTTAGGATACATCAACTTTTTCTTTCTTTCTTTCCTTCTTACTCTCTTTCTTTTAATTTTTGCATTAAATTACTATAAGTAGACCAGCCAAGATATTATTTTTTTAAAACTTTTTAGGGCATTTTGTGGTAATGCATGGCATCCGTGCTAAAGCTCTTGCAAAAAAAAGTTAAGGAATAAGATAGGGGTGGATGGCGGGGTATGCCTTGTGCCAATTTGAATTAAAAAGTTTGCTCAAAATTTGAAACAATAAAAAAAATTATGATGTTCTATTTTTGGGATCAAACGTGTATTATCTAATAAAGACCTTTCAAATAATTTTCTATGTGAGCAACAAACTTGTTTAATTTGAAAGTGGGATATTACACACATATAATTTATTATATGATATAAAACTAGACCAAAAACTGTATATCTAAAACTACTAATCTAAAACCCAATTTTAACCCTTACCATAGCCCTATATTTTAGATGAAATATTGCCCTGAGCAATTGTTGCAGCAAATGTCGGGATACCCAAATTTTCATAAGAACGAAAAGTTGAAAGGGGTCAAGGTACTCAAGTTTCATGTCACGTAATTAATGATTCACAATATCAAACATGTTTTTTATTATCAATGAAACATTGTAGCATCAAACTTTAAAAAATCCCTTTATATTTGTGCAAACTTTCATAGATATGAATATAGATCTGTAATATCTTCCAAATCCTTCCATCTCTTCAGTTAAGCGTGATTTCAGCTGCCCTCGCGATCTGCTGGTCCGAGAGATGAAATACTTTGCCGAGTACCTCTCCCTGGACGCCCAGCGCTGGGAGGAAGTGGACATCTCGGTCCACTGTGATGTCCAGATCTTTGAATGGCTCATGCGCTACGTCCATCGCCATTTCCCTGAGAGAGTAGCACAGGTCTCAAAACTAGGTATGAACAGTTTACAGTTTGTTGTATTCTATTTTTAAAAAGTGGGTGTTTTTTCTTAAAAAGTAAAGCTTCTCAAGGAATTATTACATACTGTATTTTCCGGCGTAAAGGCCGCACCGCCGTATAGGCCGCACCCCCAACTTTGACATTTCGTAGAGGAAAAAAAAAAAAAAAAGAGAGAGAAAAAAAAAAGAGAGAAAAAAAAAAACGGACCAAACAAAATGATCGTAATTTTCTTGTAGAACACTCTTTTTTTTTACAAACTATACCAAATTCATCAATATTCTTATAAATCAACAAGAAGTTAACCTAAAAAATGATCATAATTTAGCAGATCTTCATCGACTTTTAAGCTAGTTACTGTATTGTACGCAGATTTGGTATCCTACAATACCCCTTCCTCGATGTGCGGTGTAATCCGAAAGAGCATTTTTCGACCTGCGCAGTTACGTTGCGCGGCAGCTAGCTCCGTAAGACGGCCTGTCCCTTTGTTTACTTTTTGGCGATGCAATGGTACGGACTTAGATCTAGATCTATCGGCAGATTTTATTAGAAAAATAAGTTTTTTCGTCTTCATGTCAACTATGCAACATAAAATTGTGGGTAAGTTGTGTGGAGTTATTCTAGAATTGTCCTGTACCGTTGTCTAGTCATGCTACCGTTCCTATAGTCCCATACGTGCAAATGGACGTGATGTTTTGACCGCTGAATTTTGTTGTTGTTGCGTATACGCCGCACCCCGACTTTTTGATTTTTTCTCACCCAAAAATACTGCGGCCTTTACGCCGGAAAATACGGTATATATTCTAAATTCCTATTACTCCAGGGGAATGTTTCATGAAGCTGTGCCTAAAGTCATGCATGCCTTTACAAATGACTTGAATATGAAGAGCTAAATGGGATTCTCAAATCCTTTTAATTGCATAAGCTAAAGTTGAAATATGCAGATGTAGATTAACCCTATCATCATTAACAAAACATTTTAATGCAAGTGTATTTTCGGCTACAATTTAATTTAGATCATGGGAAATACAGTCAAACTTTGTTAAAATGTCAGGAAAAACTTTGGGCATCCCATTTGGCTCTTCATATTCAAATCATTTGTAAAGTCACCATTCGTAACTCTATGCACAGCTTTTTGAAACACCCCCTGACCTAGAATACATTCATTGCAGTGGCACAATTTCACATTCTACTGTTGGTCCTGGGCGTCCTTGGTTTGCATGTACTGCCAAACCTGTCTTATAGTGGCACCTCTCTTTAAAGGCCACCTGCCTATTAGCGGTCACCCCATACATTGCCTCCCTCTCTATAAGGAACTGTGTGTTGAAGAACCTGTCTAGAAAGACCACTTGTCTATAGTGACCACCCATATTTTGTGTCCCTCTAGAAGGAATTGTGTATTGAAGAAACTGTCTACAATGGCGACTTTTTGTGTTTCCTGTGGGTGGCCTTAATAGACAGGTGTAACTGTATTATAAAATTGATCAGTATGCTCAAAAGATGCTGATTAACTTGCTTCTACAGTTATGAATGAAGTTGTGTTGAATAAAACAGATCAAATATTGTATACCAGTATACAAAACGTAAAATGCAACAGTTTTTGCATGTAGGAATGAACATGAATATAGAAGAAAAAATAATTAGTAATGAATGAGGGCACCAATTCATTCTTTCTTTCTTTTTTTTCCCAATTTTTTTTTTTCTTTCAGAGGCCAGTAATGTGATATCTATCCTCATATCATCTGACTTTCTCAAAATGGATGCACTGGTAAGTCATGTCCAAGAAGCATACCCTGTTTTATGAAATCAGGGCCCTGTTTCATAAAACTTGATATCAATAACAAGTTACAATAACTGTTAAAAGCTACTGAAATCATGGCATTTGATTGGCTGAGAGCAACTTTGCCATAGAAATTTAGCATTTGTTATCGATAACAAATTCTATGAAACAGGGTCCTGATCCCCTTATTTATGTGTTTTTCTTTTATGTTTGTCTCTGCTTGTTGGTTCTTTTTTTTTTGTCTTCTTGTTTGATTTTCTCTTTTGTATCACTTTATTTTCTTGTGTAAACAGCTTCAATACTAGCATATATGTTTCAAATTTTTGTAAATTTTAATCAGAGTGATAGACAATTTAATCATTCCAGCTATATGCACAACAAACAACGTGCAACAAGCATTTTTATTTTTTTGCTTTTCTTATCAAATTATTGTCCATGTTTAGTTTATAGAATCCCACAACCAATAGTTTCTCTTCCTGTATATGTAAACACATTGTATGAAATATATTACTGTATTGCTGTTGGTAAAAATAAATCAAATCAATAAATCAATCAATAATTTCACAGATTTAATTTCATTTATTTGTGTCTTAGGAATGTATTGATTGCATATTAGATTATGCATTATTAACTGCAAATGTTAAGATCATTTTTTTAATTTCTTAAACAGGTGAAAGAGTGTATAGAATTCTGCCACAAGCACATGTCAGCCATCGTCTCTACTCCTTGCAATATGAACTGCATCAATGACAAACTGGTCACCAGGTATGTTCTACCAATTTCTACATTCAAATCCCCTTGTACACTGTACAATTTGTATAAAAGTGACCATTTGGTTCAGTTTAGTCCAAGAAGTGGCCAAAATGACCAATTCGGTTTGAGTAGGTTCAATAAGACAGAAATTTTGGGAATCCTTTCACTTGGGTTTAGGTTAGGTTTTGGAATAGGGCTAGGTATAGTTTTGGGTCCAGGGTTGAAGTTAAGAACTGAGTAAATGTAGACAATTGTCATCTACATGTAGGAATTATAATCTTGTAATCTGACATTTGTTCCAGTGACATATATGAAAACGATGAAAGGGCATGGGTAGGTAGGCAATTATACAGTTAGGTGTAAGGTGTAAAAATATTTCAAATGGTTAAAAACTTGATTTGAAATTTCAATAGAAGAAGATTTGAAATTGAATTGTGAAATCAGATGTGGTCGAATATGAATGATAATGATAATTAAAGGTAGGATCATGATCCTTTTCATCATCATCATCATCCCTTATATTTTCACTTTCCTAGAATTGCTAGCCAGTTCAAGGATGTTGAGGCTGATGAAGTCAAGGACAAGAAGGACAAATTTAAAAGGTATTTACATAATAACAATATAATTTTTGTGTATGTTTCATCTGTATATTTGTTTGGTTGTTCAATATGGTTTCAGTTTAAATCACTATTTTCCTGTGTAAAATTTTACTAAAGATGGAAAGTGAGAATTTTTTTTCTTCCGATTGATAATGATTTATTATTTTATTCTGTTTTTATTTGAAGAATGTAGAACAAACTGTGGTGTAATGTAAATATTATGGCATAAATGCAAGAATGTATGTCAAAATTTCAGTTTATATTTTGTGTTTATTGCTTGCACTAATATAAAAGTATGATTAAATCTATAACTGCAAATGTGTTTCGTTTGTTTATATTTTATTTCAGCAAACTCTTCATGAAGAAAATTGAGAACCTTTGTGATTCGTCCAAGCCCACAGCAACTATGTACAAGTAAGGCTAAGCTCATTCCATGTTTTGACATTCCTCCCCAACATGCTCTTGCCTATGAAATTCCATGTTAGCGTTCTTATATACTAGAAGTATTTGTGAGAATGGAAGTTGCTCACGCACTTTCATGAATCTTGAATACTTGGTAACTCATTCAAATTTATGCAGGGGGGCAATATCAACAAAAAACGATTTACTTGTGTGAAACATGATTTAAGCTAGGAGATTTCAAAATGTTATTGACTGAAATAATGGCAATATTGTTACAAAATCAAAGGGTACACCAAGATGCGATGATCTAGATGTACAATCAGGGTATGTGACAAGTAATCGACCTTGCTTCACTCAATCATTTAAAGGCTGTCTGTACTAGTTTGGCTAAAAGGAATTAGACCACCCAGGAAGGTCACTGACAGGTGGCTATCTCATCAACTCAGCTCTCAATTAACATAAGAAAAGGAGGATCATGGGGGCAATGGTCACTTATTAGGCATTGTTTTCTATATACAGGGAGCAAGTATAGCTACAAGTACCGTATTTGCCGGCATAAAGGCCGCAGTATTTTTGGAAGAGAAAATATCAAAAAGTCGGGGTGTGGCCTTTACGGCGAAACAGAAAAAAAAAGTCAAAACCAGCACGAATTTGTACATATGGGACTAGATCTACGAACGGTACAATAACTGTACATTTCCACACATCTTGCCGACAATTTTATCTTGCTTTGTTGACATGAAGACGGAAATAAACTTCCATAAACAACATCTGCCGATAGATTTTGATCTAAGTTCGTGCCAATGCATTTCAAAAGTAAGAGAAGGGCCCGTTTATCGGAGCTGCTGCTGCGAAGCAATCCAGCACGCGAAATCGCCATTTTCAATCCATTTCAATGACTACATCACAGAAAACTGCAGTGTATGGTATCAGTGCGTGATGGCCGAGCGGTTTAAGGCGGTGATTTTAGTCACATCAACATTTGTACGCAAGAGATCGAATCCCGACTTTGGCAAAAGATTTTTTTTTTTTTTTTTTTTTAAATGTCAAAATCGGGGGTGCGGCTATACGGCGCTGCGGCCTTATCGCTGGCAAATACGGTAGTACAGTGGGCCTTTAATATGTGGATCTTTCTGTATTTGTTCAATGTCTTAGGTGCTATCATTGCAAGCGAATACTTACCAAAGTATCAGAGAGCGAGCTCAAGTGTATTCCTAGCAGGTGAGTCAAATATTCTCTTCTGGTGACTTATATACCAACCATGTCAGCAGGCTGTGATGAAGTTGGAATGGGGTGGGGGAGGAGGGGGGGGGGGGGTTAACTGATACTTAGAGGACTTGTGTTTTTGTTTTGTTTTGTAAAGTGCTTTTATTCGATGTCCATCAGACAAATATTCAAGTAAGGCTGAATTTATAAAGAAAATAACCACAACAAAAAACAGTGAGCAATGACAGAAAATTGTGACTTCATTTTCATATTTTCCTATGAATGTGAATTCTGGCTCATGAATTCAATTATAAGCAATTCAGAATTAATGTAATTTATCTTTACAGATATTTATATCTCATACACTGTATTTGAATGTTTAGTTAAATAGCATGTAACTGTCTTACTGATTGTTTACTTTATTTTTGTAGGTTAAGCATTGATAGAACAGGCAAATTACTCTATCATCATGAGAGGTAAGTATGCTCATAACTTTTTCTTTTTCTTTTTTTTTTTTTTTTTTTCTCTCTTTTTTTAAAAAAATACATCTGCCATGTAATTTGGTGCAAAAGGCATTATATTTTTGTCCTGTCTGTCTGTCTTTTAAGCTTTGACTTTTTCAATAGCTCAAGAAGTTAACATAGCATTTATCAGCCGTGTAACTGAAACATATAAATAGCAATAGCATAATACAGTCAAACCTACGTTAGTGACCACCTGTCTACAAAGACCACATTTTTTGTTTCCCTTAAAAATGGTTTCTCTCTGAAACATGTACAATAAAAGGAACTTGTCTACAAAGACCACTTTTTGTGTTTCCCTTGGACTGTCGCTATAGACAGGTTTGACTGTAATATAACATAGAATAAGAGAAAATAGAAAGAAACCTATATCAGTACATGTAGTTAGTTATTCAGTTCATACCTGAAAGTTTTTTTTCCTCTGTAGATTACTTTCTTTTTGTATCTAGTCTAATCAATATGTGTATTTTTTTGTGTATTTCTCCAGACTTGCTTCATGGGACATCAATGAATACCTGATATCTCTTCACACTGAACTCAAGACATGGAGGGATGTGTACTGGAGACTATGGGGTCAACTCAACATCCTGAAGTGTTCAAGGTGTAAGCAGGTACGTACGACACCTCTTCCTTCCCCCCCCCCCAAAAAAAACAAAAAACAAAACAAAAACAAACAAACAAATAAACAAACAAACAAACAATGATAAATAAATGAATACAAAATAAAAATGAATGAATAAATTATTAAATAAATAAAACCAAAATTATATACCCGGTATATATATATTTTTTTCCTTCTCCATGACAATACATTGCAATTTGAGTAAGATATCACTTAGTTGTACAACTTATACTTCAATGAAACTTTCTTCTAGGTCAATATCCTGTACAAGCCAAAATCTAAACTTCAACCCTGCATGGAACCAACACTATACCTAATCCTAGACCTAATCCTAATATAAAACTCAATCGGAACACTAAAACCGAAACCTTCAACTGTGACAGAATAAAGACCATAAGAGCACATGTCAGAGCATTTGTATCTTATCAATTTTTTTTTAATTTTTTTTTTTTTTTGGGGGGGGGTGGAAAAACCTTGTATACCTTTTTTTATGAAACCAACATTAAGACCAACATGTTTCTTCACATAAACTTTTAGTATTACATTAGTTTGCAAATTGTAATTTTCTTTTTTATGAAGAAAAAGAGTAACACTTTTGTCAAGTTTGGTTCCAATGTTTTTCAGTTACTGCAATTTGTCTTGACCTGTTTCTGCAAAACATTTTCTTCCACCAACAGGTATTCCAATGTTCCGAGTTCAACCAGTGTCGTCTGCACCCTCAGAAAGCAGTCTTTGTGAATTCTGTTGATAAGACCTTCAAGGCGTCCGTAGTAGGATCCTATCCATGCTGTGAGCAGCCAGCTTATAGGTTTGATCCGCTAGAACAAGTCACGGTAGGTCTGCCTCTTTCTTTCTTTTTTTGTCTGTCATAATGAACTTGTTCGTTATAGGCCTAAAACCTCATGAGTATCTTGAGGATTCTTCTATGTTTTGGCCCAGGGGAAGAATGTAGTCATTGCTTTCTTTCCTTATCTTCTTTGAATCCCCTTCTCCTATTATCTCCCCTGATTGTTCAGATACCATCGTCAGATTTGGGCCCTGTTTCATAAAACTTGTTATCATTGACGAATGCTAAAATTTCTGCGACAAATTAGCTCTCAGCCAATCAAATGCCACGATTTCAGTCACTTATAACAGTTATTGTAACTTGTCATTGAAAACAAGTTTCATGAAACAGGGCCATGACCTGGCAAACATGAAGTCTGAGGAAGGTGTCGTACCCGTAGACATCAAAACTGTCAAAGGTGCATACCATCGTGGAAGTGTTGTAGACTGATAGATTAAATTCTTAATGGTTTGGTTTAAACCATCATAAATTTGTTAAAATGTAAAAAGTGGTTTACTAACGTAGATAATTTTGTGTTCAAGGGTTTTGTTTAACTTTGTCATAACTGTTTTTCTAATGTTTCAAGATTGTTTCTACCTCGTTTTCAATCTCACAATGTTCTGTGCAGTAGGTGACCATTCATACAATATTGCTTTGATTGATCTCTTGACCTTTAGGGTTGCCAAGTTAAGGATCATCTAGTGACCTTCTCTGGACTGGACAAGTCGGATTCCTCCAAACACAAGGGAGAAACCAGTATCTTGGACACTTTGCTAGACCGGAAGGATGTCGTCTGTGTGGGAGCTCCACAGGTTGCACCAGAAAAGTAGGTAGATTCGATAGTGCACTGATGGTAAAACCTGTCAAATGGTTCCAGTGTATTTTCTATGCTTTTGAATTAGTATTGTTTAATTAAAGAGAAAGTCCTCCTTGATGTATAGAGAAATAGATGAGTGAAAGTGTGAGGAATATCAGGCTTGCTGTTATTTTCTCTTTGGTAGTTGACAAAGTAAAAGATATCTTTAGTCGAGGGAGATATGTACGAAAGTTAGTCCACTATTATGAATCAGGCATAGATATGGCATGAGAAAATTATCTCTTTGGAGAAAAATTAGGATTTCTGATTTTGTCGTACAGGATGATTGGAATGCTGCTTACAAAGGAAATCACAGAGTTTTATTTAGAAAGAAAAAAAACTTTAATTATTGACATTTTGATCATTGACATTTTAATTGAGACCATCTTCAAAGTTAATGACCAAACTTGTTAGGATTGTTTGGTTTGGTCCATTTTCATTGCTTGTACATGAATTTTGCTTTTATTAAATTTTCTTTTCTGTTCTTATTGCTTTCATTTTTGTTAGGTGGTCTGAAGCTAATGTATTCAGCGCTGATGAAGTCCTGAGTGGAGTTATCGATGAAGGACTAGGGGTCAAAGGTCATCTTCATGACATCTTCCCAGATGACAACATGCCATTTGCCAAACATGTGAGGCTACTATAATTGTTAATCACAAATTACAGCATATCGATTGTAATTAATGATGAACGTTTTCTTGGTCCATTCAAAGCTATGTGAGAAAAGTATGCAAGCGTCTGTGAAATTAAGTGGAAGCCATACTTGCGATTTGATTCGATACATTTCTTATTTAGTGGGTGGGAGGGGGGGGGGGTCATTTAAAGCCTATCTGCACTAGTTTGGCCAGGAGTGATTAGATCTCCCTGCAAGGTCACTGACAGATGGTTATCTCATCAAATCAGCTCTCAATTAACATAAGAAAAAGAGGATCATGGGGGACCAACAGGCACCAATTAGGCATTGTTTGCTATATAGAGGGGGCAAGTAGCTATGAGTAGTGCAGTGGGGCTTTTGAATATAATCTTTCTCACATTATATCACTGACATAATTTATGCCTTCTCTTATAACATTTTCCAGCTCACTCAACATAACATAACAGAATTATATTTGTTAGTCAGGCCAAATAAGAATAGAATTTTGAAATGACTGAAAGAATTTGGCTGATGTTAGCTGCATAATATTTTAAGATACTTTTTAAAGATAAATTATTCTGAAGCTTTCTTTAAGGGTGTTTGAATAATCTGCTGTTACCTTTGGCTTTATGAACAAATTACTGGTTGTTTTCATTGTTACAATAGTTGGTTTTGTATTTTGTGTAATTGATGATTGTAAAGCAACAAATACCAAATGTCTGTTTGGACGTTATACTACTAGATTGAGGTCCAGCCGGAGCCTATGGCATCCTCAACTGATGATTGGGATAGCTCTGATGATGAAGTTGGGGATGATGAAGAACAGACCAGAGGTGAGATATAGCACAGAGGTTGTGCACCAGGCACTAAACAAAAATAAAGCGGCACGTTTGCCATTAGATTTCCCCGTAAGTCCTGTCTTCATCAGCGCGGGTTTGACAAATAACCCCCTATTTTCAGTATATTATCCTGAAGCTCGAAATTACGTCATCACCAGACCGATATGTTCATCACAAACTAGCTCGGATGGGCACAAATTACCCTGCTATCTGGGAAATAGCGGGATATTTTGGAAACTAGACTAATATTTCTCGGGATATTTTCTCGACCAAATAATCTGCGGGCTGATGAAGACGCAAATTGACTATATTTCATCAAACAAAACCAACCACCATGAGTATTTGTCATTTATGATATCATTTGTCATGGCATCGAGTAATGTTCATCACATGATGACAATATTAAAAATAGACCCCAAGAAAGCTCTAATTAAAAAAAATCCCATGATGACATGATTGCAGGGTCCTCACAGTATAAATACTGATGAGGTTACCTTTGGTAAACAACACACTATTATTATTATAGTCTTTCTATGAGAATGAATAGGGTGCCTGGTGTGTTTCAGTTAAAGGTAATGCAATGTTTTGGGAAATTTTAAAAATTGGGTGGATCATGATTCTTACAATTTTGATATATTTGGGTGCCCCTGTGGATGTATTATAAGCACTAGAAAACTTAGCCCCTAAAACACTTCTGCTTTTGAGAAAACTTGAATATAGAAATTTACCGGTGCTCCCGGTAAATGTTGATAAATTTCAAATAGCGCCTACGGCTGTACAATGGTAGCTGCGACCATGAAACTCTCAGAATATGTAGTTGTGATATATAATTTACAAACGGGAACAGCTCATCGGTCGATTTTAGTCAAAAACATTGTTTTATAGCTCAATTTTTTCAAGAGTTTATTATTTACAATTTCATAACTTTAGACTTAATTTCAACCGCGACAATGATCACTGAATATTGTAGGATCACATATGCTTTCAATATGTTCATTTGAACCAAATTCATGACCCCATACCAAAACTTTGTATTACCTTTAAAAATTAGTTTTTCGTCTCCATTTTGACTTTGTAGGAAAAGGCACATATAGAAAAGGGCCCATCAGCAGAAAGCAGTCGAGCAAGAGTGCAGTCGGGAGAGAGAAACAGGCAAGTCAAACTCACGATCCTCATTGATTGAGATATATTGATGGATTGATTTATTAACAAGTAGATTGATAGTTTGTTGATGATTTGTCATTGGTATATTGATTGGATTTATTCATTTGTTGATGCACTGATTGGTTTGGTGGATGAGCTGATGACTGGATTGTTTGAGCTGATTAATTTGATTGGTTGATTGATTGAACAGTTGATTGTCTGATTTGCTGATTGGTTGGTTAGTTGGTTTGTTAGTTCATTGGTTGATTAAATAATGATCTATTGATTGGATATATCCATGGTTGGTTGATTAATTTGATCAGTTGTATATTTGGAAGGTTTGTCTGTTGATTGATTTATTGATTACTTGATTGATAGATCTATCTATTATCTAATATGTAGAGGTGATCTAATGGATGTGTCACCGGACTGTGAATCTCAAAGTTTGCGTTTCTTTGCCGAGACATTAATCTTAATTTGCCACTCTCTACCCAGGTGTAGTAAATGGGTACCCGGTAGGAGTCTATTCTGTGAGTACGTTTAGCACCTTAGGGCAGCTGGGCTAAAGCCAGTGTGATGATGCTACTTTAAAGGCGCCTTGAGCATCCCCTGGGGTGGACAGTGCACAATAAACCTATAACATTATTATCATTATTTTATTTTATTTTTTATTTTTTTTTTTTGTATTATTATTTTTATCATTATTATATCAGTATATTGATTGAATCCGATGTGTGTAAATCACTTTCATCGGTTTGGTGTTTGCTTTATCCGTTTACTAATTGATTGAATGATTGACTGAGTGATTGATTGATAAAGCCTTCAATAACAACCCATATTATGTGACAGCAGAAAAAAGGAAAGAAAAGAAGAACAATGAAGGGAAAAAAAAGCAATTTAGCTCTAAAAAGACCTCCGGCTGAAAAATACACTTTCCCCCTCCAAAAAAATTAAAAATAGCTCTTATGAAAAGAAATTCATGTACAAATGAATTCCTATTATGGTTATTTAAGGATAACATATCTTTTCCCTCTATGCGAACTTTGAATATGATGAATATTTTGGTCTGAATAGGGGAGGGAGGGGTAGGGTTAAATCATAATTATTCTGATATCCAGGAAAATACAACTGTCTGGTATATTTCAGTACCGGTATGTCATAATAAAATGGTCTGGCATATGTCAAAAGTGATGTGAGGGCTGGGGATTGTCTTGTGGTTTAGCAAATGTTGGTGCTGAATAAAAAAAAATGGTCTATTAAAGAAGTCCGCGGGATTTCAGTTGTCAGTTCAAATCTTTTTTTGATTACTTTTTACTGTTTTTTTTTTCTCGTTATCTTTTTCTGTCCCCACTTGTATTTTGTTTTCTTTCTTTTTTTCCTTCAAAAATAGTATTAATTGTTGAAAATATATTAATTAGAGACAATATATTATAATGTTGTATGCGCTATACAAGAACGGCATATTATTAATATGATTATAAAACAGTTCATTTGTACCAAATCATACAACAAAATCCAGGCCTGTAGATGTTTTGTTATTCAGGATTTCCTTTTAAGTTCAGGATCAATCATTTTTAAAGTTAAAAATCTGCTGGGATATCACTGTGTTGCATAATAATGACAATAAGTGAAATTTGCTGAATGTTGCCATAATTTGGACTAATTTAACAGTAGATAATTTATCACAGAATCACCACAAAGAGAAATCTTTCTCACACTCCTATCTTTAGCCCCTCTCCATAAAAGTGACTTGCACTGTACAGAACTGTTTCAGAGTAATAGCTGTGATTAGGAACTGAAGGTCACACTTTTAAAATATTTTTTCTTTTTTCCCTCCTTAATCCTGTCATAAAGATGAATAGAGTGGAAATGTATACTGGATTTAGGGTGGGAGAAAGGTCAAAGGGGAAAGTACCCATTTATGACCCTGTTTACATTACCAATAGTCCAGTTGATAGATTTAAACCATTCTTTGACTAATCTGTTCTTTTTCATGACCCCATTCACATTAGGCAACATGTTGAATATGAAGATGATATGTATCTTTTGTAATTCCCTATTTCTAGACTCTGATCACTATCATTTATACGTACCATTTATCATTTTAAATTCACCGTAAAGCAGGAATGTGAGGGAAAAGCACTGAATCTGCAACTGTGTCTATGGAAATGGAACCTATAGTGACAATGGCATGACAGTGTTTTAGGTTGCGGTTTTAAACTTCAAATCTTGTAGTCACTAGTCAGGGATCATGAACCTTAGCTATAAACCATGACTGATCTTTTAGGTTAGCATGATGATTATGAGCTGGGGTGGAGGGGGGGGGGGGGGGGGGGGGGGGGGGGGGGGTGAGGGAGGCGGAGAGGGGGGGGGGGGGGGGGGGGGGTTCCTCACTCAAAGCCAAAATAATTAAACTTCTAGGATACGCCAGCTTGTAGTTCAGATGACCGCTTTCACGGTTTGTAGTTTATAATATTAAATATTCATTGTTTTTCTCCTTTGTGGTGAGTCCTCGTTGTTAGTTATTTTGTATAACTTCAATGTTTCACAGAGTTAAACTTAAACTATGATGGTCCCCATGTGAACATAGCTATTGATTCTCCAGGGACAATATCAAACCACACATATTGCTCTGTTCCTAACCAGCTTCACTGTCCAACCAGGTACCCTGTCTGTTTATACTGTAGGTCCCCCTGTCTGTTTATAGGTCCCTGGTCAAACTAATTATACATCATGAAGTTATGACAAAAATCAAGCATATAGACCTACCAGATGGCTATATAAATCAATCCATAAATAAGTGTTCAGTTGCAAGGCTATTCCACTCCCCAGCAATAAAGCGTTAGATAAGACAAATGTGCTGACAATTTATACTTCAGTCAATTAGGCTGTAAAAGGAGACCCCATTATTCAGTCACAATTCAAATGTAAGGATTTAGATGGAGAGAGAGAGAGAGAGATAGGAAGAGAGAGGGAGAGAGAGAGAGAGAGATAGGAAGAGAGATAGTAGTTAATACTTATCTTTTAATGTTAGATTTTACATTTGTATTAATTCAATGTAAAGTATTAATGGAAGATAACCAGGAAAATATGATAGGAAGAATAAATACTATGAGTAATAGAATTTATAGAAATAAAGCTTTGCATTTCTACTTTTTTTTTGGCATTTGTCAAGTGAAAGTAGAAAACAAAGGAAAGTGAAACGGGCAAATCATACAAAAGTATTAACATTACTTTAATCTCTCCAGTTCGTGTGGTTAATACATATACATGTAATAGGCATAGTCCATTTCATTTATTATTTATTCTTTTGTTCTTTTATTCTCATTTTAAAATGGTTGTAATTGGTGCTTTGACGGCTTTCTGTCCTTTAAAGGCACACTGTCCTACTCGTAGCTACTTGGTCCCTCTATATAGACAACTTCCCAAATCGGTGCCTGTTGGTCCCCCATGATCCTCTTTTTCTTATGTTAAATGAGAGCTGAGTTAATGGGATAGCCACCTGTCACAGTGACCTCGATGGCTCATTGGGTGGTCTAATCCCTTCTAGCTGAAGTAGTAAAGCCTCCCTTTAAAACAAAAAATAAATCAGATCAATTTCTAATTTTCATTGAAATTTCAACAACTTAATATTTCTGAAGGTGAATCATAGGAGGAAAAAAAAACAATTGTAGTCCTGTAGACAAAGCATAAGCCTACTTTTTTGCTGTGATACCATGGCATGGACCTAACACAAAATGATAGTGTTTTTAAAAAACAATTAAAAAGTTTTTTTTTTTTTTAATTAAAAAATGTCTTGAATGGTACATGTATATAGAACTAATTTATTGGTTTATGACTTTTTTCATTCACCTAAAATCTAATAAAATTGGAATAATAGTTGGGAGAATTAAGGAATCGATCAGATCAGTTTTCCCAGTTTTTGATTATTAATAATGGTCTGTTTTCACTCAAACCTTTCAGAATTTGTTTAATTAGACATCTAGCATTGAATTCACTACCTTAGCCCCATTTTCTCTCATCTGAACAATGTTACCTAGTCCCTTTAGAAAGAAAAGCTTCTCTAGGAATTATTACTTTCTAAATTCCTATGACTCCAGCAGAGGTCTCAGAAATAGGGTCTTGGTGGTAGACTACTTAACTGCCTTTCCCACCATTTAGGATTTAGTGTACTAAATTTATGTCCAGGTCTTATGTAAGACAGTTTTTATTGCAAGAAAATTTGGCAATTTAGTTCATCTAGGTATTTGGTATTTACTTGTACTACTAGAGAAAGTGATTGATTAACCTAATAGAATGGTGGAGAGGGAGAAATAGCCAAGAGAGTAGGTGGTCAATTTGGTCAGTGACCTGTGTCATTCTTTTTCTTTCTGGAAGGTGCCCCCCCCCCCCTCCCCTCACATCTCTAATTTTTGGATACTGACTTCTACATTCACAATCTTTTTAGGGTTTTTTTTTTTATTGGTTCTTTCTACCTACTTAGCATGAGTCGATGTTATAACTCAATTTCTTTATGCACTTATGGACATGCTTAGAACAATGATTTTCTTAACTCGAAAAGGGTACAAAAATAGAAAATAAAAATATATAAAAAAGACCCCCTCAAAAACAAAACAAAAACAAAAACAAAAAAACAAGTACAATTGTTATGGGAAGCAATGTGCTATGGATGTCAACAATGTTACATAAATCTGTTATAATAATAATCAAGTTGTGATAACATCTGTGGTTTTAGAACTATATGCATACCATACAAATAAAAAATTATTCCTTTGTGAAAATCAACAGCAACTTTTCCTGTAGTAGCTTTGCTAAATATAGATCATGTTTCTTAGGACTATCGGGAAGGTTTTCCCTTACATTTAAAAAAGAAATAATGATTTGTAATTAACTTATTCACTTGCAGGTAAAACTGTTCAGTAATGCATCTTTTAGTGAGGAAATGTTAATTTTCTAGATATTTAAATGAAAATTGTTAACCATGTCATTATTACATTTACCTTTATATTCCATTTCTTTTCATTTGTCATCCTCACCATGCAGGGATCTGCTAAGTCTCGCCATTCAGCAACTTCCAAGTAAGTACCATGCCATACTTTAATCCTCATTTTCTCTGTATTTGTCTTTTCATGAAGGAGCTTCAATGATTAATAATTCAATTCAATTCAATTTAATTCCATTTTATTTGTCCAAATTGAGTAAACAGACTTGTTACATGGGATTAGTTGCAAGCATTAAAAAACATGTATATAAACAAAAAAACAGTAATAATTGGAATACACAAGTGATGAATATACATAGAAGTTGACATAGACAGAGACATCAAAGTAAAATGTAAACCCCAAACCATGTTTTGTCTGACATTAATTAATGAGGGTTTTGTTATATCCGTGTGTTTCACAGAAGACATCGTAAGAAGTGGGATGCTACTCGATCCCTCAGGTATAATCAGGATACTCAAAGAGAAGAAGGTGAGTCAATGTCTGCATCCATACTAACTAAGTACTATATTTGTAGGAAAAATGGAAATTAAAATGAAACTCTGGAGTATATATATAGTCCTGTATTGTTCCCTATCTGTTAGTACTTGTACCAGATACTCTGTGCATGATTTCTTATGAATTTGAGCTATTTGTTGGAGATAAAACGAAAATAGACACTGATGTGCGATATTTTTAAGTTAATCACGGCGCAACAATGCCTCTAACATGCACACAAAATATTTCAAAAACCTTGTTAACTGTAGTTGCATCCTAAGAGGGGGTGGAAAAGCAGTGAAGTGACCAGAATCAGCATGTAATTTCAGATTGATTTATCTATCACTTATCTATATGTCTAGGCCCTTGCATAAGTTTTCATTCCCTGTGTGGATTTCCATAATCTTACGACATTGATTGTTTTCCATTTCCATTTCCAGACCAACTGAGGAGTAACTTCCTAGTACAGCACCTACTCAAGCTGAGGATCCCGCTGGTTGAAAAACAACAGGAGAAAACAAAGATAAAGGAGGTATGGACCAATCCTGGTGTTACCCTCATGTACCAGGGGCGTTTAATATTCATTCAGTTTTTGGATTAAGGCAGCAATTAAATTATTATTCAGTATGGGGAAGTAAAATGGTTTGTGTAAAATTCACAATTTGTTTTATTTTTTAATTAACTAATGTAACATCACTTGGGTTTTTCATGCTTTTTTCCAGCTTTAGCTATATTATATCAAGAGTCATGTGTTTTGCAAGTGTTTCCTTCAATAATTATGAGCTTACTGCCAGGCGTTTTGAAAATAATTGGCTCAAGTCTGCTTTAAAGCTTTGATCATAAGGGGGAAGCCATTGAAGGATATCATCATAAGTATTGTGATCAATCAATTAAAAATTTGATTAGAGAAGTGATGGTTGTCTCTTTTATGTTTCTTTGCTGCAATTACTAATTCAAGAAGTTATTACAAATATTAATTGGTTTTGAATTTCTATTACATTACATCATATTGTTATTTTGAATAATTTCACTTTATATTGCTTGCATAATGTAGCCGATACACTTTTATCTGTTATCTCCTTTGCTTTGTATTTGTCAGTATGCTGGAGGGATGTTTAGTAGAGTTGATGCTCAGTTCAGGGCCAGCCAGCAAGTCACCAAACAAGTCACCCTGCAACCTGTATCAAGGTAAAAACAAAATACTTAATTAGTCGGTGAGTTGATGTATTGCTTCTAGGTTGTTTATTGAATGGTCATTTAAGATTTTTAGCTCATGTTCAATGTTCATGTTTTTGTTGTTCAGAGAGAGAGAGAGAGAGGGTGGTAGGACTTTATGTGGAGACAATTTACCAACATTCCAGATGACAGTTTTAACAAAACTTTGTTCATGAAGGGTTTGTTTTCTTCAGCTCAGCTAAAATCATGGTTTTGCAAGGCATTTTGTTTTATAACACAATTAAATGCATTAGATTTCCTTCACCTTTTTCATGATTATTTGACCACAAAAAGTTAATGACTCCCAATGCATGATAAATGCTTTTTGTGTGTGTGTGTGTGTGTGTAATTTAAAACATTCAATTTTTTACAAGTATAAAGATATTATATGAATTGTATCTAGAAAACAAAATTATTTAGATGAATAATTCTGTCACTAAACATGTATTACTATTTGTGATTGATAATTTCCAGGACCAAGAGCCGCAGCATTTCCAGCAAACTGCCCTGAGCTGAGTGTGCTCATTGATGACATCATCAGCATACATCATTCTCATTCCGTCCTGATTAAATGCAATAACATACCTGTCAACCCTTACAAATAATCCAGAAAATTCGGTTTTTCTGGATTTATAGGACCTGAAAATCCGGAATATTCAATTATCATGTCCCGCGATTTGATAGTTCACGTATTGTGTGCGTTGAATGGCTGCATGATCGAGCAGCAAATCTGTATTCGTTTTTTGGTACAGTTACCGCATATTGCCAGTTTCACTGCCGCTGCAAGTGCGATTTCTTATTTTCGAAGGCACACAGTGCTAGAAATTCCTAAGTCTTATTTTCAAATGTTGGCAGGTATGCAATAATATATCAATGAAAGTAGAGCTAGAGGGTAGAGACACTAATATCCAGAGTCCTTAGTGCATAGAGTCATTTTAGCATAGTGTGATGCATAGTATTATTACTATTTATTTATCATTATTTATTGTTAACAAGAAAAGTAGGCTTTATAGACAGGTGATCTTTCTATAAACACTTTTCACTGTAATACCTTTAAATTGAAGGTAATTCATAGAGTTGGTTTAAGTTTAATGGTAGAAAATCAACTTCACTTTTTTGTTAATGTTTGTTCTAAAATGCTTGCTTTAAAAAAAAAAATCATATAATATCAATAGGCATATATTCTTTGGATAAATATTTCGCAGATGAATATCCTGGTATGGCTGGCCTACCACATTATTAATGTCAAACAAAGGAATTCGTTTACAACTTTTAATTTAGATTTATGGTTCTATTTAAGTTTAGAAATGGTAAATTATTAAACAAAAGTGGGTATTGTCAAATGAGACCATGCAGTGAGTTAAATTAAAAAGGGTAACAAAGATTTGTCCATCTGGATGGATAGGTCTGACCATGTCATTGTCCTTTCAATTGAAATGAGCTAATTAGTAATATTCTCAAATGAGGATGATAAAACAAAAATTAATTTAGATGAAAGCTATTCTCAATGTCAATCTAAAACTCAAAAGTGAGAGAGGAATGTATGGTAGCTACAAATATGAATATGTATTCATTACAGAAAATCTAGTGTTTGCCCTTTTTCATTTATTTATCTATCGGACATAGAGAGAATTGCCAGGTACATCTCTAGAATATGTATGAATTATCAAACTCTACTGCCTATCTGTTTATCCAAGTGTTCCTTCTCAATGTTTCGTCAAAGAACTGATAGATTGGCTCTTGTCTTTCTATGGTGGTGTAGATTTCTTGAAATATTTTAGAAGGAAAACTACTATATTGTCCTTTTTTGCATATTTATATTTCAAAATGTATAGTGAGATCTTGGTTTAAGCATTATTTATTGAGTAAAATCTTATGTAATAAATATATTTGCCATCTAATGCATAGATCTTGTGTTTTATGTTTTTGTTTTTGTTTTGCCATTCAGTTTTCACATTCAAGATAAGAAAGCAAGCACAAAAGTTGCTTTGATGGTTGTGAAACTATTAGGTATTTCCTTGGAACCGAATCTCCCAGTCCCACCCTCTAAAAAATATATTCCGTCAAAAGTTAGAGTTGTTGAAATCGGCTCTTTGTAGACACTTTGTTTTGGAGTCATGTGGTAGATGCTGTGAGACGAGACTGTAGATAAGGATTTTCCTAAATAAAGGGTGCATTTGTTTAGATTTTTGGATGGATGAAGGAAAGTTAAAGGGACTTGGTAACATTGTTCAGATGAGAGATAGTGGTTCTAAGGTATTGACTTCAATGCTAGATGTACAATTAAAGATAATCTGAAAATTTGAGTGAAAACGGACCATTATTCATGGTAAAAATTGGGAAAAACTGATCTGATTGATTCCTTAATTCTCCCAACTAGGTCTAGATCTAGATCTATAGAACAATTTAGTTACATTTTAGGTGAATGGAAATCTCACAAAGCAATAAAATGGCTTTACATTCCATTCCAGACATTTAAGTGTTGACAGATTTTTTTATAGCCCGTTTTATGTCTTTTTTTCATGGAAAAACGGTTGGGAAAATTCAAAAATGGTTGGGAGAATTTACTGTTTAACACTGTTAGAGGGTGCCTCACATCGACGCCTTCAAAGAAAACCATAGATATCTTCGTGGTTTGAGAATTTTTTCAGGATTTTTTGCGTGTCAGAGGGTTAGTTAGTACAGTAGAAGGAATATAGTAAGTAACATTTTATACAAAAATTAAGCAATTTTTTCATCAACCTTCAACAATGTTATCAAGTCACTTGAACTAAGAAGATATTTTGATGATGATGGTGATGGTAACGATAATATCGGTGATGATGATGATGGTGATGATAAAGTTGATGATAATGATAACGTACATGATGATGATAGTAATGGTGATGATAATGTCGATGATGGTATCTGTGTGTTGGTGTTGAAGATGATATTATGGTAAAATGATGATGATGATGAAGGTGATATCAGTGTGTTGATGATGATAGTGGAATAATGATGTGACGACGTCAATTAGATGATGGTGATGATCACGGTGGTAAAGATAATGTTGATGATGAGTTATATCGGTGCGTTGAAGATGAAATGATGGTGACGATGACGATAAGATGATAGTGAAAACATCGTGGTGGTGGTGATGATTATGATGAAACGATAATTATGGTGAAATGATGATGACGTTGATGGCGATGATTATATGATGACTGCTCGGAATGATATAGGAGGATGGTAAGAATTGTTGTCGAAGGCAAGCAGGTGGAGTAAATATTTTTTTTCTTTAATGGTTGACTAGAGACAGGACAAATATGTCTTCTTTTTTGTTGTTGAGACAATTTTTCTAAAAAGGAATATGCTCGGAGCTTGCGACTATTAACGAGTTTATACCTATTTGAAGTAATGCATATTCCCAAAAGTGATACAGAATATCAAAGTCACACGAATCGATTTTTTGTTGTTGAGATCATTAAAAACTTGGTAATTGTAGAGAAATAGGGATGGGGGGGCATCCTGTCTTTTCTTCATTTTTTTCTTCATTTTGTTTTGCTCCTTCAGTTCAGATAAAGGACTAAAAAAAAATATCATAGAACTGGAAGAGTCGATGAACGCAACAGTATAAGTACCGCTATTTCATATCTCAGGGCTTTGACCTCAAGATAACATGTATTTATTGTTTACAATCCAAAAACCTCGACTCAAAAGCGTCGCCATAATGATTACAAAACAACCATTTTTTTGTTCTTTCTCATTGACTCGCCGACTGTTTATGGGAATGTTTTCGAGCTGCACCCTATCAGAGAAAACACCGAAATTTAGAAGAGGCTAGAATGAAAGAACACTGAACGAAGAAAGTGAAAGATGGTTGCATTAGGATACTGAATTTTATAATTAAAAAAACGGAAAAATTATCATCCCTGTATTTGTTTAGACTCGGGTTAAATTATTTACTTATTAAAATGGTTACCGCCGGACATACTATCTTAATTATCAATAGGATATTTTCGTAAAGGTATGAAACTTTCATATAGAAATATACTTCTTTATGGTTGAATGCCTCCAGCAATAGGACATTTTCGTAATGTAATCTAATGTAATGCGCGAATCTTTGTTAATTAAGTGCCTCGATACTAATTATTTTATTCACCTGCTACGAATAATTGTAATTCAATAGTCAGAATGCGAATTGCATACAGTATTTGTTGGTAGGTAAGACATATTATGGCTTGCCCTACCTATTGCCTAACAACATGGGATGTATACAATTCGCTTTCTGACTACTGAATTACAATTATCTTTAACAGGTGAATGAATTGATTTGTATTGAGGCACTTGACAATTAAAGACATGTGCATTAGATTTGGTTACATTACGAAAATTGACTTGCATTCATCCGTTTCTTGGAGCTGATGGACAAGCCAAAATGTTTGTCTGCATGATCTCATAACAAGTCCTAGTAATAGTACTAGTACGTAATTTGCATTTTGGCTAATGCATAATAATTTGCCTACTTTTACATTTTATTTGTAACAGATGCACAAATTATTGGTCACTTAAGCAGTTAGCAATGGACTTATATATGTGCAGCAAATTAATAAATCATCAATTTCAGTAGGCTCCGCAGTACCGCGTTCAGTTTAATTTGTAAATGTTTCTTGAATTCGGTTGGTTCTTTGTTTCTTCTGACTTTCTTTTTTATGTGGGCCTTCGTTATTTAAAAAAATAAAACTTTTTAGTGGGATGGGGGGGGGGGGTCTTGTTTCATTTTAGAAAATGGAGCAATTAGAATTATTAATTTAATAATAATAGAACGCCCCAATTACAGTTTTGGGCTTTGACAGCAGAAGATATATGCGTAGGAGAATAGGGGATGGGGGGTTCTAGATTATGTAAGGTCGAAAAGTCGGACAAAAATATTGAGCGCCATGCAGGCTCATATTACTTGTTGTAGCAGCAGATACAACCCGAACTTTTATGACTTTGTGGTTTACCGCCAATCGGTATGTCTTTTTTTGAGAAAATGGGGGTGTTTGATGGTGTTATCTTGCGACTTGGCGACACCAATACAACGCAGTGTAGTCTCTAGAGTTCGGTAGAGTTCATTGGACGACTCTTGTTTCTCGTTACCTGCCTTCTACAACAAAGTAGGCAAATTCTCATCAATCTGTTAACTAAATTGCTTTGCAAAATGGAGATTATAGCCTCACTTTCTTGTTTCTATACTTGTTTATCATAGAGAGAGATTTAAAAAAATGTGTTGGTATAAAAAAATCGTGTAGCCAGAAACAGTTACACATGTCGACTCAAGATGGGGCAAGGACCAAGACTACGTTTTACGCGCGCAAAATGAGAAGACAGCGAGGGATCACACGTCTTTCTTTTCCTGCTCATCGTCTGTCATCGCTCTCTCTGTGGACATTCTCTTGTTTGCATTTCACCAGACCATTTAGCCGACGACTACACCTTTTTTTCTTTTTTTTCTTTTCTCTCAAAAATAAAAGAAAACAATTAAATGAAAAGAAAGAAATTAGAACGAAATCATGCTTACACTGCATATTGTGGGCGGAAGGGCACATTTTCGTGAGGAAGGGAACCCCTTTTGTCCAAATGTTAACTCTTTTTACCCCCCCCCCCCCTCTCTTCCCGTGGGCTGCACCCCTAGCCCCCTCCGTCTCGTTTGCCTAAGCTATAGTTGTGCTATAATAACAATTAATAATATTAAGGTGAAAATAACGATAATGAATACATTTAATGATCATAATGATAATAATAATATAAATATATGAGGTTTGTAAAGCGCCGAATCGACTTGACATGAAATGCTCAATCATTTCATACACCTGATAAGATTAGAATAGTAGTATTTCAACAATCAGAATGCAAACTGCGTAAATTAAGTGTTGCTAGGTAGGGCAATACATAATGTTTGCCCTTCCTCGCAACAATTAACTGATGTATAATGCAGTTCGGACTATGTCTATTGAAATACTATTATTCTTATCAGGTGAATGAAATAATTTGTATAGAGGCACTTCAAAAAGGCGTATGCATTAAATTTGGTTACGTTACGAAAATAACCTATTGTTACAATGCAAATTGCATATTTTACGTGTTAGGAATATTAAATTCGCATTCTGACTTTTGAGATACAATTATTCGTAACAGGTGAATGAAGTAGCTCGTATCGAGGATTTCAAAAAGACCTATACATACTTTCCGACCATCAAGTTTTACCGACGCATGCCCCATATAGCGACAATGTATGCATTAATTCACGCAGATGCTGTCAGACATAACTGGTCGATCTATAAATAGCTTTTAATCAATAAATTGGACAAAACGTTCATGAAAATAAAATAGACAACGCGTAGCAGGTGAATTTATTTGCACGCAAACATTTTGGCCATAAATTTGGATGGTTTTTAAGCACTGCGTTTACTTGATTGCAAGTGAATAACGGGGAGAAATATTTCACTTCGCACACATTGCCACCCATCTATTTATCGGTCCATCAGCCTTCAGAGCAACGCTTTTCATTTTCGCAATCTTGTTATGTTGTTGTAAAATTAGAGTCAATTAGAAGAGTTTCTCTACAATTTATTTGCCAACCTCAAATAAACATGAAGCCGAAGGGAAGATGAATGGTTTTTTGATAGGATCAAGGGTGTTTCGATTTTACTATCCAGGGAGGTATTCTACCAACTCTCAAATCTTTCACACTTTCCCCATCTCTCTCCCTCCCCCACCCCCCTCCCTCCCTCTCTCTCTCTCTGTCTCTCTGTCTCTTTCTCTCTTTCTCTCCCCGTGTCCTCTTTTCCATCTCTCTCTCTCTCTCTCTCTCTCTCTCCCTCTCTCTCTCTCGTCCCCTCTATCTCTCCTTTACTCTGTGTCACTTTCTCTATATTTACCACTTCTCTAATCCCGTCCTCTCTCTCTCTCTCTCTCTCTCTCCCTATCTCTGCACCAGTTTTCTTACTCTACTCCCCAAAATTCCTGCCCCCTGCACCTCTCCTCCCCATCTCTCTCTCTCTCTCTCTCTCTCTCTCTCTCTCTCTCTTCTTTCTCTCTCTCTCTCTCTCTCTCTCTCTCTCTCTCCCTCTCTCTCTCTCTCTCATCTTTCTAGGCACAGTCCAGTGACGAGGCGGGAGAATATCCAGACAATATTTTACCCAGCCATCCAAACCGTTGAATAGTGGTGTCATGGAACTCTAGAGAAATTGCTCTTCTTGATGATCATTTAACATAAACCTGTCATTTCTTATTGGACATTCAGTCTTTCTTAAAACCGAAATCTCAGGGTTTTTTGTCACAAATTCTACACCAAAATAATACAATTATTCAATAACTTTCACGGCCATAAAGCTGAATATTAATGTGAACAAAATTTGAACATTGAAGGAATGTTTCTCGCCAGAAGCACGCAGAGTTACTCAATACTAGATGCGCAATTGTATCTCTTTATAATACAGGCTCCTGCTCAGTCTGTGGATGGAATCCATTGTGCAGCATTAGTTGTTGCTATGTCTGGCAAGCTTCTGGTCAGCTATTGAGGTGTCAAGAGCAACTTTTGTTCGAGAAGTATGCATGAAATAAGTCAACAGGTCTACTGTGATTATATCAATAGTGTTTATTTAGATAAATAGACCATTTTCGTAATGTATACATCTTAGTGAAGTTACCTGGATACGAATTATTTCATCCACCTGTTACCGGTACGAATAATTGTATTTCCGCAGTCAGAATGTAAATTGTATACGTGTTGTTAGGTAGGACAACCCATAATTTACATGTGCATACATTTGCATTCTGAATATTGAAATACAAACATTCGTGACAGGTGAATGGAATAATTCGTATCAAGGTACTTCACCAAGACGTATTCATTCAATTTGGCTGTATAAGCCAGTTTACGGTTGCAGTCTGAGCATGAGCAGATAAAGGTCATTTGTACCAAAAAGGTAAAACCCACAGAGATGAATACTGGATATGCGCTCATGAAAGTTATGTAACATTATTCATTTATGCACCAACGGTACATTCTAAGATACGCAGGTGGAAGTATTCTGTTCAAGAGGGCAAACAAAAGCACATTTAGGACTTTGGCAGTTATTATTCTAAGATGCTCAAAGTAGAACTTCTCCATGTGTAAAAGATCTGTGGATATTTGGGGTCATTTGTACCATGTGCTATCTGTAAACTCCCTTATTACGAAAATGGCCTATTGTTGCTCATTGATATTACACATAGGCCTATCCGAAGTTTTCCTGGTATAGCAATATCCTAATATTTTGCAATTTTAATTGCATATACCATAATAATTATGATCAATAGAGATGTTATCATGTAGAACAGGTGACAACAAAATGACTACAAATGAGAATATTCTTGACCTATCAGTAAATAAAAAACATTATCACAGATTAAAGAGGTGAATTGTCGTTTGGTCTACAACCAGTTCGCCTATTACCCGATTATTCTATTCCAATATGGTCTACACCCAACCTGTCTACTCTCCGTATGAGTATGGTCTCATAATATTTTCGTCTACTTATCATTTGGTCTAATGACCATTTCGGCTGATAGTCATTTTGGTCAAATTTCCATTTGGTCTAATCTCCAATAAGTTTACTACTCATTTGGTCTAATTCCCGCTTGCCTAATGCCCATTTCGTCTACCAGCCATAAGGTCTTATAATCATTATTTATGATTATATATTAGACCATGTGGATAGCAGACTTGCTGGGTGTAGTTCAAATGGGAATAGACCAATTGGGTAGACCAAACGGCTATAAACCGATGAAAGAGAACAGGACTGAACCACCATGAGTACTCCACTCATTTTACTGATGCGCCTTATATTGAGAGAGCAGATGCGTGCCCGAGTTATCTCATTCTCTCACCCCTGACTATTTGCATCTGCTTTCGATCGCCACTCTAAAAAATGGATGTCCCCAATTACTACAATTTCTTTTATGAATGCATTGCATCGTGTCACAACTACGGAAATGTGTATTATTGTAATTAATCATTTGTTGAATACCAGTCTAAGCGCTGATATAATTCAGCAGTAATGACTCGTGACTCTCCCCCTCACTCTCTCTCTCTCTCTCTCTCTCTCTCTCTCTCTCTCTCTCTCTCTCTCTCTATTGATCTCTCATTTTCACCATCTCTCTCTCTCTCTCTCTCTCTCTTTCATCTCCTGCTCTCTTCATCTCTTTCCTTTCATCTCAGTTTACTTCCTAGGTGTTACTATGGACCTTCACCTTCGTAGTAGGTCCATTGTGTTACAATGAACACCTTGACATTATGTTCTGCCCCCCTCCCTTTGATTTAATATCCACTTGAGTTTGTTGCGGAAGGAGGGGGGCAGACAGACAGAAAATGTAAATCGGTGGGGTGGAGGCCTTACGTGTAATCATGGACCAACTACAAATGTAATCCACATACATGTACTTTAATAAGTGTTTGTATATTCCGCTCTAGATGTCCCTTTCCCCCCTTCTTTTTTGCTGGGGGTGGGGGGAGTGGCAACATTTATATAGTCGCATTTATCAGATTGGCTCGTTAATCTTTAATCTTCCCTATTTTTACCAGTTGGCCATCCACAGTAGCCGATCCACAAGAGCAAACTTTGTTGAAAGAAAAGATAGCATTTCTCTGGATTCGTTCAATTATCCTTTTTTCTCTCAAAACTATTTACATGAGTAAATAAGTTTGCTGAAGAAAAACAAAACCGCCAGCCATTCAATCATATACGTGTCACTGCAATGCAATGGTTCATGTACCAGACACGTTTCAAGTTGTATAATTATCAAACTATCAATTCCCTTGGGTCTTATCTATGCGCTGCCCATTTGTAAGAATAATCCGCTAAACCAATATTACACGTAGACCTTTGGTAGGCCCTTTTTGTATTATTTCAATACAGCATATATTTTCACCAAAAACCCAGCTCAGATTGAAAAGCTGCAGGGCTGTCAGAAATCAACGAATTTATCGAGAATTTACATCTCATAGTGAGTATTACAGATTCAAATGTTTATGTTGATTGCAATGACATTGTTATGGTTTTTCTTATGTTCGTCAAAAAATGTATATTCTTTTTCAATCTCCTGTGTATCCATGTGTGGAGAGGGGCACTTCATTTTTAACGTTACCCAGATGATTATCGGAAACCTATTAGAGGTGTTCGATATTATGTATGGTATTTGAATTACATGTACTTCAGTGCAAAACAGTTTGACCAATTAGTTTACTTCAAGTTCAAATTGGCTATTAAACTAAAGTAATCCATTCCGCAAGGTTTTCTTTACAAATGCAATTGTACTATTGATTTAAAGGGAAAAGAGTACGATAATATAGTTGTAGAGCTCATGTGACATTATAGGCAAGGATTTATTAACCCTCAAAGGAACTTTATCTAGATGTTTAGGATCATGAATGGCTTGATTGGCATCAACTGAAATAAAAACGAGCAAAAGGTATCAGAGGGGATTTGTGTACATAATTATATTTGGGGCTACGTTTTGATTTTAAAATAGGAACAAAAAACCTCAATGACATTGCGTCAAAGTCAAATGTTTTATATTTAGTGGCAATGTATATACTGCATTCATACAATTAGAAGCTGACAAATAAAACTTCATATCATTGACTGGTTGCCAAAAAGCACATCCCCATCATCCCTCTGATCAAAAGGAAAGTTTCAGCAGACTCTTCTTTCCATGAAAGTAGCAGATCGGTAAAACTCTGCACTTGTCGCGTATCTTCGGGTCGACCGTTCCCATGGAAACGGGACGCTACTATCTGATTCAGTCATGACCCCCTGTGACCCCGACATATCCAGGGGGTAAACACAAAACAAAAGTCAAGATCGAAATCATTCGGAAAGTCGCGTGGAAAAGGAATGGCCTTCATTTGGTCACATGACACCTTTCCATCTCTAATACAACCTCCGTATAAAGATTGCGTATAAAATGTCGACAGGTGCACGTACTTTCACCCGATTATGGCTCGTAATGTATTCAATTGCTTCATCACCATTACTGTTGATTGTGACAGTTTTACGCGGACACAATGGATGGATGAAATGACGTATTGATTGGTCGAGGGAGAAGAGTTAGGATAAAAATTATTACAGATTGCTTGAGTGGCTGCTATCCTAATAACATGCGTGAGGAGTTATTGTTGACATGTACGAAGATGACAAATTTGATGTTGTATTGGTACATGAAGTTTGAATTTAAACTACGTCATCGTCATGAGTCAAGTTCGAGTATATTATTTGCAGAAGAGGACTGGGATCTTCGTGATTTTAACCGTTTGTTGGATGTGGTAGAGAAGATGAAGTCTAGAAGATAATGATGACGATGATGATGATGACGGTTTGGAAGGATAATCCTGCGTAGTTGTTTTGACGTGGTGTACGAGGAGATGCTGATGTTTAATGTTTTCGACAAGAAGTTTTTGATTGATGGTAAGTCATGATATCGAAACTTGGCAAGAGTACTCTCTCACGTAATTCAGAGGAGTGGCAATCGACTCGTTTTAATACGAGATCACTTTGTTTGTAGTTGATTCCACTCCAAATCATGATGGCATGGCATCCACTCCAACGACTGATACCGGTAGCCAGGCGCGTACACGGGGGGGGGGGGGGGGTTAAACCCCCCCCCTTTGGTAATTTTGTGTGTGTAAACCCCCCTAAATTTGCCTAAACCCCCCCCCCCTTTTGGATTTTTTCGGAGCAAAATGTCAATTTTTAAAATTTCGATACCCCCCCCCCCCCCCCCCCCCCCCGCTTATTCAGCGGTCGGCTGAGTCGTTGCGATTTTTTTTTTGGGGGGGGGACCAAAAAAAAAAAAATGACTCTTCTATATTGAGAGTGTTTTCCGCTATTTTAACTTTTAAACTTGGATTTCATGCACTCCAAACGAAGTGATTTCTAGTATGACTCCCGTAAAATTTCTTTCCCTGTAGCTAGAACACGAGAATGATAAGGAGGAGGATAGCTTTTTAATGCTGTGAAGAAGAGACAGAATTGAAAGTGGATATGGCGGAGGGGAACACTTCAGCGAGACATCCAGAAATACAAAGGGAGGGGAAGAAAGAGAGAGAGGGGAAGAGAGAGGGGCAGAGAGAGAAGGGGGTAGAAAGAGATAGAAAGATGGAGATAGAGAGAGGGGGGAGGGAGAGAAAGGGGACAGAGAGAGAGAGAGAGAGTGGGAGAGTGGGAGACCACAGGGGGGGGGGGGGGGGTGAAGAATGACTTTTATTGAGATGCAAGTGTCAATTAGCGATTAGCCCTCCTTACAGCTATTGTTTGTCTAATCTCTAAAACCCTGTCCAATTTGCTTCTTTGTTTCTCGAATCACTTGTTGTCAAAAGAGCTCACGTCAATCACATTTAATGTCAAGTCCATGCAGAACAAGGGGTTACTTGAAACATGGATGTGTTCAACATATAAGATATTGCACATTGGCATATTACATTACTACTAATATGGGGATATACAAAACAGAGACGTATACTGCTACTTGGTTAGGCCCATATTTTACTTTCGATGTGATTGCCTGATATAGTTAATAAACAAACAACATGTCATGAATATTGATTTGCATTTTGCACACAAGTCATGTTATGTCGAGGTGCTCATACATGCATAACTCCGGGAAGCTCCAACACCGGCGCCGGTGTTGGAGCTTCCCGGAGTTAATACATGCACACCATAACATATATATTAGTAATCCTAAATATTGTATGGGTATAGGAACACAACAATAGTTGAATCTCTAATGCACTCCCCATGTATAGCAAATTGCGAACTGATTTCAAAATGATAACAAAATATATATTTGTTTGGAATCAATAGAATTACGAATCAGCCCTCGTGCCTCCCGTACGCTTGGGTGGGTCTGAAAGGGTAAGGAAAGGGGGTCATAACGTCCCCCTTTATGAGCCCAAGTTCAAAGTTTAGGGGAGATAAAAACATGTAAAGAATGGAATTAGACGGTTCATTCAGTAAAAACCCACAGGCACTGCAGGGGAGGTATATTGACATACAGTTGTGACGATGACTATATCGTGTTGTTTTATTATATACGCATGTCACTAGCCAAGAAAGTAACTCGTCCTAACACATTCTTTACATGATTTCGATTTTGCAGAGTTATTACAGACGATGTCATAATACTTGACTACATATCTTGGATTTAATAAACGAGTTCATCATCCTGTAACGAGAAATACGACAACGCTGTGACATTTTAATTCTTGGACTATATCCTGGACCCGTTTCTAGCGACCAAACGCTCAAGTCTCCCCGGCATGATACTTCATGTTATTGCAATCTGATGGGTAAAATATGAATTTGCCATATTTTATAGCACTTATTATATAGCAATGCGTCAATATTCGTGAGGTTGTCTTGGAAACTAATGCAAGGATAATTTTGGTGCATGTTATCAATTACGCATCACTACGTCAAGGATTGATGCAGATGTGTATGCCCCCCGTTGTGGTGGATCCGAATATCTGTTGATATTGATGCAAGTTAATTCCATTTTCCAAACGGTACTGCGCTGCTCGACGGTGTTCATTGACCACGACTTCGGGTTTCTTTCAGAGGAGGATGACCGCCGACTATGGTGACGACCCTCAACTCAAACTTCTCCTTCTCTCTCAACGACTGACCTCTCTCAAACGACAACGAGCATACAACTTGACGGACATCGTCGGCGAGACCGAATCCCCGAACAATATGGATGTTGATTTGGGAAATGAGTTTGGCGAGGAAGAGGAGAAAGACGACGACGATGATGAGGATGTTATTTGGAAACCATTCAGATCAAATGATACGGAAGAATGTTTTGAAGGAGAGAAAGATGGCGATCATTTCGATATGAACTCCCTGCATCGTCAAGGCAGTGGTGAGGTTTTTACCGGAGAATATGTCGACATCGACGAGGACTTCGTAGCACCACGGTCCATCGACTGCGATCTTCATTTACACGAAGTCGAGGGTGAAGACGACGATGATGATGATGATGTTATTGATTTCAAAGCTCTTGCCATCTCAAAGCACTCACGAATAGACAAGCCTGGAGTAGAATGTAGCAAAACTGGAGTCGGATTCAGTCGCATCGCAGACTATTACCGTTATCCTGAATTCCTGCATGATGTCACTGTCAGGAAGGTCAAAGACATCGATGTCGACAATGACAATGACAATGATTGCCCTACAGGAATTGTTGGTGAAAGTGGCGAAGAAGAGGCGGCCGGGGTAAAACGCGATGCTTCGTCAGACGAGAGGAAGCCACTTCCCACAAAGAAATTGGCATCGAACATGAAATCTGCGAGGAAGTTGAAGTCGGGTTTGAAGCAAAAGTTGAAGCAAACTCTTTCTGGACGATTGTTAGACATTTCGGACGACGTCACTCCATCTTCAGACACGGCGATGGCCAGAATGGATACCCTCTTCCATCAATGTGTATGTACGTTTCCATGGAAATGCAAGTATTCCACACTTGCTCCCCAAAACTCGCCTGCGAACGTTTATCACAACGAAGAGGTAAAGAAAGTTTCGCATGCTGGAAGTGGTACAGGAAATCAGTTACATGGGCGTGATGATCTCACCGGGTGGAGTCTACCGAGGAGTGAGAGGGGGGCTCAATACGGATATGGAGGAGGCGGGAGGAAGGTGTCATCGGCAAGAGACTCGAACAAAAGAAGGAAGTACGACCCCTTCATCCATCGGAATATCAGTGATAGTTCAAAGTACACATTCAAGGTGAGACTGAATACTTTGAAAAATATTATTATTTTATTTGTTGGTTGTTTCTTTATTTTGATATAAGCACGTTTGCAGTGTAGTGCAGCGGTTCTTAACATGTGTTTGTTGTTGGTCTCACGATCCCATCTGATACTCGTACACCCTCACTCATAGTATTCAATTGTTCATAGATTAGTATCCAATATATATAGGTATAACGCATTCATTCACCCCCCCCCCCCCCCACCTCACCTCGAAAACCTTTTTCCCTTATTTACCTTTCCAAATATTCAGAAACTTCAAAGGGCTAGCTTGGTGGTAATCTTATAGATCTTTAAATCAATATGTAAAGAAATGATATTGACAATTATTACAGGTTTACTGTTTCAATAAAAATAATTGTAAATAATAAGAAATAATGTCAGAAGTATAATAAATTATCTTGATCAAGTTAATTATTTCCTCTGAATATTTTTTATAGGCTGTTTAATACTTTTGTTAGTTTCTGAACCTACAGGCATGACTGATTCGTTCAATTAAATTTCAGTGTATTTCTTTAAAATTATTTATTTTTTACTATAACAGTTAAGTTAAGTTTTTATATGCAAATCGACCAGTTGGCTGCAAAGCCTGCAATTTAATTATTCAATAAGACATTATTACTACTACTACTAATATCACTACTACTAATACTAGAAGTACAATAATTCGGCTATTTACACAATGTTTGTTTGATATCGCTTCTGTAATTCAACAGCATTACCAGGACTGGCAGGCCTACGTTGACGAGTACCGTCGATACTACACCGTGGGTCAGACGGGAATGGCGATGAAGTCCCATCCGATTCCCGAGGGCGGTGGTCGTCGAGAAGCCGTCGTGATCGTAAGGACCTTGTCCGAAAGCCTGGTCCGCCCACGGCTCCAAGAATACAATATTCCTGACTGGTATGTGGTACTTTCTTGTTATAATATTGTTCTGTGTAGCTCTAGACATGTTGATAAAACTCACGTGCACGGCATTATAAAAGGTAGCCAGAAGACAATTGAGAACATTAATGGTTTTCAGGGTCCACTAGAACATTGCCTATAGAGCATTTAAGGCAATATCATGATATTGCTAAAAACTATCAAGTCAAAGATTTGCCTAGATATGCAAACAAACAGTGAAAAGGACAATTGAAGTACACCATTATTCTAACAATTGGCTGAAAATATGAAGCTTGAGTCCATCGTGACATCCTACCCCCCCCCCTCCCGTTTGAGCGAAGACCCTTTGTTTTATTTTATGGCCATTGGTCAGTCACCCATCTATAATTCCTTCCTTCACGTATCTAATCACAAAAGTTGTCACACATTGTAGTCTTTGGAGTATGAGAGATAAAGTAATATCGAAATGAAAATTCTAATTTCTTTAATTGTAACTGCATATATTCTCCACATTCCGTTTACCCCCCCCCCCCCCCCCCCCCCTCTCTCTCTCTCTCTCGTTCTTCTCCTATACAGGGATGATTTCACAGACCTGAGCGCCACAACAATGCGACCTCTTAACCTTGGTCCCAGCTATAGGTCAGGCAAGGTACCGGACCTCGGCGTCACGTGGTTGGCTGCAGCTACTGCCCATCATCACGAGGTCCCGGCGGGATATCGTCACCCGGCTAGCAGGCACATCAAATTGACTAACATCCGTCACGCAGAATCCACGGGCACGCAGCTCAAGAAACGTCATCAGCAGGCTCTACTGGAAAGCAGCTCGTCGACGACGCCGAGAGTAGGGACCATCCTGCCTCATGACGCCGGGGTGAAGATCCCGATGGAACCGATGCACATTGTCGAGGATTTCCGAACGGGTCCTCGGAAGGAAAGGGTCGGTGCCGATATGCAGCCGATCGGGTGCCGATTTCTGACGAGTTGGCGTCCGAACGAGAGCACCCGGGTCACGAGCGCGAAAGTCCGATCAAGAAAAAGTAGAATGGATGGGAAGACATCCGAGGGCGTACTGGCCAATGATAGTTCCTCACCTCGCGGTCAGATGTTACAGCCTTTGATGAACGGACAAGGACAAACTCGGGCGGGATTGCTGAAGTTGTTCACACCTCAGAAAGGCCTGGACGTGTTTCATCTGCCATCAGGAGCTGACGTCACAGGCCAAGTGACCGACACCAATGGTACGAAGTTCAAAAGTAAAGCATCAGTGGCCGCTAGAAGTGTGGACGCTTCAAAATGGACAAACCTGCCAACTTCTGCAGACAAGTCTTCTTCCAAATCGAGAGCAGATTTACTAGACAAGACAGCCTCGGAAAAAGGTTCGGCAACCAGATTGGGAACACTTGCTCGGAGACCTACCGCAAGGCTACACAACGAAACGCAAGCTCCTCAAAAAGAGCTGCTGCAAGTGAGGGGCGAAAGCAAGAAGAACAAACCGATGGAGGTCGAGTCAGGGGATGGCGAAATGCCGCCGTCATCATCAAGTCCGAAGGAGAAGGACGGTGGGCTATTCGCCAAGACGAGGATCAAACTCGTTGCGCCATACGCTCAGCCGCTGGCCCAAGACAATGTACTCATTGGAAGTCCATACGGGACAAGCCCTCTTTTTGCGAATGAAGAGCTATCCACTACTGTTTAATCGACGGGTTGACTGTGTTACATCTACAGGGGCAGCATTGCACTTAAATTCGGTTGTGAATTCGACCGGCCCACTCAACGTTTCAAGATGCATATCAGACCACCCCATGACCAGTCGGTCTCTGCACATCATAAAATAATACATGGTAGGGAGGCGAAATGGCCAGGGGCTCCTGTTAGTAAATTACAAACATGATAAAGATGTAGGCAATGGCGTCATCGGGGGGGGGGGGGGGGGGGAAGGGGGAGGGATATGAATCCCCTCCCCTTGAAAATTTTCTGTTGGTAAATTACAATTCAAGATTTTTAAAGTTTGTTAGGAAAGTCTCAACACCTGATGATTACAAAAAATACATATTTTTGCCTGTTGGAAATGTTGTAGCTACCTTGTCCACACGTCTGGCCACCCCCTCCCCCTTAACCTTTTCGAAATTGATTCCATCGGAAAAAAATGGTATGAAGTATTGATTTTTTTTAAAGGAATCGACCAGTTTTGAAAACGCCCCCTCTCAAAAAAATTAAATAGAAGCTCTTATTACCAATCATGTGAGAGAATATGTTTAGACTCATACGTGATGATACAATTTTTGCTGGGAAACCGCCTACTAAATGATATATTTGGTAAATTATTATATCGATCCGGCCTGGATAGATATCGCGAATGCACTTCAACATAGAACATTGAGGCATATATTTCTGCTTTTTTTGTTTGTTGCGAATTTAGGTTGAAGTACTGCCATAACCTCTGAAGGCAATATTTAAACAATATTGAATGGATATTTTGCACCCCAACCCCTTGAACCGTAATTTTACCACTACCGTTCTATACCTTTGAGGCTCCTATACCTTCGGCGCACCGGGCAACCATTGGGTAGAGAAAAATCCATTGCATTTGTTTTCGTATGAGATACATCATTTAGCAGGATATGCTTTGCAGTTTGCAATAATGTTGGAAAACAACTCTTCTTTGTTTAAATGAAAATTAATGCTAAAGAAACTAGAACATTTTAGATCGGGGGACTGACCAAAATTTACCATCAACTTTAACATTTTCAATATAAAGCAAGTCATGCAATGTTTGTCCTTATCTTTTCAAGTGAATGCTGACAAGCGGAAAGTCGGGTTCTCAGATGTTCATGTTTTCAAAGAGCTTTCATTTTCTTTTTTTTTATAATTCAACAAGCTCCTTCCAAATAATAATAATTTTGCCGACAAGGTGAAAAATTGTTAGTTTCAGATATCACAACCAAGTAAAAAAAAATGTCTTTGCATTTTGGATCTTGCCGAAGAGGGTTAGAAACGCATACCTGGTTATTGAACTTATACATGGCCAGGGGAGGGGTTCTAAACTACCCGCTCCTCATCGTCAGCCAAGAAATCGCGTTCGGTAAATAAGGCCAAATAAAATTAACATGTTTAGCAGCCTGCCTTTTTGAAAAATAGGAAGGAGGAGGCCCCCCTTTTTTTTCTTCTCAAAATGGCCGCTCGGTACATTTTCCCTGACAGTCGGGTTATTTTCAAGATGGCCGCCGGCATTTTTTTTTTTTTTTAAATCAGAAATCGATCCATTTTAGCAGTGTTTTTCATGTTTAAAAAAAAAGGAGGCGTCGCCCAAAGAAGCGGCCGGGGACGCTAAACATGTATATATATTTTTTACATGGCCTAACGGAGTATGGAACAGCAGTGTTTTTTTTTTCAAATTGGGGGGGGGGGGGGAGGGGCGGCTTTGTCGCTTAAATTTTAGGGTCAACCGACTCAAGACCAACCCTTAACCGATCGATTCATAGCCATTTGTTTGTAATGTGATTTATATATATATATACAGTGCGTCCCAGAAAAAACGAAACCGAGAAGTATCGATGTTTTATCATAACTTAATTACAACCATAATTAATGAATGATACATATTTGGAAAGCTTAGAGTCTCCTCTTTCAGTTGATGCTACTCACGTGATGCATATTTCACGCATAAGTGATTAAAAGCAATTTGAAGGAAGGAAACCAAAAAGTAATTTGGCGGGCGGTATCTGAATTTCAAGGAAAAATTCATATTTCCAGAAAGTTTATTTTCTGCTCTTTCATATGATACCTCAATCAAGAAAAATGAGCCAGGAATAACAAAGTTCTGTTTGTTTAAAGTAGCCCTAACATTTTCATAATTTTAACAAACTAATTCGTTTTCACTGGGTGCCTGCCGTAGCAAAAAGCAGATTTGACAAAAGACTTAACTCCGTTTCGTTGACAATCAGACATGCATGAAGACTCTCGTCTACGGCTGATTGTCAACGAAACGGAGTTAAGTCTTTTGTTAATTTCGTTTATTGATACGGCAGGCAGCCAGTGAAAACGAATTCGTTTAATAAAATTATGGAAATGCAAGCACTACTTCAAACAAACAGAACTTTGTCATTCCTCGCTCATTTTTCCTGATTGAGGTGTCATATGAAAGGGCAGAAACTCAACTTACTAGAAATGTGAATTTTTCTTCGAAATTCAGATACCGCCCGCCAAATGTCTTTTTGGTTTCCTTCCTTCAAATTGCTTTTAATCACTCATGCGTGAAATATGCATTATCTGAGTAGCATCACATGGAAGAGGAGACTCTTAGCTTTCCAAATATGTATCATTTATTAATTATAGTTGTGATTAAGTTATGATAGAACATCGATACTTCTCGGTTTCGTTTTTTCTGGGACGCACTGTATATATATATATTTTTTTTGGGGGGGGGGGGAGGGGCTGTGAGTCGGTCCGGTGTCGGTCTCTCTTTAGTATGACTTAATTTCTGAGAGAAAACGCCCCTCTGTTTATAGATATCTGGACTAGCCACAAGCCTACATACGTGAGAATTTATACTTATTAGGCCTACATTTCTTATCACGCTTACAAATATGTAGTTTATGTGTACAATATTTTTCAGATATTGATTTATGTTTCACTTGACGAACAGTATTATTGATATTATTTTCAAATTTTCCCCTCCACCATCAGCACATTTATAATTTCTTCTGTCTCTACTTGGCACTTGCCTTTGGTTCTTCATTGTGCTCTCTGTGTATTCATTCTCGGTCTCTTGCCCCCCCCCCCCCCTCTCTTTCTCTCTCTCTCTCTCTCTCTCTCTGCCTCCCTCCCTCCCCCTCCCTCTCTCTCTTCCTCTTTCCTCGCTCGCCCTCTCTCTCTCTCTCTCTCCCTCCCTCCGTCCCCACTCTCTCTCCCCACCTCCCTCCCCAATCTTTACAAGTAATTCAGTTCTTGAGTGAGCTGGGGTCGGTTTTAGCCTAGGACACTTGCTCCTGCGATAATTTCTCCGCGTCAGTTTCCTTTCCTAACTGGAATCTCAACTTCAAACTAAAGACGCAACTCTGCCTAATCCTAACCTAAAACACAATATTACCCTAACCATATACACGGAGCAATTTTGAAGGAGCAAATGTCGGGTCACTGGTACCCCCCCCCCCCCCCATGTCTTCCTATATGCCATCCTTTTAAAGAATTTCCATGAATCAAATACTCATTTCTTTTATAAGAGGCGAAGAGATTATTATGATTCCTACAGCACGTTGTAACTTCTGTATTTTGTATCTGTTTGTAACGTTTAAATGATATTTTGATACTTCCAAATATGTATTGTTTCATTTGGTTTTCTTTCGATATTATGATTCCATCAAAAAAAGAGTGATTACAATGCTACGTAGATATAGCAACATTATGATTACACGGAATGATGGTCGTCTTCTGATGCCTGATGGCACTACATTTAGTTGACGGTTTTCACCTCAACAATTAATTCCAGGAATAATTTTAAGGGGTAGTTCTTTTTACTAATAGGGTCGATCAGATATTTTATAGTTGTCGACAAATTGTCATTTCTTTGGCCAAGGTACCACAGTAAGAAGGTATGTTATAACTTGATACACAATAGTGAAGTGCTCTAGCGCCATCTTCCGTCAAGCTTAGTCAAATACATTCAAAAGGCTTTAAAAGAGACAGCATTTGTTTTGGGATATTAAAATTGGACAGAGACAAAGAAAGAAAAGAGAAACAAGAGGATAACGAGAATGAAGAGAAGAGAGAAAAGAGAAGGAAAAGAGTGAGAAAAGCAAGAGAGAAAAAAAGAGAGAGGGAAGAGAGAAAAGATATGTATAAAAAAAAGAGAAAAAAATGAAAATGATGTGAAAAGCAAGAGATAAAGGAAAGGGAGAAGGGAGCACGAGACAGAAAAATGAGAGAGAAAAGAGAGACGGAGAGAAAAAGAGAATTGGAAGACATTCAGAGGTTCACGGCAAAAGGATAAGAGGAGAGAGAAAATGGCGAAATAAAGTGGAAGGTTAGGAGCGAGCGGAATTAAGTGAAATGTAGCCTAGGCTAAGGTGAAAAAAGGGAAGAAAACCAGGAAATTATTTCAGATACAGTTTGGTTTATTCGTGTATCAAGAAAAAAGAAGCTAGATGAAAGAAAATTGGAAGAGAAGAATAGAAAGAGTACAACTTTATCACAGTCATAAAGAACAAGAGAGTGAAAGGGGTTTTGTTTTCATAGTGGAGACTGGGCAGAGGGAGAGTTAATATTAGGACTTATCAATTCAACTCATTTTTAATTCACACAGCTATCATCAAATCATCTCAAGACTCGATTAATTTCGCACATCTCTTATTCTCTTAAAAAAGTTCAAATAAAGAAAGTCTCAACTATCACACACCATCGTTCACATTACCTTCTCCCAACAATCGACCATTTAAATTAGTTTCCAATTCCAAACATTCATTCAAAGTTTTCAACACCACTCACTACATCACCACGAAAAAAAACATATATCTTTCTGTATCAAATTCTATAAAAGAAAGAGAAATGGAAACAATTTTAAAAGAATGTAGTACCTTCGTACATTTAATTAATACACCCAGCAATCAGTACTTTCTGATTTCATTTAACATAAATGACATTAAGAATTGAATAAATGTGGTTATACTCTGTAAACACTAAAAGCAATTATCTCATGTAAACAAAATTACTTTACAGGTAACGAATGTGCTTTACTTATACAATATTATGTATATTCATGTATTCCGAGTTAAGAAAGCAATGTGCCTGCTAGTTGTAAAGGCAGTAATCAATTTTCTTAACGTCAGACTTCTATCTGATAAAACTAATGATGCTGTGCCAAGATACCTCTATTACAACCTTCATCAAAATGAGAAATGTTTGTACATCTTAAAATCACAATTTTCACTTAGGTCCGTTTAATCACAATCATTACATAATTAGCATGATATATTGACAAATTGGTCTTAAAATATACATAATACAAAAAGTTCAAATAAATGAATAATTGAAATTGCATTTTAAATATATAATAACCTACTTTAAAAAATACTTCTCGCAATGAATTTCCACAAGAAAACTCCCATCGCGAAGCAGTGAATAACCTGCATTAATGTAAAAAATTGGAGACTTGAAATTCTACTTCGAGATCCTCATGTATATAGCAAAAACATCAGAATACATTGACAGTTAATACGAAGTAATGACATGTCGATTTATAAACAATAACATTTACGATTAAAATCAAACTCGAGCCTCTCGAGGTATGAAATTTGAATACATACGCAAATCACCTGTACAAAAAAAACATACACAACTGCAGCTGCACAAGCAGAAAACTTATAATAAACCACCTGCTGTGAACACAATCCACATGAATTTAGTTAGTTACACTTTAGAATTCAGTCAGTTCGAACTGTTCAGTAAAATCCACTGGCAAGAAAAAGAAATTAAAAAATGAGTTGTCCAAGTCTCATCAACCTCGAGACGAGTAGACCCTACATCAAATTAACTGCACATGTCCAAATAAAAAGTCGTTTATGTCCAAAGTCGTTTATGTCCAAAGTCGGTTGTCGTTGGCTAGCAAAGATGGAAGAACGGAGCTGAGCTGAGGAAGTGTCGTGCTGCAAAGGCTGCTCAGATCAGGCGATGTTTCCCGGTACCATGTTTCCCCCGATGTATGAAGACGAACTTCCGCCTGAGCTCAGGCTGAAACTTGAAGTACGACGACGTCCGGTCGATGTCCGTGGCGTTCGATACTGGGATCCGATGGTCCCTGGGCCGGAGCTCGATCCTACTACTTCGTCTTTGTACTTGTTGACAGGGCAGTATTTTATTGTGTGTGCTCGGTCGCCGTTGGTCCCGCATAATGGACAGGTGTACGCCCTTAGTATCGGGCAGGTTGTGATGCCTTCCTCCGATTTCAATTTGTGGCTAGCATACACCATCTCGCTCTCTCCGTTGTTCTTGCAAAAAACGCACCAGCTCGGCGGACGGCCTCCGACACCCGTAGCACCACCTCTGCCGTTGTTGGCTCGCCTTCCTCCCCTCATCACCTTGGAGAGCTCGGTGATCTCAGCGATGTTCAGCGGCAACTGTAACGGCATGAACCCGGTCGAAGCAGTAGTCGATGACTGGCTCGTCGAGACGGGCAGACCAGAGACCATATTGTTGTTCATGTCACTGATAGACGAACTCGATCGGGACATCACGGGGACGTTGACGCCGTTGGAATTGAAATCATCGTTGTGGTGAAACGGTGTCGAGATAAAGTCATCATTTATTCTGCAATTGGACAACAATCCACTAAGTCCGAAATAATCGTTGAAAGGGTCGTACATGGTGACTAAAGTGCGTGGAAACTCGAGCAGTAAATATTGCAAAATGGGAAGTACGTCGAGGAGCTAGTCAAGAATGATCTAAATTGAATGTTAGAAAGTATCGCGACATATTATGTGGGCTTTTAATGTGGCACGTGCCAATAGTAGCACGGAAAGGAGATGTCGTGTTTTGATTGGCTATTGAGTTCGAGACCTTTTCGCTAGCTTTGTCCAATCGTATGTAAGGATTTCAGGCTTTCATTGATTCCTTCTACTCACCTACTATTCTATTCATGAGGAGGCGTGTCCTATTGTCTGGTGTGTGTTTACAATTTTCAAACCACGTGCGGTATAAAACAATGTACACACAAGCTCGAAATTCGCATCGAATGAAAAGACTAAACAGAAACAAAAACTGAACCAAAAAACAACTAAAAAAAACAGAGCAGTGGCAATTAACATGAATGGGGTATAAAAAAACAATGTTTTGAACACGAACGCAGGTAAAGTCCGGGTCAAATCTAGTACGTTTATCATCATCGTGGATGATTATTATAATGCAAAACAAACAACAACATAATAATGAACTCAAAGCTATTTCAGAATTTCAACCGTCCATTTTTTTTCTTTCAGGTAAAAATAGTATATGAGACTACATCGTGATATGAATGTAAAGGCCTTATCCAAAGCCTTTTCTGCGATGTTAAAGTATAGGGACTCAAAATATATTATCACACATGAACTGTCGTTGGCTACGGGCATAATAATTATACCATGGATGGGGGATGGGGGCGGGGGTATGTGCTTCAAACAATTGGACAAAAAAAAGCAACAAAACAAACAAAGAAAAAAATCTGTTTGGTTGGTTTAAATTATAATTTATTTCAATTCAATTCAATTCAATTCAATTCAAATGTTAATGTTGATTAATCCGAACACTTTCTCAACTTTGTTTTGGTGACTTTACATTGGATAACAAATTTCAAAATTATAGCGTAACGTAGATAATTGAGTGTAGGAATGACACAAATTAACGTATTACCGCATTTCTGTTATGGAATATAATACAGGGATGGAAATAGATTAAATTATTCGTAATAGCTTTTGACAACTCTTTCTTTTCAAATAAAAAGGAAAAAGAAAGAGAAAAAAATAACAACATCGTATGACTACATTTTGCTGTAGTTGATTTTGATTTCATTTAGTATTGGTAATTCATAATCGGTCCATTCCATGTGTAAGCATAGGCCTACTTATATTTTGTCACAAGTTAAATTTTATTTATGCTTTGCTCTTTGTATTATACTTGTTTATTCGAGACGCAGATAAAATCTCAGAATTAATTACGTATAAAGGCCCCTCAATCGCAACAGCAGCGATATTTTAGTTTTTCACAGAAAAGGGAAAAGTTGGCAACTTGCCAACCCTACTATCCTATTTATTCAAAACGGCGATTAAAACACCTTTCCTGTTTTACCGATCGGGGAACAAGACAATACCCCCTATCCCCGCTACCCTTTGAAGCTCATAGAGAAAGGAACAGGTATACATTGTTTTGATCCACCCCTCTCCTAGTCCTGCTAATCCCTAAAGGGGGAGGAGAAGCTTAAAATAGATGGATTATAACTTTTATTTAGTCCTCTCATCCTGCATATTCTATGTATGATTAGTACGAAGCCCAAATCGCATAATTGTAATGAAAGACAATTATTTTGATTTTGTATAATTACAAATTACCGCTATTAAACAAAACATGGCAGGGATATTCACTCATGGATCTGATTATGCATTGCGGACAAAACTTAGTTAATTAAGCTCTAAATTAGAGATTTTGTGGTACGATAAATGCTTTATTTCTCCAGCAAAACAATACCTTATCCATTCAGTTATGTGAACTCCAAACCCATCGATGTTTTGGTCCTGGCTTTATAATGTTGATTTTGTTTTGCTTTGTTATTCAGTTTTGTATTTATTGTTTGTCTGTTTGGTGTTTTTTGTCTTTCTTCTTTTTAGAGAATTTTGGAGTATGAGACAATTTTTCTAAAATGATTTTTGACCACGATACTGGCTTTATACTTATAAATATCGTAAAGTTTTAATTTTCTTAACAAACACGTCTGGAGATTTCGATCAGGCCTAGGTGATTATGATATCATCTTGTTTGGGGGGAGGTGTGGGGGGGGGGGGGGATAGGGGTTCTTTTTTTCTTTTTTAAAAATAATTCTTGTTCTAAATAAATTGAATGATATAGGTGTAATCTTATTTTACATAAAATCTTCAATTTAATTCATGTTGTTCAGACATTTAGCAGCAGGTCTTGGCTTAGGCCTAATATTTCAACGGAGAACATAAACATAATTGATATTTCTGTTAGTTTATTGCTGTGACGCAACTCTCTCGATGTCCCCCTCCTCTCCAAACAATACGGCACTAATCCCTATCACTGCTTCATTTGTTTTTACAGAAGAAAGATAAAGTTGGCTACTTGCCAAGCCCCCCTCTTTTGTTCAAAACGGTCTAAATGGTGGGATTAAAAACAACTTTTATTTTGTCCATCGGGGCACAATATAGTCCCCTCTTACCGGGCTAACCCTTTGAAGTCCATTGTCAAGGTCCTTGGTCAATTGACCAATGACTATCAGTTTGACCCTATGAATGAACTTTCTCATTGATGTCGTGCCGCAGTGGGTGGAGTAAGGGTCGGATGTGCATTGTTTTTATACACCCCTTCTATTCATCAATAGACGGATTAAATCGTGTGATCACTGTGAAACCCAAGTGAAATTTAATCTGAGAGTTTGATTTTTCAATAATTATTTCGTTAAGCATCCAAAAACTATATCCTGACAGTGCATATAATATAATTATGATGTGAAACTTTGATAAATGTCACTAATACCCTACTAACAAAATACCGTAAATGAAATAAAATGGAATATTACTCGAATACAAATTGAAAGGGACATTATAAAGGAATGAAAACGGAACACTGTAATTTGTAATAGGTTTTCCCGCCCAGTTTCATCAGAGTTGCATCCGATTTAACGATGCGATCATTCGATTTCGAGCGAATTTGAATGATCACCGAGATCAAAATTAAAAAAGCTGACCAATTCATTCAATGTTATTGTATAAGCATGCGATTTCATGATTTTCTCACATAAACGTGTACAAAGCGCGTTCAAATTAAAAAATGCACGTAAGTGCATCAAATTCACGAATTCATTTGTAGCATTTGGACAGTCTCTAAAAAAAAAATCTGTTTGATTGAATTATGCAAACTGTATGTACCTTGAAATTGGACCTTTGCCTTATAATATTGAAATATCCCCTTCCTCCGCCATTGAGTCAAGAGCTCGTATAACTCCACTTTCATATACGCATACAGACTAAGGCGGGGGCTCGAGGGGAGTACGTGAATATTACGAATACTGAATAGAAAGAAAAGAAATATATAAAATATGATTAAAGTGCGAAGGTGTGTGCCTGTAAATCAAATAGAAATTTGTATATACAGTGTGTCCCGAAAAAAACTATACACTTTTGAAATGGCTGCCAAATAACAAATATATTATTCTAGGGGGAAAAGTTATATATGTATGGAAAGCTCATATACTCAACTTTCATATAACACCAAAAGTTGCGAAAATAATTCATGCTCGGGTGAGCACTGCTCACTTTTGTAAAGGGTATGAAAATTTGGTTGCGCAGGAATTAGCCTTCCAATTTGTGAGAGGTAAATCCTTTGGAGCTTACCGAATTGAGGATGCTATGACCAATTTATGATCAATTGTGATAAGTTTGGGTTTGCTGAGTGAAATGTTTGGTTTATGGGATTAACATTTTATGCATGAGTTAACAGGAATTGCATTTTTATTGTAGCACTGTAACTTCCCTGGTAGACTCAGTGGTGTGTTCATGGGAGTCAGGATGGGGTGATGATACATGTTGTAATTTCCATGTTACAAACTGTTATTCTCTTACATCTGTGACTTTGAATAAAAACCTTCACCCCACATTTCAATTATTGTAAGATTAGTTGAACATCTCATTGATTTACTCAATACCCAGGTAGGGATAATGTAAATTGAATATTCAAATACGGTTTGTTGACAAAAGGAATGTCTAAGATGTCGGCTACTTATTCTTCAGGTAAATGGTAACTGAAATGTGGGGTGAAGGTTTTTATTCAAAGTCACAAATGTAAAAAATAACAGTTTGTAACATGGAAATTACAACATGTACCATCACCCCATCCGGACTCTCATGAACACACCACTGAGTCTACCAGGGAAAGTTACAATGCTACAATAGAAAAATAAATTCCTGTTCCGTGCATAAAAGTTTGGTTTAATAAACCATGAAATTCACTCAGCAAATCATGAATGTATCATATCACCCTCAATTCGGTAAGCTCCAAAGGATTTACCTCTCACAAATGGGAAGGCTAATTCCTGCGCAACCTAATTTCCATACCCTTTACAAAAGTGACCAGTACTCACCCAAGCATGAATTATTTTCAAACTTTTTGGTGTCATATGAAAGTTGAGTTTATGAGCTTTCCATACATATACAACTTTTCCCCCTAAAATCATATATTTGTTATTCGGCAGCCATTTCAAAAGTGTATAGTTTTTTTCGGGACACACTGTATATTAAGGACGAAATTGAACGTCTATCCAGCTGGCCCGAAATTGAATGACAACTTCGTGTCATTAAATTGAATGGATTTCTCTCTAAATCGAATGAAATATAAACTTAAAAGGAATGATTTAAAACGAAATTGAATGCTCAAAGAATAAAAAAATTAACCACGAGAGCAGGAGAGTTGACGAAAATCGTTCGAAGTTAACGCCTATTCATGAATTCGAATGCAACTCTAATGAAAATGGGCGGGGAAAACCTTTATTAGCACTTGTTAGAGAATTACTTTTGTATGATATTGATTTTGTTGTTGTTGTTGAATTACTTTCATGAAAACATTTATAACTCATCTAAAGATGCTTTTTGTTTCTATTTTT